AAAGGCGGGATCGGAGGGATTCGAGCCAATTCTATCGGCGGTGCCTAGATGATAGCTAGGACGCTGCACATTTTAAGTGCATATTCAGACGAGCCACTTGGAATGAACATCCCACGGGTTATATATGGAATAGATTTGCACAATATGCTCGAGAGATATGGAAAATCGGTTGCTTCAAAAGCAGTCTGCCACCCAGTCTCCGTCTTGGCGATAGTCTGGGGCCGTGACGATTCTGCCAGTTGAGAATCCTCATGCTGGACTCAGTAACATACTTTGTAATTACAGCATGTTTGTTTTCTCGGGCGCAAGTTTCTCATTTCTGATGTGCAGGGTGAATCTGCTATAGGGCTCAATAGAGAAGCTGTGACTCGGATTATAGTCACACATTGCTCAGGACCTTCGATCATTATTTATGGAGATGATTGTCAAATATTAGGATGCAAAGCTGCGCTGAGAAAATGTCTCGGTTGAGACAGATGGCACCTCCAAGCACAAACACCCTAAAGATAACTGCTTAGTAACTCAAGCTCACTTTGGATTGAGAATATATTTTCATTTACAGACGCTTGTGCTGGCAGAATCAACAAGTAGCTGGATTTCAGTGGAGTAGCTCGTCGGTTAGTCAAGTTCTAGGCCACTTTCACTGCTGTCAGAGGACCGTTCATAGGTGTCCATAGAATGACGTATTCCCGCAAAAGAAAACCGGCTGAATCTTCTCTGGGGTGTGGGGAGCGAAGTGTGGAGAGACGCGGGTTCTTCTGCTCTTTTCTTTTGCCGGCACGACCATCGGTCGATCTCCGACGTGCCTGATTCAAGTCGCCACCGGGACATGAAAGACGGTTGAAGAAGGAGACGAGGAATACGATTGTGATTGGTTAACAGCATGCTCTGCCTAACTAAAAGCAGCCAGCCGTACGCACTTGCTCCGATTTTGCTGAACCCCCGGCTTGCCGACTCGGAATGAGCGTGACTCCTTGTTTTTCCAGGCCGGTGGAGCCAAATTTAGGGTTTCATTGGGCGACTTTTTCCCGGCCCTGCGAATACATACTAGATCCGGAGTAGTCGCCTTTCCATCAGCATCGGCAGCCCCTGTTCAGGCTGGTCTAGTCCTGAGGATGCGAAAAAGTGAGGCAGTTGGCTTGATGTTCTGCCACCCGAGGCAACGAAGACTCGGACGCTAATGCTGTCAATTTGGAACGACTCGGATTGCCGGTTGCATTCCCCTCGGGGGCTAGCAGAACCAAAGTCTGCAGTAGTGGGGAAGCCCGTTGATTGAATAACCCCCGCCGGGATGTAGCCATATTGGAGTGCCGGCCTCTGCTGAGCCTGGGACGCCGCCGATCCTCGTGGAGACCTTTCCCCTGGGACCGAAGTCTAACTCTCGGACTCGCGCCGTGAAGGACCTATTGAGACTTAAAAGCAAGCGGATCGCCGGGTCGGTCGACTTTGTTCTCTGCCGGATTCAGTCTACCCACCCCCCGGACCCAGGTCTCCTTGCTCCCTCCTTTCCTTGTTCTTTTCTTAGACCGAGTGGTTCTTTCTCGATTGCATTCAAAATGAGTGATCTCATCCCCAAATGGAACATCGTCCATAAGCTGGAGAAGCGCCAGCTTCTCATCGGAATCAATTGCGTTGCGGCTCTGTCTATTCTATTCTTCGGATATGACCAGGGTATGATGTCCGGCGTGAACAACGCCAAAGACTACATTGATCTCATGGGCCTTGGCTATACCAAGGTGGAGGACGGCCAATTGACACCCGTGATCACCAATTCTCTGCTGCAGGGCGGCATTGTCTCGGTCTACTACCTGGGCACGCTCTGCGGCGGCCTGTTCGGTGGCTGGCTGGGTGATCGTATGGGCAGAATCAAGAGTATCGCAGGGGGCGCCGTTTGGGCGATTTTGGGTGCGAGTCTGCAGTGCTCCGCTCAGAATCACAATTGGATGATTTGCGGTAGGCGAATACGTGACAAGAAACAAGAATTAAGCTGACAGCTGCAGCACGTTTCATCAACGGCATCGGTACTGGTATTCTGAACGCTATTGTCCCCGTTTGGGCCACCGAGACCGCCGAACACACCTCGCGTGGGCAGTTCATTGCCATTGAGTTTACTTTGAATATTTTCGGCGTTGTTCTGGCATATTGGTTGGAGTTGTACGTTCTCATTCCTTTTTTCCTCTGGTCAAAAAGCCCTATAACTAATCTTGACTAGCGGCCTGTCCTTCATCGACGACGGCAAGTCAGCCTTCCGCTGGCGTTTCCCCATCGCATTCCAAATCATTATGCTTCTAGTCCTGTTCTTTGCCGTCTGGTTCTTCCCCGAGTCGCCTCGCTGGCTAGTCAAAGTTGGCCGCGAGAAAGAGGCCAAATACATCCTGCAGCGTCTGCGTGGGGACAGCCCTGAGGAGAGGGTGCGCGCCGAGGCTGAGTTCCAGGATATCCAGAACATCGCCGAGATGGAGAAGACCGTGGTGCACAGCAACAACTACCTGTCCATGCTGTTTGGGTACAAGTCCGGGGATTTGCATATCGGTCGTCGCGTGCAGCTCGTGGTCTGGTTGCAAATCATGCAGGAATGGGTTGGCATCGCTGGTGTCACGGTATACGCACCTACGATCTTTAGTATTGCTGGCTTCGGCTCGGAGAAGAGTCAGTGGATTAGCGGGCTGAATAATGTCTTTTACATGGTATGCTTCACCTTTATTCGGAAGAGAAGAAGTGCTAATTTTTCCGGTTGTAGTTCGCAACTCTTGTCTGCGTCTTCACTTTGGACCGCATCGGCCGTCGATGGACTCTCTATTGGGGCTCCGTCGTCCAGGGCATTGCCATGTTTTTGGCTGGCGGCTTTTCCCGGTTGGCTATTAATGCGAAAGCGGCTGGCGACATGGGCAAAGCATCCTCATTCGGTGCTGCGGCTGCTTCGATGATCTTCATCTTCACCTCCACCTTCGGAGCCACTTGGCTGACCGTGCCGTGGCTGTATCCCGCCGAGATCTTCCCCCTGGCGGTGCGTGCTAAAGGCAATGCCTGGGGTGTGGTTGGATGGAGTATCGGTAATGGGTGGCTGGTGAGTATCCTTGCTTGATACGATGTGACTTTCGGTGCTAACTTTTGAATATCAGACCCTCCTGTGCCCGGTCATGTTCAGTGCCATCGGCGAGAAGACCCTTTACATCTTCGCTGCCAGCAATGTGATCACCATCCCCATGGTATGGGCGCTGTATCCGGAGAGCAACCAGCGCACGCTGGAGGATATGGACTTGCTGTTTGCCGCGAAGACCCCGTGGGCTTGGGACGCTGAGAAGAATTTCGCTCGGCTCAAGGCTGAGAACCCGAACATGATCCAGACTACCAGCCGCAAGAACAGCATAGTGGATCCCGAGACTGGCAAGGAGGTGTCTGTGAAAGACATTATCTCCAAGACGGAGGGCAATGCTGTGGCGGCGGAACATGTGGATCGGACTTGATGATGGCTTGGGAATGAGTCATGAAGATTACGAGAATGGATTGATGTTAGAGGCTATATTACATGATACATAGAGAACTAGAGGTCTATATCGCATTCCACACTCATACACAGTCTATACAATAAACCTGGTATTCTTAACCAAGTTAGGCCGAACGTCTGTCCTAGCGAACTGGTATACTATTGCGTACTCTGGAAACAGTGTGACAGAAATTGGCGAGCGCCAGCAGCTCTCTAGCAATAATCTTTCGTTTTTGGGAACTTACGGCATCTCGCGAATACTACTATGTAGGAAGGCCTCGAAGGGAGAGCAGATCTGCCCAGTAAGTTATGGCTCTGGAATAATATTTATCGAGTGGTTCCTTGGATCTTTTTTTTTTAATATCGGTCTTGTATAGACCAGTCCAGATTTGTCCCTTGCTCCTAGAGGTAAATATTTCAAAGAGCTCTGATTGGTCACTTTGAGGACAAGACGCAGAGTATAACCATCACCTTCACCACCCCATCCCGTTTTCCCCTCCCTCCTCCTTCATCGCTTCTCCTAATCACGAGAAACCTTCCATCTACCCAGCCAGACCTGTTCTGCACGCGATCGACGCGTCCGTATAGTACATCTACGCGCCCATCCCCGTCTTGGCACGCGCCGAGCCCCTCGCAACATGACAACCATAGCAATGCCCACTACGCCGGACCCCACCACCATCACCACCGTCACCACCACTCAGAATCTATCTCCAACGACGCAAAAGTTCCTTCGCCGCATCTCCCTCCACCCAACTCTCACCCCCTTCCGCCGACGCGTCTACCGCACTCTCCTCTCCGTCCCCGCAGGGCGCTGGACGACCTACGCCGCGATGGCAGCATATCTCAAATCCAGCGCGCGCGCCGTCGGCAACGCTATGCGTACTAACCCCTTTGCGCCCGAGGTGCCCTGTCACCGCGTTCTGGCGGCGGATCGCACCCTGGGTGGGTACAAAGGGGAGTGGCGGGTGAGCAAGCACAAGGGGGGTGGATCTTTTCGGGAGGAGAAGAGGATTCGGCTCGCGGAGGAGGGTGTGGAGTTTGATGAGATGGGGAAGGTAGGGGGGCAGTGTTTTACGGATTTTGTGGAGTTGTCCTTGACAAAATAATGGCAGTGTAAGGAGGGTTGGCGCAATACTTGGGGTGGCGTTACGATGTGTATTTATGTACTTCTTAGGGTTAAAATTGCATTCTGACTATGGACAAACGTATCAGGCTAGCTTCATCCTACCTATTGACAGCCAGCTCATCCATGAACTGCTACTACAGAGTCGCGTTCGCTGTTTCCAACTCGACTGCTACCCATCGCGAAACAAACACAAGCAGAATGTCCGATTTCAAATTGGCGGCTATTCCACGGCGGAAACATCCGTATTTTGCACCAGACTCGAGGGTACCAGCTGCAGTGTCAGCAGAATACCTGCAGCTGTTCGGAGATGAATGGTCAATCCTATAAAGACTCTGCTGTTGAACTTGCGTGTCTACGCTGGTTACATTCATCTCTGTTGCTATCATGAAAGTGTCATTATTGACTCTATTGAGCTGCTTCGCTGGAGCAGCTGCAAACACAGCTGGTGCATCAGCTAAGAGATCCCCCAGTCCCTGCCAGGGCAATAGCCCTACAGCCCGTCAGCAATGGTGCGACTACGACATCCGCACAGACTACACGGCTATAGCTCTCGACACAGGCGTAACGCGTGAGTTCTGGTTTGACGTAGATCAGCTCCTCGTCGCGCCAGATGGGCGCCCACGCTGGGGAATAGCCATCAACGGCTCGATCCCGGGCCCGACCATTGAAGCCGACTGGGGCGACACGGTGGTCGTCCACCTGCGCAATCTGCTTCCGGATTCCGTGGAGAATGGGACTAGCATGCACTTTCATGGATTGCGGCAGTATCGCACAAACCCCATGGACGGGGTGGTTTCTGTCACGCAATGCCCTATTCCCTCCGGGAGTAGCATGACGTACCCATGGAGGGCGATGCAGTATGGAACTACGTGGTATCATTCTCTTATTGGGCTGCAAACGTGGGAAGGGGTCTTTGGTGGGATTATCATCCACGGACCCGCCAGTGCCAACTACGATGAGGACAAGGGGGTTATTCTGTTTAGTGACTGGGACATCAACACCGTTGACGAGTTATGGGATTCGGCCCAACTGAGCGGATCACTGACCGTTGACAACGCCCTGATTAATGGCATGAACGTCTTCGGCGCAGACAACAGGCCAGATCAGACCGGCCATCGATTCAACACCACCTTCACAACGGGTAAATCATACCGACTGCGCCTGGGCAACGCAGCATGCGACACGCACTTCAAGTTCAGCATCGACCACCACACAATGACCGTGATAGCCGCAGACCTCGTCCCCATCAAGCCATACAGGACCACGGTGCTAAACATCGCAATCGGTAGGCCACCATCCACGAGACCAAAAATACCCAGTCACACCGTCCTGACCGAAGCCGGCCTCGAGCAATATAAACAGGACAGCGCTACGATGTCATCGTGCAAGCCGACCAAGCCGTCGTCGCCGACAGGTTCTGGCTGCGTGCTGTGCCGCAAAGTGCCTGTTCCATGAATCTCAATGCAGACAATATCCGGGGCATTATCTACTACGATGACGGTGCGTCTGACAATAGTCTTCCGAAGACGACTGCCCACGCATTCGAGGATAGCGGCCAAGACGAGGATGCGTCGCTGCTTGCCCCCATCGTCTCCAAGGACCTAGATATCTCCGCCGCAGAGTTCTTCTACAACGAATCCCTGGTCGTCACAGCCGCTAAAACCGCGAACGCCTTCTATCGCTGGTACATTAACGGGACATCCATGCACCTGAACTGGTCTTACCCAACCCTCCGTCAGATTCAAACCACATCACAGGTTCTCGCCAACACCTCGACTGTGATATCTCTCCCTAACCCAGAAACATGGGTCGTTGTAGCCATCGAAACTAACCTGGACGTGCCACACCCAATCCGTCTCCATGCCCATGACTTTCTCATTATCGCACAAGGAAGTGGGACTTATCAACCACCAGAATATCATGGCCTGGCCAGGCCGGCAGGATCACTCCCTAAGCGCGATACAGCTCTCCTGCCGGAGTCGGGATATCTGGTTCTAGCCTACCGGACGGATAACCCGGGTGCATGGCTGATGCACTGTCATATCGGCTGGCACCTAGAGCAGGGTTTTGCGCTACAGTTTGTGGAGCAGGAGGCCGCTATTCTGGAGATGTTGATCGATGATGATGGTGTGAAACAAGTGATCGAAGAGAATTGTGCAAAGTCGGACCAGTACTGGAAGGGGCGGGTGGCTCTGGAGGATGGGTCGGGAGTGTAGGTACAGGACATAGTGTGTCTAGGATACTGTTTATACTCAACTCGGTATAGAAGAGGGACCCGCTCCTTGGGATCGGACAAAGAATGTTGTTTGCACTGGTGGATCCTGTGGACCGGTGATGCTATCAGAAAGTGTACTATACTTATTTACATCTCGAAATAGTTAGTTAGTCCCTTACAAGAAACCCGTGCCAAGCCTTGCTAACTCGCTCGGCAACGAGCCTGCATCCTTGGCCTTGTACGCAGGGCTTGGGATCGGCGGTCATCTGAAGGATCGTGTTGGTTGTCCGTGCGCGCGTGAGTGGAGGATCGTCGCGGTGAACTGACAAGGTAATGCCGCCTGTCAGTAGTTAGTCTGACTACCGTGTGCACGTTTTTGTTGGTGGCTTTTGTTCTAGAACCCAGCCCGTGAAGAGTAAGACGAAATTAAGAAAAGAGGGGGAATAGCAGCGGAGAAAAAGACAATTCTTTTGTATGTACTCTCCGAAGAAAGCAAGTAAATCCCGACACCCCAGTTATATACATCGTAGTAATCGTCCCTCTCGTCCCATCCCAGCCAGTAAGCAGTAGTAGTCTATAGAAACCCCCAAAATTCCCCCAAGTCTATGTCTATAAGCGTCAAACGTAAAAGCATCCGAGAAAAGAAAACAGGCCCGCGTCGTCTTTCTTCTATACAGGATTCCCGGAAAACAAAAATAGGACTGCGATCTATAATAAAAATGAACACACAACCAAAGGGGTATGCCTGCCGTAGCAGCCGCGAGATAGAAGATTAAAGTGGTCGTAATATCGTAAGAAGAGAGAGATGGCAAACCATCCCTAGGTCCGGTCAAGGAACGGGTCCATTAAGGAACAAGTTTGAAGATTGAGGAGCGCGAAGCAATTATGCCATCTCCTTGGCGGAGCGCTTGAAGGCACGGCGCTTCGGCACGTCCATGTGGTGATAGGAGCGCAGGTGCTCGACGAGATGGTCCTGGCGGGGGAAGCCATTGCTGCCCTTGCGTGAGCAGTGCTCGACAGGGCAGTTGCGGAAGACGGGGTAGTGAACCGAGGACTGGTGGCGCTTCAGGTCCGCGAAGCGGGTGAAGGTCTTGCCGCAGTTATCGCAAGAGAAGGGCTTAGCGGGCCTGAATGGGAACAATATCAGTATATTGCTTCATATGCGATAGCTGAACGAGAAACTCACTTGGAAGCAGGCGGCGGCGAGTCCGGGCACGAGTCGTAGCCTGTGCTGCTCGCCGACGATATGGGGTAGGAAGGCATAATGAGCTCCGGGGTCCAGCTTCCCGAGCTGCTGCCGCAGTGGCTGCCGCCGCAGCTGGTCGGGGCGCTTGTGGGCATCCTGGGCGCGTCGTACATGGGCACATCCATCATGGCGGGGTAGGAGTAGGGCGAGCTGGTGAAGGAGAAGACCTCGACTTCGGGCACGCCAAAGGGGGAGGATGGCTCCAGGTCGTACAGCGGCGAGTCATAGATGGGGGCTTGTGATTGTGGGTGGTAGAAGTAGAAGTCCACTTCGCCAGGCGAAGAGTAGCAAGAATAGGGAGACTGCATTGTGTATGTGTAGAGCAGAGTAGAGTAGAGTAGAGTAGAGTAGAGTAGAGTAGAGTAGAGACGGTATGAAGATGGAGAATAATGCCGGGCAAGAAGAGTGGACAAGGGGTGTAAATAAAGGATTCTGGCCGGATTCTAGAAGAATGAGAGAACTCCTCAATCCCGGCCGGCCCTTGCCATCTGAGACGCCGGTACGAATCCTTCTGAAGCTGATTTTCCTGGAGGGACACGGTTAGATGCAGACGAATGGGGGCCACGAGCAGCCACCAGATAGGATTGTTTTGTTGTTGGATTGAGGGCATCACCATCCATTTGGCTGTTGGTTGGAATTTGGATTGAGCACTGTCTATCTTCTCACATCCTCCATCGCTTTTGAAGCATCTGCTACATCCATCCCATCCTACACTGTATACAAAGACCCTCGTACTGCGCGAATTTCTGCAGCCCCCATTATGACGTTCAGAACCTTCTACGAGCCTTCTAGCGCCATTCCTCCAACTTGGCCCCAGTTGAATACGGCGGTCAGACCTATGGTGGCCTTGTGCATGCGACGCTGGTCTTGCCCATCCTTACCCGAATTAGGGCTTCGAGAAGGCTTCTAGCGTCATTTTCTACCAACCCACCCCCCCTCTCTGACATACCCCTGGCCCCTTCCTGCTGTAGACGGCCGCCACTGAGTGCCAAAGCTATTCTGGTCGTTTCAGATTCGCTCGTCTCTGTCCTCAATGTGGAGAAATACCAACTATGGACACAGCACCTGGCCACTCAGGCCCCCTTCATCTCTGTTGGATCGGCCCTTCTACTGTTGGCCGCTGACACGATCCACGATCGGCCACTCTCACTCACGAACCAGCGCTACACCACTAACCCCGTATAGTCTAGTGATTTGCCTGCGTCTGGGGACGATCGACAGCAGTGATATAATTGGCCCTTCATACGTGCTGATGACTGCCGCCGCCCAGCCCCCCTTGGCTCGCTCTTCTCTAATCCTGGCCCTTCTAGAAAGAAAATCCCGCACCCTAGCGTGGAGCTGTTATCACAGTGAGGCGAACTGGCCTCTGCTCTTCTGAACGTGTCCTCACGTCATGTATACAAAACGCAGATGATCAGGTGCCCCCGCTCTTTCCCGGATCCTGCAGCCCTTCTCTACTCGTAGTGCTTCTAAGCTCAGTCCACAAATGAACATGTCATTTTTACGGAGTACTCAAACCAGAATAACTACCGGGAATTCGGGAATAATCATTCAACTCCGTGTCCCTGGAGACTGCCCCGTGCCTGCCCTGATGTAATGATGAACAGAAAAAAAAAAAAAAAAACACGTACACAAGAAACCACACGTGCTCGATGATGGCCCGGTCAGCAGGGAAGCGTGACCGCTTCAGCCACCACCACCACCACCGCCTGCCGTAAGCAGCTCATAGCTCGTCTTCGAGATACTTGTATACGAACTTGAAATCAGCCTTGCGCCGATTCATCCTGCGCCTCGTTAGAATATCCGGTTATTGCATCATCCAGCCTCGCGGTGGGGAGTCCAGCCACGCGGCGGGAAGGCGGCTGACTGAACGTACCATGTGCTCTCGTAGTCAAAGAATCGATAGGTGCCTTGCTCAAACTCCTCTGTGATGTTCTTGGGCTCCTCGTGACGCTGGAACCAGGTCTGATACTGCTTGTGGAATCGCCAGCTCTGGTTCTTGAGGGCCTTGGCGGCCATGTATTGCTGGTAGGACCCCTGTCGGTAGTAGAAGAGATAGAACAGTGTGTCGGTGTCGATTCGACCGGTGTCGTATAGTCGGGGGTCGTCGAATATCGAGAGCGGCTCTTGCGGATAGTAGAGAGGGGTGTTGTATGGATTTGCCGGCTTGTAGTGACGGGGCTTCTCGGCATCGCCGGGCTCGGGACATGTCGTAAGGGAGGTTGCCAACAGACGCTGAACAGAAGGCGAAGCGTTATTCGTGGCACGCTCTTTGGTCGTCTCGAACGACTGGGCCAGGTCTTGGAGACCCGGTGGGAGGTGGAATATCGACTCATCACCCTCAGACTTGCCATTGGTGGCTGGTTCTTTGGGTTCAATTCCGTCTGCTGCGACCGGCGATGAGACGCCCGAGATAGAAGCACCAGCGGGCGTTTTCGACCGTCCAGTGCCGTCAATCTCGTCCGGAACGGCAGGAGTAGCAGGCTTTGCAACCGGTTGCGCTGGTGCCACACTGGGCGATGCAGTAGATGGTGCCTTGGACGCAGGGAGAGCCACAGAGAAGGCCGGACTGGCTCCTGGTGGAGGTGGGAGAGGGAGGATACCCACGCCGCTCTTGTCACTTGCTGCCGCCGCGGCGGCCGCGGAGGCATACTTGAGGGTTTCGCCCGGTGCACGCGTCGGGAGCGGAGCAGGCTTCATGGCTGAACTGGCGCTGGATGAGGTCGAAGGGTGGAGGGTAGCGAGGACAGGAAGCGGTGACTTCATCTGCGTCGACGGTCGCCGCGGGGCTGCAGCTTCTGTCTTGGGCTTCGGTTTTGGTTCTGGCTCATCATCCTGAATGGATTGAGCGTCTTGCGATGACACCCGATCGGCATCACCACCCATACCGAACTGCACCTCCGTATCTTCACCAATGTTCAGATCATCGTACAGTGTCTCGTCTTCGCCGGAGTAATCAATATTGCCGCCTTCCTCAACATAGTACTTGATGCTTTCTTTGAGCTCGTTCACCTGGTTCACCTCGAGATTGCCATTCTGCAAGGCTCGGTTGAGATACTCGAGCTTGTCGACGTGCCACTTATGTCGTTCCGTATAGTGGCTCAGATCCGCCAACCGGTTGGCTTTGCCCGTATCCTTCTTGCCTTTCTTCATTTGGGCGTGAAGCGTCTCCTCCTCGGCCTCCATTAACTCGATCTTCTGCTGGAGTTCGTCTACCATGGATGACAGGAAGTCGGATGCCTCCACTCTTTCTTTCTCCTTGGGATCGAGTCGTGACGCCGCTGATAGACCTTCTTTCGAGTATGCCTTCGTCTTCATCTCCTTCTCGACGGCCTTGAATTGCTCCATGCACTGTCTCGGATGTTAGCCCGCCAACATTCCCCACGGCCATGCGCGCACTCGCAAGAACCTACCGATTCAATGGCTTTCCGCTGCTCCAGAAGCGGAGCCTTATCCTTGACTTCATTGCCCGCCGCCCATGACTTGATCTGATCTCGGAACCGCTGGAGCTTCTTGATCTCGCGCTTGAGGTTCTCCTCGAGCTTATCGCGCTGGGTGGGATTTGTGGCGGCGCGAATCTTTTCGTAAATCCCATCAAAAGTCTGAATGCCTTCCGAGACCTTCTTGAAGGTCTTATCGATCTCTTGTTGTGTCTTGCGGGATGCCATGATGCCGCGGAGGGTGTGGACCAAGCCGTCCACAGGCGTGTAATTCGTCGGTGGTCGATCAAGGTTGGGGATGTGGGTTCAATCAAGCTGATCGGAGATGTACCATCAATAGAGGAGGAGAGGAAGGGGGTGAGCGGAAGAGAGCGATCGCGTGTTGTCTGGATGCAGAGAGAAAGAAGGTCGCAGCGGAAAGCTTCGAGGATGCCGTGAGTGGAAGGCGGTGAGATTAAAGGCGGTGGACCAGCGGCAACCAAAGATGAAGGTGCCTCTGACCATCATCTACTCTCTAGACACCATCATGACTCGCTAGTTGGTGCTGGATACAGATTTACCAGCAGTTCCCCTGAATGAAGTCCCTAGCAGCTATCTCAATCCATCTTGCCCAATTCTGGTGGATTGCATCATGAAAGGTGCGTACACTCCCGTTTCGCCTCTCACCCTCCGCTTATTCACATTGGTGCCAGTCGTCATTCAAAGAGTCAAGTCTGCTTCAGTCAGCGTGGACCAGGAGCTAGTCTCCTCGATCGGTCGCGGGCTTCTCGTTTTGGCTGGGGTGGGCAAGGAGGACACGGAGAAGGACGCAGAAGGCCTAGTGAACAAGGTGCTCAAGGCCCGGTTCTGGCCCGATGAGAATGGCGCACAAGTAAGGCCGATTGATGCGCATATAGTGGCCGTTTGCTGACCAGGGTCGCAGTGGAAGAAGAGCGTCCAGGATATTGAGGGCGAAGTGCTCTGCGGTAAGGCTCGCTAGCCCTCGTCGCGACATTGATCGTCCTAAACATCGACAGTCTCCCAATTCACCCTCTATGGCAAGATGAAGAAAGGCAATAAGCCTGATTTCCACGAGGCAGCCAATGCCGAGACCGCGCGCAAGGTCTACGACCACTTCTACGAACTCATGCGCAAGTCCTACGTCCCTGACCGAGTCAAAAACGGCGTGTTCCAGGCGATGATGGAGGTCGAGCTCAAGAACGACGGGCCGGTGGGTGTCGACTACCGCAGTGAAGATGCGGCGGTATATATTTGCCTTCCTGCCTTTCTGTTCTGCGCCGCGACCGGGCCATTTGGCTGACTACGTGACAGGTTACCATCGAGATCGATACGAAGCTCCCCAAGAAGGAAAAAAAGGAGGATCAGAAGGAAAACGGCAAAGCAGAAGAAGGGGAAGGAGAGACACAACGGCAGACCTATGAGTTCAAGCTGCCGGCTGGGTTATTGGAGTAAATAAATGTATGTAGTTCGTGGATATATACCCAGTCCTTCATAGATAGATGGATGATTATGGAATGTTCCTGAAGAGCCGCCCAGCACTTTCCCCCTCCACTTTCTGTTTCTTCCCCCACTCAGCCTCACTACTCACCTTTCCTCCCTCTCCCTTTCTTTTCCAATACTTCCTTCGCACACTCTCCACCATGGCGCAGTCTCGTATGTCCATTCTCTTCGCAGGGTCCACCGATCTACCCGCAGGATTAGGCTTAATGCTAACCGACATTCTTGCAACCAGACCGTTCCCGCGTCTACTTTGACATTAAGATTGGCGAGGCCAATCCCAGTCGCGTCGCATTTGAGCTGGTAAGTCCGGGATACCAGTCACAATCAGTGTGAATTCGGGAAGCTAATGCATTTTCCCGCCTGCGCAGTACGACGATGGTATGCCCTCTCATCCGAGGTCGAAAATCGGACGGATGCAGCTAACACAGGCAAATCAGTCGTTCCCAAAACCGCGGACAACTTCCGGGCGCTGTGCACAGGTGAAAAGGGCATGGGCACCCAGGGCAAGCCATTGACCTACAAAGGTATGTGCGGAAGAGACCCGACCGACTGCAGGCAACCGTCCATTGTCGAGCTGACGCGCCACACACAGGCTCGATCTTCCACCGAGTGATCAAGCAGTTCATGATCCAGGGCGGAGACTTCACGGCATTCAACGGCACGGGCGGGGAGTCGATCTATGGTGAGAAGTTCCCCGACGAGAACTTCGATCTCAAGCATGACAAGCCCTTCCTGCTGTCCATGGCCAACTCGGGCCCCGGCACCAACGGCAGCCAGTTCTTCGTGACCACGGTCCCCACCCCGCATCTGGACGGCAAACACGTTGTCTTCGGCGAGGTGATCAACGGCAAGAGCGTGATCCGCAAGATCGAGAACATGAGCACCCAGGCCGACAAGCCCACGGTCGATGTGACGATCGTGGACTGCGGCGAGCTCAAGGACAAGGACTATGAAAATGCCACCGCGCGCGTGCAGGATGCCACCGGCGATCCTTACGAGGACTTCCCCGAGGATCACCAGGGCGAGGAGCTGACGGCGCCTCTGGTCTTCAAGTTTGCGTCGGAGCTCAAGACCTTCGGCAACACGGCTTTCAAGAAGGGTGACCTGCACCTCGGCCTGGAGAAGTACCAGAAGGGTCTGCGCTACCTGAACGAATTCCCGGAGCCTGGTGAGGGCGACCCCAAGGAACTCGGCGGAGAGATGAAGGCCCTCCGATTCACGCTGCACTCCAACTCGTCGCTGCTGGCCAATAAGCTTGGACAATTCCAAAACGCTCAGAGATGGGCCAGCTTCGCGCTTCAGGTTGCAGAGGCAGCCAATGCCAAGGATGCCGACAAGGCCAAGGCCTACTACCGCCGTGCTCTCGCCCACGAGGGCCTGAAGGAGGAGGACGAGGCGCTCAAGGATCTGCAAGAGGCCGCGAAGCTGGCTCCCGGTGATGCGGGTATTTCCAATGAGATCACCAAGGTCAAGAAGGCCGTCAAGGACCGCGAGGCGAAGGATAAGGCGGCAGCTAGGAAGTTCTTCTCTTAGATCATCCTATCACGAATCATGACGAGCTCTGTTGCACGATGCATGATGTATGATACAGCATTATTGAGGCCCTTGTCCCCAACCACCATTTCTACTGTTTTAGGAATATAAATTATGTCCCACAAATATCCAACCCATTATATTTCATATTTTCTTAGGTACCATCACATAGCCGATGGACGGCCGTTCCGACCCGTCTCGGCCAGGAATTGCTCATACCGCGCCTTGCATTTCCGTCGCCAATCTTTGCCCCAGATGATCATGGGAATCCCCGCTAGCACGGAGAGGACCACTAGCAGCCCGAAGCAGGTGAACGTCCACCCGTAGTTGGTGCTGTCGATGAAAGGCTGTACGGAGAAGGAGATGGCAAAGTTGATAAGCGAGGAGCAAATTGCCAGCACGACAACCAGCTCGCCAGAGATCTATTTTTGCTGAGGTTAGTCGATAAATCAGATAAAAGAACAGGTCATCACATACCCCGTCAAAGCATTCCATTGCATATGCAGTTGCCAGACTCGTGATAGACACCTGTTGCGCAATCATACAGCACAGCGCCACGGCAATGGCCATCCAGTGGTCTCCGTATGTAGCAGCCCAGCCGTAGGTAAAGTAGCCAACGGCACCGAAGATGAACGGGAAGATATAGACCCAGAGGCGCATCTCCGGCTCTTTATATCCTTTATTCCGACGAGCGAGGACCAGGACGACCCAATCGGACAGGGAGCCAACGCCCATTCTACTGCTGTTAGAAGAGAAACAGAGCCGACTCAAGAAATAACAAGCTCACGCACCCAAGGAAATTCCCAACCAAGGCAGCTAGGAAGATCAACCCCGTCGAACCGGCGCTCCAATTATACGGCTTCTCAGTCATGATCTCGGAGATGGTATTGAACGAAACAATCCCCGCCGTGCACCCAAAGGCAAACTGAATGCCTGCGAGGACGATATTCGGAAATGCGAACAGGTAGAACGGGCGGCGGAAGTACTGGAACCAGGTTGTCTGATCATCGGCGAAGTAATGCACCATTGCAATCTGCTGCCGGTATGTTCGTGGCGGCATGTCTTCGCCGCCGATGCTGTTGCTGTTGCTTCTTACCATCGGGTCTTCCTTGGCTTCTCCTTGTGGTTTTATTTCTTCGTCGGCGTCAGACGAGCGGGAGAGTCTGGTGAGCATAGGGTCTGTGAAGCGGTAGCGCGGGAACATTGTGTCGTCGAAAGTGAAGATGAAGAGTATGATCATTACCCCCTGCGACTGTTAGATGGGAATCCTGTCAGCCCCGAGATGGATAGGGTGCATACGCATGCAATAGCCTCGATGAGTGAGCTCCATCGCCAACCAATTCCGTCTGAGATATAGCCACCCAGGATCAGGCCAAGGATCGAGCCAAGTTGCTGGAAGAAGATGTAGATTGCAACCATTCGGCCTCGCTCATGCGTAAAGAACATATCAAAGATCTTTCAGTCGGTCAGTTTGTTGCACACCTACCAAAAGTCAGGTTATGTAAGTTACTCACCGTGAGCTGAATCAACGCCTGGTAAGCCGCAGTCCCAACACCCTGCACGGCTAACATAATGTAGTACTGGGCTGTGCCATGGTAAAAACCACCCCAGATACTACCAGCCATAAGCAATATCAAACTGAGAATATAGACGATCTTCCGGCCAAATTTCATGGCGGAAGGAATCCAAATAATGTTAAAGAATCCCAGGAGAAGATAGTTCAGCGCAGAACCGCCGTTCATGTTGGTTAGACTGACGCCTGTGTCGTCGGAAATGACCGTCCAGCTGGCGCCCCAGTTGTTCTCGCCGAAGGAGTACACACAGGCATACGCGGATATGAGGAATAGAGACCAATATTTCTTCAAACGGGACCAGTTCTATACTGAACTATTAGAATTACGACTCGCTGATCAATTCTCGAGTGATCTTACCAGAGGGTCAGCCAGGGAGTTGGATGGCTGTGGGATGAGCAGAATATCCTGCTCGCCGGCATGGGCAGCATCTCGTAAGGTTCGTGACTCTAATAACATCATGAGTATAATGTTTCCAATTTAGTTAGAAATACCTACCGTCCACGAGATATACCGTGCCAGGAACATCGGTGAGGATATCATCAGAGCGCGCCATGTTGGCTTGGACACAGTGTAAACCGTTGAACACAAAGACGAGAAATCCGAGATCCTTATATGTATCTCCCCTCACCATCTCCTCAATTGCCTAAATACGACCAGCCATGGCACCGAGGTGATCGGCCGTCGCCTTGGCGGTACAAGCCGACTCTCGCGCCTGCGACGTACCGTGGAGATAAAGGGCGATCGCAAAGGTGTGGAAGCTCCAAGCGACGATGGCTTTATTTGACGAGGCGCAATTGGCCCAGCTTCTGAATGAAGTGCGATAGACTGGCGAGGCCGCTCGGCAATGCGGAGATGACTGTCAATCTACCCCAGGTTTGTGCGGCGGGAAGGTCCAAGCGAACGATGGCAGATAAGTTGTGGAGACTCCGAGGGGCTTCACATACAATTAGCCATCGTCTAAATTTGACAGACGATGCTCTTTCACCATTCGCAATGACAGTCACGCACTCGTCTTCCATTTTGGTCATCGGTGCAGGCACCTGGGGCTGCTCGACAGCTCTACATCTCGCGCGACGCGGATACACAAATGTCCTGGTGCTGGATCCGCACCCGGTGCCCTCGCCCATTGCGGCGGGGAACGATATCAACAAGATCATGGAGCACAAGGAGCTAAAGGGTAGGCGGGCAATCTGATTTGTGTAGCGGTTTGCTGATTTCTGTATAGCTGTAAACCCCGATGCCCGGAGCGTTGCATTCGCGACCTGTTCCCGCGCGGCTTTGAACGGCTGGAAGACCGACCCAGTGTTCCAGCCCTATTTCCACGAGACCGGATTTATTGTATCTGGGCATACACAGGCCCTTATTGCGCATATCAAGACGGAAGAGGTCGATCAGTGCGAAGGTGACTTTGTAAGCCTCGAGACGGCAGAGGACTTTCGCAAGACTATGCCCCCCGGTGTCTTGACGGGAGATTTTCCCGGCTGGAAGGGGTGGCTCAGCCGCTCAGGCGCTGGATGGATCCATGCACGCAAGGCCATGTTGTCTGCGTACATTGAGGCGTCTCGGCTCGGGGTCAAGTTTGTGACTGGATCGCCGGCGGGTAACGTTGAGGCCCTGGTCTACAGGGACGGGGATGTCATCGGAGCCCGGACTGCAGATGGCCAAGTCCACCATGCAGACCGAGTTATATTGGCTGCAGGTGCTGGTAGCGACCGTTTACTGGACTTCAAGAAGCAGCTCCGTCCGACAGCTTGGACATTGAGCCATATCCGCATGACCCCCGAGGAGGCAAAGAAGTTCCGGAATCTGCCCGTGCTGTTTAATATAGCCAAGGGATTCTTCATGGAACCCGATGAAGACAACCACGAGCTCAAGATCTGCGACGAACACCCGGGATACTGCAACTTCGTCGCAGACGCCAACAACCCCGCAGGCGAATCAAGAAGCGTCCCCTTCGCAAAGCACCAGATCCCACTGGAAGCCGAGGCTCGCGCGAGGGATTTTCTGCGAGACACGATGCCACACCTCGCCGATCGACCGTTTTCTTTTGCTCGGATCTGCTGGGATGCCGATACGCCTGATCGGGCGTTTCTGATTGATCGACACCCTGAGCATTCATCGCTTCTTGTAGCCGTGGGGGGTTCTGGGAATGGTGCTATGCAGATGCCCACAATTGGAGGGTTTATTGTGGATGCTCTGGAAGGAAGGCTGCAAAAAGAGTTGAAGGATGTGGTTCGATGGAGGCCTGAAACTTCCGTTGACCGTGACTGGAGGTCTACGCAGAACCGCTACGGAGGACCGGATAAGCTGATGGACTTTCAGGATGTGAAGCCGGATCAGTGGACGCAGATTGAAGAAACTGAGAGCCGATTATAGAATATGTACTTCAGAACCAAGAAATATAGAAACGTCCTCTCTTCCAAATAATTCTTCAATTTGTATACTGCCTCTCATTGACGTCTGGAGACTACCCTACTGACTAGCAAAAGCACAGGTTCCCATGTCCATCTTCACAGCATCGGCCTCAGGCCGAATATCAAAATCAAAGATATCCATCGGCACACCAAGGGTAGTGCACGCATTCGGAATATCAACAATGCCAGCAATATGTCCCTGCACGGGTGCACAGCTAAGCAGCAAATAAATCTGATAATCGCTATATCCATAGCGTCTCAGATATTCAATGACCCGTAGACAGGTCTGGCGATACGCCACCGAGGCATCGAGATAATGCTGTTTGCCCTTCTCGTCGACAGAGAACCCTTCAAAGGTAAGGTAGCGTCCGGGCCCGAACTGCGGCTCCACGGGGCCTGCGTGGAAGATCGGAGACTTCATGTCCAGCTTGGCCATTCCGTTCTTGATCACGCTGAACTTGAGCGTGATCACGCCGGCCATCTCGATTGCGCCACAGAAGGAGATCTCGCCGTCACCTTGCGAGAAGTGGAGGTCTCCGACGGAGAACTTGGCGCCTGGGACATGCACGGGAAGATACACTTTGGAGCCACGGGAGAGGTTCTTGATGTCGCAGTTTCCGCCGTGTTCAGGGCGGCCCTAGGGGAGTTGTCAGGTTTGGCTTATTGTACAGCTAGTGTCTGGAAGCATACAGGGATCGTGCGAGCTCCTTCTCTGGCGACTTTACTCTTGGTAGCCTCATCCGCACTACCTGCGTGTGCATTCAGAGGCTGCGGAGGCTGTGCGACGATTCGATCAGCCACGGTGTTGGCTGCGATCAGTTCGCCTTCACGCTTGTTCCACTCAGCGAGCACTTCTGTCGAGGGTGCACACCCCAAGATGCCGGGGTGAATGAGACCCGCGAATCGAACGTGCGGGATATGACGGGAGGAGCAAAAGATGCCCTCAAAGTCCCAAATTGCCTTTGCTCTGTGGGTACCATTGTCAGCGGGAATCTCTTTTTACAGAAGTAAATAGACAGACGCTTCGGGATATATCTCATCCAAGAAACCGCCTCCATTCTGGCGATGAAATATACCAGTAAATCCCCAGGGCTGGTCCTGGAAGGGCTGCACGTCCTGAATCTCTACGAGCAAGATGTCGCCCGGTTCCGCGGTTTCGATGTGGAACGGTCCGGAGAGATAGTGGATCTTGGTGAGATCGACGTTCTTCACGTCGTCGGCCGAGTCGTTGTTTTTGATCTGTCCGCCCGTCCAGTCGAGGCATTCGATCTTGACGACTTCATTGTTGGCGATTTTACCATGAGCAGGGACTGGGGAGTTCCAATGTTAGCAACGCACTACGGTCCACGAATGGAGATTGGCATACTATCTGGGTGCCAGCGGTTCTAAGACAATCAGCTATGTGGGGAAAGGGCTTTGGTTGGATAGCACTTACATGCAGGCCAGGCTGCTGACTTGCTGGCTTATCCAAGTCGACCTTGAGCGCAGTGCGGATTCCTTTGATGCCCATAGTTGCTGTGTCTTTTGGGTAGTAGTAGATTATGTCTGGTTATCTGCCCACTCATGCGAGGGTCTCTTCCAGATATAAGTCCAGTCGCCCTTCCCTGACGATAACATACCCCGCAGGCGGAGAATAGGGTATGGTTGGACGCATGGGTAACTCTTACGACACCGAATCTCCCGCCGTTGGAGAAACGGCTTATCCCCGCTTTATCTCGCCTATCGTCGGACAGGCCGATAACAAAGTACTATCAGCAACCAATGGACATTTTCACCTTCCTTATGCAACCTAACGCCCTGAATGCAGAAAATCAACCCCTGGCCCGTCTAGAATCAAATCCAGCACCATGCAAGTGTCTACGTAAGCTTCTTCCCAGAGTGGCTTTGCGAACTGCTCTCGCTGTCATCGTCCATCGCGACATTGAGTCGGTCAAGGTTATCGAGTGACAGGCGCAGAAAATCGTGCTTATTCTTCCAGGTCACTTGGCTCTCCGCGAAACCCTCACTCTCGGCCGGGACCGGTGGTGGGTCGGTGATCTTGGTGATCAGATAGGCCGTCGACGCCTGTGCAACGCCGTACATGAGTACACCGATAAACGGGGTCCTCATAACGACGGTAAAGGCAAATGCAAAACCAAACAAGACACCTTCTCGATCGCGGAACCACCGGCGCTTTTGCTCAGAGGTGAATTTGATGCGGCAGAAATAGGGCTCCAACTGTGGATTGTGAGAGGATATCCCGGAAGAAGTCGGGTTCGAAGACTTACTAGCTCGCGCATCAGGCTTCTGGATGCAAAGTAACTGTGGAGGAACATGACAATAAACCGCTTGGGCAAGACCAAGCCCGCGCCAAAGATGGCTGCTGCAGGAACAGTGCCGACATGGTCCCGGAACGTGTAGAAACTTGCGGCTGGCATAACGAACCGACCAACGATGGGAAGCAGAGAGAGAAGGTAGACACCGAGAATCAGACCGATCTTCTTGGCGTATCTGTGCACAAAGGCCATGATCGCCTCTGGGATGGGGCGACCAGACTTTCCTTTGGTCGAGTACTGGATCAAATGCGGATAGTACATGGCACGCAGGGTGTTGGGGTCTTCGGACTTGTGTTTTTGGATATAGGTCGAGTCCACCCATTGGATGGATTGCATGAAGCTACGCGGGGGATCAGTGCGAAAACGGCCAATGCTGCTACGTACGACTTACATCTCGTCCAGCGTTGGGGTAACATATCGCATTAGTGTCATCAGCAGAAATGGGACCTGCAGAACAGACTTGGACATGAAATCCATGCCATTGAGAAGCTTGTCGTCCCAGGTCGCCTGATCCAGGTTGATGATCCATGACATTAAATAAATGGCGAATTTGACGGCGACGATCTGGAATATACAGTTAGAAATGCATGTCCCACAAGAAGAGAAAATAGACATACCGGAATCTGAATGATGATCTGGATGACAATCCCCACCAAGACGGCCAGCGCGGCTTGCCGGAAGTGCTCATATTTGAACAGCTCGGGATTATACAAGGCACGAAGGGCTGTTCGATCCAGTCAGTCATCAAGAACAGCAGTAGAAGGACCGTCAACGCATACTCCCTACTACGGTCAGCTGGAAGCCGCGGATGACGGCATTGGGCTCGAAATTGGACATGGTGTTGCTGTTGTTGACGACGCGAATAATAATCAGGCATCCATGGATCGGATCCCTTCTGTCGTCATGTCACGTGCGCAATTACATGCCTGAGGCTGCGAACCCATGCCCCCACCCCCAAGATGCGCGGCTGATGAACTTGAAGCTGATTGCGCTTTTCCCTCGTTGGATCTCCGCTCTGCGCTTCTGATGTTCTTTGCCTGCAACTGCCCTCTATCCAGCATGCATTGCCAGTGATACTCCCATCGATGCGCCCGCTTCCATCTCCTCCGTCTTTGTTTACGGTGTCGCATAAACAATGCCCGGGCCTCCGAGCGAGTCCCCGGGTCAGATACAGTCCCTCCGTCGCTCGTTCACTCTCCCAGCCAAATTAAATTCCCAAACGCCACGCGATGCGCCAGCGCTCTCCGAGAATGTGATCTTCTACCACCCAAAGGCGAAAATCGTCCAGTTTGCGCCTCGCGCCGTCCACCCCAGCCCCTCGAGTTCTGCGCCATCTGACTTCGACTATCCCGTTGATACAATCGAAACTCTGCCCTGGCGCTCAGCCACCGAACGAACCGTTGCGACGGCGCCCCTGCGACTCGAGAAGGTGCATGGGCTGACGGTCTTCCTGAAATGCGGAAATGTGGTCCACGCGATCCTGAAGAACTCGCAATGCTGGTGCGTGGATGGGGTGTCGAAGTTTGTCTTGCGCATTCGCCCCCTCACCTACTATCGCATCGAGCTGCCGCATGAAACGGAAGAGGACCACCGCGCGGTGGGAGACTTGAAAACTGCGTTGCCCACAGTCTTGCGATACGAGGTTACACCATGTCCCTTCAAGCGCGCATTCACCGTCGAAATACCAGAGGAAGCCATGGCGCCTCGGCGCAAAAAAGCATGGCGCCCGAAGACTCGGAGGGAGAGTGCGCCTGCGGATTCTCTGGGCACGCCAGATACTCTATCGCCTACTAAGTCGGATTGGATGGATTCCACGAGTACAGGGGATGACACTGACGGTAATGCCACTGATGACAGTGGGCCTACTTCCAACAAAGCCAACAGTACGGCTTTGGAAACAATACCCGATGGCGATGAGTCGTCTCCGTCCACCGACTCCATGGATCCGCCTATAGCTCCCGCTCCTCGGCGCTCGGTGACTGAGACCCCGCAAACTTTCACCAGCTTGCTGGCAAAGTTTGAAGCTACATCAGTGCATGAAGAAGATTCCGATAATGATAAGCGACGCGACGCTGAAGGATTGCCAGCAGCCGACGAAGCGGATGCACAACCTGAGCTTGAAGCACTATTTGAAACTGAAGCATCAGGTGATGCAGAGACCTCGTCTAATGCCGAGAGGTCACCTGATAAAGCTGAAACGGTTGCCGAGACTCAAAATGCTGAGGCTGAAGCACTTCTCGAGGACAGGCCGTCTTCTGATTCCGGAGCATTGCCTCAATCTGAAGATGCCGAAGCGCTGCCGGAAGCTAAAGAGGTTAAAGATTCCCTTGAAGCACCAATTCAATCTGGAGCACAACCTGAAGAACAGGAATCACCTGCCATCAAGACACTGCCGAAAGCTGAAAAGTTCGAAGCCCTCCCCGAGGCCAATAAAGCCGAAGCACTGCCGGAAATTGAAGATGAGGCTTCGCCTGTCGTTGAAACATTACCTGAAGCCGAAGAGACCAAAGAATTGACCGAAATTGAATCGTTGTCTGCAACAGAAGCACAGTCTGAAGCATTTCCGGAGGGTGAAGTGCTCCCGAAGGCTGAAGAATTGCCCGAAGCCGAGGGCTTAGCCGGTGCCGAAGTGGCGCCGGAATCCGATGCTTCACTTTCATCCAGCCCTGCGTCATTTCACTCCGCGGATCTGCTTTCACCAACCGATTCCAATTCGACCCATCCCAGCCCGTTGGAATGTTATGGCCTGACCGAAAAGATCGTCAAGTGCCATGATCATGCCATCTCGCGGGCCACTTCTCAGGATCAAGTGCCTCCCACAATAGTACGGGAATCTCAATCTGAAAAGCTTGAACTCTCCAAGAGTGAAGACATACTCGCAACGCAGCCAATGAGGGTGCAACGCATCGTGAAGGAGGACCGGTCAAGGCCTACTCTAGACTTGCCCGTCTCCTCGAGCACCAGGTTGTCCGCTCAATCTGCTATGGCGTCCACAGCGCCGCACACAGATTTCAACCACATGAGCACCGAATTCCGCCGCCGTGCACGGGCTACAAGGGAGCGAGACCTTTCGCCTATGCCTCCTCCCTCTACTATCTACCGCCCGCCCCCTAGTCGGGATGCTACATCGATCCTTACCAAGGCACTGACTATGGTCTTAATACCACCGATGTATCTGTTTGTTATCTTGCTGCACGTTGCCGCACGCATTGTTGCCAACCCGGCTGTTGACTCCACTTCTAAGGCTGGCCAGCCACCTGGTCCAAGCTATGTCAATGAGGATGATTTCAGTTTTCCCTTGGAGCCTGAAACGCCTTCTGAATATGAAGACGCAGACCTTTCCAGCAACCTGGATCCATGGGACCTGGACTAATCCGGAACCAAATCTGGGTGAGCAGCGAGTGTCGAATAAGATGGTCGGTTGCACATTCTTCTATACGATATATTCTTTAATTCGTCAATGCCCGCCCTTTCAATATCTCTGTCAGCATGAAGCTACATTAAGATATCCCCTCTGTTTTTGTGTTTTGTTATGAATATTGGGTACCCTGTTTGCATGGCTAATTGAGTGGACATATCTAGCCCGGTCTGTACGTTTTGGATGATTTGTATTCTAGCGTTGCATATATTATCATAGGAATGGAAGGAAGAAGTATACATGGTCTGCCAGTGGAAGCTGCACATGATATGTCGGGGTCCCGATGTACGCGGCAATCGATGCTTGGCGTACTTGCCGAGCCACCTGGCCCTGAGCCCTAGTGTTGTTGTGTTCTGCATTTTGTTAAATGATTTAATTCTCCGTCACGACATAACTGAGATAACGGATAAATCGGAGACAGCAGCCATTGGCCATTATTGGTCCGACACAGTAATTAAACACCGCGGGTCCATGGCGTCCGTGGGGCTGTGTGCTTAAGCGTGATAAGCCCCGGCGGACTCCGTCTCGACAATTATTTGGCAAACCGCCCACGAGACCAATGTCAGTTGTATGAAGGGAAGGGGATTTCTTCGTGTTGTTCGATGAATGCAATGTCGAAAACACAAAGCGCCATTGTTCAATTCTCAGGGTTCCAGACCGGTTACCCCTGACGATCCCCTCAGAAGCTTGGCGGAGATTAACTAGCGACAACACAATCAACACGGCCCACTCGAGATGTAACCCCCCGTCCGTGTGTTTTGGCCTGGGAATGCGGAGTCCCGTCGGCCTGTGAGCCTAGTGTGTCGAAAGAGGGGGTTACAACAACAACAAGAATGGATAAGAAGAGCTGCCGATCCCTTCTTTTCGCTCTGCCCTAAGTTCTCTCTGTACATAGTGCATTCCTATCATCAAGATGCCTTCCGCAATCAAGACTGGGCTGCTCTGCTCTCTAGCTGCTCCTGCCCTGGGTGCGGTCTGGGAGAAAGCGAGTCAAGCAACTCACAGCAATTGGTTGCATGTTGGAACTCCCAAGGCCGATGAGCCCATCAAACTGTCAATTGCCTTGAATCGTCAGAATCTCGACCAGATCGACTCCAAACTGGCTCAATTGGCGACCCCTGGCAATGCCAAGTACGGCGAATGGATGGCCAACAGCGACATCGAGCGGGAGTTTCCCGTCGTGGACGATGCCAAGGTCGTGCAGTGGCTGAAGAATGCTGGTGTCAAGAAGATCAAGCGGGAGGGTGGTCTGCTCAGCTTTGCTGCCCCTCTTCAGATCGTCAACAAGCTGCTAGACACTGAGTTTGGCTACTACCAGCAGAATGGCAATGTGCAGCTGCGCACCACCCAGTACTCCATCCCCGACGACCTGAGCAACGACATTGATCTGATCACGCCCACGGTCTTCTTTGGCAATGACCACAAGGATCTTCAGAAGACCAAGAAGGCCACGATGGCGAGTGTGAAGTCGGACCTCAAGGCCTCCACCACGAAAGTCTCGCCGGCTTGTGAGACGTCCATCACCCCTTCGTGTCTGAAGGAGATGTACAACGTGGGCGACTACGTTCCGGAGCCCTCTGCTGGCAGCCGTATCGGCTTCGGTAGTTTCTTGAACCAGAGCGCCTCAATCTCCGATCTGATCCAGTACGAAGAGCTCTTCGACATCCCCAGCCAGAGCTTCACTGTCCAGACCCTCAATGGAGGAGTTGACAATCAGACTGCCCCCATAAATGACGTGACTGAGGCCAATCTGGACGTGCAACTAATCGTCGCCGTCTCGCACCCCTTGCCCGTTCATGAGTTTATCACGGGTGGAGTCGCTCCTTTTATTCCTGATGCCGACGAGCCCACTCTCTCCGACGACGAAAATGAGCCGTACGTGTACTACTATGAGTACCTGCTCTCGCAGGATCCCTCCAAGCTGCCCCAGGTCATCTCCAACTCCTACGGTGACGATGAGCAGACCGTTCCGGAGAAGTTCGCGAAGCGTGTCTGCAATCTGATCGGTCTGAACACCCTTCGCGGAATCACTATTCTTCACTCTTCCGGTGACGAGGGTGTTGGCTCTGCCTGCCAGGCCCAAGATGGCATCACCCCCCAGTTCAACCCTATCTTCCCGGCCACCTGCCCTTACGTCACTGCTGTCGGTGGTACCTCCGACGTCGCACCCGAGGTTGCCTGGAATGCCAGTTCGGGCGGGTTCTCCAACTACTTTGAGCAGGCCTGGTACCAGAAGAACTCTGTCCACACCTACCTGTCCAACCTCGACTCTAAGGTCAAGAAGTACTACTCAAACTTTGCCAATTTCAAGGGCCGTGGCTTCCCGGACGTGTCTGCGCACAGTCTGTACCCTGACTTCGAAGTGATCTACGCTGGCAAGAAGTCTCCCTCTGGGGGTACCTCGGCCGCTGCACCCACCTTCGCTGGCATTGTCGGCCTGCTCAACGACGCCCGTCTGCGTGCTGGCAAGCCCGCTCTGGGATTCCTGAACCCCTGGCTGTACTCTGAGGGATTCAAGGCCCTGAACGACATCACTGCCGGCGGCTCCTACGGCTGCGGAGGCATCGATCCTCAGAGCGATGCGCATGTTAACGGATCCCTGGTCATTCCTGGCGCTCACTGGAACGCTACTGAAGGCTGGGATCCCGTCACTGGACTGGGTACTCCCAACTTCCAGAAGCTGAAGAAACTTGTTCTGTCTCTCTAAACGGGGCGCTGTGGGGGGGCATGTACATGAGTTGTATCGGTGGTTGTGCATATACTGTCGTTCACATACGAGATGACAAATATACCAGATAATAATAATAAGGTCTGGCAATTCTTGGGTTCTCGTTTCAAGTCTCTACCACCAGCCCGTCCGCACCCGGCAGGGGGGTTGCTGCAGAGGCGCTGTAAATGGCCCAGCATCGGTGTAGGCCAAGGGCCTCAATTAGGAACACACAATTAACCCTCTTCATCTCTCTTACAGTCAGATGGGGGATAGTCCATATATACCACGAGCAGTCTAGGAGCGGCGAGCGCGGAAAGAGTAAATGAGAAATCCTTTCTTTTTCTGCCCCAAGGCTATAAGACACAGTTTTCCATATGATAGGAAACGCAGAAGGACTGCATAGCTTGACGATTCTGAGCATTAAACTCACGTGGCAGGAACAACAACAATAATAATAGATCATGAATGCGCTTCAGTGGACGCGGGCTGAATATGGACTGGCACTGTAAAATTATAGTGTGCATCAGGCATAGGAAGCGTATCAATCACCACTGGATTTCCGTGTAATGAAAATTCGAAGGTCAAGCTTTCAAATATGTCCAGTGAAATCTTGTAATCCCCTGGGAAAATAACGAGGTTTCCATTCTCATCCGCTCTAGCCAATGAGCCGAGGGTGAGAGGCAAGTCTGATATTTGTTCCCTTCGGGTTGCAATATTGTGGAGGCGCAAGTAGGACACTAGGGATTTATTTGGTCTCGGAGCCGGACCTGCATTGTCGCTCGAAAGGAATAACAAGGCAACGTAATCGGAAGCTTCATGGCCAACATTTCTTACACGAGCTTTGACGGTTGCAAAAGGCGTGTTGTCGTTAACCAGGCCACCAGAGTTTTTCTTGCATGAGGCAACAAGTTGCTGAATGTTATACTCATGGTGCAATGTTTCCTCCCATTCGAAGTCGAACTCCGTGTAGTGAAGCCCGTAGCCGAACGGGATTACAGGCTTTCCAGTGTACCATTTGTATGTTCGCCCAGGATATGAGCCGTCCGAATTGGGGTGAAGGTTGATGTCGAAGATGCTAACTTGATCGGCATAACTGGCTGGATACTGCGTGACTGGTAGTCTACCAGCAATTGATCTTTTGCCAACAAGGACGTCAAGCAGCGCAGTACCGCCACTTTGACTAGGATATCCAGCCCAAACCAAAGCTTGGATTCCTTCGTTTTGCAGGAGGACGCTGTCGTCGAGCTGACCCCCACCAAATTGGACAACGACCATAGGCTTACGGAGCTTCGACAAGATTGCGATGAGATCGAGTTGGTTTTGGGGCCAAGTAAGCGAAGTTCGGTCAAGTGTTTCGGCCTCCATAGAATTGTCAATGCCACCGAGGTAGATTATCAAATCCGACTTCTCGGCGGCTGCAATGGCCGAGCTGAATCCAGCGGTGCTCTGATTGTTGATCGCTGTGCCCATAGCGTAATTCACTTCCACCCCAGAGCCCTTAAATGCTTCCAATGGGCTAACCAAGAAGGGCGCAGTACCAGAATAATCCCCTTGCATCTGAGTTGTGGCATTTGCAAACGGTCCAATAAGGGCAACGCTCTTATGTTTGTGGAAGGGACCCAGGGGGAGGAGCTTGTCATTTTTGAGAAGCGTCATGCCTTCGACTGCAGCCTCATACGCGAGAGCTTGCGCACCAGGGGTAGAAACGTCCGAGAAATCGAGATCACTGTACTTTGAGCCATCGAAGAAGCCGACCGTAAACAATGCCGAATATAGCCTTGCAAGTGCCTGGTCTAAAGCTTGCACCGTGGTCTGGTTGTCTGCAATCGACTCATTCAGCTTGAGGTACGAAGAGCCACATTCCAAATCCACTCCAGCGTTGAGAGCAACGGATGCTGCACCTTCTTCGCTGTCGGTAAAGTTGTGGTATTGCCAGATATCCGTGACCGCTCCGCAGTCAGACACGACATAGTTGTAGTCCGCAGTGAAATTCCAGTGCTCTCTCAGCACCTGTTCAAGGAGGAATTCGTTCGCACAAGCTGGGATGCCATCGACCGCATTGTATGAACACATGACGCTCCCTACACCCGTGTCACGCACGCAAGTCTTGAATGGAGCCAGGAAGTAGTCGGCGAGGTCCTGCTGGGTAGGGTTGTAGTCATTCCCATATCTGCCCGTCTCCAAGTCGTACACGGCGAAGTGCTTGCATGTTGCAATGACTTGTTTGTCGTCGGGGTCATCACCCTGAAGTCCCGGAATGAAATTGCGGACATAGCTCTGCACGACGAAGACATCTTCACCAGGGGTCTCTTGCCCTCTTCCCCACCGAGGATCTCTGAAAGGGTTGATATTTGGAGCCCAGAAATCGAATCCAGAAAACCCGTTGTTGCCAAACGCACGTCCTTCCCTGCCGATCACACCAGCTATTTGATGAATCAGAGCGTCATCGAAGGAAGCAGCTGTCAATATTGGTGCAGGGAAGCTGGTGGCATAACTGAAATTGGCCGGCTTTGACGTGAATTGAACACCTGGTGCGGAGCCAATGCCATGGGTTGCTTCACTCCACCACTCGTATGATGGCAAACCGAGGCGCACAGATCCGGCTGAAGCATCGACCACATTAAGGATCTTTTCCTCCAATGTCATGGAATCAACAAGTGAGCTTACTCGCTCAGCAATGCTCTTTGAAGTATCACAGACTTGGTGACTGCAGAGAGGCTGCGTTTGGCAGGCCGGCACGAAAGCAGTGTTCGTTGAGTCCCCTTGCGGGTTTAAAATCTGATACAAAGACATCCTAGTGCATAAGATCAGCCAATGAAGGCACGATATCTTTTAATCTGTATCTGGCTTACACATATGTCCCTCCGCATGAGCTGGAAGGTTCTGTCGCACATTTCGAGTTGCAGCTGCTGTCATTTGTCTTGCTCGCAGAGCTGAAGTCGGGCGAAGTACCACAAAAACATTGCCTATTCAGGTATAAGTCTGGATAACTGTATTATTCAACACCCCACATCGGCCATAGTGCAATTCACTTACGTCCCGAATTCTACACCTCCATATGCAAAACCCCGTTCGCCACACCAGTTGGCACAGTACTGTGGCGTCATACTAATTGTGCTAAGCTTCGCTGCAGTTAAGATGGAGACGCTGGGATCTAAGTAACATCCGAGATAGTTGGCAGATGCATTGTAGGCTGTCGTAGGTGCTGAGCTATTCATGGCACACATAGATGATGCCTGGACACTCGTATGTACTGCCATGAGTGACAGCAGTTCTTTTGTACCAGCCCGAAAGGGCTTGGATGGTCTCATCATTTTTCCCTCTTCTGTGCCAAGGAATACAGAACATTCGTGGCTCACTTTATACTGGGCAGACCTGAGAAAACGACACCTACAGCGATATTATAGTGCAAGTTGGGGTCGTCGTGTTATATAGACTTTTACTGTATCTACCGAGGCTTACTAGTAAAATTGCTTTATCAAACATCAGGCTAAATTACAGTCGCAATATTGGCCTGGAAGTACCCCGTCCTAAAATCCGGAAAAAATGTTTCAGCCCACCCTCGAGATCCCCACTCTTAAATAAGTGCGGGGTAATAACTCACAAAAGTAAACATTAACAAGATCTTCGAATATTAAATCTAGTATATATGCTCGAGATATACTATAAATTAATAATTACTAGATATTTATTTTACTAAACTATGAAAAGGCCCCTCATTATGGTAGGGTCGGACATTTTAATATAGCCTAATAGTAGCCTATTAGCTTTGCGGCCCTTGGGCTCTCAGGAACAAGGGGCCCAAGTTGTCAACTACCAGGGGTTTTAGCTTTCCCCACATTTTCTTCGTTACTATTTAGCCGTATTCAAATTCTATTACGATGGGCTACTACTTGTGTATTTAACCTCTAGCCGCACTATTCAGCGTCCAGAAATTCGAAGCACTATGCTAGAAATCCCCCGAGTTAATTGAATGGTTGTACAATCGATCGCTAAGACATGGCCTCTCTTAGGACTTTGTTGTTCCTAGATCCGCTAGCCCCCGGACTATGATTTAGCAGAATCCTTTCCTCCAACCCCACATTTGAGGTCAGAAGATTAATCTCGGTTAATATTCCTGTATCCTGTGAAATAGCCCACGGGTAAATGATATGTTGATACATTTCCTGAAGATGTCCATGATTACCGGAAGATATGAGCTTGATGAAAACTATAAAGTAAGCTTGCTGCACATGGTAAGGAAGCCTCAGTAAGCAGGTTACAGTGGTCCAATTATCTCTGAAGAGTCATCAGGATGTTGGGAAGCAGTATTTTCCAGATCCTTTCTTTCCTTGCCGGCGTTGGCCACGCCGTGAATCTCAAGGTAGCCAGGGATGGAGGAAATGCGTCATCTCCGCTCATGTACGGAATTATGTTTGAGGACATCAATCACTCAGGCGACGGTGGTATCTACGCGGAGCTGATCCAAAATCGCGCATTCCAAGGTAGTACCGAATTCCCTTCCACTCTTACCCCGTGGGAAGCAGTTGGAAATGCGAAATTAACCCTTCAAAATACTACTTCGCCACTCTCGTGGGCTCTTCCAACATCCGTGAACGTGGCTCAAGGACCTGGATCTGTGAAGGGAGGAGTTATTGGTCTGCAAAATCCCGGCTGGTGGGGAATCAGTGTTAAGCCGCAGACTTACACGGGTAGCTTCTGGGCAATGGGATCATATGATGGCGACTTCACTGTGAAACTGCAGTCAGCTATCACATCCCAAGTCTGGGCAAGCGTGGACGTCAAGTCAGGATGCCAGAAGGGTAAATGGATGGAACACAAGTTTCAACTCCATCCCAAGACTGCAGCTCCTAATACAAATAACACCTTCGTCCTCGAGTTCCAGGCAGGCCGTGGCTCAGTCAATTTCAATTTGATTAGCCTGTTCCCCCCAACGTATAACAACAGACCAAACGGAAATCGTCCCGATCTGATGGACGGCCTGAAAGGGCTCAAGCCAAGCTTTTTCAGAATGCCAGGGGGAAATAACATGTGCGTCATATCTTTTGGACGTTTTGAAAAGAAACAATATTTGCTAATTATCTCTCAGTGAAGGAGATACCTATAACTATCGCTGGAAATGGAATGAGACCATTGGCCCCTTGACCCAACGACCTGGACGGCCAGGAACATGGGGCTATGAGAATACCGATGGACTTGGTCTTGTTGAATATCTTCAAGTACGCTTTCCCTCGCTGTAACGTCGACCTAGCTTACCAGTTGATAGTGGTGTGAAGACCTTGAAGTCGAGCCGGTTCTTGCTGTGTGGTCAGGAGTGTACCTGAACGGGTATAACAACACCGATCCTGACGTGATCCCTGAGGCAGATATTGGTATCTATGTTCAAGATGCATTGGACGAATTGGAGTTCATCATGGGTGACGTAACAACCAAGTATGGAGCCTTGAGGGCATCTCTCGGGTATCCTCGGCCATGGAAGATCAATTACGTCGAAGTAGGTTTCTTCTGTTTCCATTGCTAGCTATGAAGGCAAGAGAACAGATGTACTGACATATGCCATGACAACAGATTGGCAACGAAGACAATCTTTCTGACCCCGCCTCGTACACAAACTACCGCTTTATGGCTTTCTACGATGCAATCCACGCTGCTTACCCATGGATCAAACTTATCTCATCTACCGGTGATCTTACTGCTATTGCTGGACACAGTGGAACCGATTACCATGAGTACTCTAGACCCAACATATACGCCACCCAGTTCGGTCTGTGGGATAACGCAAACCGTTCCCATCCTGTTTTACTGGGTGAATATGCAACCATACAGCCTAATAAGGCCGATCCATCCGCACCAGTTGACTGGAGTGGTGCTGAGCCGAGGTTGCAATATCCAATCTGGGTTGGCGCCGTGGGTGAAGCAATCTATACCCTTGGTGCCGAGAGGAACGGTGATGTTGTGATTGGTGCAAGCTATGCACCAGGTTTTCAGAATTTGAACGACTTTCAGTGGGCTGTAAGTTCATTTGATATCTCGATTACAGTCAAGTTTGTAAGACATCGCTAACCTGCTTTGTAGCCTGATCTTGTCAGCTTCAATGCAGACCCAGCCCAAGATGTTTTCTCGACCAGCTACTATGCTATCCAGGTATGTATAGTCGTAGATTGCCAAATCAATACCAAGTAGAAGACGAACCACTAACTATGTAACCAGCTTCTCTCCTCCCATCGCTATACCCACACTGCACCAATGACTTCCGACTCAGGATTTGGACCTGCTTTCTACGTCGCAGGTGTAAACCAGGGGACAAACGAATATACCTTCAAGGCTGCCATTTACAATACCACTACACCTGTACCCTTTGACATCGACTTCGAGGGTCTGGGCCACGGTGCCAAGGCAACCCTTACTGTCCTCAATGCACCAAGTGGACTTTCCAGCAACGCTGTCGGAAGAGAGAATGTGGTCAAGCGAACAGTTACTGAGCTCAAAGCACAGAAGGATGGAGTGTTCTCGTTCGAGCTGAAGCAGTATGACATTGCAGTCTTAACTACCTTCTAAACAACATCTATGATTACGGCCTAGGGCCTAGGGATGCAGTTTTGAACTTACGGTTTTAGAAAGTATAATCTTTTTGAACATAGGAATGCGTACTTTAGGTCTGCAAACAGAACCGAGAGATATTAACAGACAATGTGATACATTCTGGCCAGGTGAAACTTCAACACTAGGCTACTTCCAACCCCGTCATACAAGGAAGCTTGACATGGATAGTAGGAACCTAAAAAGGAGAGATAGCTGTAATAGGTTATTTACTGTCTTTGGAAGAAAATGGGAGACCCACTGTTAACAAATTGTCAGAGAGTGATCTCCTCTTGTCGTCTCCTGATGGCAATGCTTGCTGTAGGGTCGGCGTTCCAGGAAACCCCTGTCTTTTTGACTGTCGGCCTAGCAGAGCCAGGTGCCAGTTTAAAGTCGTACTTCAACAAGATATGACACAGAGCTATCTTGACCTCATTGACAGCAAAAAACCGCCCAGGACAGGCATGGTTTCCATATCCAAATCCAAGGTGCTCTGGCGAGGGAGAAACTAATTGCGCAGAGGTCTCATGGCCCGGGGTTTCACGCAGCTTCAAGAATCGGTAAGGGTCAAATGTATCGGGGCTCGAGTATACTTGCGGGTCCCACATTTTCTCGCCGGAGACGAGAAGGAATGTTCCTTTTCGAAGCAAAGTTCCGTCCGACAGCTTGATATCCTCTGATGCAAGGCGTCTCATAGTTGCTGTAGTGTATTTCCTCTTGTAAGTCTATCGCTGAGCTCACAGAGTAGATAAGGAAAGGAGAGGGACACACCGATTCCGATGGGCTTTAACCGCTGGCTCTCTTTCAAAACACTGTCCATCAGTTTTAATTTGTATAGAGTTGTCTTCTTCCATCCTTCCTTCTGAATCACGGAAACAACCTCCTCGCGGAGGGCTTGGATAATCTCCTCTTTACCACACATGTCCAGAAGAACTTGAGTGAGCATATCGGTGGTGGTGTGAATTGCCGCTAGTGAGAATGATATTTGCGCAACCGCTGCATCATAAGACCGGCCTTTCGCAACTTCCTCCATCCACTGCATGGCATCATTGAAGCGATTGAGCGGTTTACCTGTTCGGACGGCTTCTTTCTTTGCTTGGCGTCGCTCTTCAAGTACCGGGTTTATGATAGACCTTGCTTCCTCAAGCTCACGTCGAATTTTATGGCAGCATGGCAGGAAGTTGGCTACCAAGGGGCGCATGAACTCAGGCCATTGTCTGAGAGCCCGGGCAGCAACAAAAGAATCGACGGTATAGCTGATTGTGATGCGGAGCCAGTCCGGATTGCGGCAGATTTGGTCACCAAGGAAAACCTTAGACGACAGTTGTGCGACAATTTTGAGAATGCTTGGCTTGAGGGAAAGGTTGTGCCAATCTAACCAGAAAGAGATGTCAATCGATTTAGCATCCAAACAATGAGAGGATCTTGACGTTAACACATTACTGACCAGAATTTGCTGTCCATTCTTTCTCGAGTGCAGCGGATGTCTCATCGGATAGGGGCTCCGTAACACTCCCTTATTCAAATCACATTTATCAGTCATGTTTGTATAATAACATGAAAAGAGACTCGCTTACCCAATGTCTGCGTCAGCTTAGTGCGAACCGCTGTCTGGAAAAGCTCATCACTACGCGTTCCCTGCTGGAAGGGCTCAAATCCCCGAATATTCGAGTGAAACTCTTTCGAAATACTGGCTCCAAAGCTCAGTGAAGGATGACTCCGAATGTCGGTGGCGTACTTCGGAGCAAGGATGGTCTTAGGTCCATTATCGGAGATGACGCGAAATACGGAAGCCTGTTCGTCCGATTATTCATAGCCCTAAAAATGGGTGAATGCGCTAAAATACCTCTTTCAGACCTGATCTGATGATATTCCGAGCATCACTTAAATATCGTTGCTTAGCGTGAGTATAAGAAAGCTCAAACCACTCCCTCCCATTGAGAAGTGGAAAGTGCTGCCTTTTGGGCGCTGTCAAGAAAAATAGCAATATTGGTGAAAGGGCTATTATAAACACCCCAATAGGATCTAGACTGGGGAGCCACAAGGGTATATCAGAAATCATTATTGTTGAGATTCCCAAAGAGCCAAAAACTGAGAGGAACGGTGAAATGCAGGAGCTGACAGAAAGTGGAATATCGCGGGTACTCATTCACATTTATACCTGGAGGCAGCACGAATTGTCCTGTCCAATGCTCGTCAAGAAACTGTGTCTTCATAGAAAACAGGGCATGCATAAATTCCGCACACTTCGTCGATCTTTGTGAATACCCCACTCGGCTGCAGCAAGGGAAACAATGATTCAACGTTGCATGATGTGGGCCAACACAATCCAATTAACCGGGGGCTGCACCAATGATTTTTACCAGTCTGGTGCTGTAATTGTGGAGACGATGAATCATTGCCCATTCTTTCCAAATGCAATTCAATAGCTCGATCATTACCGGTACATACGTAAGTACTCATCCCAATCCCCCGGGATTGACCTTCGCATACTACGTCCTCCGAGCTGCCCTAAGTATAGTGTCATTAGACCACAAAAGACCGGATATTTTACAAGGTGCTTAACAATTCATGAAGCTTTCTCTACTTTGCCTCGACAGGTAGATATGACTGCAATATCTCTGTGAAGAGCCGTGTTGTCTCCATTGTGGATTAGGTATACTTGCACGGCAAAGTGAGTTGAAACCGCACGGCCTCAATATCCATTCCCTCCAGGAGTTCGGGATATCTTTCTATGAACTCGGATGTTAACCCCCATCCGCTCTCCCTTGTAAATACATCAAAAAGATCCTGGCGAATCTGCAGATCGTCATTGGAGTCACGCTCCAAGATGGCCTTCCTGCCCCCATGGCCATCGCAATTTGGCTCAGAAACAAATTTTCAAATGGGTTCGAGAAGGATTTCGAATTGTGCATAATTACATGACATAAAGTTTGCATAATTATCGACGCAATACAATTCATATCCTTACACACGAACACCTTGCATCTTGGGGATGTGCACATGGAAGTGCTCGTACCAGTCAACGAATAGAATCGTGACAAGTCAACACTACACTAGTTGAAATTAGTTAATATGCATTTGACTTGTCTTTGTCAATCCTGATATTCAACTGTTTCTTTTCATCTTTCGTTCCTGCCTTTCTATGTCATCGTTTCAGGACTGAGACGTCCCACAAGCTAGTGAATACTACCGCATAAAATATATCTGCAGAAAATGGGAAATCCTGACTTTATATACTTGTGAACATTTACTGTAACTTCTGCTCCTCCCTTTTTAGAAAGGACCAATTCACAAGGATTTCCTGATCCCATAAAAATGATATAGCCATTGAGCTGTGAACTCGTTTAAATAGTAGAATTCTGATCGTTCAGTTAAAGTGAAAAGTCACCAAAGAGACGGACTGTGCCTAGCTATCGGACTTCGGGGGCTTTCAAGAAAATCAAGCAAAGTTCTCAGCCGTCCTCTACCCTTTAGCTAAGGAAACATGAAATCACTGAAGAAAATCTTTGATCTACACGGGTAGAGCATCAAGGGGTGATATGGGCGAACGCCCCTTTTTCCCAGGCAGATGACTTCCGGGGCTCCCTAGTCATTCCCCAGGAAACCCAATTGCGCTCGTCCACCGGGTGATGGCCTTCAGTGGCTGGATTGCAGTCTCGAAACCCAACGAAGTACCTACTAGTCAATCAGTTATCCGGCTTCGGTGTGAGGGAAGGTGAGGGAGGAAAACACACAGTTTGCCACGGGCCCTGTCCCACACAAGATTTTTTGCTTTGCCAAAGGCAGGGAAGAATCCCATGGCCCGAAGTTTTCTAAAAAGAAGGGAATATAAATTAGTAATCTAGGTGATAATAAGGCAGGGGGCATACCTACTTGTGATCCTGCAAGAAGGTCTCGTGAATGAGTTCCTGTTCAGCATCTGGGAGGGTCTGGAAGGTCGTCGGCCCATTGCTATCTCCCAAGCATATTCCAGGAACCACACCCCAGACAAAATAGGTGGCGAAGCCATCTGGGACTGGCATACCAGGATCCTGAACCCGCTCTTTGTAACCAAGCAGAGGGGGTGTGATAGCTGAATTTTGCTTCCAGAAAGCCTTCATAGCGACAATCTCCATAGAAATAAACTCTTTGCTCTCAGTCGTGACCTGTTTCTGTCTCTCACTGCCGGGGTACATCTCAGTGCCTTTCCATGGAACTTGCATGTAGACCCTCATGAACGCGCGCTTTTGTGACGACGGTTCCACACAGAGGTATTTAGCTGCGCAATAGGATGACTCCGCAATACCATCATGGATCTCCTGCGGCTCCGCCTGATAGTTGTCTTCCTTTATTTTCTCGATGATACGAAAGGAGGATGGCTGGGGGTCCTCGAAGTCGATGACCTGCCCTATAGGAAGCACGAAATGGTCGATGAGTTGAATGTGGGACATTTTTGCAATCAGGAAGCGACTGGGAATGGGAGAACTGAAGAAGTGTTGGAGAGGATGAGATTCTGTCGGGTGGTATAGTACGTCATTTATACAGTTTCGCTGAGACCTTAAACTACACCTGAGGCAGGAATTATCCACCAAGCTCTTTTTGTTAGGCATGGATAAATGCCTGAAGGATACCGAACTGTCTGCCAAGTAATGCATGGATATACATAACCTAACGTTCTTTCTTGGAACTGCAGGACTTTCAAGCGTTCAAAACTGCAAAGCTTTTTTCTATCCACAAAATATGAGAAGAACTATTTTATTTGATCATTTGCATCCTCCACTTCGCAGACTTCCTATGATGTTTCTCCAGTAATCTCAGTAGGTTTATCTTGAAATATATATATGCAGCCTGGGGTCTACAAGAATCAACGGAAACAAGCAAAATTTGATAGTAAAGGGCCGGGCTGGCTAGAAAATCGATATTCAGGAGTTTACAGGCTGATGCTATTTGGTGTTTGAGACCTGAACAACCGAAGCACAAACGTCTACATGGGGGCAATTTGCTGCAGTTCATTCATGCACATCAGGTCAAAGGTCTTGAATATGCTTTTGATCTCAAATTCAGTTCTATATTATTATTTATTCATATCTTCATCATCACTCGTCGCAAGGCTTAACGTCGTACTCTACGTCAGTCCTGATAATATATTTCGCGCCCTTCCTCACTCCTGTCCCTTCATGTAGTAAGGCTCCATTCGCCTCTCCGTGGGGGAATATCGCAACGGCTCCCATCACAGGGCTCACAGGGTACGCATTAAGGGTTCCCTCCCGCGCGGCTGGCATAAAGAAAGTCGTCTCTCCGCCCTCGAACTCGTCGTTGAGATATAGTAAGAAGGTGTACAAGGAGCTCTGCTTCTTTCCTTCGGGCGAGGAGTCGTACACATACGTGTCATCGGGGAGGATACCGGATGGCGGCCAAGCTCCGTCAATATGGCACCGGTACTCGGCGCCAGGGACGTATCTGTACACGCGAAAGCGCCGATTGATGCCTCGGGCTAGGCGGCCATTGATCGAGGGCGGTACATAAGGGGAGATTCGCGCCCAGAGCATGTCGTGGAAAGTGGTGTCGACTACCCAATAAAAATTGTGGGCAAGGATGCTCATATCTCCATCTTCTCGGAGGGGCGCGTCGGGAAGGAAATTGACTGATTCGCCGGCAGCAATGATTGCCTTGCACTCGGCGGCAGAAAGTACATTCAGAGCGAGGCCGAGGCCGGGCACAGCGGGATGTGGGTGATATGTTATGGAAGGGCTGATGGGAGCCAGTGGGACGGCGTTCGGGGCGGTAGTGTAGAGGATGGCGGGATGGTGGTTCGGAGGTTTGCGGAGTGGGCCTGGAGTGCGGTCAATGACGCGGATGGCGGAGGGAGACTTCGGCGCCTCGGCGAGGATAGATTTGTCGAGGACCGAAGCGTAGACCTGGAGTGGTGCCGTCGAGGGGCGGAGGTCCCAGATGGACTGGAAGGCGATCGGAGAGGTGGAGTCGATGGCGTTCGGGTTGGTGTCAATTGGGGTGCTGACACGTAGGGTGGCATCGAGGACGCCGAGTAGTTCCATGTCCCTTGCGCTGCGCTCAAGAGGGACACAATAAAAAGCTTCGGGCTGTGTCGACAAGCCGCTAACGACGTCCAGATCTCGCACCCAGCGACATAAGGCTCCAATCTTGGGTTGTTCGCCCCTGAGCCTCATCTCGGCGAGCAGGATCTTGGCTTCGAGGTATTTCTGATCGACCAGGGCACCCGTTATTCGTGCTGTCAGGTTGGCACCCTCTATCAAACGATTAGTTACAGATATCAATGAGAGACAACGCAGCAGCGTACCAGCGGTGTTGAGCCCTGTTGCACAGGCCTGGCGGAAGTCATAGACTGCGACTCGGAGGTCTTTGCATGCCTTTGACTTGGTCAGGCTAGGGTATTGTGCGAGGGTCGTAAGCGTCTCGATGGTGATGTCGAGCTCCTCGTCTGGGACGACCGTTTTGAGGTGTTTAGGCTCGAGAGTTGATCCATCGGGAGGCGGCGTTAGGGTAGAAGAGTCTGCTTTGGGAAGTTTTTGTGGAAGTTCGACTTGCGCATTGCGCTTGCGCTTGGCCGATTTGGACTTGGCCATGGTTATTTATCTGATAAATAGGTTGTTAGTTGATTGACTGAGAATTTTGTGTGGGGTGCATTCTGTCGCGGAAAATCAAATTCCCGCCGGATTACTGACTTCGGAGTTGACTGGTCAGTGATCTTTGGGAGGGTTCCTAATAAGGTACAATAATGCAAGTTGGAATTGTACCGAGAGATAACATTTGTGAGGTGAAAGATGATAATATGGAGACCTTAGGATAACGCTACCTAACGTACTGGATACCTTCAAGGGAGATAACACGACTACAGCTTACCTACCCAAAATGGAACATCACGTGGGCCCTTGTTGTGATAGATACTTCCTTTTACGGTTAAGCGACCGCCCCTATGCTGAGCGATGGGGTGGTCATCTCGATGCACGCTAGCAAATTCCACCAATGCGCGCAAGCTGATTGGATTATGGTCTATTGGTTCATCTGCGTACCTAAGATTGCGTCCCGTGCCGAGTCTAGTCGCCGGTGATAAATCGATGAAACGCCCCCCCCTTCTTTCGATGACTTCCGGTGCAAAAAGCTGTTGAGCCAACCACTTCATCGGGTCCATCATGTTGAGTCTCGGCCAGATTCTCATCCTAGGCCTCGTCGCCGTCTTGGGAGTCGCCGTCTATCGACGCCAAAGCCATGAAGCCCGTGAACCACCGCTCGTGGCAAGCGCCATTCCCATCTTCGGACACTTGATCGGCTTGCTCTGGTATGGCGTTGCCTATTTTGGAAAGCAAGCGTGAGCTCCTACCCCTTTTTTTGCGGTCTATTCCGAGCTGGTCTGACGTCGTCGACAGCGAAAAACACTCGGCGCGCCCGGTTTTTTCACTAGATCTGCTCTTCAACAAGATCTATGTAATTAGCTCCCCGGCACTGATGCGCAATATTCAGCAAAACCCCAAGACTCTTGTTTTCGAGCCTTTCACGTTGTTTTCCGCTGAACGTATGGCGGGCGTCTCTCCGCGGACTCTTGACCTGTTGAAATCGAAGCAGCCCAGTGGCGCTACTCTCTCTACAGAAATTTTGCACCGTATGCATCCTTCGTTGTTGGGCAAATCCCTGGATCAGATGAACGAGAGAATGATTCGGCTGCTACGGCCTTTTATCGACGAACTAGAGACTGTGGGGACAGTTGACTTGTATGAGTGGACTCGCCATTCAGTTACGGTTGCGAGCACCGATTCCTCCTACGGGGACATGAACCCTTACAAGGACCGGAAAGTCGAGGATGCATTCTGGTTTGTGCTGTACGGTCTCTGCACACCGTGTCCCAGGCTAAATCCATGATGTAGGGATTTCGACAATAACCTTAGTCCATTGATAGCAAATACGCTCCCGTGGCTGACGGCCCGTACGGCTTGGAAGGGCCGGGAGACTCTTGCTCGTGCGTTTGAAGACTATTATAACCGCGGAGGACACGAAGACTCCTCCGACCTAACCTTGGGCCGATTTCAAATACCACGGGACGCAGGCGTTACCGTGAGAGATATCGCGTTGCTGGAGACGAGTATGGCGTTTGCCTTGCTATCCAACACTGTTCCAGCAGCGTTCTGGGCCCTGTACGATATGTTCTCCCGAGCCGACTTGCTAGAACAGGTTCGTGATGAAGTACAAGCAAATGCAGTGCACATCTCGGAGGATGGCACGCACGTTATTGATCTTGCCGATCTGCGTGACGACTGCCCGTTCTTGATGTCCGCTTTCCAGGAGATTCTTCGTACGAGATCATCATCTTCTCCCACGCGCTTCGTTACCAAAGAGCTTATTATTGGTGACCGGTATCTGTTGAAAGAAGGGCATGTCGTTATGATGCCTGCGATCTCCATTGGCCGAAACCCTGATGTCTGGGGCTTGACAAATGGTGATTTTGACCCGAGACGATTCATGAAGGCCACGCCTTCCGACAATCAGACAGATAAGAAGAAGGACCCCCGGCGTGTAGGCGGGTTCATGTCTTTCGGCGTCTCGCCGGTCATCTGTCCCGGCCGCCACTTTGCGAGCGGTGAGCTCCTGGGGTTGATTGCCATGACGGTTATGCGCTTCGACATGTTTCCTGTGGGCGGGATCTGGAAGGACCCGAAGACGAATCCAAAAGCCATCACATCTATTATGGGTCCACTTAGGGATGGGTTTAATGTCAATGTGCGGCCGAGGAAGGAGTTTGAAGGCACCAGCTGGGACTTTAGAGTCACAGAGGGCAAAAGTAGATATCCGCTGGTGATAGGATAGAGAAATGGTCAATTCAGCATTTCGCTGTTGTAAACCGATCTCAGTCGGTATCGGGATATATCAACACTGATGAAAGCCTGTACAAATAATATGTGGGATATTACCCAAAACAGGAGAGAAAATTAACATTAAACGCCGGAAAATGCAGTAATTGCAAGCCGCAACTGGAAGCAAGTCTCGTAAAAGGAGATGAGAGCGTGCGCTCATGCTTCGGTCGTCTTGGAAGCGCCACCCTTCGCCTTCGCCTTCCCCTTCCGCTTGCTGCGATCTCGCTTCTTCAATCCAGCCATACCCGTCTTGCACACCTCTGCATACCGAGCGTAGAAAGACTCGAGGTCAATCTGGTTGACAATCGTGGACATTTTCACCTTTGTCGACTTGTTCTTCGTGACTCTGGAGGACTTTCCACTCTTGCCCGCTGATTTCGGGTTCGGCGAATTGGTGTTTCCGTCCGTGGCACGGATAAGGATGGATGGTTGGGAGTTGGACGAATCGGCATCAGGCATAGGTTTCTGGGTGAGATAGACAGAGCCGCGTGACTTTTGGGAGGTCTTGGAGAGCAGATCGGTGAGGGACGAGAAGAACTAGTAGAGATGTTAGTGATCTGGTATTGAGGCGAATGCGCGGTCGAGACAGTAAATACCTCATCGTGGCTCAAATGCGGCGCCATTGTGAGTATCCTTGGTCCAGACGCACGGAGATTGAATGAATGATTGCGCAAGTGTCGAGGATGGGATTCGACCAACAACCAAATCCACTGTGGGGGACTGGTGACTTCACCGCCCTCGTGTTTCGTCGGCAGAAAAGTGAAAAAAGTCCACTGACCGCCTGTGCCCGCTATCCTTCAACGGCAACCTCCATTCTTTGCAGCACAAAACACTCAACGCAGCCATGGTGCAACGACGCCACCATAATACGACGTCGCTACCACGGGATTTGCGGAGTGAACTGGGGATACGCGACACCTACGGCGATCGGAAGCGCCGTCAAGCCGGGCCCTCATCTCGCAAAGACCGCCGGCGGGTGGAGCGCGCGGAGAAGAAGTCTCGAAAGGCACCTCCGCCGAATCGCAAGAATGGGAAGCGATACGAGGAAACTATCAAGGATGATTTTGACTTAGACGAGGACGAAGAGCAGTCTGAGGAGGTGGAACACAATACGCCAAAGACGAAATCAAAATCCGCCAAGACCACCCAGCAGCCAAAGCCGGCTATGAAGAAGCGGCCTATGCCAGAAGAGATTGATCTAGATGAGGGGGATGATGACACTGAAGAGTCGGAAGAGGAATCACAAGGGCTCCATATCTCGGCAACCGTCAAGTCTAAACTTGCGCAAGACGATGCAGAAATCGCGGCTTTGGAGAAAAAACTTGGTCTCAAAAAGGGCAAGAAACTCCCAAAAGCTTTTGAAGAGGATGGATTAAATGACTTGCTTGGCGATCTGGCTGAGGACTCGGAAGACGACAGTCGGAAGCGCAAACGGGAAGCTGATGATTGGCTACAAAGCAAGCGACAAAAGGCTCAAGCACTTCAAATGGAAGGACGGGATGATGACGAGGATGATACGGAGAGCTCCGACGACGATATCGATCTTGACGAGGAAGACTTTGGAAGTGATTCTGAGGGTGACGAGGACAGTGAAGGCAGCGAGTTCGCCGGCTTTGACGAGAACGACAACAAGCAGCTTAAGAAACGAGAAAATCCCTATGTGGCACCTGTCACAAAGCCGCAAAGCAACCAGCCACAGAAATATGTCCCGCCATCATTGCGAGCGCGTGCTGATCCGGAGACGGAGTCTCTTACTCGACTGAGACGCCAGGCGCAGGGTCATCTGAATAAAATGTCCGAGGCAAACCTAATTTCCATTGTTTCCGAATTCGAAAAACTTTACCGCGACTACCCTCGCCAGCATGTTACGTCGACAATTATCGATCTTCTCATGGGTCTGATCTGTGAAAGGTCTGCCCTTCAGGATACATTTCTCGTCCTCCATGCGGGATTCATTGCGGCTCTATACAAGCTTATGGGAATGGATTTCGGTGCAGAGATTGTACAAAAGATTGTTGAGACCTTGGATGCGAACGAGGACGACGGCGGGAAATTCGAGGGGAAAGAGGTCATCAATCTGGTCTCTCTTCTCTCGCAACTGTATAATTTCCACGTCATCGGCAGCCCGCTGATGTTTGACTACATCCGACTATTTCTGCAAGAGATTACGGAGACCAATACCGAGCTCCTGCTAAAGGTCATCCGAAGTAAGTAGAACTAATCATACGCAATCACAATTGGCCTAACCTTGATGCAGACTCCGGCCCGCAGCTTCGACAGGACGATCCATCTGCTCTGAAGGATATTGTCTTGCTCATTCAGCCTGCTGTGGCAAAGATTGGTGAGGACAGCCTCTCCGTTCGCACGAAATTTATGATCGATATCATTACGGATTTGAAAAACAACCGTGTGAAATCCGGAATTGGCGCGAACATCACATCAGAGCATGTCACCAAGATGCGCAAGATTTTGGGGTCTCTGAACAACTCACGAGTAATACGCGCGTCAGAGCCCATCAACATCACCCGCGCGGACATTCAAAACTCTTCCAAGAAGGGTAAATGGTGGCTGGTCGGTGCAAGCTGGAAAGAAGATCCTTTGGTATCTGCACGGCAAGAGCTGTCCGATCTAACCCCAACCCATCCCGATGCTGTTGCCGAGGAAGACAGCGACCCCGAGCCCGATCTTGCACAGCTTGCAAAGACCCACAGAATGAACACTGATGTTCGACGGTCGATCTTCGTTGCCATCATGTCCGCCACAGACTACCAAGACGCCAATGTCCGCCTTCTAAAGCTCCGGCTAAAGCGTGCTCAAGAGTTTGAAATCCCGCGCGTGCTACTTCACTGCGCAATGGAAGAAGAAGCACATAACCCGTACTACACGCTTATTGCACGCCGACTTTGCGGCGAATCGGGCCGACGCATCAAGGTCTCCTTCATGTTCGCTCTCTGGAACATATTCAAGCGGATGGGCGAGAAGAACGACCTGGATGATGAGGACGACGATGGCGGCTTTGACGCTGACGATGACGAGAACGCCATCAGCATGAAATCTGTTGTCAATCTGGCCAAGATGTTCGGCATTCTCATTGCCGACGGGACCCTGACGCTCAACATCCTGAAGAACCTCAATTTTGCCTATCTGCAGCTCAAGACGAAAAATTTTGTGGAGTTATTGATTATCACTATCATCCAACAATCCCAAAAGTCTAAGCGTACTTCGAAGAAAAGATCGAAAAAGACAGACGCTGACGATGCCAAGGATGAGGAGGCTCTTATGCAAATTTTCTTGCGCGTTCAGGACTCGCCACACATTGCCAAGGGGCTGATTTTCTTTGTGCGCAAGGTTGTTGCTAAGACGGACATTGTATCTCCGGAGGAGCAGAAGTTGGTGCGATGGGGTTGCAATGTCGCGGTGGATGCGCTAAAGGCTATCTCGGGTTGATAAATTCAAAGCGACTGAACTGGAGTACGGACAGATATCAGATACATTTATCGAACTTATGTATATTGATGCAAAATCCAATGCAAAAAAATAAATAAAGCATATAATCTTTTCCAAGAAGGAACTATAGAACAAAGAGTACTTGCCTTTCACTGCGCTAGGCTCCTGAGTCCCAGCTCTCGTCACTATTGAACTATTGCGACCTATGCCTCAGTCATGTTAATTCCATGCCCCCCTCAATATTCCAAACCAGCGACAGCCTGGATCCTTGGGAATCCCGAGCTATCGATCTTGGGGAAAATGGATTTTCTGCGCTCCGTCTCGATCTTGAAAGCCTCAATCCAGCGTTCAACTTCCTCCTGGCTACTCCAATCACTGATAGCTTTGTCCGCCAGTCCAATCTGATGCAACTGGGTACCAGAGGCTTGGGTATGCTGCGGCAAGGGCACAAAATTTTCGAGGGCCCCGGTGACTCGACCTTCGAGTATCTCTTTACAGAAGAAGGGCTCTGCTGCGAGTGGGCGGCCGATCCCGATGCCATCACAAGCTCCGCCGTTAATGGCGTCAACCATACCTTTGGAAGTTCTGAAACCGCCCGTTACGATCAGTTTCGTTTTCTTGAGATGCGGTCGGATCATCTCGGCAAATTCAATGAAATATGCCTCGCGAGCTTTCTGTTGTAGTTCACTTCTTAGCTTCCGTTATACAGTGGATTCTCGGATTTCGTACCGTGGATTCTTTTTTGTGCTCAAAAGCTCGACCTTCGAAGGTGCCCCCAGATAGGTCGACGAAGTCTAGCTTAGCCTCTTCGAGTTTCATACAAAGCCACTGGCACTCCTCTGGTTTGGTGCCTTGAAATGACATTAGGCTGGTGGCTTTGCACATCCGGGGGACTAGGGTTCATACCTCCAGCCTGAAATTCAACAGAATTGACTTTCGCGCAAATAATGAAGTTAGGGTCTGGAACCCGTCGTCTTATCTCATCAATGATCTCAAAGACAATGCGACTACGGTTCTGCAGACTTCCTCCATATTCGTCGGTTCTCAGGTTGGTAGTTTTGCTTAGAAATTGCGCGAGGAGATAGCCATGGGCGCAATGAATCTATCTTGATTTAGTAGAAGACTTCATATTTGAAAGGCTAGAATACCTGGACCCCATCATGCCCTGCTTGGTGGCACAAGTATGCCGTTTCACCGTACCAGCGAACCAATTCATGAATCTCAGGGACTGTAAGCGCGCGAGGCTTGCCAAAATCATTGCCAGCCCAGTGAATCTTAAGTTCGACATCACTTGCGCTGACTGGATTAGGATTAAGTGCGATGTTTCCCTGTCGACCGGGGTGAGAGAGTTGGGCGATGAAGAGAGACCCGTGAGCCTTGGCAGCGGCAGACAATTTTTTGAATTCTTCGATTCGATTGTCATGGTTATCGCAAAGGATAGGGTTTCCGAACCCCTCTACCGCATCATAGCGAAGCATGAGATTGCCGCCAACGATTATTCCAATATCACCCTCACCCCATCGCGCATAGAGGTTGATCATCTCTTTACTTGGAACGCCACGGGCTGTCTATTTCAGAGTAAGCATCGAGGAAGTGGGATATATAAATTGCCTTACAATGTCGTCAAGTCCACTGGACCAGCTGCATAGCCGCTCGGTCATGGGTGCCTTCAGAAACCGATTCTTTGCGATACGACCAGAGAATGGGAGCTGAATAGGCTCTGCTAAGACATTGGTGCTGACAGGCTCACACTTCGAGCGAATAAAGCCCTGTCCAGCGACCGCTTTGCCATGAATAGTGTGAGACATAGTGATGATGGTGATATTTGAATCTATTTTCTATTCTTTGAGCGAGGTATCGAAAACAAACGGTGGTTCAACTCTTATAAATGAGATTTCAACTCGACCGTTAAATCGCCCGGTCCGCATTGCGGACCGCTGGATTCTTAGGGGTACACTTCCTCCTTTCCTCACCGAGGCTAACGGAGGTTCTGGCTCCGAAGATGTGCCCATTAACTGGTTATTATACTGTTCGCTGAGTAAAGCGGGGATTTTTCAAGTAAGCATGGAGAAGCAATCCATGGATCTAAGTATCATATATGACGAGTTCCCCGGGAGCTTTTTCTTTCGATATGCTTGTTTTCGCGAGTGCGGTTTGATACTTGTTTACCTTCGGTCTTGCATGCCCCGAAACTCCTGTTACATTTCTGGTCTCCACGCTGAACGTGTGGCGAATGAGCGCATTAATAATTCTGTCCCGTTGATCGACATTGCCCTAACATCGTCAATGCGGGGATCTTGCGGGGGTGATCGTCCCCGGAGCATTCATATAGGGATGAGTCCGAAAGCATTGAACGATGAATCGACTTACGACAAATGAACATCGGTCTGCATTAACCCGAACGCAGCCAGGTGCACCGGTTGGAAATGATACTTGAAACAAGAAATAGATGCAGATCCTTCCTGTAGCGTTAGGCCTCGGGTATAAATGCTTGAACACGACGCCATAGACCCTTTCTTGAGGAACAAGTCTAGGCACACATTATATTTCACCCGGACAATGTTGACCTTGAAGTTGACCGTTGGACTGGCGACAGGTCTCTGGACCTGTATGGTACAAGCGCTGCCATATGACCATTCCGACTCCTTGGTCAACGCGGCGATAGATAACGGAACCTTCAAGGACCCTTCTGTGTTTGTGCGACCACGGTATCGATATTGGGTGCCAGATGCAAGTGTCGATGCAGCAGTTCTTCGTGAAGATATAGCAGGAGCCAAAACTTCTGGGGCTGGCGGTGTGGAGGTTTTGGGATATTACCTGTACGGAGGTATGAGCTACCTTACGTGACGGTTGTGCCCATTAACTAAGAATGATACTATATAGGCACACCGGAAGGAACAGGCAACTTCGCACCCGATGACTGGTCGATATACGGCTGGGGAACACCTGCATGGACAGATGTTTTCCATACCCTGGCGCAGGCCCACAAGGACAATGGATGCATCATGGGTGAGACACTTGCGAACTACAACCGATTACAATCGGACTAATACAAAGCTATATAGATTTTGCTATGGGTCCTAACCAAGGTCAAGGAGTGCCTGCACCTGAGAACTCTGAGGGCCTGATGTATGACCTTTACGCCTTTAACTTTACCGTTCCACTCGGTGGCTCTTGGAGTGGGAAATTGCCGGGTTGGGACTCTGTCGAGGGCACCGTCAAATTGCAAGCTGTCATTACTGGACTTGTTACCAACTCAGTAAATGTCACCGTGCCTAGCACTAGCATGACATCTCTAAACACTACCGGCACCTATCCCAGCCTTCCCGGGGATGGTCCATTTGATAGAACCCAAGTCACATTGGCCACAGGTTCTTTACAGGACCTCACAAGCCACGTCAGGTCGGATGGAAACTTGCACGTTTCCTTCCCCCACAACAGCACCGGGCTATATCATGAGGTGTTCGTCATTTATCAGATCCACAACGGCTACCGTGCCCAGCAGAATCCAGCCTTCATGCGCGGACCTCAAACTACGCCGAAGACGTGGCAGCAGAATGGCAGCTGGGCTGTTGATCATTTCTCTGCTCTTGGTGCAAAGACGATGACCGATTACTGGGAGAAGTATATTGTTCCCGAGGAGTCTGAGCTAAAGAAGTTGCTGCAGGAGGTTGGCAACTACGGTTGGGAGGACTCCATAGAGACAAGAGCAAATGTCTTCTTCACCGAGAATTATACTACCAGTTTCATGGGAGACCACGGATACGACATCAGCAAGTACCTCCCGATTCTATTCCATCAGAACAAGATCGGATTTGATACGGAGCCGACAGTCTGGTATATTACCGATGAGCCGGATGCTGGTGACAGCCATATTGCAGACTACCGACAAACACTGACAAATCTCTACGGAATCTACGTCTCTACATTGGAGGCTTGGGCAGAGGACTATTTGAATCTTCAGTTTAGCGCTCAGATTTCTTATAATCTGCCCATGGAGATGCTTCAGAACGTCCCTCTAGTGGGTGGGACGGAATGTGAATCGTTAGGGTTCAACCACCTCATCGATGGTTATCGACAATATACGGGACCGGCAAATCTGGCCCAGAAGCGGTTGGTGTCGACCGAAGAGGGAGCGATTCACGAAGAAGCCTATCAGCAAACAATCCCTGAATGGCTCTGGGACGCTAAGCGAACAATCGCAGGATCGGTCACTCAGTTCATCATTCACGGGTACCCTTACTCTGGAGAGTACGGCAATACGACATGGCCCGGCTGGAGTACATTTGACTACGCATATTCAGAAATGCATGGGCCACGCCAGCCAGCATGGGAGTTTTACAAGGACACATTCCTTGACTTCTTGGCTCGACACTCCTTTATTTTTCAATCTGGCATTCCGAAGAGAGATGTTGCGTTCTACATGTACATCACAACTTTCCCCGGCATCGTGAGAAACTACATGCCAACAGACTTGGAAGAAGCTGGCTACACCTACGAGTATTTGTCGCCTAACAATTTTGACCTGCCTCAGGCTTACGTTAAAAATGGTGTCTTGGGGCCCGACGCGCAAGAGTTCAAGGCCCTTGTCGTGCGTGGGAACGATTCCATGACCGTTGCGGGTGCGGAGGGAATCGCCAGATTTGCCCATGCAGGCCTTCCAATCATCTTTTCTGGTGGTATTCCAACATACTTAGCCAGCTATAATCAGAGCGGCTCAGAGTATGCCAAGAAGACACTTCATAGCCTGACATCACTTCCAAATGTGCACCAGGTTCCTTATGAGGGCCTTGCCAACACCCTTGACTCTCTCGGTATTACACCTGGCACCAAGGTTGTGGCGGACAATACCTGGTATACATACTGGCGGCAAACGGATGATTTCAACTACTTTTTTGTCTACAACGATGCTCTAGCCCCCTCAACATGGGGTCTCGGAAACGGTTACAGCGAAGGAAGCGTCCAATTTGCCAGCTTGGGGACTCCATACATTCTGGATGCTTGGACAGGAGACCAAATTCCGATTCTGAACTACACGCAGTCAGCAAACTCCACCAAAATCCCTTTTCAGTTAGCCGGAAACCAGTCCGTCATTGTCGCCTTTGATCTCTCTTCATCTGATGAGGACACCCATGGATCTGCGTCTGGACAAACCTACAATGTTCAAGATCTTTCGCAATACTACCCGCCCAAGTCTTCATCGGACCCAATCGAGATCAACAACTGGACAGTTACGATTGAACATTGGGATCCTCCGTCAGACCTGTATAAAATGCTCCCTAGTGATACTGTCAAGTACAACACGACGCACAGCCTCCCCAATGGCTTGAAGTCCTGGAAAGACCTTGATAGCAATCTGACGACCACAAGCGGCCGAGGTTATTATACTTCTATATTTAGCTGGCCTTCATCGGATCACTCGAAATCGGCAATCATTGACTTTGGCGCTATCTTCCATACGTTACGCGTCACTGTGAATGGTCATACCTTGCCACCCATGGACCCAACATGGGCCCGGGCGGACATAACGAAATACCTCAGACCTGGAAAGAACAGAGTAGATGCACTGGTCACTACACCGCTTCTCAATACCATGCGTCCGCTGTGGTCAGAGCTGGAGAGCGGCGCGAATGGCACGGCGACCCCAATTAGTGGGCAGCCACCTCAGGATTATGGCCTTCTTTCTTCAGTGAAGGTCATTCCCTACTAGCAATCTTCCAATACTTTATTGGCTACTGCTGGTCATATATTGCCATTCTTTTATTGAGAATTAATTTTTTATTCATTGTCATGAGAAAATCTTTTTTCAAGTAGTTCACCTTCAGTCATCACTTGAACTTTTTCACAATAAAATACAAGTTTGAATGACGGAAATCGGTCTTACAACAAAAAAAAAAGCCACAAGGAAATGATTAAAATGTCTAAAAGTTGTATTCTAACATATCCTGGATGCAATTGCAGCAATTGCATTTTCCTTGTTTAAACGACATCGTCTATTTAGAATTGCACCAGATCTTTCACTTGAATAACCTGTCCAGTTCGTATAGCCCGGTTGGCTGCAATGCCTGTCAAAATTGACATGGCCCCATCGACATGCGATGCAGCTCGATGTAGCCGATCCGGCACAGGTGTACCGAACAGATCATTAAGAAGAGCAGGGTCGCCTCCACCGTGGCCACCTTCACTCTCAACAACAGACACTTTGTATGGTGACGCAAACATTGGATGCACGGTAATCTCCGTATGGGCTATCGCACCCTCGTCGCTCTGCTGCCCGCCAGCATTGACATATGACTGTTCAAGAACATCCATTTCCAGCCGACCCTTGGTTCCATTAAAACAGACCCGAAATCCCTCCCACGGACAGTAGGCGACCAAGCTGTAGGTCAGAATTGCCCCTGATTTGTAGCCTACTAAGACACCCATTGTGTCTTCTATGCTGATGCCGTCGCCGAACACGTTTTGGTCCCGATAGTAACCGTCTTCATGCTCTGCGTCCAGATACATCTCCTTTAGTTGAGGATGATCTTTCATGTGGAGGGCAAATGGGTCATTCTTCGCGACCGCACTCCCATGTGCTCGAGAGTAGAAGTTCGTCTCGCCCCGAGATTCGGCATTCTCCTTGCCATAGAACTTCAGATCTCCCAGCGCGAAAACAGTAGCCGGGTGGCTTCCCAACCAGAAATTTACCAGGTCAAAATGATGTGTAGATTTGTGGACGAGAAGGCCGCCACTATTTCGCTTATCTCGGTGCCAGCGACGAAAGTAGTCCGCGCCGTGCTTAGTATTGAGCATCCATTCAAAATGTACAGAGGTGACTTTCCCAATGACGCCGTCTAGAAGTAGCTCGCGGATTTTAGTATTGTGAGGTGCATAACGATAATTGAAAGCAACGCGCAGCTGCTGCTCGGTTGTATTGACAGCGTTGAGAATCATTTGGCATTTTTCTTCGTCCACTGTCATCGGCTTTTCGCTGAGCACATTGCAACCAAGCTCCATGGCACGTATTATGTAGACGTGGTGTGTCCGATCAATGGTTGTCACAATCACCGCATCGGGCTTTGTATCCTCGATCATTCTGTCGAAATCGGCAGCCTTGTACGTGGGCAGTGGCGATAGCCCTAACTCCTGTATGCGTCTATTCGCAACTTCCATTCGTGTCTGATTGGTATCACAGAATGCCACGAGCGTCGCTGTATCCCGGAATGTCTGAGCAATCGCGCTGTAGAAGAAGCCTGCTCTCCCGCCAGTGCCCACGAGGGCGTATTTGGTCCGCACCATGCTTCCTTGCCGTGTTGTCAAAGCATACGCAAAAATGCGATATGAGCCCGGCAACAGATAGAGAGCAGCAGCTTGGTTAATTATCAACGAATCAAATATTAGGCTTCGGGTTTGCTTAGGGTTCTCAGGCGACTGCTTCTCAGCCCCTCACCACAAAGCGGCCAAAATGCTTTTCCATTTTTTCCGTCAATGAGCGGCCGTCTCACCCCAACTCCCCGCAACTTAGCGCAACCAATATCCCTGGCCGGAAAATTTCGAAGTTAGTCTACTGAACTCACATCAGTGGCTGTAGCCACACTCGGGGCTACGGGGTGACTATGAGCCGAGCTGCGGCAGTCTGAGCTATGCTACTAATCCAGGTCTGTATCAACTAGGGACTGGAACACCGCCGTTAAACTCTGCATGCGCACTTGATAATCTATTTTAGATACTTTCCGATGCTTGCAAGGTTGGAAATTGCCGAGACACCATATCGAGCAGCCTCATTGGTCGTGATCCAGACAGCCTCTTCCCCGTGATTAAAATATTCCGGGGGATCGGCCTTTAGGATTGTCCAGTCGTGATCTTGCGTATATCCATCCGTGCTGAAGAACTGAGCCCATGCAGCATGTGCAAGGTCCTCGCTATTTTGTTCTACTGCAGCAAAAGCTGTCAATGTAGAGTGACTCTGCCTCCAGGTTGCATGAAATGGGAACTCGAAGCCGAATTCTTTGCGTTGAACCCCGGGTCCGCCGTTATATGCTCGACAGTAGCTGAGCCACACTGTTATGAAATTCTCCACAGTAGAAGGGTATTCGGCTCGAGCGTAGTCAAGCAACTCCGCAAAAATTTCTGGGAACCCAAATAACATGGATAAATGCGAGATGGCCCACTCTGGCGTGGGAGGGGGACATTCGTGAACTTCCCCGGTGGTGGGATTTAGCAGAATTGCATTGTTACCAATTCCGTGTTTGAGAGTGGCAATGCCATCCAGTAACTTCATCAGGAGCTCTTTTGACCTTTCCCACCCTTCTGTTCTTCTCTCCCATGCTGTCAGCCAAGCGGCAGCAAGTGGTCCGCAATCCAGGCCGATATTGGTCATGGCAAAGCCCTCGGGAATGTCACCGTGCGCCTGAACCTTCCGGTGTGAGTCCAGCCCCAACAAGGCATTCTGACATTCCTGAAGCTCCGAAATCAGATCACCAGTACGTTCATCTCCCGTCAGATAGAAGTAGATGCGCCGGTAGAAAGCATTGGATATTCGAAGCTGCTTGGAGCTATCGCTGAAATGTTGAACCCCGTGCCGCGTCCCAAATCCCTTGAACTTTCCTGAGTGGTATACATCAACCTCCCCAGTGTGTCGCGTCATAGCTTCGGCCATTTTAAACACATCTGCTCTGCCCGTGTGAAGAAAGTAGAGCCAGAGCCATAGATCTGTCGATAGTTCAGAATTATCCCAAGCAAAACCGCCGACATCGTATCTCCATGCATGACGGTACGGGTCGTATGTATGCTGTACGTCTCCGTGATCCCAGAATCCGTACCATCTGTTCTGCTCGACTTGTCCATGGTAGAATTTGAAAAGCAGCTCGAGATTATTTTCAACATCTGTTGTCTGGAGAGAGGGCGTGGCACCCAAATCCCGGGGATCAGGAGCCCAGCATCCATGAAAAACCTCCGCAAAGTGCATATGCTCCGCTGTAGCAACCAGCCGGGGCCGATTGCGGACAAGGGACGAGAAAGAGCCGAGCTCGCCATTTGAAGGAGTGGAAAGGAATGGCTTCAAAAAGAGCTGATTCGTCCTGCCAATGCCGTTCGCGGTAGCAAATCCGGGCTCATAGTCCTCATATGTCACATTGAGGGCCTCCAGCTGCTTTTCGTAAGAATCCAGTCCAAGTCCATCATGGTATGGGGTTGTTTCTAGAGGCTCAGCCAGTGGTGAATATAGCCAAACCGTTACATTGCCCTTCTCCGTGGTCAACCCGCTGCAATCCAGCTGGGTCGGATAACGTTCCCAGAAGTCAGACATGCCCACCGCGAGGCCACCAGTTTGTGCCGACCCCACGTATGCTGTCCCATCTGCTCGTCCACCGCCGGTGATCTTGACCCAAGAACAGCCCCGTTTTGTGCGTTTCTTGACCGTGAAGCCATCGGATGAGAGTTGAGCGAGTGAGTAGTCGTTCCAGGAAGGAATGTATGACAATCCGGGAAGAAGCTCCGTCCTGGACCACTCGTCCTCACGTAGAGTGACAGGTCGTCCAGCTGTTTGATCAACTCGATTCTGGGGGGTGGGGCCGTGCCGCAATCCGGACAGTCCCTGTACTTCCTCTTTCAAGATTCCTCCCTTGGAGCCTCCAAGACGGATGTGGCGGTTGTACAGCTCGGTTTGACCCATGGGGACAGAAAATCGCAAGCCGAGCGATGTGAGAGGCTGGTGAGGCTCCAAGTCGTGGATAAAAGAGTGAATTATTCGAACAGTTGAGGCATTTGAATACACATAGACTCGCACGTCAAATGGAAGGTGGGCAGAGCTACCAGCAGCTTCCACGATGCCGGACACTTTAACCACAACCCGGTTTATCGTTTCGTTCTCAATGCCAACTGTCTTGACGCGTGGTGAATACTCTCTGCCATCAATAGATGCGACGATCGTGGCCCCAGAGCATACGGTGTGTCCGTCAAATGCTAGAGTCTCCAGAATCTGTGAACTGCCCGGCGACGCAAATGACACGCGCAGTCCCCGCTGAGAGAGCAAAAAAATATTATCGTTTATGTGTTCGATCTTGACACCGCACCTAGGCTGCTCTTTCCACTTTACACCCTTGACGCTGTATCGCTCGCTGTAGTCGAGATCGCCGCTAACCGAATGGGCCGTCCATTTGAGAGAGCCATCTGCCCAATAGGCGAGCTCCCGAGAGTCGAGGGGATATTTTTTGCCCTCTCCCTCAATCACAAATGTTTGCCCTGGCTGATACAGGCCTCTGGGCCAGGGCATGCCAAAAGAAACGCCATCGGATAGCGCGTTGTCACCGTTGCCGGTGAGCCACCGTAAATTTCCAGTTGTCATCCTGCTTTGCAAAAGGTCTTCGGGAAGCAGTAAGTGCGCAGACTAGTAGCCGCAAAATCTATGCCGGATGAGCAGTGCCAAGCCCTCGCTTCGAGGGCTGGCCAGCGGAGTTTTAAACATCACTTGACGTGATAGAAGCCACAAGCAGCGGTGCAAATTATCCCGGGGCGGAATACGAGCGGAGTCGAGTAAACGCAAGCTATCCCGAGGCAATATCCCTGCATTCATCGGCAAATCTTTGGCGCACGGCTCGCTAACGCCAATGCTATTGCTGCACGGTTCCTCCCTGGCGACGAAGAAGGGTAAGGCTCGGCGTATCTATCACCGGCGCGTCAAGATGATTAGTTGATCGGGAATCAATTGCCCCGATATCTTCTCGTTTAGCTTTCACCCCAGACAAAATCCCCCGCAAGGATCTGGGGAAGGTGGGGCGACTCTCTGGTGGAGGGAGCTAGGACCGCCAGACAGTGGGGCTACAAAGAGGCAGCGATCAGCCCGAGACGAGGCACATAGTATCGAAAAAGAAAATCGTGACGGCAACGAAATAGAATCCAATCTCGACAGTGTCCTCGGCGCCACTTCTTGCTATTCTCAGCGCGATGGTGGAGCACCAGGAAGATGTCCGTGATGTCCGGACTGTTACAACCATGGTCGAGAAAGATGCAGAGCAGTATACCTCGACCAGCGATATCCTAAAGGGCGCCGAGAGGGCGACAGAAGATGAGCACCAGATGGGTCTGCGCGCAGGAATTCGCAAATATCCCAAAGCCGTTTTCTGGTCGATATGGTTTTCTGCAGCACTGATCATGGAGGGCTTCGACCATGCCTTCGTGACTGGCTTCATTGCTTTTCCTGCTTTTCAGGAAAGGTATGGAGTTTCCGTGGGAGACGGGACATATGAGATTCCCGCAGAGCTGCAATCTGCCATTGGCAATGGAGTCAACGCTGGTGAGATTGTCGGACTCCTGCTGAATGGCCTGTTCGCCGACTGGTTCGGCTACCGCTGGGTCATGATCGGCTGTCTATTCCTGATGATGGCGTTTATTTTCTTGCAATTCTTCGCTACCAGCATCTACATGTACCTGGGCGCTGAGATCCTACTTGGTATTCCCTGGGGCGTCTTTCAGACCCTGACAACCACGTACGCCGCCGAGGTGTGTCCCAATGTGCTGCGGCCGTACCTCACAATGCTCGTCTCTCTCTGCTGGAGCATTGGCTATCTCGTCGGCACCGGCGTTCTGCGTGCATTCCTACAATCGTCGGGCCAGTGGGCCTACCGCATTCCCTTTGCCTTACAGTGGATCCTACCGATCCCGCTCGCGATTGGCATCTACTTGGCACCCGAGTCGCCGTGGTGGCTTATCCGCAAGGGTCGAGTTGAAGACGCAGGTCGCATGGTGCGCCGACTGCGGTCGAAGGACAGTGCGGAGGAAGAAATCGAGGATACTGTGGCCATGATGGTGCACACGGTCAAGATCGAGAACGAGGCGAACGCGTCTAGCAGTTACCTGGACTTGTTCAAGGGCATTGATCTCCGCAGAACGGAGATCACGGTTTTCACTTACCTCATTCAAGAACTCTGTGCGCCGCTGGTTGCTTATATTGTATACTTCCTCGAGGAGGCCGGTCTTACCTCGAGTGCTTCTTTTGACTTTGGCATGGGCGAATACGCATTGGCCATCGTCGGTGTCTTTATTGCCTGGTTCTTGGTCCCCAAGCTGGGTCGACGTTCGCTGCTGCTGATTGGCACGGGTTTCATGGCTAGCACGACTATCCTTATTGGATTCCTGGGTATCCCCAATCTAGCCACGCATCCAAACATAGGGTATGGCATTGGCAGCATTCTTCTGATTGAATATTTTGTCTTCTTCATCACCATCGGTCCTATCATCTACACCATCGTCACCGAGATCCCATCCAACTACCTCCGCACCAAAAGCGTCGTGCTCGCTCGGGCAGTCTACAACGTCGCTTGTCTGGTCTATGGCCAGCTTGTTCCGCATATGGTGCAGCAGACTTCATGGAATTGGGGCGCCAAGGCCGGCTTCTTCTATGGTGGAATTATGGGACTGGGTCTCATTTGGGCATACTTCCGGCTTCCAGAGACCAAGAACCGCACTTTTGCGGAGATGGACATCCTCTTCAAGAACAAGGTCAAGGCCCGAGATTTCAAGAACACTAAGGTTGATCTCAGTTCAGAGTCAGTTTCGCAGGATTGATGTCCGTCTAGATCATGGTACTTGATACTTTGATATAGTTCATCAGTCATTAGTTCATATTGCATCGCCGAACTTCGTCTGTCACCAATCAAGATGAATGTGTAAACCGTGCAGCGTTTAGACAGTTTCTTGTATGAGATCCCACTCCATAGCCACAAGCCACGAGTCCTTTTCTTGTGGACGATCATCGTCAGGGTTCGTGCACTTAGAATTGAGTTCTAAGGTCCATGAGAGAGATTGATAAATTCCGATCAAGTCTCCTGTCTGAACTGTCAACCCTGGATGCCCCTGCACGGAGCCAGTATGGGTTAATTGTTGCTGCAAGACCGGTTTGGATCGAGGTGGACCCATGATCATAACATTGATGAGTTCTGCGTTCTCGTCAATTTCCGGGTTTATAGCGACCGGCTTTGCTTTGATGCGCGTCACAGGACCAGAGCCACTGATTGTCGACCGGTGAGCATGAAAAACTCGTGCAGCCACTAGGTACTTTCTCAATTCCTCTTGAGAAAGGTCGCCAGCAGATTCCGACGAGGTTCGGGTTGACCCGGTGACAAGTTGGTCCCTCTTCGCTGCCATTTCCAAAATCCAGCTACGTACTTCTGCGGCCATTCCACCGGGTTGGTAGCCAGGTACTCCTGAGCGTTTACCACGACGATGTAATGTACGCGAGGATGGTGAAAATGGAGCAGGAATGTTTTCTGCTGCATCTGATGGCGACGGTGAACGGGGAGAGAATGAATGTTGGCTTGCGTCTGTCCTGTGTCTGGACCGGTGTTTGTGCTAACGGTGTTCTCTGATTAGGCGTATTTTGCGCATCAGTTTGTTTCTGTGATGAAAAAAGCGTGAATCTTGGACGGTTGCGAAAGGGTGTTTTGAAATTCCCCGGTGGGGATAGGGGTGGACGCGCGGGCACTGCTGGAGTGCTCTGCGTTGCAGACTGCAATGGGCCTGTTTCTGGCGAGACTGGAGTATCCACAGTCGTGATCGGTTGAGGTCCAGGTGAGGCAGGTAAAATGGGCTCGAGTTGTTCCTGATTGGGAGAAGCCTCTCCTTCTACGGCAATACGCCGCCGTTTCGTCCGTTCTCTCACGGGCGCAAAGATCGCGTCGAATCCGGCGTCGAGAAGCCCCGGCGACTCAGGGTCCTCCTCTGGAGGAGTACTATCAATGGCATCGTCCACAATTTCATTGAATGCGTCTCCTGTTCTCCTCAATAGCTCTCCATTGTCGAAATCTTCAATCCCGTCCCTTTGGCGACGCGTAGTGCTAGATCCAGGTGCCACGCGCGCTTCACGGGTCGATGGCGGCGGTGCATCATCGTCTATGGTGTCGATCGCATTTTCGTGTCTTTCCTGGGCCGATATCCTTTGCGACAGCCGAAAACGAGGGGTAGGTGCGAATTGTGGGCCAGCATTGCGGCGCGTCGAGGGTGGGTTACGGCGAGACGGACGAAACGGGGACGGAGTCTGCAATTGATTATTAGTCCGGGTCCATGCGAATCATCGTGAATTGACTAGAAAGCAGGCATACAGCTGGCGTGGGCATTTAGGCGAGGCAGTCGGGGTTCAAGCCGCATGGTGACGTGGGAGGTGAAGAAGATAAGCCGGGGGATAAGCAGACCTGACACTTCCGGAACTATCAACCACTCTACACCCGACTACCTTCACCACACTATATACACAGCTTCGATATGATTTTGTTCCGAAAATAACTTATTTAGCCCCAAAATACAATTGACTTCGCTTGCCACCAACAAGGCCAATACCGCCCAACTCCGCTCGACATGGATCTGCGATCGTAGCCCCTCTCGGTCTAAGCCTAAGCGAATGAGCTGGTTCGAACTTACTCGTGTTGAGGTCACATCGGGCGAAGGATGCAACTCTTCCTTCGGCATAGCTTTGTGCGAGATGACGATATAAATTGATCCTCAGGCCCTTCTTCCAAGGGAGGCTCATCATCAACCACTATGCGTTTCTGGCTGCTCGGGGCATTAGCCCCCCTGACAGCCGCCTATGTTGTCAACGATGGTACGACCTGCACGCTCTACCCAGAGTCACTCAAGCATAATGGCCAAGCAGTGGACGACGCACCGTCAATCCATCAGGCCTTCAATCTCTGCGGCATCAACTGCACCGTCATATTCTCCGACAACACATTCAATATCAATTCCGTATTGAACACTACCAACCTGCTCAACTGTGACGTCTCCCTACGCGGCGAGTTGCGCTTTTCCGACGACATCCCGTATTGGCTCTCGCATTCATACAATGTTGTTCTCCAGAACCAGTCGACGGCATGGCTTTTTGGAGGCACTAACGTCACCCTGCGCGGCGAGGGCGGGTGGTACAATGGTCAGGGCCAAGCCTGGTATACAGAGAACCAGAACAATAGCAACCAGCCCGGTCGACCGATCAGCATCACATTCTACAACTCCACCAATCTGCTTGCCGACAATCTGAGAATCATCCAGCCGCAGTTCTGGGCGACGTTTGTGACCTACAGCAAGAATGTCTCTATCACCAACTTGTTTGTCAATGCTACGAGTGATAATGAATGGGGATGTGTCAACACAGACGGCTATGACTCGTGGAATAGCGATAATCTCCTTGTCGAGAACGCGGTTATTACCAACGGGGACGACTGCATCGCAGCGAAGGGCAATACAACCAATCTGCTAGTCAAGAATGTTACCTGCCACCAATCAAATGGCATGACCATCGGATCGGTGGGACAATACCCGACAATGCCCGACTATGTGATTAACGTCACGTTCGAGGACGTCAAATGCCTAAACTGCGCCGATGGAGCCTACATCAAGACCTGGCAGGGGGTAGATGATGCTTCTAGTTCAAACGGAGACGCTGGAGGTGGCGGTCGAGGGCTGATCAAGAACATCACGTATAAGAACTTCGAGATGGTTAATGTGGGCCTGCCGATTCAGATCACACAGTGCATCTACACCGAGGACCAAAACCAGTGCAACACATCCAAGATGGCTATTGAAGATGTGACCTGGGAGAATATACACGGCACATCGACGTACAATATTGCCGCCTCGCTCTATTGTTCGGCTCTGCATCCTTGTCCCAATATATCGTTCAAGAATGTCGACTTGAAGACTGTCAATAGCACACTGGGTCTGCCGATGTGGAACACGACGATCCAGCACGAGGTGTACCAGTGTGCGAACATCATTGGTGAGAAAGATAGCGGTATTCCGTGCAACCGGGTTGCTCCCGACAACTACAGTCAGGGGGTTAGCGGGAATATCCAATGATTGGGCTGTTCAATATAGCACGGAAATAATATAATGGGGTGGCGTGGGACGATGTCCATCACCATTCCGATCTTGTCATTCGTTGTATCATAAATATTCGTCGTGCTTAAAACTGCATTTATTATCCTGCTTGAATTCAAATACGAAGAATCAGTTATCTAAGCTCTATAATCGTGTACTTTATTGTAGATGCATCTACCACAGCATGAACTATATACAAGAAATGATACATGGCAAGCGTCTCCCAATGGCGGTGGTTTATATCCATCGGCTCGTTACGGTCGTGCAGAAGTATGCCGATAGCAGACACATTTAGGCGAGCTTAGAGTCGCGCGAGCTGCCCCTGTAAAACCAAATGACTCAGTTAGTACATGAATCTCAAATAAAGTTAAATGATAATCTCAATTCTTCTGGAGTGAATATATACAGATCCCAAGAAAGCAAAATATAAAAAAATACAGCGCCAAATTGACCGGAAGAAACTAGAAGGGAAAGAAAAAGACGCTTACATCTGCGAGAAGTATTCATCAAAGTTGTCCTCCGCGACCTTGGTGCAGTCAAAGCCGTAGATCTCGCGCTGGACATCGGCATCGGCCCACTTATCGGGGACAGGGCCCTTGCCCTGACGCAGAGCGGCGAACTGACGATCACGCTCCTCCTTCGCGGCACCGTCACCCAGGTGCAGGGCACGGCCAGACGCAGAGGCCATATCAACCAAGGCCTCGGCGCGGCTCTTGCGGACCTTCTCGTAGACGCGGAGAGCCTTGTTAATCGACTCGGGGGTTGTGTCGGGGAGACGGGCGAGAACAACGCCCAGAACGGCACCGTCCTCAATAGCCTGGGCGGCACCCTGGGCTAGGTGGGGAAGAGTAGGGTGGCAGGCGTCGCCGACCAGAGCAACAGACTCGTGCACCCATGTAGGGAGCGGGTCGTGGACGCGCAGCTTCCACTCGCAGACCTCACCGTCGGGGACGTAGTTGAGCATCCGCTGGACCATGGGGCAGAAGTCGGAGAAGACGCTCATCATAGCGGGCTTCGAGCCCTTGGTCGTGTAGGTGGCATTTGTCGCAGCGGCGAAGTTGGTGTCCGGCTGCGTGGTGGACAAGTTGTAGATGGTGTTGTTGGAGACTGCGTAGGCGATGATGTGCCGCTTCTCGCCAATCCAGCGGGTCACTCGCGTGCTGTTGATCAGAGCCAGCAGCTCCGGGTCGTCCTTGATTTGGTCCTTGTGAATCATGATTCGGTAGGCGGCCTGGTTGGTGTCCTTGACGCCGACGTTGACGTTGAGGCGCTTCAGCATCGCCACACGGGTGTTGCTCTTGATTCCGTCGGCACCCAGGAGCACATCTGCCTCGACCTTGTGGGGCTTCTCGGCCTCATTACGGGGCACGGCCGTGAATGATGGCTTCTGGCCGAATTCCACGTCCTCGGCCGTGATGCCAAAGTGGAACTTGATGCTTGGCTGGCTCAGGCATCCCTGGTACAGGCCGTTGGCTAGCGATGCTCGGTGGCCTACCATGTGTGGGTAGCCGTAAGTTTCCTTGATGTACTGCAGCTCAACGTGCGCCAGCTCCTTGTCCGTGGCGCCCTCTGTAAATGAAAGTTAGGCATGAACGCGTGGTGCTGATTAAATCTACAACATACCTCGCACGGAAGTGTCTCCAATGTTCACGGCCTCAGCTTCAATGCCCTTCCAGACACCAAGCTTGTCCAGCACGCGCGCCATGTTCGGCGCCAATTGGATACCGGCGCCCACGAAACCGAGGTTTGTGGCATTCTCATAGATGTGAATATTCTTAAAGCCGCGCTGGGCCAGGGCAAGAGCGGTGGTCAAGCCGCCCATGCCGGCGCCCAAAATGGCAATCTGCAAATCCTGGGGAGTCTTCGCCATGGTGTCGGAGATAAGATGCGGGAGGGGATTCGGTGGGGAGAGAGAGAACAAGATCGTGAAGGGAAGAGAAACGAAAGAGAGAAAGTAGAAATTTCAGAAGAAATAAGAAATGGCAACCCGGCAGATCTAGACTATTCCCACTCCGACGCAGTTCGCGGAGCCATGTTGCCATCAAATCAACCGTGTTTTCGGTCTGATGCGGGCGGCAGAGACTTTTTCCCTCTCCCACATTCACCCCACATTCGCACTGGTCGAGGGGCTCGGTGGGGCGACCGTTGTCATCAGCCCTGCTTGGACTTTATCCGCTGCAATAACTAAGCGCCCGCAGAGTGAAGGTGCCAGGGAGAAATTCTTACCAGGTCTTCGATGGCGCTGTCATATCCCATCCAATCAGTGGCGCGGGATGCTTCAGGTTCGCTGAGGGAGGTTGCCATGCCTGCTGTCGATGATTCCGTGTCCGCTCTTCGTCCTTTCTGTCCTGCAACTTGTTCGATTTTCCACCGAAGACCCCAAGCTTCCCCACATTCGTCGGGGGAGAAATCTGATTCCTGTACGGTTGGAAAATTGCCGAGTGGATAGGGTTGTGTGCTATCATCGTCAGAGAGATCAATTCATGCCGGTTACGTCTGCGGACAGCATTTAGCAGCATAGTCAATCAGATGAAATCCTTGAGAGAGATGTGCAGACACAGAGAGCAGTGATATTGCGTAAACACGTTCTCTACTACAGAACGACATCACTACTTGATATCTCCTCTACATCCAGGCCCGCTAGAATCTCTTCAAGACACCAGAGCACGGCCTCACAATGTTCCATTGCCAAAGCACATGTGACTCGAGTTGTCTGCATAATGAACCACTTCCGCATCGGACCAGGCTTGGATAACCTAGTCCCAATGGCAAGACACCAGATGAGAGCTCCGGGAAGTGGGCCCCAGAATCCATCGATATCTGTCTGTCGAAGAAGAGACTGTAGCTCACAGATGGCATATGGTATATTAGTAGAGTCGGTTTTATCAGAAGCAAAACTGGAGCAGGCAAATAGAAGACCGGCGGTGAGAACAGCCTGCATCCGAGGGTCAGTGTTCTGGAGCGAGCTGGTTTCCGCAGACTGCCGCGTAGTAACCAGGAAGTCATAAATGTCTGCTAGATGCGTCGAGGACTGACGGGAACCGTGGGTATCATTTGAATAGGGTTGCCATTGTCGTGAGAGCCGAACCATTTGGTAAACGTCACCCAGGATATTCAGAACATCATGAGATCTTCGTGACTCAGCGGTATCGTCTGATACCCGTCCAAATGTAAAGACTCTGAGATCCAAAGGATGGGAGAAAAGTGACTGCATGCTCTTTGATATCGGGTGGCCGTCATAGTATGTACCGAGTTGTGCTACTTTTTGCAGTAGTTCAATCCTGTTCGACATCAATATGAGCATAAAATCACCTACGTAGTATAGGTACAGAATGGGCAGTGCATACACTAGGAGACTATTTCTCAGGTGGCCCTCAAATCCCAAATTCTCAGGGCCGCCACGTATACTGACAATTGCTTCTACGCCTTTCTTATCCGTAAGGAAGGCACTTTCGTCTCCATTTACCAGCTGCAAGACAGTAAAATTAGCATGTATCAATTGAATTTGCTAGGGGATAGTTGTTACATCAAATAGAAGGACTGCAATCATGGCTGCGATATTAGAATCACCACACCCTTCCTCTAGATTATCAAATGATGTATTCAGCAAATTCCGCGTAATAGTAAGCTGTTGGCGAGTCAGATCACTAGTTTCTCCAGTGGTGCTGATATCATCCCATGCAGAGGCATTTAATATCTTCGAGCTCATGAGTGGCAAGTGCGTGACCGCAGCATAGATGATGGTTGAGAAGCAAGGATGGATGCGGTGGCTATAATTAACATAGCGATACATGACTTGATTTAGAACATCAGTACTCACGTCGGAGGATGCTGATGGTTGAATCCTTACACTCATGCATTCTTTGGTAAGCTGTAACCGAAGGGAACAATTGGGTAGAGTCTACGTGGAAGTGGATCTCGCTAGGCAACCCTCTAGGGGTTTGCTTGGTCAGAACCTGGGAATTCCTATCTCCGCGAGTCTGAGGAATCGTAGATTTTGCATATTGGTGGCGTTGCTGGTGATGTCGCTTCGCCAGCTGTGACCGCACTTGGCTGATACGTTGGCCATTGCCTTCCTGTGGGTTGCCCGTGATGACGACAAAAGACGTGCCATTGGCCTTGTTGGGCATTTCCGAGTTCTGAGGGAAAGGTTTAGTTGAAAGGCGATACTTCAAACGGAAGATGCACTAAAATAGCAGATCTGACAAGTGAAGATAACGCTCAGGTAAGCCTGGGTGTCTTAGTGCAGTTTCCTCATGTGGTTTAGCCCGAACCCGTATCGACCCACTCATATCCGGATTTGGAAGTGAGTGAGATAGGGTCACCTGTTTAAAAATGTAGAGTGCACTAACATAGAGTCGGTGGCGCCTTTTATTGAGACGAATTGTTGACAACATAGCAGAGGCTGACCTTAGTGTACTTTCCCAATGTGGTTTAGTGGCCATCTCTCACTCTATCGGCATCACAAATTTGACGTCGTAGGCCTCGAGTTCTGCTCAAGATGTGAGAGTTACTACTCTACTGGTTATTATTTAAAGACGGTTGGAGACCGCACTGATGAAGGGTGCAGGCCGTTTTACTTTTCCTTCGAAGATCTTGGAGTTGAGCAAAAGTATAGTTTTCACCTAGGAAATATATTTCACCACCGCTGAAGATGTTCGACACTCAAACTGTCTGGTTCGGCAAGTAACATTCCACAATATAATGCTGACTTATCTAACCAATTCCAAGCAGTAACCGGTTGCTCCTCAGGCTTAGGAAAGTCTTTTGCAGAGACCATCCACGCCGCCGGCCACCGCATCGTCGCCACAGCTCGCAGCCTCGAGTCGCTCACGTACCTGCCCGATGAACCAAACGTGCTGAAGATCCAATTGGACGTGACCTCCCAACAAGATATAGCCACTGCATTTGCAAGCGCCGCTGAGAAATTCGGTCAGATCAATGTTGTTATTAACAACGCCGGGTATGGCCTTATGGGAGATATGGAAGCAATCTCCGAAGAGGAAGCACGCTGCCAACTCGAGACGAACTTCTGGGGACCAGTTCATGCCACCAAAGAGGCCCTTCGCATCTTTCGCGAAGTCAACCCGCGCGGACGTGGTGGCACTGTTGTCCAGATATCATCGATGGGGGGATGGATAGCTTTCCCGGGCACCTCCTTTTACCATGCCAGGTACGAACACTACGTTAGAATTTCAAAAGGGAGCATTTTCTAATGAAATTAACAGCAAATTTGCCCTAGAGGGATTCACAGAGTCAGTTGCCAAAGAGATGGATCCAGCATGGAACATCCGTTTCCTAATAGTTGCCCCAGGGGGTGTGCGCACGAATTTCATAGGGTCGAGCAAGAGACTGGCCCCTCGACATCCAGCCTATGGTTCTTCCACTGGACCGTTCAGCCAGGTGCTCAACTATCTCGCCGAACCTGAAGCTCCCCTCACTTGGGCCGACCCTGCTATCTGCGCGGGGCTGCTCTTCAGGACCGTCATGCAACAGCATGTTCGATCGCTGCCTACGCGTTTGCTGATGGGGGCGGAGACAATTCCCTTGATTAGGGCTGACATTGAAAAGACACTGAAGGAAATGGATGCATGGAAGGAAGAGTCCATGCGGTGTTCTCCTGCTGGAGGTGCACGGTTTATGAGCTTCGACGGATAACCGATCCTGGAAACAACAACAATAATGTCTGACCGAAACCTGGAGATGGATTGGGTTTAGCTGGTTATTATTAGAAGCTTTAGAATGCAGAGAAAATCCAACAGTTGTTAAATACAGTTTTCCATTTGAGGACAGAGTTATGGCCGTGCCAAGAGCATGGGCCCGAATGTTGTTGCCTCTGATGGAGTACTCTTTTCGCATCTGGAATGCGCATGCGGCAAACCGACACTTTAGAGCCAGATTAACCGATTTCCCTACAACGGCTGATTTGCGCAATGATCTGAATGATCTCCTTTTTTATCTTTCCATTCAACCCTTTCCAGACCTTCCAGAGCTCTGTCAAGGTTTCTCCCGACCCGTTCATGGATTTTCCCCGAGGACCCATGATGTTGCCCAGAGGCCCTCCAATGACAGTGCAGGCATCAGGAGAACTGACCGCCGAGTTGGAAGTTTCACAGACCTCCGCGTGCTCCACATCCAGGGGAATTGGGCCTGAAAATCAATCCACCAGCGATCATATTATTCGTTGCGTGATTGCTGCTATTTGCAACGCGATACGGACCAGGTGAATAGAATTCAATAACGGCATACTACTGTATGTAACGATAGCTTTTGCCTGGGGAATCAAAAAATACCCCTGAACACCCTGTCAGCCCTGGCGATATTAAGCAGACAATGACGCAATCATTTCCAACAGAGCCTTAGTTATTCCTGAGCATTCCTCCCCGCCATCCTTCCACCTCGCTAACCCTGGGACTACCGGGCGTTAGCCCCGGAAGAGATTACAATCAGCGAGCATGGCAGCCGTCCTAACGGGATGTGGGGACCACACGTTCATCCTAAACCTGCATGAGGCGGTTAAACCGTCGATCCCTAGCGACCCTAGCACTGACATCCGCAAACTATTGGTCGCAATTCGCGCTAATGGGGGTACTCCTGCCGATCTCAGGGCCAAAAGTGGGCTATGTCTGGGGGGTAAAAACACCTGCCGCCTCGGTTCAGAATTGGTTCGTGAGGGTCTTACCGCTCAGGGTCAGTTCAGGGTCAGTTCTCCACCGGGTCTGTCTATCATGTTTTGGTCCCTGAACAACGGCTCAATCGAACGGCCTTTTGAAAATGGCTTTTAAAGTGTCGGGAACTGATAACCCCTGAGATGCTCCTGTCAGTGGAGATGCTCAACGCCTTCCCCATTATGGTGCCAGCCGGGGGATAGATCTGCAGAGTGGCTAATGAAGATGGACTTCTAGGAAGCTTATGGACGCGCTACCATGCGGTAGATGGGTCCAAACACCCCATGTCGGTGCTCTCCCTAGCCACTGAGAGCGCGGCCAAGACGACAAGGGCACCAGGTTCCCCGTCCTCTGCTCCATCAGACTATTGCGGCGGAGCCCGTCCGCACCGTTGCTCACCTGCTTTTTCGGGGGCAGACCCGTCGCCACGACGTCAATCAGCGTAAACGAGGCTTGGAAGCAGGTGAGTAATAATCTCCTGAGAAATGGGGTTCGTATATAACGTGTGCCCCCTGGCATTTCCCACTATCCTTTCTCCAAGAACCTCTCTTCGTCGTCTTTCCTTACCACAAGTCATTCTTTACTTTTCGGTTTAATACCCGTCCATTCATTCATACAAAGCAACAGTCGTTCTCTGCAATAATGAAGACCTTCGCCATCTCCGCCGCCCTGCTGGCGTCCACCGCCGTGGCTATGCCCACTCCCTCCCGGACTCGCTCCGTTGGCAGCCTGGTTCCTTGCCTCCAGAAGGAGCTCATTCCCTCCGGCGGCCTCCCCACCGGTGTCCTGAGCTGCATTGAGTCTGCTGTGCCCTCCGGTCTGCCCTCCGGCCTGCCCTCCGGCGGCCTGTCCAGCCTGGGCGGCCTCTCCAGCCTGACCAGCCTGACCAAGGACCTCCCCCTGCTGTCCGGCCTGGCCAACATTGCTGGTGGCTCCGACTCCGCTTCCGGCGGTGCCATCTCTGGCCTCCACAGCGTTCTGACCGTCACCCACACCCTGGACAGCGGTGAGGTCAAGAACCTCATGATTGAGCTTGAGGGCAAGTCCGCCCAGCTCCTGGCTGGTGCCCACCTCGGCAGCGTTGCCAACTCCATCGGCTCGGTCCTCCAGACCGCTCCCGTTGTCAGCCAGCTGAACCTTGCCGGTCAGGGTGAGGGTCTCCTGACCGTTGTTGACACCACCGGCTCCGCCCTGCTGGTCAAGCTGAACGACGAGACCTCCAAGCTCTTCAACTCCCTGGGTCTGTCTGATGTCTCCTCGCTCGTCGGTACCGTCATCGGCACCCTCGACGGCTTCCTGCAGAGCCTGAACCTGAAGCGCGACTCCCCTCTGTCCATCCTGTCCAACCTGCCCGTCGTCAGCAGCCTCACCGGCCTGATCAGCGAGGACGGCGTGACCTCCATCCTCTCCCAGACCGGCGAGACCCTCCCCCTCAAGCTCGACTCTGGCCTCCTCAGCAACGTCCTGAGCACCGTTGACCTCACCAACCTGGGTGACCTCTCCAACGTCCAGAACACCATTGGCTCCGTCGTCTCCAAGGCCGAGTCCATCCCCCAGCTGGCCCAGCAGCTCCCCGTCGCCGGTGAGGTTGAGGGTGTCTTCATGGGTGTCCTGTCCCAGGACGGTGGTGCTCTCCTCGTCAAGGTCGAGTCCGCCCTTGAGGGTCTCCTGTCCGGCCTTGGCCTCGGCACCCTCGGCTCCGCTGCCGGCTCCGTCATCAGCGAGGGTACCTCCACCGTCTCTGGTGCCGGTCTTCTGGGCTCCCTGTAAATAACTCATGTTATTATCCCTCTCACCATACAATCCCGCACTCAATACCCTCCCCCTTGACGGGATTTATCCTTCGCTTCTGTGATTCCTCTGTCTATCAAGCTGGCGGGACACTAGCCACCTGTCCCCCGACAAGCTGTTCGAACTAGCGCATGCGTCAATGACGAACACGAGGAATTCCTCTTAACTTTTTCTTCTGCTTCTCTGTCTGTATTCCCATTCATCCGTTTTTTCTAGAATTCGTCGAATATAGGTTTAATCCTGTATGGTGCAATTGACTGGGTGAATGCCACGCAATGACCTGAACTTACTATTAGTTATCTGCTATCTACATTGATGTTCTCATGTTTCCATCACCGATGCAGCTCGCCCCAGTAGCTTTCACCTTCGCCATCGTATGGATTGGATGCGTTCCTGCACTGTGGATGTTCGTAGTCCTCCACACTCCCCATCGGCCAGATGGGCACGACGCAGATCTCGTTATCTGCGCAGCCACGACATTCCTTCCATGTGGTCCAGGCCAGATAGTCGGCAAGCACTTGGATCTTCTCGACAGCTAGTTTCAAGTCCCGTGTTTCCCATACACCTAACAAAGCCCCACAAGTAGTCCGTGCAACACTCTGCACGGCTCGCGCAGCTAACGTTGACATATCAGCCCGAAGCGGCATCGAGTGCATGGCACAGCGATCAACTTCGAGCTCGGTGTTACGATCCCCGTAGTCGATGAAAGGAGCAAGCAGTCGCTCGATCTCGATATGGAGATCCTCAATGCTGACGATCTTGCCCGACACGTAGTATGACAGCTCGTTGCTATACCGGGTAACAAGCATATCCACCGTTGTTTGCCAATTCCACGAAGGGTCTGCGGCTTCGTGGTTCAAAATCAGACTGGTTAGGTCCTGGCGGATGGAATCCAGTTCCGACTGGGAGAGACCCGTCAGTCGTGGCAAGGTTGAGTTTGATGGAAATAGGTCTACGTCGTATGCGAAGGCAGTCACGAAGTTGTCGTAGTTCAATGATACACGGCTGCCTCCAATGCCATGGTACCGGTCCGCGATGGCGCGCATCCAGGTCGCGGAGCCGGGTGGACCGCCAGGCCTAGGGCCTTTCCTCTTTTTACCGTCGTCGGCCCTTGGACCGGAGTGTTCATTGTGTTCGGGACCGTGCCTGCCTTCGTCTCCTTCCCTTGACCTGGACTTGACCTGGGTGATGCGCACGGGAATGAGGTCGCGCTCGAAAGCACACAAGATAACCTCGAACCCTGCCTCCATACGGAGCACGCCATCAATACGACCCTCCCAAGTATTCTGCGCCAGCTCACATGCTAGTCTAGCCCGCTCGCCTTCCGAGCCTGGTCCTGGACCTGGCTTTCTGGGGACATCCTTGAGAGAGCCGTTGAAAAGAAGCACATCTTGGGAGTCAAGAGTCCCCTTCGCTGTCTTTCCAGCAGACATTCCATCGATGTACAAAAGACGGAGATCCTTGGCTGCTGCGTAGGTGTGTAGATAGCCTGCACCCTCTTCGGCGACGTCTTCAGCTTCGGGGCCGGTACGTCTCTCATCCGACCCTGCATGATGGGGCTCCCGCCGACGAAGTTCTTGGCGATGACTCGGGCTATCATTATTCTCATCATAATTATCATATTTTGGTGGGGGACCACGAGGCGGAGGTCCATGCATCCCAGCGAAGACCATTGCATGTTCGGGCTCAAAAGCGAGCCACTCGGTCCCGATTATGGGAGTCGACTTGTCGGTCCCATGGAAGAACTGCGTGCCTGCAGGGACACTAGCAAGAAAGAAGGACATGCCATTGTGATGCAGCGAAGAGCCCCATTGGCGCATGGATGCGTGGATGGCGTTGAAGATGTGATTTGCATTGTGGGGCGTTGAGTGCTCAGCCGTGGTGAATGTCAATATGCCGAGCAGGCAGCTCAGCTGGAAGAGAGACCACATTATCGAACATGAGCAGATGATGATGAAAAGAGAGGAATTTCCGTCCGATCAAAATGGGTGAGTGTGTACAGACGCGTCATCTACGTCAGCCCATCTTAGGGCTAAACTGTATTGAGATTAGGACTGATTCTCTTAGATCCTTATCTGATCAACTTCCCGCTAACGTCACCCGTTCAACCATGCGGCCTCTTACACCCCATGCCACAACCCGCAGTCTATCGACACAATCCCCCTCGAGATCTCGTAATCTGCTACTCACATTCGACGCCTTCGATACCCTTTTCTACCCACACCCTCCAGTACCAGAGCAATATGCCGCCGTCGCGCATGAATTCGGTCTATCGCGCACAGCAGTCACACCAGCTAGCGTTCTAGCCAGCTTCAAAGATGCTTTCCGTGCACAATGCAAACAATATCCGAACTACGGCCGCGCCAATGTTCTGCGCGGCGCGTACAATGGTCCACGGCAGTGGTGGGGCGAGGTGATCCGGAGGACATTCACACGGATCATTCAAGAGCAAAACGCGGATACCAACAACCACAACCACGACGAGCCACTTCCAGCTGGACTGGAAGATGCTCTCCTGGAACGATTTGAGGGCGCCCAGGGGTACGCGCTGTACGGCGACGTGGCGCCGTTCCTGGCGCGGATGCGCACAATCAGACACGCGGCCTCGCGGCCATTTAACCGGGTAGTTCTTGGCGTTATCTCCAACTCGGATGATCGCGTCCCTGCTGTGCTGAAGGCGCTGGGTGTACGGGTCGGTGCTATGCGCGCGGATCAAGATCGCGAGAGCCTTGCGTTGCCTGGTTTTGAGTACAGGGGGGTTGGCTCGCGTTCAGGAGATGAGAAGAGATTCTCTGATCCGGATCCTGATCTTGACATTGTTGTTACTAGCTACGAGGCTGGCGAGGAAAAGCCATCGAGGGTTATCTTTGATGTTGCTAGGCGGCAGGCGGGTTTGTTGGCAAGTGCCCGTTCAAAGAGTTCTGTATCTCCAGATGCGGGAGCAGAGGATAATTGGGTGTGTATTCATGTCGGAGACGATTACCGGAAGGACTACTGTGGTGCGAAGGATGCAGGTTGGGACTCTTATTTGCTCCCTCGCCGAGAAGGGCAAGGCCATCCTGATGCGAAGGCTTTACGCTCGCTGATGGATTTGATTGGGGCGTTGAAGGTGGAAGCCTAGTGTGTCGGATACTTTATACCCATTTGTGCTTGTATTCGAACATACGAAACAGCTAATATACAATCAGACCCCCTTTAAAATAAACTATCGCATTCTAGATGAATCCAATTCTCGGATAGATGGGAGACTTCACTAGGTACCAACTCTCAATTTATTCAAAACTCCTAATACCCAGTAACGAACGACATATCAACTACCCAAAACAGCAACGCCGTAACTAGCGCCAGCCGCGTACAAGACCCCATATTCGCCATCGGATATACAGATCATCCTCAGCCTCATTCATGCATTGTTCAATCCCACTGTCCCTTCCCAGCCAAGGCGCCCAGCCCGCCGCCAGCATGCTTGTTCAACAGCTTAGCGATGCTTGACCCCCCATTACGCTGCTGGAGCCTGAGCGCCTTCTCGCGCTCCCTCTCGCGCGCAGCGGTGTAAGAATTAACCGCGCCGCCCTTCTTCGGCCCCGCCGTGCCAGGCTTGGTCACGCGATGCGACGAGCTAGACGACTTGCTTGACGAGGAACTGGACGTGACGCGTCGCAGCAGTTGCGGAGGGCGGAAGCCAATGGGGCCGTCTTTGCCTCCTCCGCTGTGGAAGGCGAGCTTGGTGTTCGCCGCCTCTGAACCGGAGGCGGAGTTGGAGGATGCTTGTCGGAGGAGGGCTAGCCGATCAACGACGGGCCCGCGGGTACGGCGCGGGTGACTGGGTTTGGGGAAGTGGTCCGTAGTTTGCACTTCTGGTTCTTCAGTCTGGGCGTCGGCCCCTGCAGCGTCGTCGTTTTCTTCCGTGGTACCAGCGTCCTCGTCGAGGGACGCATCTTCGTGGAAGGAATCATAGTCGTGAGTCTCGGTTAGGAATGACAATGTCTCACGGATTTCTGCAAGCGAGGCGGGCTTCTTCGACGCTGCGGTGGCGGGGGTGCGACGCAGATGTGGCGGAGGCCGGTTGGTAGTGTCTTCGGCAGACTCCTCAAGAGGTCGCTTGCGCTTAGCAGTTTCCGTTGCAGGCACAGTCGACCGTTCCTCAGTGCGCACGTCTTGCGATGAATCCTCCTGAGAGTCGCCCTGTTTTTCGTCGAGGAAGTCCAGGTCGAAATCGAATGATTCCTCGCGGTCTTCGATCGCCTTGAAGAACGCAGCTTTCTTGGGGTTGTCGGCCAGTTCACCAACCTTGTCATCTGCAAGCAGAGCTCGACGCATCTTGGCAAACTCGCGCTGCTTCTCGCGCCGGCGGGCCTGGCGCTCATCATCGGAGTCGTCGAGGTCGAAGTCATCGTCAGCTCCGTGGCGACGACGCAGTGCTCCGGTGGTGATATCCCTCATGAGCTTAGCGACATCTTTTTCATCACGAGTGCGCTGGTGGACACTGTAGACTTGTTAGCTAGGATGTGTGTATTGACAGCAACAAAAGAGACGTACGCATTGAGGGCAGCAAGCTCCTTCTCATCAACGACTTCGCCGCTGTTGTCATTGATCATCCGGCGATCCTCAGCATTTTCCTCCGCATCTTCCTCGTCACTAGCACCTCCAATGCCAGCATATTCATCCTCAGATTCCTCGGCTGCTTCGTCGAAAATCTCCTTGGCCCTGCTGTTCTCCTTGTCATACGGCCCGGCCTTATTCTTGGTCTTGGCAGCCTTTTTCATGACGTTGAAAGCATTGGCATCGATTTCAAAGTCGCCTTCGTCATCTTCGGCAGCTTCAGCTGCACGTCCACGTCGAAGATGTCTAGCCTTGCGGTTCGCAATGGGCGAGTGGCCCTGGCCGATGAGGACCGTATCGACAGTCGATACTGGAGGAGTACCGTTGAAACGTTTCCTGGGATCAAAGGGTGAGAAGACGAAGCCTTCGTCCTGGGTTGGATCGGGCAGCTGCGAGAATCCAGAGATAGAGTACCGCGCAGGCGACTCAGATACCCGGGTGACATTTTGGCGGTAGTCTGCCATGAAGTCGGCCTCATCAGGTGGAGCTTGGCTATCTCGAACGAGAACTTCTGAATCGTCACGTCGAAGTTGAGGAACGGGTGGACCAGGGTCGGGGAGGGAGAAGGGAATCGTAGCAGAGCCTGGTTGGCTGTCGTTGTCTCCTAGAGTACCGGCAAAGGCCTGCGTGAGACCCATGGACATATTGTCGGAAGTCTCCAAGCCAGGAATTTTGGTTCGTGAAGCAGAATCAGCTGCAATGATGGGAGGTCTGACGGGTGTGGAAGGCGGCTCCCGCTGCGGTTGCTCGTCATCCTCGTCGTCGCTGAGCACGCGCGTTGGTCGCTTCCTCCGTTGTTTAGGGACATCGCTTTCTGCGGCGGAGAACTCGTCGCTCTCGTCCTCAGCTGCCTCATTCTCAATGAGACCTTCGTTGTTGCCAATCACGCTCGCAACATCATTCTCCTCGTCCTCATCGTCTTCATCCTCGCCAGCGCCATATCCCTCCTCGTCAGAGCCAGAAAGTACGAAATCATCGTCCTCATCCTCGTCCTCGTTGCCGTTTTGCTTTGATTCCTTATTCTCCTGCCGCGCGATGTCATCTGCCTCCTTCCGGGCCTTCGTCAGGAGATCCTCAACATCGTCTTCCATAGCCGCACGCTCCTCGACGGTCTCGATAACGACACCCTTCGCCCTCAATTCCTCGATGCGCTCCTGTCTACCCTTGGCAGCCTGCTGTCGTGCCTTCAAGAGGAGGCTAGCAGACAGTTCTGCGTTGTTCATGGACGCGGCCTGGCGCGTAGGGGAAGTCAAATGGGCCAAGGCCTTGAGTTTGATCATGGAGGCCGACTCTTCATTCTTCTTCTGGGACAGATTCTCAAATGCAGCGATCCGTCGACACTTGGCAGGCGATGTCACGACTTCTAAATCGTTGTCTGAATCATCCTCCGCTTGATGCTGCGCCAGTTGTTGCCGGGTAAACATGACGCGAATAGGCCGGTGGGTAAACTGGTAAGGTGCTTTCTTGGTCGAGGCTGACTGCGGTTCTGATTTGACTTTTTCGAGAGCTGGCTCCTTGGGTGCATCTGCCTTCTCTGCGTCCAGCTCCATGGCTTCTTCCAAATTAGGCAGATCAGGGGTCTCCTCAGACACCAAGGCCTCCATGTCAGCCGCGCCGGCAGTGACACGACCCAGAGCGGTTCTGCTACTGGTAGCTGGTTTCTCCTTGTCAGAAGGAGCGACAACCGGTGACGTCTGGGGTGTGTCGTTGTTCTTATGAGAACCCTCTCCATCAGAGGAAGGCTGCGATCCAGCGGTGGAGGATGAGTTGGCGGCAGCAGGTGCAGCTTCGGCGGGAGTCTCTGGCTGCATGAAGTTGAAGCGAGCGAAAAGGCTGTCCTTGGTGATCTTCTTTTTGGTTTGAGCCTGATGAGCCAATTGCATGTTTCGACTCATGCGCTGCGTCTCGGCCCTCATCTCCTGCAGAGCTTTTTTGCTGGCCTTGCGAGGCGGACGGGTTTGCTGGGTCAACTTCCTTGCGGATTCCGGATCCTCATCGGCGGCACTCTCTTCGCCAGACAGGATTTCCGAACTGAACTGCTCCATCTGTGCGCGTCGAGCGGCCTTCTTCTCAGCCTCGATCGTCTCCCGCTCTTCGCGTTCCTTGCGCTTTTGTGCGACGAGGGCGAGGAATCGAGCGTTTTTCTTGGAAGACTCCTTTGCCGAGTCATTGGCCGGGCTATCGGTGTTGTCTTGTGCCGAAACGAAGAGAGGGGACAATTCCCGTGTGGGCGACAGTGCTTGGGTCAACTCGTTCTCTGGCTGCGATGACTCTTCCAGACCGGTATTGTTTCTCCTTCTCGGTCCAGCCGCAGGGAGATCATCATCACTCGATTCATCCTCGAGAACAGGTTCTTCCTTCCTGGGTGTAGGTTTCTGAGCCTGCTCTCGTTCCGTCCGCAGAGCCTTGGACAATCGAGCAAAAGCCGATTCTTCGCCTTTCGACTCAGACGCGGCCCGATTCGTCGTGTTTCCTTGTAATCTCGCAGCCATACGACCTCTCGGCACGCCCACCTCGTCATCCTCATCTTCTTCGTCGGAAGACTGACGCGTCTCCTGGATGGTGTTGGTGCGCGCGAAATCAGGCTTGTTGAAAAAACTCCGTGACTTCGACGTGACAGGCTCGCCCTCGGAGTCACTGTCGAATGCAGCCATCATGGCCTTGATCTTCTGGCCTGGAGTGAGAATGTTAGGCGACCCGGCCGCCGAGGACGCGGAGCGCGTCGACCGCGGCGTGGAGGGGGTGGACATTTTGGAAGGTGTGCAGACAGTAGATTAGGGTATGAATTAGAGGAAAGAGGTCATCATGCACACAATTGAGGCAGACAGAAAATAGGAAGAGTATAGGAGTTGAGGAAGGAAGTAATGTGTTCAAGGGCGCATAGTTAGTTAATCGACGCGCGTGCCTCGCGTTGGCCGGCAACTGAACACGTGAGGACTGGCTTATCGCTTATCAGTGGAAGTACTCGAGGATGGATTCATTATCAACAAAATCATTTTGGAAGCCCTATGTAGTTCTGTGCTCATGCTCCATTGCCGGTAGTCTCATAATACAAAAAGCCCCCCCGTGCACAAAAGAAGAAAGAAAAGAAAACGAGACGCCACAAAACCCACACGCCATGTCCCGGCTGTTAACAAGCAAGAAAAAGAAGAGAAGAAAGCGTCAGCGCTGGATTCCTTGTCTATCGCCACAGGCCGAATCAAGTCGATGGTCTGGCAAAGCAAAGCACAGCGTGAATTATGGTACAGACTTAGATGTCAATATCAATGTCCAGATCCAGAGCCGCGATGTTCTCGTCATCCGTGTTGCGGTAGCTGATCATGAACCCGCTCTTGGATTTCTTGGGAGTCTGGCTGGAGCCGGGCGTAGCCACGCGGGCAGGACTAGCGGTGTTGGCCGCCTTGGTAGCCGGCGAAGGCGTGTCGGTCGGGGTCGAATCCGCAGGCTTAAGGGGCTGCTGGATCTTCCCGCTAACGTCGTGGTGTGTCTTGGCCATGGTACGCACACGCATGAACGGATCGGCAGCGGCCTCACCGCGAGCAACGGCAGCAGCGGCCTTACGGGCAGCCTTGCGCTCCTCGAGCTGGGCACGACGGACGTTCTCGTAGTTGAGCTTCTGGTTGCGCAGGTTGATTTGGTAAACCTTATCCCCTTCGGCGGGTTTCTCGGCCGCGGCGTTGAAGAGCGACGTGCCCCACGAAAGCGTCGGGTTGACCAGCTGATCCAGCTCCTTCTGCAGAGCCTCGGCCTTCTCGGTGTTTCCGTCCCCTTGGGCGAGCTTCACCTCGCGCTCGAGATCCATGCGTCTGATCAGGTTGCGCTTGGGGTCGTACTGGTTCTGCTTGCGCAGCTTCTCGCTCAGCTCCTCTTTGGTGAACTTGTGGTTGATGAGGCGGTTGATGTCGGCGACCTTGGCAGCCACGCGAGACCGGGTGGCCATCCGGCAATCATCCACGGCCATGGTCTTGTGGTAGCGGTTGAACTCGGCCTGGATGGAGGTTAGTGTGAGTGAAAATCTTGGAGAGCAAGTGACAAACCTCGGTGAAGTGCGAATCGGAGCAGGCGATGAAAGGGAATTCCCGCACGGACTTTCCATGAGCCAGCTTCACGTACTTCTCAATGATGAAAGGGCGGCCATTCGCAGCCTCCATGGCATAGGGCTTGCCGTCAGCGAAGCCAGTGATCAAGCACATGCGGTACTCGTTCTGACCAGTCTCGCGGTTGGGGCCAATGTTGACACGGGAGTAGCAACCGGTGATGGCATTGTCAAATCCAGGGTAGAAGCAGACCTGAGCAAAGTTGCTGCGACCAACGCGGGCCCGTTCGATATCCCGGAGATCAGCGGGAGGGTCGTCCTTGGGAGCGGAGGGGGAGCGATCGATACGGTTGTCGAGTTCGAAATCACTGTCGGCTTCGCCTTCGTCGTCCGAGACGGAGAGCCTGGAGCGAGCACGACGGCCTGGCGCCGCAGGATCACGGCGACGGGCCTCATCGCGCTTGCCTTTCTGCTCGCGCTGGCGCTTGTAGGCTTCGATGGCGTCGGATGTCTCTCCAACCTTGCGGCCGCCCAGTGTAGTCTTCTGGCGAGAGCTCTTGCGTTGGCTCTCATCCAGGCCTGCCGAAGTAGCCTTGCGCTTGGATTTCTTCGCAGCGGCACGGGCTTCGTCACGCTCGCGCGAGGCCAAGAGACGGCGCAGCGCCAGATCCTGGTTGTGGCGATCGACCTGCTGTGCACGCTCGGACAGCAGCTCCTCACGCTGGATTTCAGGCATGGCCATGATCTCCATCTTGTCTTGCGCCGAGTAGTACAGCTTTTCGTAAGGGAAGATGGGACCGTCCTCGTCGACAACGGCTGAGCCTTCAGATTCAGAGTCGGACTCGGACATGGGGGCGGAGTCGGCATCCGATCTAAATGAGCAAGTCGTGTCAGTGGATGTTGCTATCAATAAGGTATTGTCTCTATTGAGAAGGTGGGGGGCAATGCATACACCTCGCCGTCCTCCTCTTCCTCCTTCACGGCCTTGCGTCGAACTGGTTTGGCGGTCCCCTTGCGACCCATGTTTGCGGGAGAGTGGTCTCGCGGTGGAGAGTGGGAAGAAGGAGAGTGTGCTGGGGAGTCTTTTGGCTGGGGAGAGGTTTCTTCCTCTGAATCCCCAGCCAGAGCCAGCAGCTCAGCATCCAAATCGTCCGCCATGGTGAATGTCCGTCGACTCCCGTCTCGCAGGCAGCCTCGTTATATAAATATAGATAGATATATCTATCTATACCAGGCACCAGGTAAGTTATATACCCAGTACTGGCTTTGCCGTCGCCCAGGCAGCGATTCGAGGTTGTTGAGGCGACTCAACCGGACAGGGAGGTGTCGCGACGATCCGCACAGCAACTGGCACACGAGGATTCCCCAGGCGCACGAGTGACTATGCGACGCCCAGATAAACAACAAGGGAGCCGAACAACGGTCGCAGACACGATCGTGGATGGTGGTGGGCAGAGTGAAGGAAGTGTCTGTCCTTTTTGCCGCTCCGGCCATCTTCGCGGGAATGCCGCAAGCGCGCCAAGCCTTTTCTTTCTAAGCGGCACCTTCAACTTTCCTGAGCTTTGGTATCAACATTATTCTTCTCATGGAGTCCCTTCCAGTCCTGCGCAGATGCGCCTGGCAATCTTGCCGACGAGCCTCATCACCTCTTCTCCTCGACTTCCTCGCTCCCTCGACCCTGCACCGCTCCCAACGCCGCCATGCCTCGACCGGCCCCGGCTCACCCGGCAGCTCCAAGCCACGCTACGTGCTCAGCAAGAAACAGCGAGAGTTCCTCGACAGCGCCCTGCGCGTCAATCAAGCCGGTGAACTCGCCGCAACACTCATCTACAAGGCCCAAACGCCCCAGATTGTCCGCTCGCATCCACACCTCCGGCCCCTGATGAAACACATGTACGATCAGGAAGCAGGCCACTTCAAGACATTCAATCAGCTCATCGCGAAACATGAAATCCGCCCGACGGCCATGTATCCCGTCTGGGAGGTGGCGGCGACATTTCTCGGGTGGTCGACTGCTGCGTTGGGCCGGGAGGCTGCCATGGCGTGCACCGAGGCCGTCGAGACGGAGATCGGATCGCATTACAATGATCAGGTGAGAGAGATCCTCTCGTGGGAGGCGGATGCCCAGCGGCGTGGTGAGGAGTTGGACGAGGAGCTCAAGGAGATGCTGTCGACTTTTCGCCGGATCCGTGACGAGGAACTCGAGCATTTGGATCATGCCGTGGCCAACGACGCGAAGGAGGCCAAGCCGTACGATCCGCTGGTGGATGTGATTCGTCTAGGATGCAGGACTGCCATCAAGATCAGCGAGAAGGTCTAACCGGATCAATCGTGTATAATATCCTCATATCATGTCTTCATCTATGCCCTGGATCTATCTTCATGCAAATCATAACCGGGTATCAAAGCAAAAAGGACCAGCCCACCCGTTTACTCTGCAGAGTTCTTCTCCAGATAATCCAGGAACCCCCGCGAGAAGCGCTCAACCTGGTGATAAACCTCCTCAAACCCATTCGCACCACCATAATACGGATCCTGCACGACCTCCCCACCACCAACTCGAGCATGCAGCTTCCCGTCAGCCCCAAAATCCCCAAACAACCGCACATCCGCAACCTTCGCATCCGCGACCCGCTCTGCAATCGCCGCCTCAGCGCCCGCCCGGGTAACTCGAGAGTGTGACAAGGGAGCAGCAAGCATACCAGACTTTCGCTTCACCGACCTAATTACCGACTCCCGCGTATCCAGCAGATCCCTCAGGTTATACTTGTCCATGGCGAGGAGGTAGTCGAAGTTCAGGAAGTCCTCCTTGGTGACTTTGCGGGCTGCGTGGCTGTAGTTGGTGATTCCGTGCCGGCGGAGCGTGGACATCGTGCGCGAGTCGGGGGTTCCATTGCGTGGTAGGCGCCTGTGCCGGCGGAGTCGATCTCGCTCACTAGGGAAGGGTGCGAGGCGGCGAGGTTGCGGAAGACGCCTTCGGCCATGGGTGAGCGGCCTACACGGGGTCAGTATGCGTGGACGGATGTGTTGATAGGTAGGGAAAGCGGGCGTACAGATGTTGCCGAGGCAGACAAAGAGGACGCTTGCGGGGCGTCCAGTTGAATCAGAGGCCATTGTGGGTGTGTATGTGTTGGTGTATTGAAGGAAAAGCAATTGAGCCTGACAGAAGCTGGCAGTATATCGTTATCGGCTCACACCGCCTTGCCACTTATCAAATGGTGACTCTGCTGGTCCTACGTTCCCCATTCACATTCACGGTCCTAGCAATACAATTCTGATTGCTCTCTTTCCAGATTTGCGTAATAGAGATCTCACACGCAGTATCTCGAAGAATGGCAAAGAGGCGCAACGAGAATGACTTCATGGAATCAGCGGCCCAACCCCTACTTCTGCTCGCACTGACGACGACAGCCCAACACCGACTAGCGTGCCTACAATTAAGATAAATTGCCATAAAAACCGTTCAGAGTGATATACACTGCTTTCGTATGTTTTAGCACCAGATTTATGTCGACGTCACAGACAGATCCTTGATCTGGAACGTTGTATCTTGTATATGGTCAGCATGTTGACGGAAAGCCGAACAAAACAAAACTCACTGTATTCAGGTCCTGGAGAACCACTGCTTCCCTCCATCTGGTAGTCAATGATCAGGTAAAGGGCTTGGTTAATATATCCCTGGCCCCATTGAACAGTCTGCTCCACGCCATCCAGATAGAACGTCGCCTTGACATTCTCTCCACTCCCATCATCCTCAATCTGACACAAGACAGTGTGCCAGTCACTACTATCTGAGTATTCCACGTTGTCTGAGGCAACTACAGAACTAGTGTTGAATGTGTTGAACGAGATTTCGCCATCACCCTTCCACTCCGCCATATCGATCTCTGGCGGCCAGCCGGAAACGGCAGTCAGCCAGAATGCAGGCCAGGTGCCGGTGATAGTTGGCGCAATGAAGGACGCGGAGAAAGTGTATGACTGGCCGGCGGCGACTGTGAACTCGTCCTTGGCATAGACGGTGCCTGCTGTCCATGCGTAGTCGCTGGCACCGGTGTACTGGGACGTGAGAGTCAAGACACCGCCTGTTGCCACGGCGTGCGAGGCTGTCATTGAGGCGGCGCCATTGTGGGTTGATCCCCAGGGGTAGTCGTAGTCGAAGTATGACTCTAACTGGGCTTGGTCGTCGAAGCAAGTGGTAGGGATAATGGTGGTGTTTGCCGTAACGCAGGAAAGAATTGCCAGAGATACTGTCAGGTATTTCATCGTTTTTGCGGATAAAAATTGGAATATTTCAATGCCCTTTTCAGGCCAGTATGTTTGAATTAGAATCTACGAAAGTAGAAAATTTGGTAGTCATGTCACAATATATATACTGCAACGTGATAGCATCACGCAGGACCCTGCATTATAGATTCATCGGAGTGAGACACCTAATGCATCTGGGTTACTTCAGACCTCCACAGACATAAATACAATCTACCTGTTCCTGGTAGGAATAGCTCAGGTGCGAATGGAATGACCCTCCGGAGAATTGCCCTTCTGAGTTTAAATGATCTGCACGTTGCAGGCGGCGCGCATACACTCGAATACTACATATCGGTAAAAAAACAGGGACAGTCAACACTTTGAAGGTATTTTCTCTACGTATGAAGCTGCTGTGAGACTAAACTAGACATAATGCTTCCTTGGACAAGGAGAGACTTCGGGATAACGTAAACCGATCATGGACGGATGATGCGGGGAAATTAGTTATTTTAAGCAGCGGAGCTAAGTTGCCGCCTATGGTATGCGGTTAATTGTATCCTACCATTGTCGGGCTTTGAAGGAAATGGATCTAGCATAGGCCGATCAACACCTTGACCTCAAAACCAACCTCACTACGGGCTCGAGAGGTTTACTGCACACTGCTCGGACTTTGATCAACCATCAGTCCGCGGCTAACAATGAGTCTCTTACTTTTTTATGTTGCGCTTTCGAGCTGTCTTTCTTCAGCTGCAGGATTGACCTTCAATGTTCCCACAACGCCGCCGTCAAACTCGAGCGGGCAGATCTCTGCAGCGCCAGTTGGTGTTTCGTAGGTTGCTTGATTCCTTTTTCCATAACGAACAGACGCTTATATCGTAGTCTGGAATTCTTCACATTTCCCGCATACATGAATGACGTCGCTTCCACTACAACCTGTCTGCAGAATTTGAAAGACCTGACGGGAACCTGGCCGCCCCTGCGAATCGGCGGCACAACTCAGTAGGTGATGAAAACTACTATTGACAGACCATTTTCACTAACTAGAAGTAGGGATCGAGCCACCTATGATCCATCTTTGACTCAAGCAGTGAACTACTCTGTAGCCAGTCCAGATGATGCTCCAGAGACACTCACCTTTGGCCCGTCATTCATTTCCCTCGCTTCCACCTACGATGGAGACGTGATTTTGGGTCTCAATCGTCGCCTGAATAATATATCAGACACTATCGCCGCTGCAACTCTTGCTCATACAAAGATGGAAAATTTATATGCCATTGAGCTTGGCAACGAACCAAACTGTCAGTCTCGATATCCTGGTTAGCTGCCAAATAAACTAATTCAAGCGCATAAACAGTCTTCACAAGCAGTGATCCTATCGCTGAAGGGGAGTCATGGACTGCTTCTGCTGACTACTCGTCACAAGTATCATGGCAGACCGAAGTGTGCGGGAATTTGTCTGGCTCGGAACTCATCTCTGCTGGTGTCTACTTTGGGACTTCGCCGATGAGCATTGCCGGACTGACTGCTCAGGAGGGCAGCGCAAATTCCTATGTGAAGGACTATTGCTCGCATAACTATCCGCAGTCAGCCAGTACTGCCAATCTGTCAACCCTCATGGGTCACAGTGACATTGCATCGCAAATCGAGCCTTTTGTTTCCCAGGTCTCCGCCGCTGCAGGCGAGGGCAAGCCGCATATTTTTGGAGAGACCAACTCCGGTACGTCCCCTCTGTGCTCAGCTGGGCCAGGCTTTAACATCTATAATAGCAACGCAAGGAGGAGGCGGTATTAGTCCGACTTTTGGTGCTGGTCTCTGGATTCTAGACTATGCCATGCAGACCCTTCTCATGGGCACCGAGGTATGTGGCTCACATCTGAAGAATCAATATCTATAGCTAACGATTGCCGTCTACAGGCATTGTATTTTCACCAAGGAACAATTGGCAACTGTAAGTAATCTTGTGGCTCGTGGTATTACCCTAGCTCACTCTCAGTCAACAGGCCAATACTGCTGGTGGGGCAGGTACGACATGGGCTCCCCCTACTATGGTGCTTATTTTGCATCCATGGCGTTGGCAAATGCGGACCAAATTGCTCCGTTAGACGCCCAGGATACACCATACGCGGCTTACGCTATATACAAGGCGGGATCCCTGGCCAAGGTTCTCCTCTATAATTCCGAGTACTATGCCAGTGGCACTCGATCCTTACAAACATTTACTCTGACTGGTTTGTCTGCGTCTGAAGTCACAGGCAAGCGTTTGACGGCTCCTTATGCTACCTCACGGGTTGATGAAGGTGAAAACCCGACCGTTGCTGGTCAGACGTTTGAGAATGGAACCTGCACTATCCAGGGAACAGAAATGATAGAGACTGTTACCGTCTCCGCTGGGAAAGCAACATTTACTGTTGGAGCCTCGGAGGCGCTTTTGATCTACCTCTAAAAAGGAGACGGAGCTGGCTAACTTTGTTCTTAGCTTAGTTGTGGACTATCCAGTTTGGATAAAAAGAGACTTGGTGAGCCTATCTGGAAGATTAATCTAGTAGAAGCCGCTGGAGTAGGGAAACCATTTGTATCTCGTGGCTGGTCAACTCTTCCTTCGCATTTTTCGAGCCAGTGGTATAGACTGGAAAACCGAAGGCCAAAATCAGGAGAGCTGTTCAATACTCCCAAAGCGAAGAGCTTATTATCAAATGTTTTGGGAACTTGATACGCTATGTAAGCGATCCTGCCGTGGAAAATATTTACCCGATTCTATGATGCGAGTACAGCAGCCTGCAAGAAAAGTCCAAGTAGAGCCAAGGTTAGCCCGGGATAAAAAACACCGAGTTGCTCCAGAAGCGGAATAGTGATCCAGTCAACTGGTTGCTTGTGAACGCCCCAGCGGCGATTGAACTCTCAATCAAATGCCGATAGTTAGTGGGTACAAGTTAGCGAATTAACCGATTTGTTGGTTCACAACTAGCCGATGACCTTCCAAGGTAACTATGGAAAGCACTTCCCCGCATTAGGACTCTTTGAGACTAGGGCCCAGAAGAGCTGGCAAGCCAAGCCCTCTTTTTTTGTAGGGCTACGGGTCGAAAAATGTTGGCTATAAAGGCTGGAGTCCGGCTTATTCCCCACGGCGTACCTTGACGCCAACCCTTGCACGCTCATACACGATGGATCTGGCAAAGGGAAACAGCGAAGCGATCGAGCATGTCTCCACACAGCAGGAACCTTACATGGTCTCCAAGGAGCGGCCTGTCATGCGGGCTAAAGTAGACGACTTTACCGTGTGGCAGAGTGTGAAGCAGTTCAAGCTTGTGTCCCTAGTTGCCATGGCTGCAGCGTTCAGTGCATCGCTCGATGGGTACCGTAAGGCATCTGGAGCAGGTTCAAAGCGAGAAATAATGGTCTGACTGGCTCGAACAGAAATCAACCTTAACGGCGGAATTGTGTCGAACAAAGGATTTATTGGCCAGATGGCCACCGCGGGCACTACGATCATTGAATCAAAATACGTTTCGGCGTGGGGAGGAATCCAATCAGCCGGCCAGGCGGTCGGTCAAATCGTATGGCTTCTTGTGTTCTGGTGGTTTTACAGATGATCTAAAAACTTCCTAAGCTCCTCCAATACGCCACCGAAGCATACGGGCGAAAGGTTGCGTTATACATTATTTTTGTCGACCTGGTTGTGGTAAGTACCGGTTTTTGCGTTGGCTACATTTATTTGATAGAAATATCTGACCTGTCTGCTGATATTAGAGTATTTTCATTGAGAGTTTCGCTACTCGCTGGGACCACTGGCTTGTCGCAAAGCTCTTCTCCGGCATGGGCGTTGGCATGTTGCAGTCTACTATGCCTCTTTACCTATCAGAGATCTCTCCTTCTCAGCTTCGAGGTCTGTATATCAACGCCTACAGCTTGTAAGTATGACACATCTTTGGAAATGGTCATGTCTGACATGATTAGTTGGTTTGTCATTGGCCAGATCTTCGCTTCAGTGGCGCTCAACCAGCTCAACGCCGTGGACCCGTATAATTTCCGGACACCTATCTATACGCAGGTTAGTTGAAATCCAACCATGAGTTGTGATTATATTTAAACTGACCCGTTTGTGAATTTTAGTGGGCGATGGTTGGCGCAATAGGATTCATCTTCGTGCTTCTTCCGGAGTCGCCATGGTGGCTCGTCAGCAAAGGAAAGCTCGAACAAGCAGCCAAAATCTTGAAAAGATACAACGGCAACGTCAAGGAGTACAGTGTTGATGAGCAAATTGTATGGACACTTCTGTTTTTAAGGTAGAACCATGCTCATCTTCATTCCAGGAAGTAATGACCGCAACAGTTGCAGAGGAGCGCCTCGTTGCCGAACGCAACAGGGAAGAAGATAGATGGGCTGTCTTCCGAGGACGCAATCTCATCCGCTTCATCATTGCTGGCTGGCCCAAGATTGCGCAGCAGTTCGTTGGACTTGCCGTATTCAACACTTATGCTACATATTTCTGTAAGTGAATTCCTTACCCTCCATGCATATCACGCGTCCCTAACTGGGATTCCAAGTCCAATATGCCGGATTCCAGGATCCGTTCCAGGTTACCATGATTCTATCTTGTGTCCAGCTCATCTCGATGATCCTCTCAGCCTCACTGACCGATCAATTCGGCCGCCGCCCGCTTACAGTTTACCCCTACGCAGTCACAAGCATATCACTGCTATGTCTGGGTATCGTCGGCTGCTTCGACTATACCAAGCCAGCACTGAGCTCCCTTCTGGTAAGAAACAAACACCCCGGTCAATGTTCTCTGAATACCAGCTGACAGTTCCGGTCAAGATCTTCTTCGCCTGTCTGGCCACATTCTCAACCACCGGCGCATCGGCCATTGGCTATGCGTACGCGGCTGAAATTCCTCAGCAGCGTCTGCGTGCCCAGACAGCAGGATGGGCTTTGGCCTTGTCCAATGGAGTTGCAATTATGTTTAGCTTTACCACGCCCGAGATGATTAATGGGACTGTTACCCAGTGGGGTGTGAAAACGGGTTTCTTGTGAGTATGAGAGCATTCCTGGAGGGCATAAATGCTGACGATGAATTTTCTACAGCTTTGCGGCAACGGGCGCCATTGCTGTGGTCATTGCTTGGTTTATTCTCCCTGAGGTGACGCGTCGTACACCTGCTGAGATTGATGAGATGTAAGTGCTAGCAGCTTTGAAGTCAAATATGTGCCCTTTTATTGGAGGGAGCTGACATATTTCTGGGAGCAGGTTCGAGAATAAGGTCGGCCTTCGTAAATTCAAGGGATATGTCACCGAGGTGCAGATACACGCGGATGAGCAGCATCATGCAAGAGAGTTGACAGCCAGGGCTTAGGGCCGGGATAAATTCTCCGAGGAATGCTGCACATGTGGCATATGCAAGGTTGTCTATTGAACATTTTCTTTCAAAAACAATGCCCGTTGAAGTAGTACGTGTAGATCGCTTGCGTAGTCCTTGAAATGAGATGTGGATATCCAAAACCTTTCTATATTTAACGGATCTTATATCCCAGGCTTTCTAATCCAAATAATGTGCCCACTTCGCGTGTGATACGTATCTATATAAATCCTTCTTTGTACACTAGATTGATAGAGTCGACGACTCCATGGTCCTGTTTTACCCCTCCAGGGAGTTGGCTGATGACCTCCACAGCTTTCTCAAGCCGTAGGGTAACTTGTTTCTCATCACTGTCGCCAGTCTGCCAAGACACCGTAGCAAGATTGTCCCTACCAAGGGCGATCTTTGCCTCTAGGGCCGCACTCAGACGGAGACGAGGCTTGAAGAGAACCTTCGTGCACCCCGACGCAATAGGCTGAATGCCCGCTAGCTCGGTACAGTACTCATAGATGGGCACGCTCCCCCAGGCATGGCAATCCGAGCGTTGTCGCACATCATCCTCTTCCCAAGTTGAGAGGTTATTCGCAAGCATCTGCCGCCAAGGGGCCCACATGGAATCCCAATGTCTCTCGTAAACATCATCACCAGCCATTGAGAGTGCTCGAAGCATGTAGAAACGCATCATATACGAACACTTGGAGAAATGCGGGTTGCCAAGCGAATGAGCTAAGAGCGACGCGCAACTCTCGGGTGCAGCAGCGCCTGACAGAACTGCGAAGATCTGGCAGTGTTCAGAAAAGGCCCCGTCCTCTGTAATGTTGGCCGTCGAGTCTGTGAAGAATGCTCCGTCATAGCAGTGAGTTCGGATTGCTTTTAGAAGCGATGCGGCTCGCGATTCGTACTCATCTGCGTGACCTGGCCGCCCAGCGTCACGGACAAGCTGGGCTGCTTTTTGAAGGACATAGGCATACAGCATACTGAAGTATGTGTGCCTGTTTGACTTGCGGCCTGCGGTTGGGACACCCTTATCCGCGTGCTCCTCAGTCGCACCCCATGTGGTCACCCAGTCTACATACTGCCATACAACCTCCGGGAGTCCGCTGACCAGACCCAGATCATCGATATGAGAATCAAAAAAGTCAAGGACGCCATCGATGCGCGGGACGAAGCCACGCGCAAACTTCTTGTCGCCGAAGAACAGGTGATGGTCGCATACCTGTAGAATCCAATACAAGGAGAATCCGGCGACAATTTGCGGAACATGAGAGGGGAATCTGGACTGTGTGAGACCCTCTGGTGTGACCGAGGCAGCAAAGTTGGTGATGGCCTGTCTCATGAGTCTGTCATCGCCGGAAAGGAGGTAGTGAAACAGGCCCACCGAGCGACTATCACCGGAATACTGAAGCTGCTCGTAGAAGGGGCAGTCGGAGTATCCGTCGAACATGCAGTTTCGCATCGTTCGAATGGACACATCCCAAATTTGTTTAGTAACTTGATCACCCGGCTCGTTCCAGGTAGCCTTGACTGCCATGGGATAATTGACTTGGGTAGCCTCGAATTGCAGGAGCTCAACTGGCTCCGGTCCAACGGTGATTTCAAGTCTCATCACACGGAAAGTTCGAAACCAGAACGGTTCATAAACGACGCTTTGCTCGCCCGTGAGATTGAGCGTTACGTCGTCATATGGGCCAACTATTTGACCATTCTTGGAGTCCAACCGATCAGCTTTGGATCGAAAGAATGGGTACGAGCGAGGCTCAAGTTCGTATCCCTCTGAGTACGTCACGCGAAGTTGGACGTGTGAATTTCCCTTGAAGGCCCATCGGACAAATGCAGTGGAGTGGACATCTGCTTGCAACTCAACGATGTGCGAAGAGCCCCCGGGAAGGCTTAATGGCCGATCACTAGATAGATGGTCTGTCCAGTCGTAGATAGATGCAGTACTTTCGCATGCTCGAACAGTATTAACCACAGCGCGGCTCGATTCTGGCATCGGAATGGCGCGGGGGCGCAGATTCCAGGGCGGTATGTCTCCATTCAGTGTCCTGATACCATATGCAATCGGAGTCACTTTGGGAGCTGGAGGTGTGGGCACAATACGTTCGCTGATCTGTTGAAAGTTAGAAAACGACAAAAGTGTGTTTTTGTGAGCGCTCACGTGAAGAAACACGTCGTCCGCCAGGCCCATCGGGAAGCGAATGCTCTCATCCACTTGAGCCTGCCAGTTCTGTGCCGAATTGAGCTCCACGACCTCGCTCCCCGCCTCCACGCAGCCGACAACTGTCAAACCAGGCCACAACGTCCTCTCAAACGGCATCGCACTGCGCGAGGCTGCAAAGTACCGGATCACCACGAACCGAATCTCATTTTCTCCGGTGTTTAGGAACGGCGCGATATCCAGGGTGTCATAGTACCAAATGAGCGGACTGCTCCTGGTCGGTCCCACGGCGACGCGGACTCCATTGACGAATAGCTTGTACCGAGTATCGGCAGAAAAGCGCAGCAGTGCCCGAGTCGATCGCGATGAGAGACTGACAGTCCGAGTGAAGTGTACGATTCGACCGGCGGTGTTGTCGGGGGAGGAATCGACCCAGTCGGGGATCCAAATCCAGTTCGCTTGGAGCTCATTGATGATCTGCCGCGAGGGGGTCAGCGATGCATGCAATGATATTCTGGTGAAGTAATATTGTTCGGACCTTTTGGCCATCCACTACCTCCATCTTGGAATTCTTAGATGTGGAAGAGTCACTTAGTGGTCCGACATTTTTATTAACGCGCATCGCGGGGTTGACCGAGCTCGGGCAAGGAGGGCCCGAAGGCTCCACCGGCCGGGTAAATGCGCAATATGGGTTCGTCTAGTATTTGTTGTGTCTCTACTTAAAACCAATAATGTATGAATTATTTTCCTAATAGTTCCACGGGAGCGCCGTTATGTACTAGAAAACTAAACGTCAATTTATCATCCTAAACGGGCGGCTTCGCAGTGGAAGACGGATCGAATTTGGGCACAGAAGCTAGGATCCTCACTCTTATTCGATTTCAATAGCTTGAAGCATAAAAAATCCAAAAAGATCTGGTGAATGAAGATTCGCTCCTCTCGAAAGGTTCGCGACCTCCGCAACAGTACAGATTCGATTCCCGGTATTGCACTACCAGAGAACTTTGAAGAGTTACTCTTGCGCTGGACCAAGCTTGGACGGAAAGAGGTTCAAGCGCTCGGAAACTTGGATCTTAGATGTGGATCTCTGTTGCTAGCATTTGATCCCTTTCTGATATCTGCATGTCATAGTATGTGACGTTGGATAGGGTTGACGAATCAGCCTTATGGGGACCGGACACCTCAGGCAGCAATCATGCACTCGATCTCCCTCCCTTGCCTTGATTGCCACCACGACCAACGTGGCATCTCATGACGTGCAGATGATATATTCCGACCGACTCTCCGTACTCCGGGAAGTCCTAACTTATTCTCACGCTGATCATGAACTTACTCGTGTGTATTGTCGTAGAATCCAGCAGCCTACACTCCGTCCAGGCTAAAAAAAGAATGTCCCGCCACAGCATTACTTACTAAGCGTGGCGCAGACACGGTTGGCCCAGTGACCATCCAGTACCATCCACGGGTCGCATGTTTCAGCGCCAATAAAAGTGGGCTTTGTGCGGTTTTCAGCTTTGCCGACTCTAGTTGATCCAGGCACGGACACTCGTTTGATTCTCCCTCCCTCTTCTCTCACGTCTGCCTCGAGGATCGATCCACTGCGGGTCAGCCTTGGCTCGGTCTCATTCGTGTTGCTACTCCACACGCCTCAGCCATCGAAGGCGGCGTCAACACCCAAAATCTCAGAATACGAACAGAATTGCTTGACCACCTATTATCTACTCACCTCCTTGCGAATCTGCCGGTCACATTCCCTCTTGCACTCCGCTGTCCGATACACTCAGTCGGGGAGATCATCTTTGTTTGGGCCTATCGGAGCCCACTCCTGAAACCGCGCCGAGCCCCCCCCAGTCAACATTCCACCAAGCCCTCCTGGCGCAATCTCCATCCGACAAGCCCCTGCCAGGAACTTAGGGGTGTTTCCCCTAATCTTTCTCTGAAACTTGCCAAACTCAATATCCCCGAGGCATAGTCGCCCGCTATGTCGTATAATCGTGTCGGTCAGTTTACTTCTCCTTTTCATGTGCTTGCTGGGTTGCGGGACTCTCCGCCGTTGCAGAACATCTCCACCTGCGACTCGCACGACCGCTGCCTTGTGCGCGGTTCCTCTATACTGAGTACTGACATTTGCGCTCGCCAGATCCCTTTGGGGACCAGAACCGGTCGCCCATGATGAATCCTCACCACCCGAATGTCCGCACGCCTTCCCCCGGCCGGCCGTTGGAAGCCTACCAGCTGTCGGACAATCCATACGGACACAGCGGTCATCTGCCTATGCCATCCACTGATCGCTTGGCTGAACAACCGACAGTAAGTGCCTGGAAAGGGGTCATTTTTGTGAAGAGAAAAACTAATGGCGATGGGTAGTACTCCGTCGAGAATATCCACGGCTCCTACGGCCACAACGAAATGTACGAAGCACATGGAGGTCACTACCCCGGTTACGAGTACGCGGTCGACCCCAATGCCCACCATGACGCCTATTACAACCAGCCGTACGAGCCCACGCATACACCGCAGGATGACTACGACTTGGGACAGTATCCAGAGGGTGGGCATACTCCGTTTGACGACACCAGTGCTCCTATGCTGGCGAATGCTCAGAACCCCTTTGAGGGGCCAGACCCGTATAGAGATGAGTTCCACGACGAGCGGCCGACCCCTAGCCCGGCACCCATTCGGCGTTGGAAGACGGTCAAGGAAGTTCAGCTGTTCAACGGCAACCTCGTGCTGGATTGCCCAATTGCGCCGCGGCTGCTCAGCCAGGTGCCGCACGCCGAGCCTCCGGGCCGCGATGAGTTCACCCACATGCGCTATTCGGCCGCCACCTGCGACCCTGCTCAATTCTTCGAAGAGCGCTTCACGCTGCGCCAGAAGCTATTCGCCAAGCCGCGCCATACGGAGCTGTTCATCGCGGTCACCATGTACAATGAGGATGACTTCTTGTTCGCGCGCACCATGACGGGTGTCTTCAAGAACATTGAACACATGTGTTCGCGCACCAGCAGCAAGACATGGGGCAAGGATGCTTGGAAGAAGATCGTGGTGTGTGTGATTAGTGACGGTCGTGCCAAGATCAACCCTCGAACTCGGGCTGTGCTGGCTGGTCTGGGTGTGTACCAGGACGGTATCGCCAAACAGCAGGTCAATGGCAAGGATGTGACGGCGCATATTTACGAGTACACGACGCAGGTGGGCATCGAGCTGAAGGGCGAACAGGTCCATCTGAAGCCGCGTTCGGGACCCCCGTGCAGATGATTTTCTGTCTGAAGGAAAAGAACCAGAAGAAGATCAACTCCCACCGCTGGTTCTTCCAGGCGTTCGGTCGTGTGCTGGATCCCAACATTTGTGTTTTGCTGGATGCGGGTACCAAGCCTGGCAAGGACTCGGTTTACCACCTGTGGAAGGCCTTTGATGTCGAGCCCATGTGCGGTGGCTGCTGTGGAGAGATCAAGGTCATGCTGTCACACGGCAAGAAATTGCTGAACCCTCTGGTGGCCGGCCAGAACTTTGAGTACAAGCTCAGTAATATCCTGGATAAGCCCCTGGAGTCTGCGTTTGGGTTCATCTCTGTGCTGCCCGGTGCCTTCTCCGCCTACCGGTATGTTGCGCTGCAAAACGACAAGAATGGCCAGGGTCCACTGGAGCGATACTTCATGGGTGAGAAGATGCACGGTGCCAACGCCGGTATTTTCACTGCGAACATGTACCTGGCCGAGGACCGCATTCTCTGCTTCGAGATTGTGACGAAGCGAAAATGCCGGTGGCTCCTGCGGTACGTCAAGTCGTCGACTGGTGAGACGGACGTGCCTGATCAGATGGCCGAGTTCATCTTGCAACGCCGTCGTTGGCTGAACGGCAGTTTCTTCGCCGCCATCTACGCCATCACCCACTTCTACCAGGTCTTCCGCAGTGACCACAGCTTCCTGCGCAAGTTCATGCTCATGATCGAGTTTATCTATCAAACGATTGCCATCATCTTCGCTTGGTTCGGCATCGGTAATTTCTTCCTTGTTTTCCACATCCTGACGACTTACTTGGGCGCATCCGATCTTTTGGGTACGGTGGGTAAGATCCTGGGAATTGTCTTCGAATGGCTCTACCTCGCAACTCTGGTCACTTGCTTCGTGCTGGCGCTGGGTAATCGCCCCGGCGGATCCAACAAGTTCTATATGACCATGGTGTACTTCTGGATTGGCATCATGTGTTATCTGTCCTTCGCGGCCGTGTTCGTCACGGTGAGATCGGTTCAGGAAGACTTGAAAGAACACCCGACTTTCGAGATCAGCGAGATTTTCAGGAATAAAACGTTCTTCTCGATCGTTGTTTCGATAGGCTCGACCTATCTCATGTGGTTTGTAGCCTCGGTCATCTTCCTGGATCCGTGGCACATGTTTACCTGCGTATGTCCCTGTCACCCTTTTTGGCCCGTCTCCGTCTCTTTCTAACCATGTCCAGTTCATCCAATACATCCTGCTCACACCGACATACATCAACGTCCTGAACATCTACGCCTTCTGCAACACCCACGACATCACCTGGGGAACGAAAGGTGACGACAAGGCTGAGAAGCTGCCGTCCGCGAACCTGAAGCCCGGCGGTAAGGTCGACGTGAACATCCCGCAGGATGACGGCGATCTGAACGCCCAGTACGAGGCCGAGCTGCGCTCATTTTCTGTGAAACCTCCCAAGGAGGTGAAGAGCGTCTCCGAGGAAGAGAAGCAGGCAGACTACTACAAGGGATTCCGGAGTGCTGTCGTGCTGGCCTGGGTCTTCTGCAACTTTGCGCTCGGCGCTGTTGTGCTCAGCGCGGCCGGTCTGGAGAACTTCGATAACCAGACAGCTGGCTCCAATGGCCAGGATCTCACCCAGAGCAATCGGTCCCTGATTTACATGCAGGTCGTGCTATGGAGTGTGGCGGCGCTGTCGTCGTTCAAGTTTGTCGGTGCCATGTGGTTCTTGGTCGTTCGGCTGGTGAGTTTCTGTCTCTCTGGCATGTGTCCATTCTCAAGTACTAACGATGTCAATAGTTCCGCGGTGTTTGATCTGATGATTGTGTTTCTTTCAGCCCTGCAGCTCCATTCTTGCGTGTCTTGTCTTGTCTTTTGTGCTTTTCTACTACCCGTTGATTCGATACCACTGCGGGCACGGTCTGGTATGGAACGGAAAATTGCCATATGGTATAATATGCATGACGACCTCCCTGCGGTGCTTCTTTCTCTCCGTCTGTGTGCATGGTGGCGTGCTCGATAGTTTTGGGGTTGCCAGTCTCTCCGATGGGAGGTGGGATTGAATTGGATTGGGATTGGGATATGGGATATGTACTGTATCTGTAGATATTAGTCTAACTCTAATCTCGAAGTGAGAGTTCTTCCAAGCTTCGATCATGTTCCCTGCCATTATGTATGAAGTTTTGAGCATTATTATATTCAGTCCTGACTACTCCTATCTCCGGACGTTACGAGTCCGATTACCCCGTCGTCTGATTCTTCGAATGAACACACAACGCAATCCCACCCAGCACGAGAAACAGCCCCAACCACGTCTCCCGGGCAATCACCTTCCGCTCAACGTACCACTCCCCCAGAACGGTGAATAGGAACGCGCTGGAGTTGGCCAGTGGGACAGTGAGTGAGAGCTCTGCAGAAAGCGGGAGTTAGCATTCTTTTCTTTTCACTTCCCGCGAACCAGGAGATATACATACCGTGTTTCCCAACAAGCAGAAAAAACCAAATACTCCCCGTCAGATTAATCACCAGCGGAATCGAGTATGCCGGCGTGCGCAGCAGATTGATCACTGTCCAGAAGAGGGTGGTGATCTTGGTGCGTAGCCAGGAGCGGGATGATGAAGAGGATCGCTTCCATGCAGGCGTGGGAGTGTTATCTTCGTCGTTGTGTTCGTCTGAATCTTCGGTATCGTTGTTAGGGTTGTGACCGTCTGCACGATCCCGCCGGGCGCTCGACGACTGTCCCGATGTACCCCCAAGCTGCAACGCAGCCGCCCTGTCATCCTCATCCTCCTCCTCCTCTCCTTCATCACGGGCAAGCAACTCCTGCTCCTCCTCCAAACCAGTGGTTGTAGATGTAGTCCGCGGTGTATCCGTAGTCGCCCCCGGCCCCCGACTCAATTTCTCCTGGCGCGCGTTAAAATCCGCTGCCGCGCGCCGGATGAACGGGGTCGTGAAGCCCCACGCGACGCCGACCAGGAGGAACGAGAGCACGTAGTTGAAGACGGCGGGCGCCGGATCGGCGGGCGCACTGGCGTCGGGGTCCATTGTATGGGCTGATTGGGGAGGTGCTGCCCGGGTGGAGGATGAGAGGAGACCGTGGGACGAAGGATGTTGAAAGTTGGTTTGGCCCGAGCGCTAGGGAGAATGTATGGAGCATTCCCCTTTTTTCCATTCTATGGTTCTACGATAGAGTTTGGTTCTTGTCTCTACAATACGGATTTGAGAGCGAGAGAACTATGTTCTGAAGAATAATGATGATCTAGGACTAGTCTATGCACTTACTTTGATCGACAGCCTTGTCGTCATGGACAGCACAACAGACACACTACCCAACCTCCCCCGACTCTCGGGTGGCACCCTGAGACCCGTCACGTCGATCGTTTAACACCGGCAAAAATAGCAGCACAACGCACTCATCTGCCCTGTTCTTGCATCTATGCCGTCTAAGGTGAGACAGGATCAGTAAATAGTAACCCGGCAGCCTGCTACACAGCCAACGGCGGGCCTCATCTCACCTCACCTCAACCCGCAATTTATTTTTGGGATCATGGATCCTCGATCATCCCCAGCACCAGAAAGTCTTAGAAGACCCGGTTTTCCAGCCACGCATCGCGGCAGCGATCGTCACCCCAACCGTGGATTATTGGCTCGCGGCGGTCGGGTAGCTCAACCCCGGCTAACTGCCTCCAGCAACTAACGGGGCGCTGTGCACAACGCGGTGAGATCCTCCAACACCTAGCGAATCGGGACCCCCGCTGCAGTTGCGGCTATTAATACTTGGCTGGAGTGAAGGATGAAAAGCTTAGACACAGCCGAAAGTAATTAAATAACTCGTCATGGCCCAACCCTCCTTTTAACAACGCATCCATTACTTTATCAGTCCACTCGCTACAGCTCTTCTGATCATTACTCTCGCTTGAATAACGCCGAACAACTACCTGTTTCAATAATTTTAATTTCTTTCCCCACCACAACCAAACCAGACACAATGAAGTTCATCGCTCCCCTCGCTGCTTTCGCCAGCGTCGCCCTGGCCCAGAATGCCCACATCGCTTTTCCGCATGGAGCCACGGCCACCGCGGGTGACGAGTACCTAATCCAGATTCAGCAGCCCGTATGTCTACCCATATTCCTAGAAGAAGCAAAAGAGCTAACCCACCACCCAAGGACTCCCTGACCAGCCTCATGAATTTCGGGATTGCTATCGGCATTTCCTCCTGCGCCCAAAGCAAGTGCCTCCCCGCCAAAGAGGAAATAGGCGACGTTCTCTACGCGGGCCCCTTCAATCCCGAGTTCCACCAGACCGGCGGCCATGGACCCTACCAGAACTTCACGGTCAAGATCCCCAAGTACCTGGCTGCGGGCAAGGCGCAGATTAACGTTGCCCATGCCTATCTCCTCGGGGTAAGTGGATCGATCACATCATTGATGAAAAGATCAATCAATGTTAATACTGATTATCAATAATAGGCTTCGTTATATCCCGTTATGAATACTCTTAACGAGACTATGCACATCACCAAATAGGGTTCGGGTCTACAGGGAGTAGGGTATGCTGTATATGCTTTGTGGTACGGGGAGTTTTTGTGTTCTTTTTCTTATATAAATTGGACATTCATTTGAGTATGATACTGCTTAATACCATGCATCACATTCACGATGAAACTTCCTATTTCATGTGCCTGTAACATTGTGCAAATACAAGGCCTACTTGGAGGGGAACCAGCAATAGCTAACGGACACCCGTCAGATTTAACTATCCTTAATGACTTGCCGACTACCTGAGAATGAATCTTGGTCTTTCGCGGCTTACGATTGGTTGGGTGTATGTAGTAAGACCTCTCATCGGTTGATGTTCTGTTTGCTCTTTAGGGCCTCTCTGATTGGCCAACTCGGAAAAAAAAATTGGTCTCATAATTCAGAATATTGACTCTTCTATATTGCGCTCTACACTCACGCATCCATATGGGTGCGGGAGGAGATTTTATATATTGTTTTAATTATTGGGCGTAGATTTGGCAAAAAATCAGGTCCCCGCCGGGTTCGAACCGGCGACTTTTCGGAGGTGTCAGGCCAATGAAATGCCCAATCAAAACCGAACGACATGAACCGCTAGTCCAGGGGACCCATTTTATCTCAACCACAAAAATAAAGGCCTAGAGTACCACTCAACTTTTGGTCCGAAGTGTTCACGTCATGGTTTTGCGAAACAGTTTGTAAATGGATATTGGATAAACTGATTTTGAATATTGCTGGAATTTTGCGAAGCAGAGACGACATTAATTCGACGTTCGTCACGTCAAGGAATCAAGTCAACTGTCTGTAACTAACTTGGTCAGCGTCGGAAACTTCGGAGACCGAGAAGGGACCCGGGTCGGGGGCCGTTGGCTCAAAACAGCCTAACAAGGTTGGGTGATATGGGGATAATTCGGAGACCGAGATATCTCAGCCCAGGTGTTTGTAAGTTGCTTCAGATCTTACTTTGCTTGGTTTGCAATCAAAAATGGCCCAATGATTGAGTGTTTGAACTGTTTGGACTGTTTGACGCGGCCCTCGAGGATAAGCGCTAAACCTGATTTGGGGGGCTTACCGACGCCAGGTTGTCCCTTACGCCTGTTTGGGTCGGGCTATTGTCCGGCGAAGTGCCAGCACGTACTTAGTTATGTCCGGAAAGTGGTCGCCATAGCCCCCACCAAGGGATTCGATACCGTGTGGCTACAAAATACTATATAATCACCTTTGACCCTCCAAGAAGAAGAGAATCGTATTCCTCCAGAATATAAAACACCCTCTCTCACAATGTCGATTCCCTCTTCCCCCAAACTGGACGGCCTGGATATCATCCAAACCACCTACAAGAGAATCGGCGACCATGAAATTCGAACAGACATTTTGATCCCTCAAACAGCGCACGAGGGCCAACGACCGGTGATCATCCGTTTCCACGGTGGTGGCTTTGTATGTGATCCCATCCATTGACGTTGTATTGTTTCTAACCCACAACCAGGTCTTCGGCGACTCCTTGTACATGGATTTCTACCCGCACTGGCTATCCGATCTTGCCATCAAGCATGGCGCGGTGGTGATCTCGCCCAACTACCGCCTCATCCCCGAAGCCACCAGCACCGACATCCACGACGACATGGAGGATTTCTGGACGTGGATGCACTCGTCTGCACTAGCCGATCTGCTTGCTGCGCACACTACACCCACAGCAGTTGATCTAGATCGGGTCCTTACATTCGGCGAGTCGGCTGGCGGGACTTTAAGCATTAACCTCGCCCTCTCGCACCCGAGTGAAATCCGCGCCTGCATAGCCGCGTATCCATGCGTGGACCTTCTGTCTCCGGATTACCATACTCCGCGTGAAAAGCCACCATTCGGCCATAATTTCCCCAAGGAAGTCATCCAGAAAGTTCTGTCCTCTGCTGTCCCCGGCACGCCGGTGTCATCGATCACTGAGCAGGAACGACTGGTTTTCATGCTGTCGGGTATTGAGTACGGTGAGCTGGGCGGTCTCTGGGACAAGGGAGTGAAGGATTCAGAGCGAGCGAGAATTTACGCCCTTGAGAAACTCGAGCTGCCGGATTGCAGTCTGCCGCGTGGTGGCATGGCGATTATCCATGGCGCCGGGGATAGTGTCGTCCCTGCGCGCGGAGCGGAGAAGTTTGTGCATCGTGCGCGTGAGGTGCTTCGTGGGAAGCCTGGTGGGGATAAGATATTTTTTACTCTTAGAGATGGGGATCATGGGTTTGATGGCGATGCTCGGTATTCCGAGAAGTGGTTACAGGATACATTGAAGGTGGCGGTTGAGACCTGGTTGGAGTGATGGGTCGATTCATGTTAATAAGTAGTTGGATTTTATCCTTAAATCATAACAATAGTCAGTTCAAAAAGCAAATATGGATATCCAAACCAGGATTGTTAATAAAGAACCCATGATGGACCTGCTTGAAGGAGTACCCGCCCCTAGTAATTAGTCGGGCCCTTACCGGCCAAATTGCAACCCAGTCAAATTACAATTATTTCCTACCTACCAACTTTGGACCCCTATTATCAACGACCACGATGACCAAATCTAATCCTGAAGTCGAGATAAGGATTGCTGATACTTTAGACGTGTACCATAAGCGTTGCAAGCCAAAAATCGCAAAATTGGCTTAGGAATTTAGCATTCCCTGCGGCTAGTTAAGGGAGGGCGCGTTTAGGGTCGCTAATCCCATTCCGCTAGAACTCTACCAAACAACCCTTTGATAAGGACTAAGAGGATGCATTAATTTCATAGATACGTGGCCTTAACCACGCTACTCTCTGACCTCTTCCCTATGAGATCAAAAGTACTATAAATAACATTTTGTCACAAAGTGTTTCCGACAAACGCAACAGCAAAATCTAGGTCGATCGTTTTATAGAACGCCCCCTAAAACCTTCAAATTACAACCCTAAAAAAATATAGAAGCAAAGAGGCTAGATGTAGAAAGATTACTAGTAATATTCAGGTAGATTCACAAACTAGAGGGAGAGATAGAAGCTATTAAAGTAATACTACGTAATATCTATAACGTCGACGAAACTAGCTTCTAACTAGACTTCCGCATGACCTAACCCAACCTAGACCTAACCTAGAACTAGGTCTAGGGCCCTAACTTAGGTTATAAATATTGTAATTGAAAACCGTGGCGTGTCGCTGTCACGCGAAAGACGCCATCGGACGATGGCCGAGTTAAGTTTGAGAGGGTCCTCTTGAGAGTAAACTTGTCATGTCAGGTAGAACCGAAGAGACCAAGCCAGAGAAGAGGCGGCAGGTACATCATACGAACCTCCTTCTCGAGTTAACTTGGCCATCGCATGCATACCTCCTTCGCCTGGCTACATCTTTCGGGCAAAACACCACATTTTCCTCGTTGGGAGGAGGAGATGTGCTTTCGACGACCAATTTGAGAGCCGGGTGACACTGAGGAAGGAGGTTTGCACATGCGAAGAGTAACTATCAGGACATAGCCCCAGTTTAGTTAAGCATTAACCATGGCGTATTGCAATAAACGAATGCAAGTGTATAATCTCGTGAGAAGAGTTATAAATAGCAATGGCTTCGCCCTTAACGCCATCAGATTGAAAACTATGAACGATGACGTCTCGCCGATCAGGTCGGGAATCCGGCTTAGTCGTTAGTTGGATGGCACTTGGCTTACCTAGAGCATGGGCCATGGACCATGGCCAAATAGGAACGTGAGCGGAGGCCTTTGGAATAGCTACCACAATTTAAGGACTGTTGTCTTGGGGGTAAAGGGTGAACTGAGGTTCTAATGGATGATCATATTCGACCACCCCAAGCATTACTAAGGAACAGGTGGTGAATTTTGCTCACCTAGTGATGAAATTCATACCCCTGATATTTATTGAGGCGATGAAGTGGCGTATTGGGATGGATGTGCTCAACTTTGCCGCCCGATATTTTCCTACGTTCATTTAAATTTTCACTACCTCTAGTAAATAACAGAGGAATCGAACTTGACTAAGTTTAATCCTATCCGTAGAGGCCATGTCACCAATTGCGGTATCAAAATCCAAATAGCGTTACTATTCGCTAAAAGTGCTGACTGAAATGGCGGGGTTGAGATGTGGTTAAAAAGTGGTCAAATTTCATCGTTCAAGTTACGGTTAGTGCTGAGGACAGTCCTACAGCCGTCTTTCCAGTAACAATTTATAGGGAACGATTAGCGTAATTAATTTACCACCTCTAGGAAGAAACAAGGGGATTAAATTTGATCTCTCACTAACAGCCCGCCAGTCAAGCACTTAGAACCTGTAGTAGGCTATCGGGCGGGGTAACCCACCCTCTATCCGCTCGTGAACGGTCACGATTATGAGTCTCGCTGGACATGCCTAGGGCTATGCTAAGGCCTAGGTATAATAATTTAGTAGCGCTACTGTATTGTGGCAACGACTTTGGAAAAATGGCATAGGGAGTTCAGTCACTTTTGATATCGTCGCGGCATAGTGGGTCCTCTGGGCGGAGAAGGTGAGATCTGGTTGGCTAGGCTAAAGAGTCTAGAACAGCGGTAGGATGCCGGACCAGTGGTTTAATCCCTCTGGCAAGGATTGACAACGAGATTTGATGGTCACGAACCATGGATACTATTATCCTTAGACTAGGGAAATATTAGTCGTATAGAAACCGGTGTTTGCGTGGCGTATATCAATTCACCCGCCCCTTGGACTTTGGTCTTCGAGGTTCCGCTGAAAGAGCCTACGTAGAGGAGAAGTGTTCTAGTTTCACTATTCACATTAAATACAACATGGGTCAAATTAGCTTATATCGATTCTTCAATAATGCATCCCTGGTTCATAGTATAGAATGTTGGGTCCGGCACTTCGCTACTTTCTACCTTCAAAATAGCAAAAGTCTAATTCTCTTTCCGCGGATGCTCGTGACTACCAGACTAGCCTTTGGGCTTAGCGTTTAAAACACTGAGGTCGGCAAGAGGGTGGCGGCTGCCGATCAAGTAAGTTTAGGATTGAAATGCCTAATTATCCCAGTTCCTCACCTTAAATTAATATTTTGGGATTTTCCGGATTCTAATAGATACATAGCTAGAGATAGCAATTTAACAAAGCCTCTGGCTTACGTCTTGAAATCCTAACAAACACTTCAAACTTCTGGCCTTTAATAGGAAGAGGAATGTCTAAACTGATGGTCACGAGGCCCTGTGTTGCACTTGCCACCTTCCTTTTGTAGACTTGGACACGCTACGGTGTAAGCTTGGGAGCCAGGGTGGCCGAAAAGCCACAGAACACTATTACTTTTCGGACCCAGAAAGGTAACTCGTGTGCCTATTTGAATATAAAATGCCCGAAGTCTTTCCATTGACTACTAAAGACAGGATCAGGTAATGTACACAGTACTTCTGTCGCCTCGTTGCTAGGCGTCTGTTCTGCGGGCCCCCAGGGAGACATGAAATGAAGCGGGAAGATGCTCTCCCATAGCCAGACAGTCATCTTGATCCTAGACTGGGTTTTTGGATCTGCAGCTATTCTCATAATGGGCTTACGTTTGCTAATGCGCAAGCTGAGGAAGCAACAGCTGGGTCTGAGCGACTATCTCACTATGTTGGCTATCTTATGTGTGATGACTCGATCATCATTCGCTACCGTTGTGGACTTATGGGGCAATAATCGTTACGATCTAAAACCTGGTCTTCATTTCACAGCAACAGAAATATATCAACGTGAAATAGGGAGCAAACTGACACTTACAGATCGAATAGTGTATAACACATAGTGAGCACACCAATCTCTGCTATCACCCTGGCTATATTAACTAATGTTGCAGTCTATGGATCCAGAAATCAGTCGTTCTGCTTCTGTATAACTTGATATTCTCCTGTCTCCCTCTCGCCGCACGAACCATCAAGATATACTGGGTTATTCTCCTAATCACCTATTGCGCTGTGCAAGCTACTAGCTTCGTCGACTGTCGGCCTATCCGACTCAACTGGCAAGTCGTGCCGCATCCTGGTGAGTGGATTCTATTCTTTGCCTCTAGTTACCTGCAGTATTTGCATCTGACGGTGGCGAATATAGGACTCTGTACAAATGCGACCATCCAGTTGTCTACCTTTGTAGCTCTCAACATGGCGACCGATGTGATGCTTTTGATTTTCCCTTTGCCTTTTATCCTTAACCTTAAAAAGTGCCCGTTGAAACGGTATGTCTTCCCTCGATCTGACCTTAGAAAAATAGAAATTATTAATCCTAACTCCTACAGTCGACTTCAGTTAGTCGGCATCTTCTCTCTAGGCATTCTCCTGACCGTCATCGCCATTTTGCGGCTCCCTATATATAAGCTTAGCACCTCGCAAGTTCATCGTTATACATGGGGTGCTATAGAGCAATTTGGTGCCGCCGTGGTGGCCAATATTCCAACTCTATATGGTCTTCGCAAACGGAAAAGCCCTGAGCCTTTTATTCCTCCCGATAGGTCGACCAACTATTTACAGACCAAGCGATCGACGGGACGCAGCTGGATATCAGAACAGGAGCTGATCAGTTGCCCGCATTTTGTGGAATCTGGGCAAGGGTCATGCCAGCATGATAGCGTTTCAGAAGTGTCTGAATTGAACAGATGAAAGCAATGGCAATATGTGAAGCGATACTCGAGATCTTTACTCGGAAGCCAGAAGCTGTCAGAACAGGTCTCTAAGCACAGGAAAGCTTTCAGGAGCAGGAAGGAGAGAAGCAGAAGAGACAACTGCGTTTGGTGGATGCTATTTTCTGGATGCCACGTGAGAAGAGACGAAGGCCTAGAGGTGGTGGGCACCTCTGGCATAATCCGGCACACGCCAGTTGAGCCATCAGCAGCGATGGAGAAGAGGGAAGAACAACTCATTATTACTGGAGGAGCGGGTGCTAGCATCCCCAATTTGAGTTTAGATAAAGACATGACCAGGAGAATTGTAATGTAAAATCATCTGAGAGAAGACTGTAGTTGCCAGTAGCCGATGAGGGTAATCTTCCCATAATCATCATGTGACCCTTGGTCATGCCACGTCCAAGATACTAGTGGTATGTGACTTCATGACTTCGAAGACGGGCCTCCCCGCTCTCCTTTGGAACCATCACCAATTTTAAAAAAGAATACTGAACGGTAAGAGCAGTGTTTAGATCTCATAATGAAGGATATCAAGACATGAGGCCAGTGAGGCCAGCAAAGAGAACATGAAGAACCCGTTCGGAGAAGCGGTAATAGTTGCCAATATTGTGTTCCTTGTGCTTGCGACAGTCTTCGTTGGCTTACGATTCACCTCGCGAATTTTTATCTCCCGGAGAGCAACAGCGCCGGATTATGTGATGTTGATCGGATGGATACTTCTAGTTGGAATCACCGCTGTCAATATATATGGCGCGTCTAAAGGTTTGGGACTCTTTGCAGGGGTTCTCCAAAGCTGGAGGCGGCCTTTGGCTCGGGCCGAGTACGCATTCCCTGTGCTCTATGTAGGTTCGGCTTGAACTCATAGAAGATATCAGGAACTTACTCATCAATATAGTATCCAGCAGTCACAGCTATTAAATCATCCATCCTCCTCTTTTATCTGACTCTGGCGAAAGGACAGTTTCTTTTCCGAGTGGTAGTGCTCGTTACTTTTGGTATTGTTATCCTGTTTGGCCTATCCTTGACCCTGGTGAATCTGTTCCCATGTCGTCCGCTCTCGGCTTCTTTTTTAATTGAGACACCTCCCGGGACCTATTGTATCGACATTGTTGCGCTCTATATTTCCTCAGCTCCGATCAATATTCTCACTGATGTTGCCATTTTCTTTCTGCCAATGCCGATACTCTGGAATATACGACTCCCACGTCGGCAGAAAGTCATTTTGCTCCTCACATTTGGAGCCGGGATATTTGTCATTGTTATAAGCATCCTTCGCACGGAGTTTCTTTTGCACGCAGCGGTTGAACGAGCTATCAAACCCCAACCCCCAAGCGTTCACGACCTCTCATGTAAGCTCTCCACTCCGATATATTCATTATGTACTCACGGGCTTGTCGGCACAGATTACGATGCATATGTCTTTTTATGGTCCACGGTAGAGCTGAGCCTTGGCATCATGTGTGGCTGCGTTCCTAGCCTAAAACCTCTTGTCTCCCGAATTCTTCCTTGGGTCCTCCATACGACAGAGGAGACGACTCGTTCCAGTGACACCGGTACATCTCTGGTTCACCGGCCTGGAAGAGATAACAACCAAGTGATTGAGACGGATACCACGGCCGGGATTGCAGTACCTGAAAATTTGGAGTCGGCAGCTAGCGGACCGGAAAATGCACCATCGAGTACCCCCAGCCAGCCCTGGTTTGATTTCGTTGTACTCACCAGTTCACGGAACATGCTTGGCATGAGCGGACGAGAATCAATATTCCCACTCACAGTAATATGTGTTATCTTCTTTTTGTGGGGTTTTGCCTACGGAATTACAAGCACATTCTGGTTGCAATTCCAGCATGCCACTAGGAGCAAAGTCGATGTAACGTTCGCGTTACATGCCAGTTATTTTGGTGGCTATGTCTTCGGGCCCATTCTCCTGGCACGTCCTATTCTGAACTACAGTGGTTTCAAAATCGCCTTAGTCACAGGTATATCAATCTTTTGGTTCGGTATGCTGTCATTCTGGCCTGCGACTGTACTCGTCTCGCTTCCGGCCATCCTGGTTGCCATGTTCATTGCCGGATTGGGAGTTTCTGTGGTGGAAACAACAGCAAATCTCTTCACTACGCTTTGTGGACCATCAGGACGTGGTGAAATGCGACTTAGCATCGCCAAGGGTATAGAAGCGATAGGTGTGACAGCCTCTACGATATTATCGGATAAAGTTTTCTTCACGAATGTGGTAAGTGCTCCAGGACTGATAGACGTGCAGTGGATATTTCTTGTTCTGGCGATAGTTCCACTGCTCCTGGCGTTCGCATACACCTTCGTGAGCCTTCCTGAGGTCTCGAGCGATGAGTTGAGAGATCGCGCACATTGCAGAGAACGATTCACTTGCAGTCGTATTTCTGAGGTTCGCGTCATGTGGATAACGTTGATCCTCGGGTTTCTAGCGCAATTCTGCAGTATTGGAGGTGAAGAAGCCTTTCGAACTAATTTCCGGTTGTTCGTGATATTTAATGAACCAAAGTAAGTTGAACGTTTATATAGCGTCCCCATACCACGTTCCGAACAGAAGGCTTTGAATGTTTTATCTGACCTCTCTGCCCAGCCCTCGCCCCCCACTTTATGGATTTGTCGCCATAAGCAACGCCGCATCCGCAGCTGGCTTCCTCTTCACTGCGCTTTTATTGTACTTCTTGAAACCTCGTTGGATCCTTCTGGGTCTGTATCTCTGCGCAATCCTATTTTCGGCCCTCAGCATAGTGACGAATAGCTATGCCGGCATCGCGATGGCTATTCTCCTCTCATTTTTCAGTGCTGGAATCTCGCCCATAATATTTGCAATCTGCCTCCGCGGGATGGGGAGACATACGAAAACCGCTGCCGCATTCTTGACGACGGCCGTCTCGGGCGGTGCGATTTTCCCTTTCGTCCGAAATAGCATGTCCAAAGCACACGGATATCGATATGGATACTATCTCGATGTTGCCCTCTTTTCAGCAGGCTCACTATTTGCTGTCTATCTCAACATAGTGACGGGTGCACGAGTCCAAACAAATTAATGACCCCGAAACTGATTTACGAGTCTCCATAGACGATGTCAAAGATATTAGAAACCATATCCGACAACGGTTCTTGACCTCGACGGTCCAATCAAACAGCATTCTAAACACATCGTAATCTGGAAATTCTTTATTCATGACTATACAGCCCCATCAGAGGCCGTACCAAAAGCTTAGAGAAAGACAATAGAAGACCCTCCCTAGATCAATAGACGTATACTCGTCGTCGGGCATACTATTCCACGCCCCGCAAACACAGGGATTGAAGGTACATAATCTTCCCACGTCATTGGTGATAACCTATCCAGTCCTAAGAAGCTAAGCAGTCTCGATATGTGCACCAGCACTTTTCTCTTGGAGTGCTTCCTCTTGACGACGTTCCACGCCGACGAGACCATTTCTAGGCAAATTCTTTTCCACCCCAACCGGATCAAAGATAGACTTGGACCGAATAAAGATCTCGTCGATCTCTTCCAGCGTGCGACCCTTGGTCTCTGGGTAAAATAAATAGAAAACAACAAAGGCAAAAGCACTAATGGTGGCGTAAACGATGTAGTACTTCCACTCGAGGTTCGTCATAGCGGTTGGGGTCACCTCCGCCACCAAGAAGTTAAAGAGCCAGTTTGTGCAGGCGCCCATTGCAGTGACTTTGTGCCGGACAGAGAGGGGAGCAATCTCACTTGCGTACATAAAAGGGATCAGGAAGAGACCCACCGGGAAGAAGAACATGGCCACAAAGTAAAAAAAAATGCCGGCTTTGCCCGCGGCCAGATTGCTCAGGTCTGACATCAGGCCACACAGGCAGGCATGGGCGATGGCCATGCCGCCTGCTCCTGCCATCAGAAGCTTCCTCCGCCCGACTCGATCAATCAAGAGAACTGCAATCCCCGCAGAGATAAACTGCCAGATTTGAATGCAGCCAGAGAAGATGCGCGCGTCGACCGCAGTATAGTGGAGCTGTTTCTGAAAGATCTGCGTCGAGTAGAAAGTCACAATATTGATACCCGTCATCTGTGCCAGTAAGGCGACAAAAATGGCGAGACAAGCACGATGAAATTGACGCTCCGGGCCCATTGCGAAGACCGAGGTGGCGTCCCGCTTCTCTTCTTGGAATGTATCATAGATGATTTGCAGCTCTGTAGTGATCACCTCAGAGTCCTCTGGCATATCTTCTAGAGCACCCAGGACGGCCTGAGCTTTCTCCATCTCGTCCTTCTTGATGAGCCAACGGGGGCTTTCGGGCATGAAGAGGACAAGCGAGGTGACTATCAGGGCAAAGAAACCCTGGAAAGCAATGGGGAATCTGAAATTCACCTGACTGTCATTGACAAAATACAATCCGAACTCGATCCAGGCCGCCGTTGTAAGGCCGCCAATAGCAAAAAATCCTTGCAGCAAGACCCGGCGACCACGTTCGTTGGCATTTGAGCACTCCGACACCCACATGGGAATGGTGGCCGTCAATGCGCCCACGCCAAGTCCTGACAAGATGGTAAGATGGAAACTTGTTCATAGGCGCGTCTCATTTGTCGACCTGATTGTAGAACGTACCTGTGATAATTCTGGCCACAATCAGCTGGGCCAGACTGAATGGGGTAGTCTGTAGTATGACTCCGACTACGACAACACATCCCGCGGTGAAGATGGTGCGGCGACGTCCCAGGACGTCCCCAAGGAACGCACAGGAGAGCGCCCCCAACGCACAGCCCACTTCGTAGATGGCGACCGCCGTCCCTGACAATCACACATTAGCTGGCCGTCCTTGAAGTCTGCCTGTTCTGCACAGTAGTCGTGCTATATACCTTCAATTTTCGAGTCCTTCATCTGCGGGAAGACTTGCAGGAATGTTGGCAGAGTCACCAATCCATTCATGACGGCCTGATCGTAGCCCTGCAATGCGAAGGCAGTCGCAGCGATTATACTCAGCACGATACTGAGGGGCTTGCCTCTTAGGCCCAAGTAAGTCATATTTCCAATGGTACGTCAACAAGTAGTGTTTGAAGAAGAGAGGTGTGAAGAAGAGTAACCTAGAATCTAGGGTCTAGGATAGATGAAAGTTGAGCTTCTGTTCTCAGGCAAACAGGAGCTGTGCTTTTATAATGATAGTAATAATTCCTTGTCACTCCGAAACTCGCACCTTTTCACTTTAGCAGCCGTGTCGAGCCTCCCCTACCCCGCGCACTAGGTCTTTAGAGTTAGTAGAATCGAAGCTACCAAGCATTTTTGAGGCCCATATCACTAAGTTTGGATGGAACCTTGGCCAACGTGGTTGTGGGTTCGTGCTCTCCGTGCACCAATGACCGCTTCGGGATTCAGCTGGACTGACTCCACTAGTCCCGACTCGGTATCGCAAGTCGGCTTCTCACTGGTTGAACTAAGCCGAGAATAACGCCCGTTCGGCCGCTGAATCTCCTGCGGACATATTAGGTTCGGACGCTAGAAACCTAAGCTGAGTTCGCTGCGGTGACAAACCAGGGAAATTGGACGATCGGTCCGCTGCCAGCCATTTCCAATCCAATGGGGTGACTCGGCGAGATTACGTCGGGGTGGTACTGGGTCTAGGTTCGGGATGTTCGGCGGGTCGAGCCAGTGATCTTCTATTAGTTTGGGTGGCTCAAAAAGGTATCATGCGGGGTCTGTCTGATTTGCCGTTGTACGACAAGATACACCTGGGGGAATGGTCACGGAATCTGGCGATTTTCGGCAGTTTTTCTCAATGTCCAAGCCATTGGTCCTGGTGAACCCAAGGTGCAGCCTAGCGAAATGGATGAGGGCGTTAGGGTCGCCGGCCTGGACCACCCTCTTCCCAGTGAGAGACAGGTCCGATTTCTATCGTTCTTGAATTTATGACGGTTTTTGCCACTTTTATTAAGTATTGACTTAATTTTTATTTTTATTATTTTTTGCCTGTAACTAACCGACTTCCTGAATAATTAGCTACATACATTCTGTAGACACTGCCCCGCGGAAGTGCACGCGTGGCACAGGTCTGTTAAAAGTACGAATTCCAAGACGGGCAACCCTACTATAATGGAAAATTCAGTTGTTTTTGCTAAACACTCCTGTCTTTCAATTTGTTGTACTGTACTCATGGGACTAAGTTTTATCCAGCCTATCTTGCAATAGCGAGTATCTTGCAGTAGTCGAGCCCGGTGTGCGTACAAATTCTAAGTCGCTTGCGTCCCATCCTCACCCATCTTCAATATCCTCACCCGCATCTTCCGCTCCAATTACTCCCCATCCCCGGTCACCGGGTCCTCGCAAAAGCGCGTTCCCTCGCCGCTGTCGCGCGTCGACATCTTGACCGTGCGCTACATCCTCCGGCTATATCTTTTCCCAAAGAGAGCCACTACCGTCCTCGATTCCCTGGGCATTCATCTCGCGAAACCACTGCTCGGTAGTTCTGACCCTGTTAGGATGAATTTGGTCAAGCTGCTTGTAGTCTCTCTTGATTATCTCCTGGTTACGGCCGCAATGTTTCCAAAGATTCCAAAAGCCAGTAAAGTTCTGTCGGACCGTTATGAAAGCGGGGTCACTGGGATCAGAGTTGGAGCCACTTCCCAAGTTGGCAGCCATGCTCTCGAATACCCTCATCCGGAATAGGGATATTATGGAGGCAGTGAAAAAAAGGCGGAAGTATAACAAAGCTAAACAGATACGAGATGAATGGGCTCGCTAAGACTAAATCAGGGACTAGGAAAGTCAGGGGGTATTTGTAAATAGCCTTCAGAAGTTAGCAGGTAGGAAATAATTGTAATTTGGCTAGGTTGCAATTTGGCTGGGGAGGGCCCGACTTCTTTAGGTATGTGCAACCAGACCGTGCGGGGCTCTCCGATACTTGAGCTCTTAGATTCCGCACGTCATCTCCATTGTTACCACCACCACCACCATGACAGTCGACTCACTACGAGAGATCTCAGCCCATAACCTGCGTACTTTCAAGCGTCATTATGTCAACGAAATCTCTGGCTCCCTCGGTGACCTGGGCACGTTTCTCCCCATCGCCATAGCATTATCCGTCAACGGCACGGTCTCACTAGCCAGCACCCTCATCTTCTCCGGGGTATTCAACATTCTCACAGGCCTATTTTTTGGAATCCCACTCCCCGTCCAGCCCATGAAAGCCATCGCCGCCGTAGCCATCGCCCGGAATTTCAGCAACGGCGCCATCGCCGCAGCGGGGATCTTCGTCGGGGCTTGCATCCTCTTCTTCAGCATCACCGGCCTCCTGCGATGGTTCGCCGGCGTCATCCCCATCCCCGTCGTCAAGGGTATCCAAGTCGGCGCGGGTCTGTCGCTTGTTATCGCGGCTTGCGGCAACATGCTCGCCCCGCTCGGATGGATCGATCCGTCCTGGGCTGATAATCTGATCTGGGCTATCGTCGCATTCCTTACTCTTCTGATCACGAACGTCTACCGCAGATTCCCCTACGCGCTGATTGTTCTTGTCGTGGGACTCGTGTTCGCTATTATTCGCACTGGCGTAGCGGGCCATTTACCTGGCTTCACGATCTGGGCGCCGTATGCCCTCGTCCCCCGCCCTCATGATTGGCGCGTCGGTGCCGTGGACGCTGGGATTGGCCAGATCCCGCTGACGACGCTCAACTCCGTTGTTGCGGTGGTGCATTTAGCGAACGATCTGCTGCCCAACGTCAAAACTCCGTCGGTTACCCATGTCGGGCTCAGCGTCGCCGGCATGAACCTGCTGGGCTGCTGGTTCGGCGCAATGCCGGTCTGCCACGGGTCTGGCGGGTTGGCTGCGCAGTATCGCTTTGGTGCTCGTTCTGGTGCTAGTGTGATCTTTCTAGGTGTGCTGAAGCTTATTATCGGGTTCCTCTTTGGAGAGACGCTGCTTGATCTGCTGAAGCGGTTCCCCGCCGCTTTTCTCGGGGTTATGGTTATTGCTGCTGGCTTGGAACTCGTCAGTGTTGGCGAGAGCTTGAATACCTCCAGTGCCAGAGACTTGAGTCAGACTGACGATGGTGTTGACGAAGAGTCGCATCATTCTCTCCGACCGGGCCCCTCGGACGCAGAGCGCAAGCGTCGGTGGACTGTCATGATGGTGACTGTTGGGCTGCTGGTGGGATTCAAGAACGATGCTATTGGATTTATTGCCGGCATGTTGTGCCACTGGGCGTACGAAGTGCCGGCCTGGTGGGAGAAAAGACGCAACCGCGAGGGACTCCTTCATCTTTGATCTACTATAAGACTGTGATGCATATCAAACCCATTCATTCATTTTTGGCTAAGCGAAATCGTTACCCATGTCATGTCTTCGTTAAATGACCTCCGACACATCTACATCCGACTGCCTCAACAACCTCGCCCCGGTACTTGGATCCTCGTACTGCCTCGACTCCCTTGAATTCGACCCCTCCGTCAACGGATCACGCACGCGCTGCCCAGACGGCGTAGTCCCCAGATCCACCGACTCCCGATCTACAACATTCTCATCAGTATCCTGTGGAGCAGTCCCCCCGGCCTCAGGACCCCCATACGCCGTGCCGGCATCAAGACTCGTCGCGCCCGTAGCATCCTCATCATCCAAATCAGTGATACGCTTCACACCCCCAGCGGACGTCCCCGTCGGCTCAGGGAGAGCCAGCTGCTCCTGGCCCGTCCGGTCATAGCGACGCTCCTCCACGACGACGGGCTGGCCTAGGTCTTGGTGCGCTGTGCGCACGACGGTCGTCCCGTCGGGCTCGGTGTGCGAGGACGTTGTGTACCGGTGGCCGGTGGCGTTTGCTCCGTTGGTGGTGTTGGTCGTAGAGCTGTAGAAGTACGAAGAGCTGGCGTAGGAGTCGGACATCCTGGGGTACAGATGCGCCTGGTGGGATGTGGGAGCTGAGTAGATATAGCTGATTCAGTTTGTATGATCCCTAGCTTGATATCCTCTAGGTGGATTAGGAATTTGATATGTTAAATTTCCATTCAGCAGACAAGTCGCTCTTTATATATAGGAAAGTATGCTGTGGCAATTGCCGCCTTGACATCACGGCGGCGATGGAGGCGCGGTCGAGGCCGGATCAGCGCGGGGCGATAACCAATAATCGATAGCTGAACCCCCGATTGATTGTTACTGGAAAACCAAAAAGAACATCCCCCGCGTTCTCCCCTTCTCTTTATCCTCCCAACCATGTCCGGCCTCACCGACGCCCAAGTGGCCTCCTTCAACAGGAATGGATACCTGGTAGTCCCCGACTACCTCAGCAGCGCCGAGGTATCCTCACTGCTATCCGAGACCGAGTCCCTCCTCAACAGCTTCTCGCTAGAAGACCACCCGCTCACAAAATTCACAACCGGTGACTCAGGCGATGGCGATGCCCACGTCGGAGATGATTACTTCCTAAACTCTGGCGATAAAGTGCGCTTCTTCTTCGAACCAGATGCCTTCACCGACGAGCCCGACCCCCTCACGGGGCGGGCAGCACTACTCAAGCCCAAGCAGCAAGCCGTCAACAAGATCGGCCACTCATTGCACACGCTCTCCGCACCCTTCAAGGCCGTCTCGCTGACAGAGCGCAACGCGGCCGTCGCGCGCGATCTGGGATTCGTCGATCCGCGCGTGCTGCAGAGCATGCTTATCTGCAAGCAGCCGTCTATCGGTGGGGCAGTGCCCTCGCACCGCGACTCGGAGTTCCTGTACACGAACCCGCCGTCGGCGGTGGGCTGGTGGTTTGCGCTGCAGGATGCCGGGGCGGGGAATGGGACTTTGGGCTTTTGGAAGGGGTCGCATACCGGTGCGAAGGGTGGGGGTATTACTCGAAGGTTTGTGAGGAAGGCGGATGGGAAGGGGACGGAGTTTGTCAGTAATGAGGGCCCGAGCCTGCCGAGGGGGATGGATGAGGAGAAGAAGGGTGAGCCTGAAGAGGAGAATCTGGAGATTGTCGATGTGAAGGCGGGTTCGCTGGTGCTTATTCATGGGAATGTGCTGCACAAGAGTGAGAAGAATACAAGCTCGCGCAGCCGGTATGCCTATACCTTCCATGTTATTGAGGGTGCGGAGGGGTGGGAGTATGATGAGCGGAATTGGTTGCAGCCGCCGGAGACCGGCTTTTCGAAACTGTACTCATGAGAACATGAAAGATCATGCTTGTTGATAGATGTAGATAGGTAGTCAATATAAACTTTTCTCTATGCTTCTGTACAATGTCAAATGGCCCGCCATGTACACCAACCAGACCCGGAAATAACGCCGAAGCCAGAAATGATAGTTATCGCATGCAATCCATCCGTCCATCCATCACGTCACCTTCAGCATATCCAACATGCCCTTGGTCTGGCACGCCTGCTGTGCCATTTCCACTTCATCGCGCACGCGCCGGTGCAGGCGTTCCACTAGTTTATCAATCGCGACAGACTGGCCCAGGTTGCCTGAATAGATATCTAACAAGTTCATGGCGACCTCAACAGAGAGATCCACTAGGCGCGGCTCGCGGATGTTCTTGTGGATCCATTGCAGCACAGGCTCCAGAGTGATTTCGTCGCGATTCCGCAATGCGGCGCGCAGGGCGGAGCGGTGGCGCAGTGCCGTGAGAAGAGTGAGCTGTGCCGTCTTGTCGGTAGATGCGAGGACCTGGTCCAAGGCAGCCGAGTAACGGGCCTTGCGCAGATCGTTCTCCCAGGGCTGCTCCTTCTTACGGCGTTTGCGATCTTGGCCTTCAATGACAATATCTGTACCTTCTCCGATGAAATCCCGTCCTCGGAGTCGCTTGTCCCAGCCTGATCCGCGCGCCTTTTGCTTCTTTGCTACTTGCCGGTCGTGCTCCTCCAGCTTGCCCTCCAGCAGGGCTTGTATTTCCTTCCGGCGCTCGCGCTCTTTGATCTTCTGCTGTCCAGACAGACGGGTTTTGATAGACAAAAGGCCGGACTGCATACCAACAGCGATGTGCTTGTCCTCGTAGTCCGTCCCAGACGTAATAACACTCAGCGACAGAATGGGCGATGGGTATTTCGATCCAGAGACAGTGTTCCACCCGGTCGTCTCAAACACCTTCATGTGTCCGTCCAGAGCACCACTCAGCAAGCGCTCGCCATTTGACGCAAGCGCCAGCGAGGTGACTGTCTTCTGGTGGCTCTGGATCATATGGAGTGGCTTGCCAGCCACGATATCGAGCACCGCAATCTTATTATCGGCAGAGGCTAACACCGTCGTCCCCGCGGGCATGGGCAAGACATTTTCGATCGGTGAGCCCATCTTGAACGTCATGGCCGCACGGCTGGCCACACGCGGATCCCACAATCGGACCGTGCGATCGTAAGAACCAGAGACCACGAGGCCCGACGAAGCCATCGAGCCAGGCATGAACGCACCGCTGCGCACGTAGTCGCCATGGCCCACGAAGGTGCGCGCACTGCTTTCCGATGGCAGATCCCACAGTCGCACGGTGCGATCATCACTCGTCGTAAAGACAGACGTCGGGTCGCTTGGCGAAAACTTGCTCACCCACACGGGCTGCTTGTGGTCCTTCCAGGTCTTCAGGATGGCTCGAGACTTGACGTCAAACACCTGCACCGCGCCGGTGTCGTCACCCGTCACTACTACACGGCCATCAGGTCGCACGTCCGTTCCGCGCACTGTATCATCGAACCGGGTGATTGTGCGCAGCAATTTTCGGGTTCGGATGGAATAGATTTGGACTCGAGCGCCCGTTGTCACGGTGAAGATATCGGGCGGTTGTGTGAGAGACGGGAATGCCGCGGCAGACGAAGGGATAGAGGGCTGGGTAATGAGATTGACGGGACCATTGGCGGGCGAGGGAATCAGCAGGGGATTTTTGAAGGTGCGCCAGTACTGCTGCTCGGGGGTAAGACGGGTGGAGGGCAGCGAGGCGAGCTTGACCTGCGGTAGAGGCAGAACGGGTGCCGCCATGGTGAAGGATGTCTATTGCTCGGGGGCTGACTTGAATGAGCAACAAGAATATTATCTGGAGCCCTGGCTGGGCATGGTCGTCGTCGGAGTTGGTTGAAGCTCATCTTTTTTTTCTGCCAAAAAAGCGGGCCCGTAGGCGGTGTAGTTCTGCCAGTGGGAAGTGGCTATGAACAACTTTGAGTGTCAACCATCTATACATCCCCCATCGCGATTCCGTCTTCATAATAACGGTGGGATTGTTAGGTACTGGCTATATTATTGCATATGTTAGATTTCATGGATTCTGACAGCCTGTACATGGTGATCCACTATAAATTATTGACGGCTGCCAGACTCCATTCTTGACGTATGTCCGCCCTACGGGGAGCCCGCGTTGCGGACATGACCTGAATCAAGCCTACAACTCGACCAGCAAATACCACGACCCGCTCTCCTGGTCACTACAAGTATAGGTGCCAAGAAATTTCCCGAGAGGCCTTGACCAGGCTTCCGAGTTCTTTTTAAATAGCAACGTCGCGAGTACCCACCGGGCAGTGATGCAGGGGATGGAAGCGTTAGCTACACCATCTCGAGCTGTTTCGTTGGTCGCCGAGCGTCAGTATTTGCTGTGCGGCCATCCCGATAATCGTCATAGCAATCCGGTGGAGAACGACAGCGGGCAGCCGCCGAACAGCCCACGGTCACAATCTGGTTGAAACAGGATTCATAGGGCCATTAAACCCGATCTACGCGCCTGGGCCAGTCGCCAATCATTGCTCCAATTGTGGTGGCCAGCTCGGGAATGCCTGGAGTGGTGGATCACGGTGGCTGGGGCTCCGATCGAGAGCTGACGCTGCCGATCCACTCCATTCCCCCTTCCGACAGAGTATGTGTGTGTGACGAGGAGATCAAGCAGAATGTGTTGTTCTTGTGGCTATTCTTTTCTCTTCTCTGTTGCGGTGGGTAGAAAAGAGAAAAAGAAGCAAAGAACTGCCGTGTCGATCTGTTTACTCACGATCATACACTCGTCACGTACGGTAATATTAGTGGGGCAGGGCCAGGAACACCGCCTAATTCGATCCCAGCCACCGTAAATACCATGACACAATCATTCCACAGCTTATCAGCTATCGTCTTTCCCAGCCTGCCTTTTTCTTCTTCTTCTCCCTCTTCTTCCCCATCCCTGCGTCTCACTTGCTTTTCATCTCTGCTTCTCAACACTCCCTGATTTACCCTGTGAGACATCCCTTCATGCTGGCTGCCAGCGGGCTCGTCTCGTCCACTCTTTCCCTGTCCTAGCTCTCGTTCCTCGACTGTGGACGCGATAAGGAAGCAATCAAGGGATTGTCCTCGAACCACCCCTCCATCGACCATGGCCACCAACAAGCTCACCAAGGTCAACCATGCGGCCGGCATCTTCGCCGACATGTCGGTCGACGGGCCGCCCATCGGCACCCTCGTTGCCATCATTGATCGCGCGAAGAATCTACCCAATCGCAAGACCATGGGGAAGCAAAACCCCTACTGCGCTGCACGACTTGGCAAGGAAGCAAAGAAGACTGCAACAGATATGCGAGGTGGACAAACCCCGAGATGGTATGTGGTAGATCCCCCATTTTCTTAGGACAAGACTAACTGATGACACTAGGGACTTTGAACTACGCTTCACCGTACACGAGTCCCCGGACTACTTCAAACTGAAGGTTTCCGTGTTCAACGACGACAAAAGGACTGACCTGATTGGTGAAACCTGGGTTGACTTGCACAACTTGATCATCCCAGGAGGAAGCCAGAATGACCACTGGCATACGCTGCAATGCCGGGGCAGATATGCTGGAGAGATTCGGATCGAGATGACCTATTATGACACCCGCGAGCAGGATGAGATGGTCATTGAGCGACGAAAGGTGGCAGCGGAGAGAGTTCAGGGGAAGCCTGCCAGCTTATCCGGACCGGGTTCCTCGGGCGTGTCCGGCCCTCGTCAATTGGAAAAGGTCAAGCGACGTCCTTTGCCAACCGATCCAACAGGAGCTCCTGCAAGACCGGCCACCCTTGAGAAAACTCAATCTGCTCCGCCACCGTTGCATCACCCAATACCGTCACGGCCCGTCGTGAAGGAGCATACCAGCTCCATGCCTCCCGTCGGGGGTTCAGATAGTCTTCCTCATGCTCCGAGACACGCAGAGCCTCTTTATGACGCACCACCTTATAGCGCCTCGTCGGCCAGTCTCCCCCCTCCTCGAGGCGGATACGATGCGCCAGAAGATTACCACGATATTCCACAACCGGCTCCAATGCTTCCTCCGGCAGGAATGATTCGTCGAACTGCGCAGGAACTTCCCTATCCCTCCGACACCCCGTTTGACTCTCGTCCGCAAGAGCCACCAAATCATCATGACTTTGGGCCCCCTCGAGACTACCGGCCTTCCCCGCATGAGATGGATGGGCATGCGAGGAATTTTTATGAGCCCGGGTCTCGAAGTCACGGTGGTACAGGGCATACGGACCAACCCTACCACCCTGAAAACAATCAATATGGTGCAATCACAAACCATTCGCCGCAAGCACCTCCAGGCTACGGTCATGAACTGCCGCCCTCTGATTTTGGCCGTCCCACTTCCTCTTCGGGGCCGGCAGACGATTCTCGGTATCACTTGCAGAATGCCAGACAGTACCATCCAGAGTACGCGAATATGCAGCCACGTGTCGAGGATGAAGAAGAGGATGGGCCCCCTCCTCCACCACCCGTTCATCGATCTCGGATGGCACAGCCAGCCAGGTCGCTTGTCGGACCACCAGCCGGATCTCCTTTCACACGTTACCCTCCTGACTACGTCGGTCAGTCAAGATCACAACCAAATCCTATGCCACTCAACATATCGCCGTCTTCAGGCCGAGGAGTCCCCCAAGACATGCCTCCAGTTGAGGATGGCGCAGTCATGCCACCCAGTCTAGTGGCAGGGTATGATCCTATAATAGCCGATGACGAGTCCGAGCGGGCAATTCACGAAAGGCGGGCAATCCATAGACGCAGTTCGCACTTTGACGACGAGATGATGATTTCTCAAGCAGCCTCATCCGCGCCCGTAACGGCACCAATGACGTACGGAGCTCCCATTCATCCTTTGCGGACATCTCCACAGCCCGTGAATGAGCGACCCACTTCCAGCAGAGGCGGATCAGCCAGTCCAGACACACGGACTGTGACTCGGAAATCAGTCAGTCCGCAGCCGCCATCCATCAGTGACCGTGGTAGCAATTCCTCCATTCCATACTCTCCCGACTCCTTCAATGCCCTGAATCCCAAAAGTTCCCGTGCAGGAAGCCGAGACCTTTCACCCGCATACGACTCTCCCACTAAAGCGCGGGCTGAAAGCGAACCACCTCAGCACACTGGGCCCATCATTGGTGACGATGGCCGCGAGATTGATCCGTCAGACCATCTACCCACGGATACCTGGGCCCCTGAGCCGGAGAAGAAGAACCGCAAGCCTGAGGTCATCATCCGCTTCAAGCATTCGGCAAGGCCAAGCTCCCGGGATAATGAATCTTCTTCCCGCAATGCCGGACCACCGCGCGTGGGATTCAAGAGCGTTCCCGACACAGGTAAACGGTACACGCCGAGCCACATCCGCGCAAGTCCGGATCCTGTCGAGCGAACTCAACCCCGTGGAGGGGAGAGCTATGAAAACTACACACACAGTCGTGGCTACAGTACCTCAACCTCCACCCCGACTCACCGACCTACCTCTTCCCACCGAAGTTCCGTATCTCCAACGCCAGGCTCTCATTCCTCGATCTACGACTACAACCATGGGCCCTCGACCCCGTCAAAGGTCCCTCCCCCAACCTACCCCGTCATGCCCAGTAATCCGAACAGCGGCCACCCAAGCATGGATGCTCTCAGTCGAGAACTTCAGAGCATCAACATTGGGTCAGCGGGATGCAGCCCCGGGCGTGGTGCGACTCGAAAGTATGCGCCCAGGCCGTCGGTCACCATGGGCTATGCCAACTAAAGAAAGTTATACGAGTATGTATTTGATGATGTATGTGTGGGCACGATGTTTTGATTAATGGCCATTGATATCCCGGCTTTCTGGTCATGTTTTGATTTTGCATTTGGGTTTTTTTTCTATCTTCCTGGTTTGGCGTTAATGGCGGGCCCTTCGTCTTTTGATTTGTGATCTGTTCATTACCACTACTTGGCATTACTCTGTATTTTTTATTCCTAGCGCATATCAGGGTTTCAAGCATTCTGCTTTCAATATATTAAATGCTGCAGTTTGATTGGGTCAAGACTTTTAGATCAAGCCCATGTTTCCAATGCTGGTTGTATGCCAGGTGCCACTTTAGGGCTAGCGTGCTCACACATGGAACATCAATCCGGGAAAGTGATGTGCTGACCATCTGAACCTCGACAAAATCAATGTGTCACTGAGAAACCTAAATAAACACAGGCCTATGTTTAATCTAGTTTATGTTGTGTCTCTATGCTATATTGTTGTTCAAGTAATATGTGTACTAGTAAGCGTGGATTTGTGCCACATGCCAATGGACGTCGAGTCATTCAAAACTTATATTCTTCAGCCATCTTCTTTTGGTCAAGCAATGATGTTTAGATATCCGAACACTCGACTCTTGCAAAAAGATGTATAAATGTTCTTCCAGCGGCTTCCTGGAAATGGCCGTCTCATGTAGGCGTCAAGCATAGATGTTGGATCCCAAAATGGCAGAGGAAGGGAGGAACCTCTTCGAAATCTTGCAGGATAACAAACAATTGAAATGTAAGTGAAGGAAACTTCCTGCAAAAACTGTATAGTATAAATTGCCTCGCTTAACCACACGGTTCCCCCCGTCACTCCTACTCTCCTCTTCTTCTTCTCACTGGCTGCCCTTCACCTTCTCCCACCCATCATCTATCCTCCTCCACCCCGACAACTAGAGCCAAGTTTCATTGCATCTCGACAGATCACCTCTCGGTTGAACTTGTCTGATCCTCTTCTTCTTCTGATATTGCTGAACTGCGCCACCTTCAATCCGGTCGTCATGTCCGGTCAAATTAATGGGATACCGTCCCAGAACTTGGCCCTGCCCTCCTTCTCTAATTTGGAAAGGGGGAGCAACGAGCACAGCGGCTCCAGGTAAGTCTACAAAATAGTCATTGGGAGTGGCTATGTATTCCCCGGCCTGCTTTGACTTGTCCTGCTTCATCTTGCGGCCAGTCGCTTTGACATTCAACATTCCTAACGGATGCTAACTCTATATGATATGCACCGAGAAAGACTCTCTACCGCCCTTCCTTACAGAACTGAAAGCCCACACCCAAACAGTTTGAACCCTGCACCAAGCAGCACCCCAACCGTGGCATCACACACCTCTGCACCCGCCCCTGCTAGCACTGTGCATATTTCTGCTTCACAGGACCACGAGAATGGCGCACAGGCGCACTACCCCTGGCATGATACCGGCGAGCAGCTTGACTCTGGTCATACAAGCGCCGAGAGCCTGCGGGTCCGATACATACAGGAGAACCCGTTCCAGAACCCGGATCCTGCCACCAACCAAGCCACTGCTGGTCCGGAACCTTCCATGCGCACTCCTCCACAGACTCCAGGCGCAGGAGCAAACAATCTTCCCGCCTCGAGTGGACTTCACGATCCCTCCGCTTGTGTAAGTCCGCTTCTCCTTTTCTTCCCTTTAAGAGTCCGTCCTCTTTTCCCTTGTGATTCTTTTTCCTTTCACCACGCAAGAAATAAGGCTAACACACGAAAATAGGATATTTCGCAGAGCACTTCACAGAAGACTGCTTCCAAAAAGTCTTCTTTGCCGCGAACTGCTTCCCAAAACAGTGGAACCCAGCTCCAGAACTGGCTGTGTGAGTTCTCGACTCCCTGCCTCATGACCCCATCGCCAGATGGGATGCACTTCCGCAAAGTGGTGTCGCATGTCTTCGGCCGCAACAAGGCCTCAACCAAGCTCTTCCCACCGAGCGTATGGGTGCATTACTGCCGGAAGCACTACCAGCGTGCCAGATACAGGGCCGACCAATGGCCATTCACGCAGTGCGAGCTGCTCGTCGAATCACTCAACCGGATGCAGACGTGGGGAGGCGTGGAGAGCTTCGAGTTGATTCTTCGGCGCCGTGAGATGTTGCGGGTGGACAATGGGGACGACAGCTCCGACAATGCGAGAGCGTCCAAGACCTCAAAGAAGGCACCGAGTGGACGCAAGAACCCCACGGCGATCATTGCGCCAGTGCCAGACTGGCTTCGCGCGCACGTGGGCCGAGACAAGACCTTTGAGGATATTCGCCAGATCGTCTCCCGGATCCGCCAGCATCTGCTGATGGTCCGTGACGCCGAGCGAGCCCGGAGCGTCCAGCAGTCGACTGACGGCCCAGCAACCGCCAATGGTTCGCAGCACGGCGTTCCGTACCGACGAGGCGGTATGGCGGCTGCTGCTGCTGCTGCCGCCGCTGCCACGACCGGCACTGCGAATTCGAACAATAACGGCACCGGCAGCCACCGTCGCCAGCAGGCGAGCCGCGTTCGGTTCCCGGACATCGAAGTTCTGCCAACCTTCCGGCCTTGGGTGCTCGATGCAGCGCTCCAGGAGAGGGGCAGCGGCGAGCACCCAAGTGAGCACGAGGGCGCGAATGGACATGTCCGGGGTGAAACCGGCCGGCTGGGTCATGGCGACGAGGCCGATGCCCCGGGTGCCCACGATGGAGAAACCATGGTCCCCGGACCAGACCTTGCAGATCTTCCGGAATCTCAGAATAGGACCTCTCGGAGGCTGTTCTTGCGAATTTCGAAGCGCGGGTCTGTCAAGAAACCCAGAGACCGTGGGGACTTCTGAGTGGGCTGGTAATGGCGGAGGTGGGCGAGGGTCTGGGAGAGGGTGGAGCGTCTGGGCCTGAGGGCCTCGTGTTGGAGGAGTGTCGGGGGGGTTAGGTACGATTTGGTTGATGAATGAAATATTGCGCACGCCGCTTCTATTATTTAGTAGACAGGCCTATCGAGTAGTGGTTGTAAAGATCTTAGTACTTGTAGAAACCATATATTCATGTAGACAAAAATGAAAAATGCTCCGTAGAATGTGAGACGTCCTGTATAGAAGAAAAACACGCTTGCTATCAAAGCATTAAAATGTAACAACTCCGAGTCACAGAGAAGGTATTAGAGGAAGTAAAGGGACAACGAGGATGGTATATGGTCATGATCGTCCTCGACGCCAAAGCGAAACACCAGCACTCTAGCTGGCCACAGCCAGCTGGGCCACGAGATCCGATGCCACATCAAGGAAAGGGTAAGGGCTGGTGACTTCCTTTTCCTTGTTCTTGAGGCGTTTGCTGATGGGATGCCATTCGGAATCGCTGTCGGCGCGGATGACGTTCTGGTAGCCATCGCATTTGAAATCGACCATGTAGTTGTTTTCTTCTAGCTGATACAGCTGGATATCCACAAAGACCCAGACTCCATGCGAGATCCGCGGGAGACCGGCTTTCTGTGAGGCCGAGGAAGGACCGGATCCACTGCCGCTTTCCATGCCCAACGATGGGCTTTGGCCTTCGGTAGGGGAAGCAATACTTGCAATATTGAAACGACGTCGCAACTCCTCGAGGTCGCTGCGGCTGTTGTAGACACTAGTGGAGGCTCCGGGGGCTGTGATGCCTTCTTTCAATAGACGGGCGCGGATGAACCATGGATCCTTGGGGATGTAATAATCCGAGGGAAGGTCGGGATACTTGTTCTGTAAGGACTTGGGGCTGTCCGAGGGGGTGCTTGCATCGGGTCCTATTTGCGAGCCTGTTGGGTGTCAGTGAGCAGTTTACGAAGAAAGGAAGAACCAAGACTTACCAGAATCAATAGGCTGAATATCCCAGACTCCACCCTGTGCAGCAATTGCGCGATACAGGTACAGCATCGCCTCGTAGGGCTGATTTCGCGACCTGATGCCGAACTGCCACTTGCGGGATCTCTTCTGTGGGCCAGGTACGGGATGTGTCGTTGGTGGCTCCAAACGCAACGTGTCCAAGTCAATAACGCTACGAGCGTGCGGCTTCAAAGCTCGAGCGGTCGCAGCTTGTTCCTCAGGCGAACGCTCCCGGTAGCCACCTTGGCCGTCCTCCTCGAACCGTGCCTCGTGTTGCTGCTCTTCGAGGAATTTATTGCGAGCTCGCTGTTCCCGGTCGCGGTGCTCCATGAGTTGATCATGGACATACGGTAAGCTCGTCGGTAAGATACGGACGTGACTGATGCGAAAGTCATCGGTATCATTCTGCGGGGACTCCTGAGGACGACGTGAAGCACTTGGGGTCCGAGTCGGAGTGACAACTGGGGCGTCCCGCGCCTGCGCATGATACGCCGCATGAGCACGGTCTGCCGGTGGAGGACTTGTAGGCTGCTTCTTTTGGGGAGTGGGCTTAACATTTTGGTCCATCAAGTTGTCCTCCGTCGGGGCTATCACAAATCAGTCAAGAACAAATTGTTTCAATAATTCCGAAAACTCACAGCTGGTTTGCATCATTTCATTCTCGACGATGATGAAGAAAGCATCTTTGATTGCACTGGGCTCTGTATGCCGTAAAGCATCTTCAATATCTTCCCTGCCGTATCCCATGCTTCGTTCGAGCTTTGACACGGCAACCTGATGAATCTTCTGCTGGGCGGGCAGCGGCTTTCCCGGCGCAAGTTTGGGAGCATCAATTGACTTGTATGGTTCTACGCCCGTCGCAATGAATTCTTCTGTGGGTGGCTCAAGATACTTGGGCAGGTTTTTGCAAAACCACGGGTCCTGCCGAATGTCGGGGATCGTGATTCTGTGAACCGGGTGAACCTGAAGCATCGCCCGGATCAACCGAGCAGCCCCAGAGGAGACATACCCCGGCAGGTGGAAGTTGCCGGCGGCAATCTTCTTGAACAGGGCGGGAATGTAGTCGTCGTCAAATGGCAGCCGGCCCACCAATAGCACGTACAATATCACACCGCAGCTCCAGACATCGACCTCGGGACCGGCGTAGAGCTTGCCGGAGATCACCTCCGGGGCGGCATAGTTCGGACTACCGCAGCTTGTCTTGAGGAAATTGCCATCCGTCATGATATTGCTTAGTCCGAAATCAGCAATCTTGACGTTCTTCTCGCTATCGATCAGGAGGTTCTCTGGCTTCAGGTCGCGGTGCACAATTTTGTGTCGGTGGCAGTATTCCACGGCGCAGATAATTTGCTGAAAGAATTTTCGGGCCTCATCGTCGTGGCATTTTCCCTTTCGCACGAGGTAGTCGAACAGCTCCCGCTCGGCGTACTCCAGCACCATCACAATATCGGTTTTGGTAGCGATGACCGTGTATCTAGTGGGGAAGAAATCAGTTAGTCAGGAGCTTCAAGACGTAATCCCAGGGTGCGTACAATTTGATGATGTGTGGGTGCCGCAGCAATTGCAGGTACTGAATCTCCCGCTCCACGCGACCGACCATGTCTCGGGACAACAGCTTGCGACGAGAGATGATTTTCAGAGCGACTTGACGTCCACTTGGTTGGTGGATCGCCAATTTCACTTTTCCGAAGGATCCCTCGCCCAGGATCTTGATCGTTTTGTACTGGTCGAGGCGCTGCATGTCCCGCATGGTAGCCGGTGACTGTGTCGGGGCATCGGCTTTGCCGGGCGGGCGCGAGGGTGGCGGCATGGCCATGGCGGAAGGGTTGGAACTGGCAGGCGGCGGCCTGCTGGTGTTTTCACGCGTACGATCAGAGGGAAAAGGGATGGAGAGGTCTTCCTCGTCCAGTGCGGCGGCCATGATGGAGAGGACAGCGTGACGTGATTGATTTTCGGGACCGGTCCACCGGGGCTACTGCCTGTGCCGACCGTGGTTCTCGATTTTTCCTTCGCTGGGAAAAAATAGCACTCAGGGCATTTCCAAACGCCAATCAGTTAAGCAGTCTCGACCCTCCCCACAACAGAGCCGAAGGTGGAGCTGGACAGCTGATAGGAAAAAAAAAGGCCGCTGAGACGGGCGGGGCGGAATGGAGGGGTGGACGGGTGGATGGGTGGACTGTTCACCGAGATGAGGTGAAGGCCAAAGAAGGAGAGGGGCGATTGAGGAGACACGCGGAAAGAACAAGCCATGCACTCAATCTCGGGGCAGAGAAGATGTTGGAGGTGTTCTCGAGTCTGGGGTGAAGTTGGCCAGCAGCTGGAGGACCGTGGGATGAAGTCATGCCTGAGGCAGGAAAGATGACTCAGCATCGTGGAAAGGAAACCGCAGTACGACGCGATCGGGAGTATATGATCGGATTTTGGGATTGATGGGCATTTCCTTCACCAAATGAATCCTCACGCAAGGCCTAGGGTCGATACCGGTATGTGCTGTCTAGTCTCGGAAATATCCCCTATCAAACGATTCTCTTTCGATTCAACAGAGCCATAGACGTTGAGAGATAGAATATATATAGTGGCTAAGCAACCAGATTGATCTCACTCTCTCACCAGTAGCGAATAGCAAAACCCTCCCTGGTGTAGCCTACTAACACCTTTGTCCGTCCGGTCCCACAGCTAGAGACCTTATGCCCCGTCGACAAGATCCCCGCTGATTCATAGAGCTGCCCATTTTCACGTTCTTCGCAGTGGTAGCCGCTCAGAGCTGGTTATCCGGGCCCTCCTGGGACCAGGTAATTGCCAGCGAAGTCTACAGCACGAATGGAGTTGCAGAAAAACCAAGCAAACCAAGACACCATTGTAAAGGCCAGGCCTGTGGTTCTTGCCCCGGGCTACGGTGAGATCGCCAGTGATCACCGCCCTCCATCCCCGTTGGAGCTCCGCGGATGATATCTCCGACACCTCTGCTCTTCTGCGCATCGGCGACGATAGGGTTACGTCGGGTCAGGTGACGGGGCTATGCCATTGAGTCACAGCGGGGTGTCGGGGTCCCAAACGGGCTTAGCGCCGAGTCGGGGACCCCAAACGGGAAGGGGCGATGCAATCCCATAGAAACCAAGCGTTGCCTCAGGATTGGACTTTCATCTTCGTCTTCCTTTCTGTTCCCTCCGAGGTACGTTCGTTCATTCCGCAGGACTCACGGAGGTGCCGTCCAGAGCTTTCCCGTGCTTTCCGCTCTCCGTACACTGGATCCAATTCCTTAATTGTCCATTCTTCCCGACCATCAAAAGACGGTGACTCCCCCATCGTTAGAATGGCGTCCGTGTCAGACCAATTCCTGGTCCAGATGGACCTCCCCAGCCATCCGGACGAGTGGTTCGACTTTGACAACTTCATGGACTGGCCCTCCGGCCAGATCGACGATCACTCCACTTCGATGGACTCAATCTCACCCCCAGATCTGTCAATGCCCTATGAGGCCGATGCTTTCCTGGATTCCCCATCAGAGTTCATGCAACCCACTTTGTCGGACATGACCAGCTATGACTTCCCAGAGTTCATGCCGGACCAGTCCTCCCAGATGGGGGTGATGTTGGATGCCAGCCCCATGCTCGACAACACGGAATTCTCTCCGGTTTCTCCATACGACAACAACACCGATGCATTCCGGTACATGGTGGAAGCACATGCAGCCGCCGATACCCGCGTTGCTTCCATCAAAGAAAAGCGCCGAGAGGCCTCCATTGCCCTGCACCTCCAGCGGCTATGCGACGCCACGGCGATTGACCTGGACATGTCCTCGGACTCCACCACCAGCTTCTCCTCCCCCAGCTGGTCCGACTTTGTCCGCGGCAGCGCTTCTCCGCCATCAACCAACTCCAGCCCCGACGACAACGCACCGACCCCGGCCCCGACAGGCGGGAATGGCGGTGTCGAATTTGTTCTAGATCTCAACATGAATGCGGCTACCAATCTGCCTAAGAAGCAGAAGCCCCGTTCGCTGGCTCAGAAGGAGAACTACATCAAGGCACGGAAGTACGGCGCCTGCGAAAAACACAAGAAGCAACATAAGCGAGTAAGTCCAGGATGTTGCTTTCCTGACTCTGAGTAAAGTGTTAATTTTTGTTTCTATCAGTGTAACTGCTTGGAGAAAGCGGCTGCTCGTGTTAGCGTCAACGAGTCCCCGACCGATGTGGCTTTCAAGCAGACACCAAAGACGCTGTCACTCCAAAGCTCGGTTTCCCCAACGACCCGGTATTCCCCGTCCCCGGGCTACGACCCAAGGCGCAGTTCCCCCGCGGATGCTCTGCCGATCAACGTTGTCAGGAAGTCCGCGAACAGCTCACCGGAGGTGCCTTCATCTATCAGAAGGCCGACAAGCGGCGTTGCGGGACACGACCCATCGAACAGCACATCACCCGTGCTCCCATCAGTCAGGGCCACGGGACGACACAATACAAGTATCCCAGGACACGAGCCAACTTTCAGGCCACCGACCACTCCCCAAACGGCCAACGCCGAAAACCGATCCAAGAGCACTGTCCCAGGCCACGAGAGATCTTGTGGCTCACCGACAGCGCTTCAATCAGTCAAATCCACCCAGGCGAACCTTGGCGGTCAGCCCGGTCACGACCCATCTCGCAACTCACCAGTTGTATCTAAAGCCATGCTCACAACTACAACGTCTTCGGACACGCAACAAAGGCGCATTCCTCACGTCTCTCGATCAAGCGGCATGGTGCCTTCTCCAGAAGGCGGCTTCCTCAAGCACGCTTCATCTACTGCGAACCAACCCAGCCCCGGCGCTGTTGGCTCGCTGAAGTGGCAAGCATCGCGCCTGAATACCCGATCACTCATGAAACCAACAAACGATCAAATTCAGGCCATACCATGCGGTTTCGCTGGAACGGTGGGCCTACGCGAGCCCCAAGGCTTCGGGTGGTGCAGGCGGACAGTGCGTGGAAACAACCCCAATCGGAGTGTGCTACCAGGCGCCACGCAACCATTGGTCATGTGTACTCAACTGGCGTGTTCGGCAAAGAACCAAGTCTGTCCCAGGTCGAGCTCGACTCTCGAGCAGCTTGGCGGACTACTTTCTGGCGCTATTGCCACACTTGCTCGAGCTTGGCAAGCATCGTCGTCTCTGTCCTTTTGGGTAGAAGACGCGATGGCGAGATGTCTTTCCCTGTCGGGAAGACAGCTCATGTCTGCCAGAAAGAGTCTACATCTGTCTCACCGGCGAGTCATTTAGCTCGCAGGAAATGCACGCTAGGCGTCTAGCGTGCAAACGAGGTTTTGCCTTGAGATAGACGGATATTACGGCCATTGTGTATGTGCCAGCGGCAAGCTTTGCGGACTTGGCTTTGTGGAATACCTATCTGCAGTGGTTTGCAGTGTGGACTGGGAAAGGATTGGATAGGCGTTGCTGGACCACTTGCTATTATTTCAGACAATATGTCTTCAGATAGACATGAAAAAGTATTATGATACCAATAGTTAACATTCTTTCATTCCATGGACAAGTAATGCGCAGATCCATGAGTGAGAGGAGATGTATAGATCGCGCTTCGAAATAAGTCCCGTGTAGATAGATAGACCAGGATGAGTGGATCTCCACTGCCCCACCAGCTCGATCCCCAACACTGGAACAAAGCCCCTGTCGTATCCAATAAATTCCACCCTCTCTTCCTGCCACAGACAATACTAACCACCTGTACATACAATGACAAACCCAACCCCCTATTTCAAATTCTCCACAGAAACAGGCTACTTCTTCCAAGACGAGGAATCCACAGACCCAGAGACATTCGACTATGTAAGTGGGAGACACCACTGGCCGCAAATAAAGCAAAACAGAGGCATCGAAGATCCTAGTCTAATCCAATCCAATCCAGGCAGCATCAAACTTCGGCTTGATCACCCGGTCCGATGGATCCCAAAGCGACGCCACGCTGAATCCTAGCAGCCAATGGCAGAAATTCTGCGCGCACGTCGATTATCTGAACGAGGTTTCCGCCAATGGCGAGAAATACAAAGTCCTCTTTCTTGGACGCCATGGCGAGGGTGTGCATAATGTTGCGGAAAGGCGGTATGGGACGAAGGCGTGGGATGTAAGTCATGTCTTTTTTTAATTATTTCCTTGTCTCCTATAACTCAGTATGCATTTGTTGATTACCCGTATACTGACATTGAATTCAGGAATACTGGTCCCTCCTAGACGGCGACTCACACGGAACATGGGTCGACGCCCGGCTAACAGAACTGGGCATCTCACAAGCCGAAACGGCGCGCGAGGCGTGGAAAACCCAGACCCAGCGCGGGATCCCTCATCCGCAGTCTTACTACGTCAGTCCGTTGAATAGGTGTCTAGCCACGGCGCAGATAACGTTCGAGGGGCTGCATATGCCGCATACGCAGCCGTTTAGACCGGTGATTAAAGAGGTGCGTCGTGTTGTTCGCACTTGCTCACTGCTTAAGATGAACAACTTGCATGAAACTGGAAGCGCAGTTTATGAAACTTCAACTAACCCAGACGAAACTCTGTAGCTCCTCCGGGAAACAATGGGTGAACATACCTGTGATCGCCGCTCCTCGCGCTCGGCTATTGAGGCGGAGTACCCGCTGTACAGAATTGAAGATGGTTTCTCGGAGGAAGATACCCTGTGGGATCCGAAGGTCCGGGAATCAGACGAGGAGCGCGCTGCACGGCTGCGCGAGTTGTTGGAGGATATCTTTGCTACGGATGAGAATACCTTCGTTTCTATGACGGCGCACTCGGGGGCTATTACTTCTATCCTCGAGGTTACGGGGCATCGGCGATTTCCTTTGGCGACAGGAGGGGTTATTCCTCTTCTGGTTAAGGCGGAGTTAGTGACTGGGGGATGAAGACCGGGCCAGCAGAAAGAGTAGACGTAAAAGATATCCATGGGGGATTGATTGAGTTATAGTACAAAAATGTGTCCACGGCTCAGTATAGAATTCGGGAGCGATCCTCTCCACAAATGCAAGTCTTTGGCGAGCGGTATAACAAAGGAAACCAGTGCCAGGGGTAAATGATACAGGACAGCACAGCACAACGCCAGAGAAACATAAATCACAAATTACCAGCTGTAGTACTGGTTCTGGGCAGAGATCTTCCGGTCTGGCAGCTGGGTCCAGAGCTGCTCTTTCCGCTGCCGCAACGCGGTAGCCTCGCGGTCCTGCCACTCGCGGATGCGGGTCTTCTCCTCCTTCAGGAGGACGGAAATGCCCGTTGCTGGAGGGCGGAGCCGGTTGATTCTGCCTCGGGCACGGTGCTCCATCTGCTCGCCATAGGGACCACGGTTGACCCACGCCTGCTCGATGTAGATGGATGTTGGGTCGGTGATCTTCTTCTTTGTGCCGTCCGGGAGGGTGACTGTGGTGGGTTGGAACGGTTCCGATTCTTGCGCCACCCCCAAGCCCATACCGGAACGAACGACGGCGACGTTCTTCGCATGCTCCAGATGCTCGAGCACATCCTTGGCGGCCTTCTTCTTACTGAAGCGCATCTGCAAGATGGCCTCATCGATGTTCTTGCCAGCGATCTGACGGGCCAGCGGACCCAGCTTCTTCACCGAGGTCTTGAACCAATGCGACTTGACCAGCTCCTCGCGTTCTGTGCGTTTGATCTGCACAACTCGTGGCACACGGCCGCGCTTTCGGATCTCGCGAACGACCATCTTCGTCTGCCACCGCCTCATGCTTTTCGGGACCGGGTTGAGTGCCGCTTGGAGGTTTGACAGCTGCCGCGACTCCAGGTATTTCTTCTCTTCTTGTCCCAGTTCCTGCGCTTCCTTCTTCTGGCGGGTAGGCGTGGCTCCTGAGGTCTTGTTCATTTCCTGTGCGAAGATCGAGTCGGCACCCAGGCCGCCTTTCTCTCTTGTGGGCGCTTGCTGGGTGTTGATGACCGTGTGGTCCTGTTTGTCGCCGCCCAGGAATAGGTTTTTCATCGAGGAGAGGAATCCTCCCTTTTTGTTATTGGAGTCATCTTGTGCGCGGCGAATGGCAGTCGACGCTAATGTCCGGCGAGGGACGAAGGAGACGCCTGTCCGAGCTGCAGTGGGGAGAATAGTCAGAAATTGATGGCAATGACTTTATGGATGACTTACCAGATCGGACCAGCAGTCCATATGGAGAGACCGAGCCCATTGTGGCCATGGGAGAAGGGGTGTGGGTGTGAGAACGCTGTGATGTTCGTTGTTTCGGCCTTGGAAAAAAAGCGGCAAGTCAAGAGTTGCACATCTGGTCTAAGCAGTGCACCGTATCTTGTCAGCCTCAGGCGCAGCGTGTCGCAGTCGCGATGGATGATGCATCACAGAGATCAAGAAGTCTAGAAGCCATAGACTCTTTTTGTAGCAATAAACCATCCGGTTCTAAAATGCTGCCCGCGCACTTGCTTCCCTCCGTAGTTGCGCCTTGTACATACTCTCTTCACAGTATCTCCACCGACGATCCACCACACCTTGGCTCGCTCGTCTCTTCTCTTCTCATCTCTCTTCTTTCTTCTCTCGTCCTCTCTCTTTCCCATCCTCCCCCTCTCCCCTCACCCCTCCCAGGCCAACACCAACTCCCCAACCTCCCTCGCCTGTGGTTCTCTCTCCTTCTCCTCCCACTTACTGTGCCGTTCTCTACCAGGGCTGGCCAACCCCGTTCGTCTCGATCGGCCGACTCGGAAGAACCGCTTCCACTCCTTCTCACCAGACCCGGTTTTCGTGCCCAGCTCGCACCCATCACCACTCAGTCACAGATCTGATTCCGCGATACACCCGGATTGCTTTTCCGCGCATCTCACTCGCGTCGCGCGGTTGGATTGCGTCGTTCGTTGGAACAGACACAACTCGACCTTGAAGCTGTGTAGACCGACAGCAGGAATGATTGAGGGATCTTGAAGCTGTCGTACAATCAGGATCTCTGCTGGCATAGCACTATCCGTGAATATTCGACTTTGGTCGCTCTTCTCGCCTCCCCCTCCCCGATCTCGAGGTACGGGTGTCCCTAGCAAGATGGACATCAATTCCCTGCTCTCTGGGGACTCGAATTCTCAATCAGGCAATTTGACACCAGCGCCTTCCTCGACATCCAACCCGAACGCGCAGAGCTCGCCTGGTCCGCCTTCTCACAACAAAGCACTGCATCGAACCCGCTCGCGCCAAACCAAAACTTCCTCCCCCCTTGCCCAGCAGATCTACGCCTCCGCCGGATCGGGTTCGTCTGCTCCATCGCCACCGGCCGCCAGCCCATCAGTTGGCCCTAATCTTGGGGGTGGTAATGGAACTCCGCCTTCCGACCCAGCCTCGTCCAGACAAGCGTCCACGCCGGGGATGGATACCCTGGCCGATCTGGCTGCCATGCAACACCATCAGCCCCAACGGCCGAATACTGCTAGCATGCTGCGAAATACTGAGTCTTACCAAAGCCAACTTTCTCCATCCACCATGCACCCTCATGTGAACGCTGTCAGCCACAACACACCTACTCCGCGGACGTCCTTCGACATTGCGATGGCGGACGGCCCCCGAGAAAGCGCTCGCCGAAACTATGCCAAGACATCGCTTGTTCCCGATGCTCAGCGGCAGGCGACCGAGCTATTCAACAAGATCCAGGAGAACCCCCACTCGTACGAGGCCCATGTGCAATTCATCGGACTGCTCCACGCAGGCTTTGTCAACCATGTCTACCCCCCCAACAACCCCGACATCCAGGGTGATCCTCGTCAGTACGATCTTCTCAAGGACATGAGGACAGCTCGGGAAGAAATGGACAAGCTGTTTGCTATGGGTGAAGATCTCTGGACGGAATGGATTCAAGATGAAAGCATGCTCGCCCGCTCGGTCGAAGAACGAATCGCGGTGACGGAGCTGTGCCAGCGGTCTGTGGAGGAGGAATACGGAAGCACGCAGCTGTGGAAAATCTACGGCGAATGGGTGCAGTATCTCTACTTCTCAGCTTCCGACGAGGGTGGAGCTAGCCAGTGGTCGGAGGAGGATCGGTTGGTTGGACGTGAAGTGTTTACCTGGCAGTCTGTTTTGGATGTATGGCAGGGCGGCGCCGACGCCACCCGGTGGCGAATCAACAACAGCAATCCGGTGTGGGATCAATTGCTGGCCCTGTGCACCCAAGACATTTCACGTGCGCCATCTCAGGAGAAAATCAACCATGTCCGAAGCCTATATGACACCCGGCTGCAGACCCCTCATGCCACGTGGGACCAAACGTTCCAAGCCTTTTCCAGTTTCATTTCGAACTACTACAACAACAACTATGAGGAAATCATGTCCGAGACGGTCGCCCGCGCGTCGGATGCGAAAGCCTGGTATAACGCACGAGAAGAGTTCGAGCTCAAATTGAGCAAGGCTCAGGAAACCGGTGACCGGAGCATCGAGTGGCAGGTCTACGCTGAATACATCGCCTGGGAAGTGAGCCGCAGCCGCCGGAAACGAGAGTTTCATTTTGATCTTGCCGAAGCCATTTACCAACGCGCGGTCTTGCGGTTCCCCACCGATGTGTCTCTCTGGGAGGACTATGTGATGTTTCTGATCGACGAATCCATGCATGGCCATAAATCGACTACAACGATCTCGACTCTGCATCGCGCGACGCGGCACTGCCCGTGGTCGGGCAATCTCTGGTCCCAATACCTGCTCAGCTCCGAACGAGAAGGCCAGGGATTCCAAAAGATATCCAACATCAAGCACCAAGCTACCAGTACTGGCCTACTGGATGCTGGCGGCTTGGAGGAGGTCTTGAAAGTTCACACCACCTGGTGCAGCTACCTTCGGCGACGCGCCTTCCTCTCCGACTCCACGGATGAGGACCTGGACGTGGCAGAAGTGGGCATTCGTTCGGCGATTGAAAGTGTCCAGGAACTGGGCGAGAAGAAATACGGTCGATCCTATCAGGGTGACCCTCTCTTCCGGCTCGAGCGCATCTACATCCGTTATCTCAGCGAAAGCGGCAGCTGGGACAGCGCACGAGAAACCTTCAAGGGTCTTGTTCCTACCCGGGGCAACAGCTACGAGTTCTGGATTACCTATTATGACTGGGAGCTCATTTCCTGGAGTAAGTTTGTCCAAGGCGAGGCTACTGTGGATGCGGCCAGGCGGACACCCAACCCGAGCTATGCCACGGCGGTACTGAAGCAAGCCATGAAGCGGACGGATCTCGATTGGCCCGAAAAGATTGTCCAAACTTATATCACTCACTGCGAGGACTACGAAGACTCGGATGAACTCCAAACGGCTGTCCTGGAAACTCGAAAGGCCATGAGGGCTGTAAATGCCCAGAGAGAGAAGAAAGCTGCGGAGTTGCTACAGCAGCAACAACAACAGCAGGAGCAGCAACAGCAGCTATCTGCTGCGGCGGATGAGCAAGCCTCTTCAGCTGAGAAGAGGAAGCGTGAGGATGATATCGATGCGAATGGACTTCCTGCCAAAAAAGCGCGTGCCGAGGAGGCACCCCCACAAGAGGCTGAACCTGTGGCGCTTCGCCGGGATCGCGAGAATGCAACGGTGGTGGTGAAAAACCTGCCTCATAATCTCTCCGAGCATGAAGTTCGGCAATTCTTCCGTCATGTGAGTGTTCAATCAACCATGAGCCCTCTCGTATACTGATTTTTGGATAGTGTGGCACTATTAACAGTGTCAAGATGTTCCATGGACAGGATGGGAATTCTGAAATTGCCATCATCGAGTTCGAAACGAAGGAAGAGGCTCTTGGGGCGCAAACCCGTGACCAGAAACTTCTCAAGGAGAACACCATCGAGGTGCAGATCGGGTCCGGGTCTACGCTGTTCGTCACGAACTTCCCAGCTACGGCAGACGAAGACTACATTCGCAATCTTTTTGGCAAGGTGAGTTCCTACGCTTTGACTGTGTTGCATTCTGGCTGACCGGTTTCTTAGTATGGTGAAATTGTCGACGTCCGTTTCCCGTCTCTCAAGTACAATACCAATCGGCGGTTTTGCTATTTGCAGTTTGCCTCCGCCTCCTCGGCGCATCATGCTACTGAGTTGGACGGAACCGAGATCGAAAATAACCTGCATCTCCTAGCGAAAATCTCAGATCCTACGCAGAAGCAGCACCGTACCGGCCCTCAAGCTGAAGGGAGGGAAGTCTATGTTACCAACATTGACTTTAAAGCCGACGAAGACCGTCTTAACGAGGCTTTCACAAGATTTGGACACGTCGAATCTGTCATCCTTCCGCGCAATGCCGCTGGGAAAAAGAGAGGGTTTGCCTTCGTGGTTTTCTCCACCAAGGAAGAAGCGACTGAGGCTCTCGCGATGGACGGCCAGACGCTCTTGTCACGCCCGATCAAAGTGGAGATCAGCAACCCCGCCGGTCCCAAGCGTACTGCTCATACCGTTATCTCTCGTGTCAAGTCGGAATCGCCAGCGCCGGTTAATGGCACCGTCCCGGACGATGCGGAAGTACCGGTTGGCGAGCGAGCGGAGCGCACCCTCGCCTTGATGGATGTCCCTGACACGGTCAATGATGCGCGGATCCGGGCTCTCGTCGAGCCATTCGGACGACTGATCAAGATTGTGTTGCGTCCTGATCACCAGGGCGCTATCGTGGAATTTGCCGATGTCCACGATGCTGGGAAGGCATCCATGGCGCTAGAGGGGAAGGAGATCATCCCTGGCCGCCACATCCGGATTGGAACAGTTCACGATTTGAAGCAGCAACGGGCTGAGGTGAAAACCGATCGGGTCACCTCCATCAAGCAAGAGAAGAAACCGAACCCGGCCTTCGCTCAGGGCCCGATCAAGCGCCCTCAACAGCCTGGCACTCGCGGTGGACGGAGAGGGGGACTTGGGCTGAAGCAACGACCGTCTCTCGGCACGACGTCGACCTCCACCAGTCCCCCCGCAGGCTCTAGCGACAAGATGGACACTACGGCTGATGTCAAGGAGGAAGATAGTGGCAAACCCAAAAAGAGCAACGACGATTTCCGCGCGATGCTCGCAGGCAACCAAGGAAAGTGATGTGGATGGAACGGGAAGCATGATTTTCTTTTTCTTGGTTTGGCATGAACCTGGGTGGCGTTTTTGCTTTTCTTTTCTGTTTCTGGCGTGGCCTATTCGACGGCGCCCCAGCGAGGGTGGCCGCATGTACCATTCGGACGAGGCCGTGCGCATGCCCTGTACATTATGATTATTTGTGCTTTTTCCTTTGTTATTGCTCCTTACTGAGTCTAATGATGATGGATGGGACTTGGTCCCCGCAGGGAATTAAATACTGCATACGAACAGAATTTAGACCGTGCTCGAAAGGTTCCTCTTTCCGTCTATCCCTACGCGCCATGGAGCATTTTGCCAAGGTGTTGCTGGATCTCGTCCATTCAGCAGCGGCGGAAGAGCGCTGATCCCAAAGCAAGCTAGCGTATTGCACAACGAATGGCATTGTGACCCAAGGTTCCAATGTAGTTCTATTAATCTCAGTTCAAAGCATATCACGGATCACGTCAGGCACAGTCTCCGCGCTGGTCACAGTAGGACTCTTAGTTAACAGAACTAATCCAAAAGAGGGTGCGGCTGAGTTGGATACGAGGGGTAATCGAGTCGTAGGGGTTTTGCCTACGCAACCTTACTGATCTCATTCAGATCGTTTCTCTCATTACCTACAGTTGTAGCAAGAGCCACACGGGGCGCCTCCCACCATGTCCTCCAAAATGTCATCATCATCAGAAGACAGCCTCTCAACCCTCTGGGAAACAGCCTGCACCAGCTATGTCCAAGAGACCGGCACCGCGCTGACATCCCCCGACTTCCCCAAGCTCAACACACCTTCCGACCTCTCCAGCCACCTTGAGTCAGAGAAGGAGCATTTCACGGACTTCCGAATGAAAAAGCGCCCCCTTTTCCACGCTATGCAAACAATCCTATCTCCCTTTGAGAACTTTGGTGATCTAATTTCCGGCGCTGTCTCGATGGCTTTTCCACCTGCGTCGACAATCATGGGCGCAATGCTCCTTCTCATCCGCGCTGCACGAAGAGTCAGCGATGCTTTTGACAGCATTAATGCCCTTTTCCAGAAACTAGGGTATTTTGCGCAGCGGTTAGATTCCTACCGTGGCGTCCCGCTGAGTGAGGGGATGAAGGCCGTTATTGTGAAAGTTCTTGTTACTTTTCTGCATGTCTGCGGCGTATCGCAGAGCCTGCTCAGCCGGGGCTCATTCAGGGCGCGGTTCGCAAGAATGGCGAAGAATGTCCTTGTTGAGGATTCCTCGGTTCAGGCGCTCCTGGCTGAATTGGAGGAGTTGACGGGACAGGAACATAAGATGGTTTCTGCACATAGTTTGAATCTTACCAGTCAAGCTTTGAAGAATACCGCGGTGTTGCTTGAGAAAAGTAAGCTGGAGGATGAGAGGGAGAGGATGGACAGGTTGAAGGCGCTGTTAGGGCCTGTTTCTGCTTCGGGGCAAGTTTTCTCGGCTATCAGCGAGGGTCGGATTCCAGGGTCGGGGAGGTGGGTTGAGGAGAGAATTAGGGAGTGGTGGGATGGGAACGAGCCTTTGCTTTGGATCCATGGTGGTCCTGGCGTTGGGAAATCGTATCTGGCGTCGAAGATTATCGGTGATCTTGCGCAAGAAGAAGACGCTGTCGTTGCATCTTTCTTCTGCAAGAATAATGATGTTGATTTGCGCTCGTTTAACAAAGCTTTGCGAACCTTGGCATGGCAGGTGGCTGTACAGCGGTCGACATTCGCGGTCCATGCTGAGGAGTTTTGTTTGAAGGGAGATCCGGGCAACAGTTATGTTGTTTGGAGGAAGCTCTTGCTCGATTATTTTGAGGCATCATCGGACGATGGAGTTTGCTTTGTCATTGACGGCATCGACGAGGCCGATCCAGACGAGCAAGAGCTGTTTTTCAGCCTGCTTGAGAGGACACACTCGGATGGAATGGAAAGACAGCCACCAGTACGAGTCGTCCTTTTAGGCAGGGATTCAGTACGCAGCATTCTTGACGAACACTCGCTAGGACTGATAGATGACATTGAAATCACCAACAACCAAAACAAGGATGATCTGCACAGTTACGTCTCTCAGAAGCTCCAAAAGTCCAAGCTGTTCCGCGATGCTTCAGACTTCCAAGACGAAGTCGTCCGAGATATATGCACACAAGCAGAGGGCCTCTGGGAATGGGCCAACCTTGTCATAAAAAATGTACTGCGCTGCAGAACAAGAGAACAGATCCGCAAAGTCGTCAAAACCATGCCTAAAGGAATCAGCGCGATGCTGCGTGAGGAACTGCAGCGGCTCACGAGGGAGCTATCAGCATCAGATACAATGTCTGGTGAAGAAGGGTTCCAGCTTCAACAGTTAAACACCATACTCTCCTTCGTGACACTGGCTCAGAGACCTCTGACTGTACAGCATCTTGATCTCATTTTGGAGATCCTCCTCGGAGAAGAGGTCCTGAACCTCGAAGATGATCTTCGCACAGTATACTCGTCGCTGTTTTCGCTGCGACTGCCCGTGGACGGGGAAGATGAATACGACAGGTCTGCAGTTGTCACGCTTCGGCATAGTTCCTTTTATGAATTCTTCGAATCATCGTCTATAGATGCTGGGCGCGTTCATGTCAACCACGATCAAGCCGGTGCGACTTTTTTGTTCGTTATGCTGTATGCTCTCGCAAAGTCTGACGCGCCAAGTTCCTATAAGTTCCTAGGGCCTCTCAAAGTATACGCACAGACGTGCCTCCCCTTGCATCTCAGGTCAGCGGATCCAAAGCAAGTTGCCACGGGTCGACGAGAAGATATCTCGTCTCTCCTTGCTGATCTCTTAACCGATGAATCATTACTCAAGAACTGGATCATTAACGAAACCTTCATCCGGTTCTCAGCAAGCCACAACTTCCACTCATCCAGTAATATCTCAAAACTTGGCCATTTTTGGTGGAACAGTGGCGATCGGCATACCGCAAACCAGGTGGCAGAGATGGTTCTCGATTGGCTTACTCCTGATAAGCGGAGAGCTTTTGAAGAAACAGCAGGCGATAATGCATGTCCCTTTGCAGTCCTGTTCTCGTCCATGGCACGATTCTGCTCACGTCTTTGGCTGGGCCCAGAGGATATCAGCGATAAGGATGGGCTCCCAGAGGCGCTCTGCACCCTGCTGTTTGCTTATACTGAGATAACGGCTACGTACACGGACTCCGAAACATCGGACAAACTAACAGACATTACAACCCACCTACGCAGTGGCGAGATCATACACACCGCCGAGTTGCAAGGCTTGCACAAGACAGCCATGTGGCACGCCCGTGTCGCGCAGGCACTGCTCCAGCATTATCACTTCCAAGATGCCCGGAAGCACTTTCAGCTTGCTCTCGATGAGCACGATAAAGCACCTGCCTTAAGCAAGCAATCTCTCTCTGTCATCCACAACGACATGGCGCGTGCATGTAGCGAGATCGGGAGACACAAGGAGGCATTAGAGCACTTTGATCTCGTCGTGTCGCTGAGCAACGATCCAGAGGGTCCTGGGTATGGCTTGCATGGTCATATAGGAAATCTGCTAGATGCCGCACACATGGAACACCGTGCCAAACTGACCAAGAAAGCTATTTCTACTGCGCATAGAGCTTGGAAAGAATTCACAGGAGCTGAACATAGAGACCTCATCTATTCAGGTCTTCTGCTCTCATTTTTCGTCATTTTCCGTGAACTGCGTCAGCCGCATTGGTTCCGGCCTGCGTTGGATTTTGCCTCTGATGTTTCCCAGGACATGCAGGCAGTGCAGATTGCAGGGATGGAAGCGAGTAATTTTGCAATGTTTCTTGTTGACTCATTTGCTTTTGAAAGTCGCGTCATGCATAGTGCTCTTCACTATGCCCTCACAACGGAAGACACGGAGCATCTCGTCCTCATCGCCTCGATCCCGGGGAAACTCGAAAACTCAGCGCCTGACTGGGTCAACCTCGCAGAGCTGAAGTTCTGGATTGCGTCCGTATTATTCGAAAAGGGCCATCTCCGCGACGCTATTCAGAGTTGGTGCCAGATTGCCGCTTCATCAGACGTACCCCATCACTGGTGGATCAAACCGGTTCAGACGCGATCATTGAGTCGCTTGGCGGCTGTGTGTCTTTATTACCCAGAGATTTCCTTCTGCGGAGATGCTCCTCTGGTATTACCTGAGGACGATGTTAGCGAGGTTTCTTTGATCGTCTCGAGCTGGCTGAGTGCTAGCGGTGATATTTTCCATGCCCGAAAACTTCTCAGTGAAGCCGTGAGAAGATGCATCGCTTTGTTATCAGATGATGATCCCGCAAATGACATTGATGCTTTTGTGATGCTTTTCAAGGTGTTCTTACTTGCCATGGACAGTGACGACGATCTTCGCGCGGCTTTATACCTGATCAAGGCGTGGAACAAGGGATCTGATGACGCGGAACTGAGACATAATACGGAAGAAGAAGTCCAACATGATCTGTCCAGCTCGTTGGATCGAACGCGTCTCGCGGATGATGAGACCCAAGTAGAGGATCAAAATCCGGATGATGACCAGACACGGACGGATGATACCTGGCGCATCGTGGACACTCTCTCCGAATGTTCAACCTGCAAGCATGAGATCATCTCAATCAACGAATGGTACTTCTGTCGTTCCTGTCCGTTGACTGCTCTATGTCGACCTTGCTACTGCGATCTCCAGTCAAGTTCAGATACCACGCTAGATCATCCTCATGGCATAACGGGCAAGTGCAATCCTCAACACCAGTTCTTCTATAGCGGGCCGGCCCTTCGACAGGCTGAATATGTGCCAAAAGGCATGGTACCTATGGTTGGTTCAGGTGGCCAAAGACACGTGGTATGGATTGAGGAATGGATGGATACGCTTTTGGAGAAGTGGACGTACACAGACACAGAGACGGCGGATTCTAGTGACGGTGGGCTGCCGAGTTGGTGTATGGAGGTATTGCCCCAGGCGCAGAGGGATCGATGGGAGAAGTTCTTCATGGTATAAATCATTGTTCAAGGCATGCTACCATGAGAAATGGGGCCATTGAGATGTTGAAGATGATAGAGCAACCGAAGAGCTTGTGAGATGGTCGAAATCCGTCGGCCGCGTACACAAGGCACAATCGAGGCCTGGGGTAGCAACAGTTGACAACTAGATATGCTATTTCTATCCATGGTAATTTCCCGTTTAGAAACATCCTATGGTACCCTATCCCTTGAACCTTCTACATGTGATGTTACATCTACTACCCCTCCTAACGGACGGCCGCCACATCACCACTACCTGGGTCGACTCAGTCTGCCCTTGACTTTCGACGTTCGCAGGAATGGCAAAGGCGTCTAGAAGGGGATCCTGCTTATTCTTTCTCTCCTGTGGCTTGATCCTTTCTGCAAGTTACTCTCTTCTCTTCGTGTCTTCCCGCTTCTCACGGTTTTCCTCTCGCAGTTACACGCTCTTGTCGATAGGAGATCTTTGCTAATGCTCCGCGAAGAATGCTCCCATTGTTTATTTTGACGTCATGCCCCCAAGAAAGGCCACTGAAAAGCCTCTGAGTGTGGGTAGAAACCCACCGCCTCAGGGTACTCAGGTTAGTACGTCACCTTTACCTATGTGACTCGACCAACACATCAGTAGTAAAATAAGAAGCTGTGCTGATTTGGTCGTCGCTGGCACTGCCGGAAACTCAAAAAACAAGCAGTTAGGCCTCGGAGTCAGTCACTATGCGGACTATTCATGGCGGATCGATTATCGCTAATGAAGAAGGTTGGACGCCGTTGGCCCCGCGCATCTCCAGGGCATGATGGCCCTGGAGGAAGATCAGGAGAAGATCTTCAAGCTGGTGCAGGATGGAAAAGCCAGGGAGGCAGAGCGTGCCGCTAGATGTTTCCATACCCATCTGTAGTTAGTGCCTATGCTGTCCAGATTATTATTACTAAGATCACGGTGTATGACCGACCAGTAGGAAAAGTTAGCCGCTGCAGGCCCTCCGCCCGGTTTTGGGAGTGGAGACGGGAACGGCCAGTGCCTTATCAGTGCGCACCTACCTTATCCCCCAGCTTTGCCTCCCCCTCCCTCTTCTCTTTTCACCTTGTCCTCGCGACACCTGAGGTTCGCTGGCTCGATCTCCTCAAGGGCTGTGCTCGACTCCGTGCATCTTGTCTCTATCCGATGGGATCCCCTGCCCCTCCAACCTCCAGCTCATCGTGATCGCATCCACCATCCGCCACCGCGATGGACTTCCACCTCGTGCCTCGAGGCACTGACCGAAACTACACCGGGTTTCTCACAAAGACGATCGTCTACGCAGGTACCCTGGTGGTGTTCCTAGCTTGTAAGTTCCGCCATCGCGCGCTTGAGGCTCGTCGTGGAGGCATATTGTACTAACCAGGCACCCGCGAACGACAGCCTTTGCCTTGACTCTCTGCTCGATCGTCATCCCGAAATGGGTCAGCTATCATAGCGACAAGGTGCGCCATCCCCCACCCGATCTTTCGATCTCTGAGAAGAATTCACTAACCTCCACCGACCAACTATACAGCCAGCCTACCACTACTCCTACGGTCTCCACCGCCGCTGTTCCTCCCTCACGGATACCTGCGAAAGCTTCCCCCAGCGCGACGACTGCCATGGCGAAGACCGGTATTTCTGCTCGATGTGGCGATCCGTCGGCTTCCTGATGTCCTTTGCCGTCGTGCTGCAAGGCATGAGCGTCGTCGCATACCTGATTATTCTGTCGGGCGGGAAACGGGTCCGCGAGAATGGGTGGCGCATCCTTAGCTTGCTGATTATTCTTTCGGCGGTCGTTCAGGCTGCTGGTATGTCGGTTGTGGTACGTCCTATCTAACTACCTTGTGGCTCGGAAAGAAACAACTCTCCTTTGCTAACTGCCCTTTTTTTTTTTTTAAGACATACCTGTTCGACAACGAGGACCGGTTCTTCGTTGGCTGGAGACTCGACCAGTCTTGGATCTTCTGCACGGTCAGCTGGTGTATTGGGCTCGTTTGTGCCGCCTCGATTATCATCGCTGCACAGATCTTGCCCTCGGAAGGTGGCTACGAGCTCATACCGGACCATGATGATCTGAGGGTTACTTCTTAAGGACGGTCGGTTGGCAACTAATACGTGCAACGAGACCTTAGTCCTATACGAGATGGGTGGCAGATGAAGGCGAGCGTTGTTCCCTAATTATTCCTCCCTCCCTATATCGATCCAAACTTGACGCATCCGCTGGTTCTAATTTCTGTGATGTCAGCTGCGGCTTTTATATTGTTTATCTTGTTCTCTAGCGCTGCGGGTGGTATATATTTGTGCTTGTTGCCTTGAGGCGTACACGATCAATACTGATAAGCACTTTATTTGGTTACACACCAGTCATAGCATTCCGTTCAGAGACTACGACGTGGTCTCAAGAGTAGGATTCGCATGCATCATAGCTTCGTCGATCGTTTTGGAGACCTTATATGACGCTAGCACCATCTCCTTTGCTCCTTTCTGTCTCTCTCGTCTACTTCCATCACTTTCTACTCACCCTACACCCTTGTTCCCCATTTTGAGAGGGCGCGAAATATCACCTTGCTGCCAGCACTCATTGGCCGGGGAGCGATGGGGACGAGAGCCTGGGTGGCCCTCAACCCGCAAGATACCCCTTCTCGCTCTCACTCGCCTGTCTGCAGCCCGACGGATGTAACCCAGTTCGACAAGTGCTCGACCTCGATCTTGGGCGGCCCGATGCAGGCCACGTTCTCTGGTCTGGCCCGAGGGGCTGTTCGTGGCGAATAACTACAACCTGGTACTGGAGAATCCCTGGGATATCACGTCGATCAGGGACTGCGCCGTCGTAGACGGATGGTTTAAGGTTTAATGTGGCGACTGCGCCAATTGAGGGCAAGCTACATACAAGGCTGAGAGGCTGTGTGGGGGCTAGATGTCGATCTGTATCTTGAAAGGAAGGCTTGTCCCACATCACCTAGGCCTAATCCCACGGTAGGTACTATTTATAGGGTTGGTGAAATAATAGTTATATCATGATCTGATTGTCAAAAGAGCCTTGTCAATGTTCCTAGCGTTATTAAGCCATTGAATCCCTCAAGCAAGTCTCTCCTTGGTGCTGTCTCCAGGACTTAGTTATCCGTTACAATGCACCTGCCCACCACACTTCTGACTACGGCTCTACTCGCCAATCTGGCGTATAGTAGCGACAGCAGCCTCACCTTCTACTCTCAATGGTACAATTCGCTCTGCAATGTCGCGCTCAACAACATCGAAGGATGCTCGATCAAGGGACCTAGGGACCGGTATATTGGAACGATACAAGACGGCCGGTGTGTGAACGGTATGCGAGCCTATTTCTATGACACTTTCCACATAGCGCTATACTTAGCTATACTTACGCTATGCAGCCGGGACGAGTGGAAGCTCAGGGTCCTGGACCTTCAAGGACCACGGCCAGTGCGAAGGCAACACATTCAGCTGGTACTGGGAAAACAACTTCCCGCATTTCACCTACACCAAAAAGAGTGGCGAGAAGGTCTCTCTTGCGGGTGTTACGAACCTCGCCATCAATGCGACCAATACTGTCACGCCCGTGTCATATACACCTAGTCCGACGCCTTCGTACTTCCCGGAACTGACCTTCGGCAATGCAAACCTGGACGGCGATTGTGTGGTGAACCTGAATAATTTCAAGGGATGTTCGGACTGGAAAATGGGTCCTATCGGAGAAGTGCTGCACGGGAAGTGCCATTCGGGTACATTATTATTCCCATCCTACAAACAACACCAGCCTACTTGAAAGATATTGAACTAATATTTCCATGTAGATTCTCATGGGTCCACAGGAAGTCACATTTCATGGGATTGCTCGGCCACGCTTTTCTGGAGCTGGGATGGTGAACGGCCTGATCTCACCTGGTATGACCACGGTTCTCACGAAAACTATACTATCGGAGGTATTACGGATCTCAAGATTGGCGCTATCAACAAAATTTATGTTGCCTCCTCAGCAAGTGTCTCTGTGTCGTCCACTCCTCTGGCGACGCCTACGTCTACTGCTACTCCCTCTGCCACTATGGTCCCCGGTGGTGGCCCACGAGGCCCCTTCCGGGGAGGCCCAGGCCCAGAGGTGCCCCCATCAGGTGGGTTTGTGGGACCGAAAGTTTGAGTGGCAGTGTGTGAGGAAGAGGAAGAGAGATACATGTATCTACTATGTAAGAAATATTGAAATGCACTCGTCTTGCCTTTCCCAGCCAAAACACTGCTCCAGACAGAAACAAGGAGTTCTTCCAAGATTGATCTCATACAATATACAGCAATCGATTATAGCATTCCTCTATTTGAACCCACCTACCAAGTGATATGCTTCCCATTCAAACCCTCCACAGCCGGGATCTGCGGGCGCAGAGCATACCCATAGTCCCCGCCATTAGGCGTTCGCAGGAGCGTGTGGATGTGGAATTTCTTCGGCTCCTCATTCGTCAAGAAGACACCGGAGTGGTGATCAAACTCGACAAGGATAACGGGGCTCTGGATGCGATAGTAAAACGGATCCTCGTCGCCATTACCACCAATCCAGCAGAAGTGCGTCTCACCCTCGTGCGCGCGCACCTGCTCCAGACGGATCGCGCGCGCCTTCGCGGGCAGGTAGAGCAGGTACTCCTCGAGTATCCCGTACAACAACTCCTTCTGTGCGGCGCTGAATGTCGACGCTGTGATCCCCTCGTACGGCACCTCGCGGTTGTCCCGGTATGCGCCGCACAGATGGCGCTGGTCATCGCGGTTCCAGCGGCCAGGCGGCATAGCCGGATCGTTCATTTGCGCGTAGACACGCGCCTTGGACTGCAGCTCGCCAGACAGTGACTGCATAAGCTGCAGACCGAGCTTCTCTTCCATTTGCATAATCCGCGTGCCGGCGTGTGGGCCATCGTCGATCTCATTGGGTTCCGCGCCCGTGAACCACGGCGACGCAACAATCTGGCCCTTGTACAGGAAGATGTTCAGGCACAGGTGGTGGCCGTAGAACGACCACCCCCACGGCCGCGTGGTGGACGGTTTCCCGAACAGCACGAAGTTGTACGAGAACTCGTTCATCACCTCTGGGGACTTGACCAGCTCGCCTAGGAAGTGGTTGATGCGCATCGCTGCAACGGCTTTGTCGTAGCCTTCGGGGGAGAGGGTGGTTTTGAGAATGTTCATGATGGAATCCCGCGTGGTGGTGTCCACTTCGTCTAGCCGGATGCCCTTGTGGCTCAGCAGGAACTCAGGGTTTGACCATGTCCGCCACTGCGGCGAGTCGATGTGGTAGCTCAGGGCCTCTTTCTGCTTGTTATCTAGGTGTGCGATGGCGGCTTCGGTGGCGGTTACAATCTCTTGGATGGGCACACCCTCGTCCTGTAATGTGAAAAGCCCGGGGCGGACATTGCCTGGCAATTGAATTAGCTCATTGCCCCCCTCATACCTAACTCATTGGTTTATTAGGCTCACCGTACCATCGGTAGTAACGCCCTTAAAAGGCTCCTGGTACAGATCCAGCCAGTGCATGTACAACGCATGCAGCCACGGCGGATTATGTTTCGTCTTGAACTCGTGCGCGTACTCGTGCGCATCCTGTTGGCACATCGCCTGGAAGCGCGGGATGTTCAGGTCTGGCAGGTACTGGCGGTACTCGCCCGTCGGCTTGTCGGCAGCCATAGTGCAATGCTATGTATTATGGGGGGAAAACACCAGAAAACGGGAGGATATAATATTGGACAGAAGACCGAGAATAGCTGAGGGGCAGTCCGGCCCATTTGTACATCCCCACGCCTCTCCACATGCTCTGCTCCACGCGGATGACTTTTTATCCGCCGCTACTGTGGTCAGTCATGTGACCGGGCAAGGTATTTAGCAGCGTGGTTATGCTCTGATCAGGCCATGGACGGGTGCTAGGCAGTCTGAATTACCGTCCCGGCATTGGCATTTGCTGGGTGAATGATTTGGTTTGGCCACTTATACTCGGTAGATGGTGGGTGGTGTCTGTCTTCGCTACCCTGACTTGCCTTTTTTAAGGTTTTGCTCGTACACTGTAAGGACGATTCATACTGGAACCCACTCCTTCGCAGATGCGACTCTTTTGACTGATCAAGGCTCTCAAATAAAATACTTTGCAGACGTTTTTCGAGTATGTATGATCCACAACACTAATTTTATTCTCCAACTCGGGTCTTCCGACTGCCCGGAAGCGAGCGGAGAACCCGCTCGGCTTGAAACTCCCCCGCATGCCGATGTCCAACTCTTTAAATGAAAACATCGCTCTACGGAGCAATCTTCATCTCTCAGATCTCATCTCCAACACCATGTCTCTATCGTGGAGCAACGAACCGCCCGCAGCGCGCGTACCTTACGCCATCCCACAGTATGAGGGCGAGCGCATCACGATCCCCGGCAGCAAAGGCGTGTTTCGCATTCTGGCCTCCGCAAAACAAACAGGTGGTTTGATGGCTGTGTTCCAGAGCGGTGCTGTCCTCTCCGACGCACCGGGTTTCCATTACCACAACCATGCTCACGACGTTTTTCTTGTCACCAAGGGCTACCTGAAGCTGTGGAATGGTGACAAGTGCCGGATTATGGCCCCCGGTGACTTTGCTTATATCCCACCTGTATGTAAAACCTCTCCAGGTCAATCGGTAGCTACCATCTAACAAACTGTCTAGAAAGTTGTTCACAACCCCGAGATGATTGGCCCGCACACCGAAACCCAGGGCTTGATCACGCCCGGCGACTGGGTGGATTTCTTCCGCTACGTCTCCGAGCCTTTTGAGGGAATCCTCGTGCCCGAAACAGACAACCGAGATCTAAAGGCCTTGCTGATTCCCAAGGTCATGGCCGCAAAGGAGAAATTCGACGTCGTCTTCCAGCCCCACTACCAGGCACCGGAGGTAGGCGAGTGGACGAAAGAGGACGAGAAATTGCCCGACGGCAACGAGGGATACTTCCTGCGTGCGAACACGGGTCCGCGGTGGATGGCCGGCGGCGTGATGTCTAGACCGTTCGTCACGACCAAGCAGAGTAATGGCCTCGTTGCGATCTCTAGTATCGAGTCTTCGAAAGACTATGGCGAGACACTGTTTTCAAGGTTCGTGACCTTCGAGAAGGTGGATCATTGTTTCTGTATTATGGAGGGTGCTCTTAGGGTTACCTTGCAGGGCGAGGAGGGGACTTTGTTCCGTGAGGGCGAGACTGTTGTTGTTCCGGCGGGCCAGGCCTTTTCGCTTGGGTTTGAGAGCAAATATGTTCGGGTTCATTCTTTCTCCGATGGAGATGGCATTGAGTCGTTGATTCATGAGGTCGGCAAGCCCTTGGAGGAAGTGGTTCTGCCTGACTCGGCGCCGGCGTTGGATCTGTCGCAGCTTGAGTCAGTGGCGGCGCGTCTCAATGTGAAGCTGTAACCTGGGAAGACTCGAATAGTATATACCGGGGTGTAAATACCAATTTCACTGATAAATATTTTGATTTACCACTCACGGTGTGCTTTACAGATACTGGGTGGTAGAAAAGATATATTGTAGCTCACCATCATACACACTTCACCGCTACCCATCGACCCAATACTTTTTCGGGGCAATCTATATAATAGCTCGAAGTGTATACACTGGATGCCATACTATGGGCAAATATCTAACACTGACTAAAAATAATGTTGCTTTCAAGCGTATGCTTCCTTCCCCGCGGGGAGTCACGTGTGGTGACCCTGATCTCCCGGAAATCCCGGATTGCCTCGTTCAAGGATCATCAAAAACCACCCGTGCTATCTATACCTATCAAATACACAGAATGATTCCTGGATGATGCAAAATTACCAGTCTACGTCTCCAAACCCAGATGAATCTGCACCCAAGCGAGCCAAGCGGCCCCGTGCCGCCCAGGCTTGCGACCGGTGCAGGTTGAAGAAATACAAATGCGACGAGCAGTACCCTTGTGCGCATTGTAGAAGTACGAAAAGGCCTATGTTACCGATAAACAATCTGCTGACAACTTTCCAGAAAGCCAGCTTGATTGTGTATATCAGGGGAATTACCGCGAGCGAGAAAGCAGCCGGTCTGCCAGCTATGTTCTTGATCTTGAGAAGAAGGTCGACGAATTGACCTCGCGGCTGCGTACGGCCGAGAAGGCGGTTGCTACGTCGGAACCAACTCCTCAGGTACAAGGAGTGCCAATCCAGCCACCTGTTCCAGCCGGCGTTGAAACGACCCCGTGCTCAATGCCTCGCAATGGCTCCACGCCGCGCGAACCTCCCAAGCTTCCCGGCGAGCAACCAGAGGAGTCGGCAGAAAGTGTCGACGATGAAATAAGTGAGCTGAACACGCACACGAACGGCATTGAATTCCATGGTAGCACATCTTCTGCCGCCATCATTGGTCACCTGCAAAAAGCGCGGGAGCCCAAAGCGTCGGAACAGCGGTGGAATCCCCGGCCAGCCGATGCATCTTTTTCTCTGATTTCGACGTTACACAACCCTAGCTTCTCACCTTCCACCACCGGAGCTGGACAGAGCTTGTCCATCGATCATCAGAACTATTATTTCGAGCAGGCGCACCTGTTTATGAATGGCTATTTCGAGAATATCCATTTTATTCACCCGTTCGTTGACAAGGATGATTTCCTGGCTCGCGCCAATGACCTTTGGTTTAACCGATCCCAACAACCCGAGCCTAGCTTCGTTGCCCTGTACCTGAGTGTGCTCTCTTTTGGGGCGCTGGTGCGTGTCTGGGATGAGGACAGAACTGCTGGCCTGACACGCTTTGAATGGAGTCGAAAGCTCTTTGGCGAGGCGCAGGCTTATTTGAATTACCTGCGGTTCTCTAATGATCTTGAGACTGTTCAATGTCTCTATTTGATGGTATGTGACAGCCTGCTTTTTTGGATTGGAGATTGACTAACAATATTCTTCCCTAGGCCAAAATTTGCCAAAATGAACTCAATCCGAATTGTGGGTGTTTTAACCATCAATGTTTTCGCGAGTACTAACTTCGCTCGTCAGTGGCTTACATGTATCTCGGGCTGGCGGTCCGCACATGCCTTTCTGCTGGATTCAACAGGGAGGTCCGGCACCCCAAAGACCAGCGCTCGAGTTGGATCTCCAAGACGTGGTGGTAAGTTCGAAAATGTTACCAAGTTTCGAATTATTATCTGACATGCTACTCTCTACTGCAGGGGACTCTTCTCTCTGGAGATGTAAGATAATTTAACCCCATTCCTTTCTATATCCTTTAAGGATTTGACTGCCACTGTATAATCTGATCATTGACTGACCAATACCGATGAAGAGAGATGAGCTTTTCTGTCGGGCGACCTGATACACTTGGAATGGACGAGTACCACAATCGAGCTATCCCTGAAAGAGACGACACAGAATACGGCATTATTCCTTGGATGATCGACTTCGCTCAAATAATCAGACGAGTCTCGGTCCAGATCTACCACTCTAGGATTTCGCTGCAAGAGAAACTACAACTCGCCCTTCAGATTGAAATGGAAATGGATCGTTGGCTCGCAAGACTTCCAGAGAAAATCAGACCAGATATCGGTGGATTCAAGCTGTCGCGCAGTGCCCTACGTGATCCGAAATGGGCTCGAAGACAGCGGCTTGTGCTGGGGATTCGTGAGTAGCCCCTAGCAGCTTAGCATGAAAACTGACCGGAGAGGCTGACTGGAATCGACAATAGGATATTACAACGTCAAAATGCTACTATTCCGGCCTTTTTTGAGCCACTTTACTCGCAAACTGCGCCATCCTCCGAGTGAACTGGAGGAAACTATTACAAAGTGCCTAGATTCAGCCATGAAAACCATTGAAGTCATCCACGATATCTATCGGGTCCACACATTCTTCCGCTGCTGGTACGCTTGCTAGACCGAAGACTCCCATACCAATGCTGTTAATTAACTATTTTTAGGTGGTATAACACAACGTACGTGATGTTCGCTACATCTACCCTTCTCTTGCCCATGTCCAAGCTTGGCATGTGTGACGAGACAATGCCACTACTCCGGTCTGTGGAAATGGGCGTGGAAATTCTCGAAGCGATGGATGAATCAGTTGTGGCGAGGAAATCAGTTGAGATTATTCGGCATTATCTGAGAGAGTTCCGAGCTTCCAGCGCACAGCAAACCAGTGCGCCTGGGGCTGAAGGCGAGGCGGAAGCGTCTACCCCATTCGATCAAGAGCCGGGCCAGTCGGCATTTGATATTCCTGTAAGTTATTCTCCTCGCAACATGAAGTTCCCGATGTCTGACACGATATCACAGGAATGGGCATATGGGTTCGGATTTCCGGATTACTCTTTCGAGGGCATAGCTAGGTTGTTTGATGATATTGGGGGGCTGCCGATGCTGGATGGATAGTCCGTTACGTCCTGCGGGTATTAACTACATCTTTCCCTTGTGATCATATTTCATGGACTTGATTGCTACATTGAATTGAAATGGATGATTTCAGTCAGATCTATCATGTACAGTCATCTCTTAACTAAAGAATTTGGCAGCAGTTCTGTCGTCGAGGCTTCGTAGAAAACAACTCCTTGTTCCGTGTAACCGCGGTCTCCACCTCTTTGATCGCGTCGTACCCATACAACCAGGGCTGCACCTCTGGACATGTCCTGTTTACACAAATCAGGATGATAAAACAACAGAGTTTGGATATTTACTACTCACCACCGACTAGGGAATGCTCCGTTGATCTCCTTCCCCAACTGGGAAAGGAAGATTTGGTCCCGCTTCTCCTGCTCTTCACCATTTGGCATGTGGAAGTCATGTCTCTGTTGAAGGCCAATCAGTGGGATTCCCAGTCACCAAGTTTTCGGAAACCCTTACCTGCTTGAACGTCTCCCGGACAATTGCTTCGCCTCTTGACTTGCGCAGGCTTTCGTACAGACGCAGGATACGAGGAAGTTGCGACTTGTCTGTCATATGTCCTAGTAGAAGACCGAGAACAGCACCGTCCTCCAGCGAGGAGTTCGCGCCCTGGGCAAGATATGGGAGCATGGGATGGCAGGAGTCTCCGCTGACATTCCCAAACCGATTAGTTAGATCTTAATAGGGATGAGGTTGCGGGAACTTACATGAAAACCAAATTTGAGGCATCGTTCACCCACTTCTCCATTTCAGCGTCTTTTCACGAATGTTAGTCTCAACGCATGGTTTATTTCAACAAGTCAAGTCTCACGGTGCATTAGCTTCCACTTATCGACGCTATTGACATAGCTCAAGAAGCGAATAAGGCTAGAAACAGTCAGCACACCATCGACCTATAGGAGAACCGTATCTCACATTGGGTCCCAACCAACAAAAAGCTCTCGCATTTCATCCACGGAACCAGCCTGCCTTGACACACCAGGGGGAAGATTATCTGGGACCAAGAGTACGATGTTAAACATTTGGCCTCCACGAATAGAATAAGCCACAGCATGCGCTCCAGGCCCAGCCCAGAAATGCACCTCGGGATTCTCGACCAGCGATTTCAGCTCTGGATCTGAGATTTGGTCCGCTGTGAGCACAATCCGGTACGCGAGATCCCCCGTTGGAATTGGCTCGTCTTTGTGGCCGATAAATGCCTCGCGGCACCGAGACCATAGCCCATCAGCTGCGATGATGAGGTCTCCGGTGTACTGGTTTCCAGTCGCGGTGGACACAGTTACCTTGTCAAAGTCAAGCTTCTCAACCTTCTCATTGAGATGAAATGTGACCCCCAGATCCTGTGCTCGCGCAAACAGCGCTTGTTGTAAGTCAACGCGATGCAGATCCACGAACGGCGCATTGTACTTTGCCCGAATATTCTTGTCAAATGAACTCTCGTGCGCCAGGATCTCGCCCGAATAGCGATGCACCGTGACCTTCGTCGGTTCCGCAGCTGACTCCCACACGGAATCCGGGAGTTTCCAATATTTAAGAAGACGAGACGCGTTCGGTGTAATTTGCAGTCCCGCACCAACCTCCGCCAACTCTTTGGCTTGCTCGATCACATCGACAGAATGCCCTGACAGCGCGGCTGAGATGGCGGCAGCAATCCCGCTGAGGCCGGCACCTACGACCACGATGCGCAGGCGAGCTTCTTCAGGAACCTTCACAGCTTCCATGTTAGCAACTACATTACGGGAATGGCCTTGGAGCTCACCATTATGAGTGGTTCTCTCAGTGACTCTCCGTTTGTTCGAACTAGATCGTGCAATTGGAGAGAACAGAAGAAGATCATTTCACGTTCCTCCACCCTCAAATACCTGCAAAAACATCAAATAGGCAGCTCCAAGCCAGAGCCCGGGATGACCGAGCTGCCCGAGGTCTCGGCCTCGCCCCGCTAAAGAGAACTCGGGAATGCCGAAGCCATCGGATTTCCCAGATTCGCGTAATTTTAAGCGCGAGTGTTGACGTAGTGGATCACTGTGAATATTGCTTGATTTTACTGTCTTTCGTTATCATTGTCTGCCCTGGGAGGCATATCATCGCGGGCAAATATATGGACGTTCCCGACTGCCTTCAAGGGGAAACAAAGAAATCGAAAATATCGGGTCACAAGTGCCGATCCCATCTCCCGGTTTAGTTAGGGCTCGAAGAACCGAGCCTGTAGCAAATGGCCTAAGACAGGATTGGTGGAATTGTGGCTTGTTTAATGTCAAGGAGTGCTATTGAGCCTATCGGGGCTGGGGAAATTGTTGACTACCAACACAACAGTGATGTTGGCCTCTAGCAAAAATGAGAGATCAAACACGAGTAACAAGCTATGAAAACAGGTCGAGCTATGATCTTAGTACAGACACGCCAAATTGTTCTTGGTTTGATATTGGTTGGAGATCTCGGCAATGTGGTCCCGAAGTGCATCCGAGCGCCCACGGAGTACCCGAGACTCAAGTCTGGCTCGGCGAGGAATAGCTCTTGCGTGACAGAATTTTGTGGGGGGAATCCCCATGGGGTTGGCTATTTGAATTCCTTAGTGATTCATCATCTTTTCTCCCTAGACTACACCTGCTGGAGGAATTTGTATATTTATCTGTCTCCCTCCCTCCCGAACCCCTTGCTTGTCTTACGGCTCCGTTGCTCGCATCGGCCCCACTCTCGAGTTTCACAAACAGCCCGCGCAGGGGTTAATTGCTAGCAAAGATGAAGGTCACCGATCCTAGGGTATGATTATAGTCCTCTCAACTGTGTGAAGTGGGAATACTCATGGAAACAGCTCTTCCCCAACCGGGTCCGATATGGCGCCCTTCTGACCGTAAACATCTTCGTTTTTATGGGCAATATGTATTCTGTTCGTGTCTCTCCTCGACCACGGTGGACTTACTTATACTGACATCAAATAAACAAAAGTCGGGGATAGCGACCGGCTTTGAATCGTTGGCGGAAGACCTCCATCTGCCTTTCCCTCAACTGTCACCACTGATCAGCTACTCCGTCCTAGCAATGGGACTGGCGAATCTATTCTGGATGCCACTTGCTTTGACATTTGGAAAGCGCCCGATTGTCCTAATATCTATGACTATGTTCTTGGGCGGCACCATCTGGAGCGCAGTCGCCAAGGACTACAATAGCCTGCTTGGCTCTCGAGTATTCGCTAGTTTTGGTGAGGCTTGAATACTGTGTCACTTGTCGTCCATTTGCTAACTGTTGGAACAGGATATGGTTCAATCGAGTCTCTAGGACCGAGTATCCTTGCAGGTATGTTCTTAGGCGGCGTCTTCGAATCAGGCACTAAAAACTCGTCCAGACATGTTCTATGAACGAAACTACTCCAGTGCCATGGCGGTTTATGCCGCTGCCCTCTCTGGAGGTTCGCAGATTGGCCCACTTATTGCGGGCTACCTTATCCAGGCTAAGGGATGGCGTTGGTTCTTCATTCTCTGCGCTATCATCGCCGCATTCAACCTCGTGACGACTATCTTCCTCCTCCCAGAGACATTGTATGAGCCTGATCAGGAGCTGCAAACTGCCGATGATTTTGAGAAAGACGAAAATGATCATATCGAGGCGGCACGGACCTCATCCCACGCCGGACAACGCACCAAAATGGACTACAAAGAACACTGGGCTGGTCTTTTTACCATTGGGATTTCCAAGGAGGCACGGCAGCGGGGTGTGCTTAAGCACATTCTATACCAATTTGTGCTACCATTTCCTCTCATGCTAATCCCTGGTGTTCTTATTGCGTCTCTCATGTATGGCGTTGTGCTAGGAGGGTAAGTCACCTCACCAGGTCTCTGGACAAGAACACTAACAGTAAACAGGGTTGTTATTATGTCTACTCTTGCTCCCCAGATCTTCTCCCCACCGCCCTACCTCTTTTCCTCTGCCGACCTGGGCCTTTTCACAATGAGCAGCTTCGTCGGTATTGTGATTGCCTGGCCCATCGCCGGTCCCTTGACCGATATTCTTTCCCGCTGGATGCGCAAGCGTAACGGCAACGTCCACAAGCCCGAACACCGTCTACCAGCGCTTCTTTTCCCGTTTGTGGTCTGCCCCATCGGCCTTGTAGTCTTCGGATATACCGTCGCCCAGAGACAGAGCTATGTTCGCCCGGCGGTTGGCCAAGCAATCGCCGCTGCATCTTTGACACTCGTCCCTTCAGTGATGCTCTCATACGTGGTAGATTCATATCCACGAGTTAGTGGCGAGGCTCTGGTGCTGGTGAATGCATCAAAAAATGTCGTCGCCTTTGGCTTATCAAAGGGTGCATACTCGTGGATGGCCAAAGAAGGAATTGAGAAGATGTTCTACGAAATGGCGGGCATTCAGTGGGCGATTATCTTTTTGGCTCTTCCTCTTTATATTTTTGGGCCGTGGATTCGAGCACGGACAGACAAATTGTTCTGAGAAAGATTTTCAGGACGAGAACGGCACTTTTCTATAAAATCAGCCTTCAGAATTCAAACGACTATATTCCTCTATACACTCGCAAGATGTTCACAAGATGTTTCTATGTATGCATCTCCGTAATAATTTCTCTGGCTCCCCTGTAGAAGTTTAGCACGACGTGCACAGGTATCTCGACAAAATTCTGGGTTCCATGAGGGAAGCAAGACGTCTCCATCAGTCTGTTCCATGGCGATGATTGAAGAATAAGTTGGACAAAAATGGACGCTAGTTTGCCTCGCACGTGAACCTTACTGCACTCAGAAATGGCAGCCTGAGGCGAAGTGACTTGAGAGTATAATTCCAACCACAGAGTTAATACTGTCTTGTCACTCTGTTGAAATCGTTAGGATTTAGTTTATGTACGTCGTTTATTACACTTTCTGCTGTCAGAATCGCATATATGGAACTTATAATTTTGATTCATATTAAGTATAAGGTAATCTAATTTCTCTAGTATCTATAGCTTAGCAGGAGCCTGCATCAAAGCATCCAATTGTCAATTTGTAAAATTGGTGTTAGTACCATCGCTCTCGCTTATCCATTGTTCTGTTACTTGCTCTGTGTTGCCCTACGGCCTGTCAGGATATGATATTTATGGGTTGACAGACTAAAAGAATAATTTAAGCAGATGGTTTTTCATAGAGCATAGTCTAGGAAATCTCGGTCGAGGCGTCCGCCATCCCCTACCTTGTGGCCAATCAATGCCTAATATTAACCGAAACCAAAACGACCATTGTCCACCATGCCCAGTAAAGGACCAATCAACAAAGCAACATTTTGGACATTTTGGCTGACAATCTGTGCTACGTAATTTGCGTTGTTCCCCTCACTATTCACTCCAATAGAAACCAGAGCGAGCACTGACCCATTCGTATCCCTCTGATTTGCATCCGAGAACCCGGGTCCGGAAATCAAGCTTTGGTATTCCCCCGCTTACATCGAATGGGACTACATATTTGACAATAATGCTGCTCCTCAAGGGAGTCTCTTGAGACGCAATTGGCACAAGCTGCAGATATCTATACCTAACCTGCGCTGCTGCACCTCGATATTTGAAACTAAGGACAATGCGTGGAAAGGAATTTGCTTACAATCTGGCAATGATGTTGCTGCATTGTTTTCTAATTTCTGCGTATGTGCCAATTTACCAAGATCTATACAAAGGAGAACAGAAAATGTAGCTCACATATTTTCGTGTTTCCAGAGATTGCGGGCCGAATGCATCTTTCAATGCTTCCGTCCTTCGTTGGGAGTGGGAGCCGAACGCAGGGCCTCTTCACGGGGGAGATAAAGGCCAGTATCTAAATCTACCTTCTGGAATCAGTCTCTGGTATACAACAATGGGCCCAAAGGAACCAAAACTTACGCCAGTCCTTATACTCCATGGAGGCACCGGAAATAGCAACCAGATGTATCTGCAAGCCAACATGCTGGCTCAAACCAGAAGGGTCATTTTGCAAGAGTATGTGTCCTTTTTTCCTATTTCTGAAAGGGAGCGAATAAGAATGCTAATTTGGACTATTGAAAAGTACTCGAGGTGAAGGTCGCAGCCCATACGCCAATTTTACCAGATTCCACTACGATGATTTTACTCGTGATGCAATCGCATTGCTTGACCACCTGGAAATTCCACGTGTTTCTGTCCTTGGCTGGAGTGACGGTGCCATCACTGGACTCGATCTCGCCATGAACTACACATCGCGCATTGACCGGGTATTTGCTCATGGGGCCAACCTACAAGCCAACATGAGCATTCCTGGCACGGACGATCCTATAATTAATTCGGAGAGTGGCAGTCTTGATTCAGACTTCTCCACTAATGGTACCACATTTTCCACAAGTTCGGATCCTCTACAGAAACGCGACCCATGCAATACATATACCTGTGAGAGCTTAAGTCCTTTGCCATCTCGCTGTCCCGCAATGGTAAAAGGCGTTAGCTAGTAAGTCTATCTCTTTCTTTTCTCGTCAGACACCAAGAAAAGCATTCACATTATTGTTAGCATGTGGGACACGGAGCCCACCTGGGGCCCGGATGCGATGGCCAAGATCAAATGTCCGGTCTGGATTGTCGACGGAGACCATGATGTTGCCATTGAGAGAAACCAACCAGATACAATGGCAGCCTGGATTCCATATGCTGGACAGCTGATCCTACCGCAGACCGGCCATTTTGCCCTTCTTGAAGACCCCATATTTTTCAATTTTGCCCTGCAGTACTTTATGGACATGAAGTTTGATGGCGTTCTACCTGTTTACTAGATTATATCTGCTCAAGGAACGTACCATGTGATTCTGGGCACCCTAGGTTGGCTAAACCAAACTTCAACTAGTTCCGACTACTATTACCAATTTAACTTTCGAAAGGAATTGTGTCTCCTTGTCACACATCCTGATCCTTGTCGTGCTTTGAAAGGACTCATTAAACAGAGGATGAGGGTGGTATTATGGGAATAGTCATGAAAGTCACTGGTCGGAGCCGAAGTGGATGTGGTTTCTACCTCTGAAGATATTCTCCGGGGGGGATCACACGGCGAGGATACTAGTTCTCCAAAATAGAGCGGCGAGGTGGGTATTCTCCGTCTTCTAGGACGCGCACGACTACACAGAAAGTAAGGTTTTCGTTCGAGTATTTCATCTAGTGGCCCGTTCCCTATCGTATGCTGGTCGAGCCCACAACCTTGCAATTTCAAGTCCGGTATTAACTCCAAGGCCCCAAAGATCTAACACCATATTCCAGCCTGGATAACAAACCAAATTCAAAGAAGTCAACGCCAATCTCCATGAAACCCCGATAATGATAACCACGATATAATATACTCTTTCCTGTATCATTTTGAGACATATAAACTGTCCGAATCGACATCCAACGCAGTTCCGATTGATCCGGGGAAAAACCCAACTCAAATAGAATAACCCAGACACCATTTAGGTGGTTGTCGTATAACCAAAATCAAATCGAAAGATATTCCTCGTTCAGATATTGTGTTGGGTATTGGCTGGAGCCCTTCCACTGCTCGTGTCATCTCTGACATTCCCTAGCCGTCGCCAGAGACTGCTGTTGGTCCTAACGCTAGCTGTAGATGGATAAGAGGCCGAGGGACTTCGGCTCAAAGAGCCTGGCGATGATGGAACAGAGGATCCGGGGCTTGCGGCTGTGGCTGTGGCTGATGCTGTAGAGGTGCTGGAGCTGGCTGCTGCCGCTGCAGGGGTGCAGTGAGCGCAAACAAAAATGGTGAATCCGCGGCCATCACATACTTTGCAGACAGCTCCTCTGTGTGAACGTCAGAATCAGAGCGAAGTAAATCATCAGGTGTTCGTACCTAGGAGCATTTCCTGCACAACCCCAGCATGTAAGAACAGTTCGCCCGCCGATGCAGGAGATGTGCCCTGGGTCGAGATTTATGTTCGACATCGTTTGCTCTCTTTAAACTGTTGAAAAACAAATGTTTGTTGGGAGGCGTATGCAAACCCTCGAAATAGGAAATGCTGCCAAAGATTTTTGAGCTGGAGATAGGTCTGAAAAAGATGAACTTTTAAATATTCCTTTGAATTGCTTGTCTTTTTCACCGTCCTGAGTTACGACAGCCCACCTCAGCTGAGCAGGAACAGAGCTTTATTAGCTCCTTCCCTTCTAAGAAACAAATTCGGAGGAAAAGGTATAGTAACGTGTCGGACGGGACGATCGAACAAGGATTTGATCCTGCCTAGGCCAAAGTATAATGAGCTCGGAAACGGTAGACAAAGAAGCGTCAGTTCTTATGCGCACCTTTAGTACCACGAAGTCTCGAGTCAAATGTTACGTGCGTCGGGGATAAGGGCGGAATTCGATGTCTGGAATGATCAGCCGTACATTGCTGCTCACCGTCGAGGGTGACTGCAACGGAGAATCAATAACAGGATTATTTCTGCGCAGTGTACATATCCTGAGTGTGATCTACCAATCAATCCCCCTGAGAAGTACATTGGGTGTTAGGAGTAAACGGTACATTTACCATCTTGAGCGTAGTCCGATGCAAACCCCAGAACGGCGTATCCGAGGGCTGGCGCGAAGATGTGTCTGCTGCCTGGGCCCGAGGCACATACCCACAGGATTTCTGAAACGGGCCGAAGGATGGGACTATGTACTCTCGAAGACGTAGATCAACCCAGACCACCGGGGCGAGGGCATTGTCGGTCGAACTCGGGTTCACAAGGCGGCTGGCGTGCTGCCAATATTCTCTGATCTCGGTGGTTACAACGGTGTTAGGCTGCCCTTTGAACTGGAGTCTGGTGCAAAGAATGTACGAACAGGGATCATTGAATGGCGATTCGCTGTCACCTGCGAATCAGCACAGACCAAGAGGTTGGGCAAGGCTCACTCAGACCCAAGTGAAGCGGAAATAAGTCCCAAACGCATGGCAGCCACCAAAACCTTGTGCTACACCTCACTGGAACAGTGGACAGGCATCTACTGATAGAGTGTAACAGCCCCAGAGCTGTACCCAGCCGATCTCTAACACATTAGCAATTTCTAGAATGGAATGAGCGAGCTACTAGACGCAGACGTTGGATTTCGTAAATCTATCCACGGATAGCTGCAGAGAGCCATGGGGGCATGATATCATACTCGAACCGGTGTATGCAGACAGATCATACGCACTGGAAGTGGCAGATGTAGAGCATGTGAGCAGAGTGTTGTCTTCATAATTCGAAGCAATAAGATGCATGCAGTGCAGAGAACAGGGAGAAAGGTGGTCATATGAGCAATGTTCATGTGAGCAAAAACTCAATACACAATGTTGAATGCGGCGTGTCTCTGGACGACTGAATGCATCGAAAATGGACAGAATTCGTGAATGGCGTAGCCTGGCGGTTAATGATAAAACATGAAAATCAAGGAAGCAAAACGGGCAAAGCAGCGGTGTACAGCTGTGCTAACTAACCAGGGTTTTAAAATAGACTTACGTGCCCAGAACCCGATACTCTTGATAGCGGGGATTCCCAGCAATTACAAAGAAAAATTCCCTTGTGTAAGGGACAGCAAGCAAATCAGGAAAAGCCAACCGTTCAAAACGGGGACTTAGAACAAATGAAATTGCCTAAGAATGGGTTCCTGGGATGCATTATACCGTCTTCCGTGGCCTCAGGCAGGTATCCGTGAAGTTGCTGCAGTTTGAGGGGTCCGAATGCAAGGACAAGGTCCAGAGCAACACGTATCGCGCTTATGACCTCGGGCTAGGATTCCCTGGCATCAATTTAGATCTCGACAACTCCGGAGGCGCCGCGTGCTGGGTTAGTTTTTTCAGTTTGGTTTTTCTACAGACCGGTCACATGGCCCCTTGAATATTGGAAATCGAGAATAATTGACGCCAGATCTGCAGTCATCGCTCATGCATGCCGGCTGTCTCACTCAGCAACTAATTAAGGAAGACTAGAGCGATTCAAACTGTCAGCAAACGGTAGCCTGCATATGTACATTCGTGGATCAGTGGAGCCGGGAATTAGGCTAAAACTACCTTCCTATTTGCTCATCCTATTCGTGAGTGGAATATACCTCCTCCCAGCTGCAGCCACCCTCTGCGAATCACGCCGGACACCGAAATTTCAACTCGGACTGGCCTGGGGCCCACCCAGCGGCGGTGAAGTTCCTTGCTCACGTTAGAGCTGAGGTGACCATCTCGGGGACTAGCTAGCTGAGCTGCAGCAGTTTGTGGAAATTTGTGGAAAGGTGATCATTATTCCATCTTCGTTCCTCTGGTTTGTAGCACCGTTGAATCCAGGAAGGGCCGACAAAAGCAACGAACGCTTTCTTGGCAGATGAACTGAAAAAAAAAAAAAAAAAAAAAAAAAAAAGAACTTGGAAGAACATGTTCATGGCAAGAGTCGATTAAGATGGTCAGCTGAATTCTTGCCTTCCATGATGCAGCCCGGTTTCGGTCGTGTGATGCAATGCTATTGTCTCCTTGCTAGTGGGACATCCGGCAAATCCGAGCTTCGTTGGGACTATTGCGTAGTTTTCAAAATAATACGTCAAGACAGAGAGCAGAAAAAGGTACGGTATGTACATGTCCTGGAATTTTAGAGCTGGCCACGCTCTCTCAGTTCCGATACTATGAGGTCACGGCGCAGTTTTAAAAAAAAAGGCCACCTCTCTTGACAAAAGGACGGTGCCTGACATGGTAACACGATCGAAAGAGAGATGTAACCGGACTATTGTATACATATAACTAACTGGAGCGCGATAGCTACGTATTTCGGTGTTGATATCCTCGCATTCTCGCTATATAGCATTCATTACTGACTTCCGAGGAGTACCAGAGCAAAGGTTAAAAAGCGAGAGACACATTGCATTATTCGATTCAATTAGCACGGAAGAGGAGAGACAAGCATAACAGTCATCAGCAGGAAGTGTCAGTCGCGAGACAAAAACTGAAATAACCCGATACAACATCTGCAATATCCCACTAAGAGAAAAGGGCAGGAGAGAAGAAAAAAGTCTCCAGGTTGGGGCCATTCTTGCACTGCAAACGTGATGCTAACAGGCGGAGACTAAGTGGCTCAATCAATGAGCAATAAAATGTAGGTAAAGGGGTGATCAAATGATAAGAAAAAAACACCTGTAAACGCCATTCGTTTCACGAAGCCATCCATCGATAAAAGGAAAAGAAAACAGGGAAAATCACTTCTAGTGGAAGTATTCCGATGGGAGGGAAGCCAGAAGCGCAATGGTGCCGAGACCTCCAAGCATGGCGCTGACGATTGCGGTTTTTGCGTGGCTTGCAAGGCCTGTTCTGTTCGGCGGAGATGGAGAGGGAGACGTCTTGGTTCGCTTCCTAGGTGGCTCGCTCTCTGCCAAAGCTGAGTTGATTGCTTCGATCACCTCGGGTTCCGGGATTGTGTTGAGGCTTGACTTCCGGGAACCACTGGAAAAGGATTCAAGCCGCTGAGCATCCTGTAAGGAAGAGTCTTGGTTGGTCGTCGTCATTTGACCCTTCTGCGGCGCTGGCTCCGACAGGATGTCCTCCATTTCAGATGCCCCTCTCTTTAAGGATGGCTTGGCAGCACCTGTCATGCAGACATCACCCGATGAGCTGGGAACGTTCTCATACTCCTCATTCCAAACATTAGAAGAGTTGATAAACGGTCCATCGTGGTAGGAGGCGGACGTAGAGTTGTCAACAGTAGGTAGAATGCCAGAATCTGTCATAACTTGCTCGACCTTCTTCTCCCGAAGCAAAAGTGGCGCCATCGGCAGACGAGAGGCAGAACCAGAACCAGCATCGTGGTTGATGCGCTCTTTGGTTTCCACAAGCGAGATCTCACTCTTTGATGTCAACTCCTTGGGATTGACAAAATTCTCATCGGGCTGAGCCAAAGAAATGACTTCGGAGATAAATTCAACCTCAGATGCTTGATCCGAGTCAGAATCGTCGTCTTCTCCCTCATCAAATCCATCATCGTCAGAGTCCGACGGACTCGACGCAGAGTCTTCGTCCCAAGATACAGATCCAGCACTAGACACAGAGGAGTCGGAATCGCTTGCTTTATTGACAAGTTCGTCCGCGGAATAATCAATTTTACCGAAATCTGTGTCCCAGTAAGGAGCAAGCTCGCACCACTGATTTCCGATTATTGAGGGCACCCAGATTTTGACAATCCAGCACTTGTGGCGGTCATCTGGCGGCATATCGTTGTCAAGTTGAATTCTGATATCCTCACCAAGAACCTCTCGTGGCTTTTTAACAATCCACCAGTTGCTTCCGGAGTTGAGATCGTCTGCCGTTTCGTTGAAGACCCAATACTTCCGTGTATCAACAACCCAGTAAGTGTGGTTCTGTCCTGGCTCGCGTTTGAAGACCGGTTCCATGACGTCGATGTCATCCGTTCCACCTTTCAGCTCCAGGAAACATTCTGTACCATTGATAGGCTTGAAACTTGGGGAGCTTTCCAACCAGTACTGTTCCTGGGACACGGAGCAGTGTTGGGTTTGATGAATTGTCTTCCGGGTTGTGTCAACAGGTTGTGGGAAGGCTTTCAATTGTGCACTGATCAGGTCACTGATGTACTTGTGTTGCGGCCGCATAATCAACCAGTCCTGGAACCCTTGGTCGGGGACTGGGATGTACTTGGAGAGTTTGAAAAAGTAACTCATGCATCTAATCGGGTCGCGAACAAACGCCCTGACACCCAGACGTTCACTAATTGATTCCCAGTCAAGATTGGACAATCTCAATTCCAGTTCTGCTTGGGTCAAATAAAGAAAATCTTGCCAGTAAAGAGTAAGTGGGTCAATCTGCAGGGCAGGGGGCGAGGTATCCATGTTGTCTGCCGAGGATGATTTGACATCCTTCACTGGCAAATCCACATGATCAGTGTCAGAGGACTTCGACCGCTTGGTCTCCTCCCCCATTGTGTGCACACTCAGCAAAGAAGTCGGAGTCATGGCCTCGCTCACAGGAGCAAGTTCGGGCTCTTTGGAGAAAGACTCCGATTCACTGGGCACATCACTTTGCACATAAGCATCGTCGTCCTCCTCCTCGTCGTCATCCTCGGGCACACAGAACGTGTTCTTCGATCGGGACACAGGATGGCTATGGTCACTGGGTGGAAGGGCCATGACGTTAGCATTTGAGCGGGCAAGTCGAATGGATGCGAATCCATACCGACTATCGACGTATTCGATTCTGCAGTAGACCTCCAAGGCAGGAAAGACCTCTGGAACCAAATCAGTGCCTTGGATATTTCAAAAAGTGCGGAGACAACGTACCATCCCCACGATCCACAACGAGGCCAAATCGAAGGTGATCGCCGGTGAGCAGCGGGGTCTGCTCATTCTTGCTAAGCCGGGCGTTGTTCAACCAGGTCCCATGTGTGGAGCCATAGTCGCAGATGTACACAGCCTGTCGAAGCACCAGGTTAGTAGGTTGTGGCGAGAATGAAGATAAGAGACAAACCTTCTTGTCCAGACAGATGCTCAACTTTGCGTGATCTCGAGACATGACACGGGAATCAAACCACGCATTCTTCTTGTCCGGAATCCGGTTCTTTTCTTCACGCTTTGAAGATCGACCGATCGAGATGAGGGGGTTGTCTTGGGAGAGAGTGAGGGTGCGCAGAGGTATACCATCGGGCAGGACGGGGAGCAGAGTGATGACAACTGCAGTTGTAACCAGATCAGTTAGGGGCGCACTATAAACTGAAGGGACAGGGAGGCATACCTTGTGCATTCGCCATGGTAAGGAAATCGAGTCAGGACGACGTGCTTCAGCCTATACAGAAGTAGTCAGTCGATGATACAGAGAAGCAGAGAAGGGGACCGTCGCCATTCACGCACTTGTCTGTGGGTGGGTAAGAAGAGCAGAAGAAGGGGAGGGGGAAAGGTATATAAACAAGACAAAGAAAGCGAGATGAGGCTTCGTGACTTACCCGGGTGTCTCCAGTCAGCCAGTAATCCGAGAACTTCGGTACATGTACCGAGCAAGCCGGTCCTGCGAGAAAGGGATACACAGGAGATAGAGACAAAGACGAGTAGCACGAGAAATAAAAGAAGAAGGAGGATGGATGAAGCAGGGAGTTGTTTGAAGGTGGAAGAGAGAGAGAGAGTAAGGAAGGTTTAGAAAACCGAAGAGGGGTAGAGGTAGATGATGAATCAGGTTGAGGTCAGTCGGACTGACTCAGACCGGACAGGGTTGACTTGAGTGTGCCACGCTGGGTGGAAGGGCTCCGGCCTGTTAGATAGCAGCAGAGAGACTTCGGGTGTCGCGGCTCCCAGGGAATCGAAGGAGCATCAAGCCCGGAAGCTCAGGCAAATGAGGCAAGTATGAGAGGGCCGATAAGGGCAGATAAGGAAGTAACGGCGGGTCTGCGTGTTTCACCCGGGGAAGAGCATGCAACAGCGCAGGATCAGTCGGAGTCAAAGCAATATGGACCCGAGTGCTTCGGGGTCTCAGGCACGAAGATGGAATGAAGGGAAAGGATGAGAGAAGCACGAGAAGAAGAGAACCAAGAGGAAGGAGTGTACAACACCTGACCGGGAGCGATAAGCGGGTGGATCAGCTGATGTGGGGCAGACATGGACCAGAACAACACAACGTCATAGTAATGCGCACATTCATTCTCTGTGTTATGGTACAGCACAATCTACTACGCTCGGTTTTATTTATCCGCCCAGACATATCGAAAGAAAGAGGAGAGGGAATATATCAACCGATAGTAGTAAGTACACGCAGGGGAAAAACCCCCCAGAAAAAGAGGATGGCCCGAGCGCCTCAAAGATGATGATCCGGGGAGACCGAGTAATTAGACAAGAACATGCAACCCGAGTCCAGATCCGGGAGATGAAAGAAAAGAAGGGGGAAAAAAATGTCAAAGGAAAGGTCTGGCTAGGTCTTCTTACATCCCCGGAGCTCCTCCCATGCCACTGGCGCCCATCGCCGTCAGGCGCGCGGCCAGTGCCGGGTACTTCTCCTGCACCTCGAGTTGGGTGCGGGTGGCCTCTGCGTAGGAGATGGCATTGATGATCTCGCCCTCCGTGCGGGCGAGCTCGGCGGCGCGCTGGAAGTACTTCAGGGCCTGGGAGACCTTGCCCTGCTGCAGGAGCAGCTGGGCCATGGTGCCGACGGCGATATCACACTCGGGGTCGACTGCACGTAGAATTAGTATGGATGTAAACGAACAATGCAGCATAAACTTACTGATGAGCGCCTTCTGGCACAAGTTCTCGGCCTCTTGGAAATCTTGCTTCCACTGGAACAGGGCCAGAGCCTTGTTGATGAGCGGCAGGACATTGATGCCCATCGGCTTGTTCTGCTTCTCCATCTCCACAGCCTTGTCAAACTTCTCAATGGCCTCCGAAAAGTTCTGCTGGTCCAGCAGGAGCTCGCCATAGTAGTTGTACACATCGGGAACGTCCTCGAAGTTCTTGACCGACCGGCGGAAGGTAGCCATGGCCGATGCGACCGAGCCCATCTTGTACTGCGTCACGCCGAGCTGGATGTGGGAATAGATGAATGCGCGGTCGAGGTCAATCGACTTCTGGTAGTCCTTGGCGGCCTCGGCGAATTCACCCAGGATGAAGTGAAGCTGGGCGCGGTGGTAGTATATATCCGGGTCGTCCTTGTCATGGGTGATGGCGACCTCAAAATCGTCGGCGGCGGCTTCGCGGTTACCTATGGAATGGTCAGAAATAATTTACAGCAAGCGTCAATGGAACTCACCGAGCTCGAGATGCAAGCTGGCGCGCTTGATGTAGCTCTGGACCAGCGAGGGCTGCATTTCGACACTCTTGTTGAGGTCCTCCAGGGCCCCATTGGCGTTGCCGCCGAGGTAGGTGAAGGTGGCTCGCATGTTGAGGGCCAAGGACTCAAAGTCACCCAAGTCACCAACCTCGAGCGCCTTCTCGAAAGCAGCCGCGGCCTCCTCGTAGCCATCAGCCGTCTTCTGGCGCATGGCAATCAGACCCTTGCGCAGCAAACCCTTGCCTGAATCCTCACTCAAGTCAACCGACTCATCCAGACCCTCGGGCAGAGGCTTCGGGCGGAAGCTCTGCAGGTAGTTGGAGACGAAGGTGGCGCTAGGAAGCTTCTTGCTCCTGGAATCCATGATGGCCTTGCACTTTTGCTTTGCCACCTTCTGCAACAGTCTCTCGAGCGCAAGACGGCTGACGTCGTTGGAGAACCCGTCGATGATGCAGCTGGCGGTAAAGTCGAGGAGGGCCTCACTGTACCTCTCGAGCTGCTCGTAGGCATTGGCTCTCCGGTTCAAAGCCTTGACGTACTCGCTGTCCATCACAAGCGCAGCACTGGTATCCTCGATGACCTTGTCCCACTCCGACAGAACGTTGTAGCAGGCCGCGCGGTTCGAGTAGAAGACGGGGTCGGGCTTGCAGATAATGGCCTTTCCGTAAAGCTCAATGGCTTTGTTGTAGTCCTTGGAGCCGAAGGCCTTGTTACCGGCAGCCTTCAGCTTGGCAGCGTAGGCCTTCCTAGTCTTTAACGGATTGTCAATAACCAATCATCATCATTTGCACTAAGCCGCCATACCTCTTCTGACAATTGTCCAACTGTAGCCTCGTCGACCTCGGGCAGCTCTTCGGCGGGCTCCTCGGCCTTTTTAGCGGTCGACTCTTGAATCGTTGTCAGCATGCGACCAGGTAGACAAACAATACTCAATGCCTACCATCCTGGACAGACGCGGTCTTAGACTTCTTCTCATCCTCAGCCTTCTTCTTCTCTTTCCGCCGCTGGCTCTTGCTCTTCTTCTTCTCCGCAGGCGCGGCAGCTCCAGCGCCACCCTTGGAGTCGGACAGGTAGTAGGCGACACCAGCAGTCGTCACAACAACGGACACACCGGCAATGGTGTAGACCAGGGCCTTGTTCTCTGATACCCAGTTGGAAATGCGATCCCAGACTGACGCGGACGAGGATGCGGGCAACTTGGAGGTGTCCAACACCACGTTCTGGGCGGGCGTGGGTAATGGCGAAGCGCTCGACATGATGTGGAAGGGAACCGACGCGGCGGGTGATGAATCTGCAGCGATGTGAGAATTGCGAACCGATGATATTACCGTTGTTGCGTGGGGGATCCAGGATCACCTACCCTGGGATGCGCGGCAAAGGCTGGCGAGAAGATAGGGAGAGTCGGAGCTTCGACGAAAAGTCGAGTTGGTCGGCCCGGGCACGGGCCAATCACGCGCCAGGTCCACTATGACATATTTGTAGCTTTTCCTCTTCTTCTCACTCTTTCCCACTTCCTATGATGTCCTTCTCTCTGATTTCCTCTCTCCGCTACGACCCTGCCCTCCCTGCTGCTGTGTCACAGCTCGCAAGTAACACCTATCCCGACCCCGTCGACACGCCTTATTACCTCCTTGCCTACCACCGAGACCGGCTAATCACTGCGGCCCAGCATTTCCAATGGGAGAAAGCACTGGCATGGCTCCAACAGGACTTGCGCACCTTAAGCCAGTTCCTTGATGCGTCTATACCAGACACACATGAACCATGGCGGCTGCGAATTGCCGTAGATCACAATGGCAATGGCACGGTGGACGTGCACCCAACCGCGCCAATTGACCCATCCAACCTTTTAATCCCTTCAATTGACACAACACCCAAATCGTCGGTCTGGCGTGTCTATGTTGATACGCAAGCTACCAGCCCGTCCGGCTTGACAACGCATAAAACAACCTCCCGAGATGCTTATAATGCGGCGCGACTACGAGCGGGAATCAAATCCCCAGCCGATCCTGCCGAGGTGCTCGTCGTCAATCCGGAGGGTGATATTATGGAGGGAAGCATCACTACGCCGTACTTCCGACGGCAGGATATCGGGGTTTCTGGTCCAGCGTGGATCACGCCGCCGCTTGACAGCGGAGGTAATGCAGGTACCACGCGCCGATATGCCCTGTCTCGGGAGTTCTGTGTAGAGCGGACCATTTCAGCTGCCCAGCTTGCCAATGGCGAGGAATGCTGGTTGAGTAATGGCGTGCGTGGATTCATACGCGGTGTAGTTGTTCTGGATAGATAGAAGATGTCGTGAATATATAATATAATAAACCTCCTGTCAGTCCAGTGAGGCCATACGCTATAGTATCACAGAATAAGCCTTGGAGACGTCAAATCGTTGTTAATTGTGATTGGAAACTAATTGAAGAAATCCCGTAAGTCGTCCTATGAAAATGCAAGACAAGACACCTAGTTCTTGGTCTTCTCCGCCACAACCGGATTGGGATTCCCCTTCCACTCCAGCGCACGAGGCCGCATGAACTCGGCCACAATCTCATCAGTCACCTTGCTGCGGCGCTCCTGGAATCCCTGGACATATGTCTGGAGCTCAGCAATGCAGCGCTGCTTCATCTCGCCCGTCATCAGTTCGCCGCTCTCATAAGACTTGCGGAGACTCTCCAGCTCCGCATCGTCCTCGAGGAAGAAAGTCAAGTACTGGAACGGCACATCGACCTTGCTGTTGCCGCCCAGTTCACGGTGGAGCTCGGCGGTCTCCTGTCCACCGGAGAAAGCGTACTTGTTGATCTTGTTCTTGATGCGACTCGGTGCGTCGCTCATGAAGATGGCGGAGATATCCACACTAGCAGACATCTTGGACCCGGGGCCCTGCAGCGCCGGCAGGAAGATGGAGTGGATCAGCGACGGCTTCTTGTACTTCATCTTCTCGGCGTTGTCACGGCATTGCCGGAAGTAAGGGTCTTGGTCGATGGCACATGGGATCAGGCAGGGGATCGACGAGACCTTCTTCCTGTCCGTGCCGAAGATTTGCGGGAAACTTGTGGCGAATGCGGTCGCGGACTGGGTCGCGCAGAAGTGGAACTCGCCGATGTTGTTGCTATCGTTGAACCCAAAAGTGCCGCGTACCTGGTTGATCGTGATGCGCTTGGCCATGCGGCAAATGTTCTCGTAGAAAGCGCCGCCGATGAAATCAAAATCGCTGAAGATAAAGGTCTTCTTCATGTCAAATCCAACCGCAATGATATCCTTCACGTTCGCCTTGGTGTATCGCTTGGCGTCGTCGACGTCGACCTTGGCGGAGTGCATGTACTTCTCGTCGTCAGTCATCATGATTACGAGGGGCACGTCGAATACATCCTGTAGCCACCTGGTAAAGTCAGCGCAACATCCTTCAAGTGACCCGCGTCTGATTCATACTTGGTGAACTCGAATGGAACAGTGTGTCCGACATGCATGCTATCACTACTCGGTCCACGGCCTGTGTAGAGGTAGAAAGGCTGACCCTTTTCGTAGCGGTCCAGAATTGCCGTCAAGTCGCGGTGGCTGAAGACAATGCCTCTGCGCATGAAGCGGTGCGGGCGGTGGCCGGTGACTTTCTCGAATCGTTCCAGCAAGGCGGGTGTGATGGGAGTGGCGCCGAATTCTCGCACCAATTTGTCATAGTCCACGGGCAGCAGCTTGCCGTGTTCATCCACTCCACCGGAGACATCGAATGGTGTCACGACCTGATTGACAGGTTGCTTCTCGTGAGCCTTCTCGGCGAGACTCAGCGTGGTCAACGCCGGTGGCTGGCCTGGTTCGTCGGCCATGGTGGAAGGATTCGGGGGAGGAAACTAGATCGATTGAGTTAGGGATTGTGCGACCACGAGGGAGGGAGGGTCATACGGTGGCTCGGGTGTTTGTGTGTTTCCAAGAACAAGTGACTCTTTTCTCCCCCGCCAATTCAAAAAAGAGTCACTGGCCTGTGATTGGCGGGGCAGTGATGGGTCACGTGTATTTGGCCATAAGTCACATGACCTCAGGTACTATGCGAGATCGGGATGTTGATGGCCAGCACACTTTTCGAAGCAATACGCTCTTTCATGTCACGGTGTATCCCTTGCCTTTGTACTCTGCCTACATTCCTTGTGAATAATTACAGTCCATCTCCCGGAGTCCAGATTTTGTACCATCGAGTGTCAATGCCCGGATCGTCCTTCTCATAAAACCTCAAATCTGAACTCAGCCTGATACGACCTTCCTGATCCTCATTTCGCCCACTGGCATGGATACTGTATGGATCATGGAAGACAACATCCCCGGCTTCATAGTTAGTGATGAGCCACTTGTGCAAGCCGGAAGCTGAATGCATCTCCTGGAGCTGCTGGGGCGACGACGCGATCATCCCGCCGTCCATCATGTTCACATTAAATGCAGAGATCCTCTCCTCCTGTGTCATAGCTGCTGCTCGAGTATTAAAGTCATTCTCGATGGCACGACCCAGTCCGACTGAGTTGGCCAAATAGCAGAGACCTCCGCCGTTGATGGGTATATCGCCTGCAAGAATGATAGTTTAGCGTAGTCCAACCGAAAGGCGGGCAATAGCTTTAGTTACCGATTGGAACCCAGGCAGTCAGGAAGAATCCATCTCCTGCTCTGAGAAACAGCTTATCATAATGGATACCAGTTCCCTTGCCAAAGGGCACATTGTGTCGCAGCATACTCCGATCGAGCAGGCGATGCTCCTTCCACTCCATTAAGTCTCTTATAAACTTGGTCAGGGCAGGATGCTCTATAAAAGCGCGGTACTCGGGTTCTTTATGGGCATCAATCAGAATCTTCTCTTCGGCTGGATCGACAGGTAAGCCCTCTCCGCCGATGCCTTTGTGCGCATCCGGATGAGAGGATTTGTTGAAAATACCATCTCGTGGAGCTGTCCCTGGTTCTAATAACAAGGTGCTTGAATATTGACTAAAATAGCTGGACAGAGAGGTTATTGTCAGCAAGTCTTATAATAGACAGGTATGTGCTGGTAAGTCCATACTGCTCCCTTGCATCCAGGACGTCCTCTCTAGGAAGAAGTCCCTTGACGAACAGATACCCGTCCTGCTTGAGCCGTTCCCTCATTTCCTCAATGGACAGCGATGCCGGTGTGGGGCGAAGCATCCCAACGTGATCGGTGGAGATTCGACCACCATTTTGTGCAAATCCATCAGGGAAAGTGTCTGGAATAGGGCAATCCAAGCCCGGGACAGACGTTGGGTTCGTTGTAAGTGTCGCCATACTGGGTGATGAGACCTGAGGTTGTTAGAATCTAGAAACCGCCTTGCGTTCGCTTGCTTAAATATGGGTACTAAGGCCTCTGTTGTCATACCAGCTACCCGATCAGGTGCCGGGCCCCCTCTTTCGGGGTGATCAAACCCGGAGCCTGCCGAATCGAGCGCCAATCATACCAAATTCGTATTAAGCTAGTAGCATCAGCTGCTTGCAACAAGTTCTGTCGAATGATTCATACGTATTGTGATTGGGCTTGATTCATCGGCTGGGGGCGTCAGTAGCCCGGCTTGTCGACTCCACAGTATGATCAGCGTTGGACCCTTATTTAGCTAGATGGTCCGCCGGATACCGGTTATTTGCATCATAGCCATTGCGCCTGTTCGATTTTCTCCAGGTCGCGGTCTTGTGAATAAGATTCTAGCCCTGTTCTAAATCAATGGAAATCCCAGTGGCGCAGGTCCATGGACTATTTGGGAAATAAAACCCTGACGGCCGCGGGGACCGATACGTTCCTCCACAGAATTTGGTATCAATTCCCGATGAGCACCGGTCTCTCCGCCGCTTTCATTGCAAAATTATATACTGGGTGGAAAGAGATTGTGGATGTATATCTTGGTCCTTAGACTTCCCGGCCGAACTCCGCCAATGTCAATTGGCATCATGCAGAACTCGGCTCCCTATCATCATTTGTATTTTCTTAACACAAAATATGCATACGAACATTCTTTATCGTTGTCTCCACATTCTTCCATACATCTCCATCTTCTATGATGCCTCGGTCGGATCCACGTCCTGTGATAGGCTGCCCGGGACAAAGATCATCCGACCCAGCTCCGCCTCGTCAAAAAGTGCTCAAGCAACCTGCTGTCGCCTGACCATCCCTGACCATCTTCGTCCATCATCACTTCATCATCATCAGCCTACATGACTCTCCTCCATCCGCCACGATGAAGTTCTTCGAGAATGTCTTCACCTACGACTACTCCTTCCCCGCCGTCTCCCTAGCCTACTTCCTCCGCTATCCCAACCCCTACTCCCGCCATGTCCTCACCACCGACGTAATTGACCGCTACGTCGACCCCAACACCCATCGCCTCCACACAACCCGGCTGCATCTGAAGAAATCAAAGGTCCCGTCGGGCATTCTAAAGTTGCTGCCCAAGGGCATCGGGGGCTCGGACAACTCGGGTCAGAGCTACATCCTCGAGACCACCGTTGTCGACCCCAGGGAGGGATGGATGGAAACAGAGTCGCGCAATATGGAGTGGACCGGTATCCTCAGCGTGGTAGAGAAGCAATTATACCAGCGCCACGCGAGTGAAGCTGCCGGCCATGCGCTGGATGGGTTGTCTATCGATGACCGGAAGAGCGAGCAGACCACTGTCCGAACGACTGTCACATTCCGCTCTCGGCTTGGACAGGGGAAATTGCTCGGTGGAAGGAAGAAGGCGGACACTGGGGACCGTGCCTCTGAGGCGGAGGATGAGGCGCCTCGAAAAGGGTTCTTCTCCTCGCTCTCTACCGCCGGCATCCAGCGAACCATCGAGTTGATCGGTGTAAGCCGGACCCGGGATGCTGTGCTGAAGAGCAAGCAGGGCATGAATGTTGTGCTTGAACGTCTGCGTCACGGTGGAATTGTGGGCGTCCTGGAAGGGATGCGGCGAGACCGCGAGATTGCGTTTGGGAAAGACGGTCCGTGGAAGCGCGCGTGGTTGCACGGCAATGGGCTCAATGATCATACTCATCTTGAAGACGACGACAAATGATCCCGGAGTGAACAAATTTGGGCGTGGACAAATTGTCTACCCTGATTCAACCTTAATTTGCATCTGGTTTTCCAGCGTGGCGTTTTTTCTTTTTTCTTTTTTCTTTTTCTTTTTTTCCCTGTTTTGGAGTCTTTTCAAGGGCATTACGGATGGACACTCTCCTACGATTTCTTTCTTTCGTTCTTTCTTTTTTTGGGTGGGGAGGTGGATGATTGAGAAAATTTCCTTTGTGGATGTCTGCGAAGACTGCGGAAACAGTGCTTCTGAACACTGCCTGTATATTAGGGAGGATGATGAGGGCGACACTCGCTTAGAGGACACGCTCCTGTATCATATGTAACTAACAATTTATCCTTCGCTGTGATAATCAACGATGCTATCATGCCTCTCTTTTTGGCTCAGTTTAGTTGCAAGTATCTAGTGCCATCCATCACCTGATCCGGTCAATTCTGCCTCAGGCATCACACGCAGGTCAATAACCTTCACTACGCGTCTGAAGCGTTCGGGAAACCTACACGTCCCGGCTACACAATCACGCCAACCTGTTATACATAGACAAATTAAGCTGAAAGACGCTGTCATTAGTCACCCATAGTCACTAAAAACCCCCCAGATCAAACACCCGGGTAGGTGCAGACCTCATGTATCACAACTTCACCTACTGATGAACCTCGGGCAGACCTGAGTCAAGACTCAAAGAATCTCAACACCATTAAACCAGTCAACACAATTGCTAGGATCGTGAACCCAACACATCCAACTAACATGGGGCCCCAAGACTCTGCTATCAACACACCACACCAACTCGCGTCTCTTGGGTTCGAAGAATTCCCTTTCCTGGTCCCACTCCCACAGCCACAGGATGACCTCCAGACAACGGTAAGAAAAATGCACAATATCGCCGACGTACTCGCCAGCGGGGGCAGAATCACCCCCCAAAGCAAAGACATAACCTCCTCCGCGTTACGCAAACATGACGCGGAGTCCTTCGCCAAGGAGCGCATGTCCGCCACGGAGCGCGGCCTGTATGAACAATGGCAGAACACGCAGCTTCAAATACCGGACTTTGACTGGACGCGAAACGTGATGCGCCTCCCTTCCGAGGATGCGCAGAGCCTCAAGACCTTCACGCAGCGTGCGGAGGCTATGGATATCCTCTGGTGTCGCACGGGTGCTTCGCCTGAGAACGCGCTGTGGCTTTCGTCTAATATGGATTCTATGTTGCCTCTTGTCAAGGCCATTACCAAAGTGTTGAACGCGCAGCAGCATTTGGAGGCTCATGACCCATTGGTAGGGCTGAGCGGTGAGGAGGTTGCAGAGCTGGAAGCCCTGCGGCGTATTAGGGCATTGGCTGATGAGAAGATGGCGCAGGAGCGTGAACGGGTACGGAAGTTGGGGGAGTCTTTGGGGTTGTCGTTGAGTGTGATACGTGCACGCCTGGAATCGCTGCAGAAATGAATATTATACACAACATAATCTCTTGTATATTAACAATTCTATCTAAATACATCTGGGGCCAAGTAATTATTTTTTTTTTTTTTTTTTTTTTTTTTTGTCAGACAGGTCGCGAGCAATTGAATTAACAGAATGTGCTATTAGTCTCACGACCATGTCGAATCTCGACAAACTAACGCTTGAAATAGGCAACGGAATTTTACGACTGATGCTTATACGACAACCGGCACTTTACTTTCTCAAAGGGAACTATCTACAGCTAGATGAACTGTTCTGGTATATGCGGACTTTGATAGAGAGTGGCGACAAGAATAGCATGAACTGAACCCACGTTATTCTTGAATCCGCGGTCCATTGTGCGAAGGTGCTTGGTGCATGTTTGGGCCAGGATTTGGAACGACGTACATGGATGCTCTTCGTGCTCGGCATGGTAATGTCTGGTTCGCTAACTCGGACTGGGCCTTAGCTTGGCGTGGGTTTATGGACGGTGCTATCGAAGAAGGAGCTGGGGTTGCTGCTGCTGTCCAAGAAGAACTGGTTAATCTTTCCCAGACTCCTTACAAGCTGTGATTGTAGAGTTCCTTATGGGACTATGAAGTATATGTGTATTTGTCTTTCCGATTACACCGTATATACTTTTGGGTTGTTTGCGAATTTAGTCACAGGAACTTAGTTGCGTAAGCAACGTGTGCACTTGATTTCATCCTAGCTATCCAGGTCGTTCGAACAACTCGAGAATTGTGGTTGGACCGTTTTGGGAACATGGAGTGTCTGCTGTTGATGGTCAAAGGTGTTCTCAGGTGTTCTCAATGTATAATGGAGACCCGTGGAATTGTTGAAGAATACGAAGCCGAGGAACCAAGCCATCAGCCACACGGAAACTGATCATCTACACCGATGGAAATGGCTATGAGGGTAGAATTGGCGGTGCGATGGTCGTCTTCTAAACGAGAAGCATCAACTCTCCCAAATGGGAACGGACGACATGTCATCTGTGTACGCCGCGGAACTCCAAGCAATTGAGATGGCCCTAGACTGCGTCTGGACCAAAACTGAAAAAGATCAACAGGAGGGCAGTTGTCTTTACAGACAATCAAGCTGCGCTCAAGCACTCCGCCGCCCCTGAATGCCATCAGGACAAATCGACCTATCCAGCTGCCTCGAGGCCTGCGCTGGTTGTCGGACAGAGGTATCTAGCTTTTATCTCCATATGATATACTTTCGGCTATAACTTAAAAACAAAAATAACCTTGATGTCTCATTTGAAAAGATTATTCTGTTTGCTGATCCGATTAACCCACCACACGGGATAGGGAATAGGCTCCGGAGCAAGTGGATATTTTCAAGTTCTATTGCTCCGCAGGAATATTCCCAGCCTGGGTGAAGATTGGCATAAATGCGGGGAACGACGCGATGCGCCGATCAAAGCTGAGCCACGATGAAATAGGCCGATTGGGTCATGGATCCTTAGATTAATCTAGTCGGATTGAGTAACAAATATATTCATATGAAACAAGATCTGTTTACATTTCGTACAGTTCGTATAGTGTAGATCATCCGTTAATATTATCCGTTCGGTTAAAGAAAGAGTAAAGGTCGTCTCTGCTGGCTAGAGAGAGGTAGAGGCACAAATATTTCGACGTCTTGCTGGCATGTAGATGATCCTGCAAGTGTTCTTTGTTCAATTCATGTTCCTGAAAGAGGAGAATTTCCTTTGTATGGGATTTCATGGCCGAAGCGGGCGATCAACTGGCGCTGTGTATACTAACATGTTTTCTATTCCACCGCTGACAAGAATTTTAACATGCTCGTTCAAATAAGCGACAAGATAAGAACTATCGGTTATTATCTCGACTACTTAGCATGAAAATACCTTTTCTCAATCACATTAAGAGTCGGTTATATCATCGACCCTGTGGGGAATGCACCTTGAATGCCCGCAGGCGGGGTCAGGTGGATTATATTCGAATGCTACTTCGTTTATAATTGTTGGAGTGCATGCCCCCGTAAGCCGTCTAAAAAACATGTAGATCTTACTAGATTCAATCGAGGCAAGCTACTTGCCATGCAGCTTCAAAGCCTATATAAAGGTGTTCTGCACCCCGTAGAAATTGAAGTATCTCATGAGTTCGAGATACTCAGACTGCCATTTATACCACTTCCCATCAAACTGTTTCCTCACAAAAATTGATCAGATATGTCGTTTTTCCCATTAAGCCTGGCTCTAGGCCTTGTTGCCACAGGCTCCTTTGTCGCCGCTGGGCCTTGCGACATCTACGCTTCTGGCGACACGCCCTGCGTCGCGGCGCACGGCACCACACGTGCCCTGTACGATGCCTACACTGGCCCGCTCTACCAAGTGTCGCGTGCCTCTGACGGTACCACAACTGACATTTCGCCTCTGACTGCCGGTGGTGTTGCCGATGCTGCTGCTCAAGATACCTTCTGCAACGGCACAACCTGCACCATTTCTATTATTTACGACCAGTCTGGTAATGGTAATCATCTCACTCAGGCTCCACCCGGCGGCTTTGATGGCCCAGCAGCTGGTGGCTATGATAATCTGGCTAGCGCCACTGGCGCACCAGTTACACTCAACGGTCAGAAGGCGTATGGCGTCGCCATCGAACCAGGCATGGGTTACCGCAATGACGAAGCTGTGGGCACAGCTACAGGTGATGCAGCGGAGGGAATCTATGCAGTTTTCGATGGAACAAATTACAACGATCAATGCTGCTTCGACTATGGCAACGCAGAGACTAGTGCTACCGATACAGGCGACGGCCACATGGAGGCTATCTACTTTGGCGACTGTACTGTCTGGGGGACTGGCTCCGGCAGCGGCCCTTGGATCATGGCGGACCTGGAGAATGGTCTTTTCTCTGGCGAGAGTGCTGGTAACAACGCTGGGGACGCGTCTATCACCTCGCGCTTCGTTACCGCCATCGTCAAGGGAGAACCAAATCAGTGGGCGATCCGCGGTGGCGACGCCACTTCTGGCACGCTGTCTACATACTATAGCGGTGCGCGCCCATCCGGCTACAGTCCAATGTCCAAAGAGGGTGCTATCATTCTTGGTATTGGCGGCGACAACAGCAATGGTGCTCAGGGTACTTTCTACGAAGGTGTGATGACCTCTGGTTATCCGTCTGACGACACCGAGAGCTCGGTGCAGGCCAACATCGTAGCCGCCAAATATGCCGTGTCTAGCTAGAGGGCCTGGGGCCAGTGTGGTGGTAGTGGATGGAGCGACCTTGTGGTTAGTGTCGAGAGACCATTTCTAGGGCACTCGTGAATACACACTCGGATGATATTTTTGCAAAGTTCTCTGTTGCTTCCTGATTCAGTGTTTTATGCTATTGTACTTCTTCGTATACATATGCAACTACATAACTGGACATGTGAGTCATCCTCGTGGCTCAAGTAGACAAGATTGTATCCACTCTAGAAAGAACTGGTTAATCTCTCCCAGTCTCCTCACAAACTGTGATGTAGAGCTCCTTACGGGTTTATTGAGTACATGTAAAGTTTGTCTTTACAATTACGTCGTATATATTTTGGGTTGTTTGAGATTTTGGGTTGTTTGAGATTTTGGGTTGTTTGAGATTTTGGGTTGTTTGAGATTTTGGGTTGTTTGAGATTTTGGGTTGTTTGAGAATTCAGTCGTAGGATTTGAGTAAGCACCGTGGGCACTTGATTTCATCCTAGGCCATTCATGTGGTTCGAACAACTCCAGAAATATGGTTGAACCATTTTAGGCACATGTAGTTTCTGCTGCTGATGATCAAAAATGTTCTCAATGCAAGATGGAGACCTTTCAACGGTTGAACAATATAGAACTAAGGTAGGTAGTTTAACTATAATATTAAATCTCAGTGTGACTTGAATACGCTGTGAGTTCACGCGCTCAACCTTCTTTGAACAAAATTACTAAAGGCCAAATGCAAAGGAAAAAAGGAGGATGGAGATTAGACCTCGAGCTTGCAAACACTAGGAAAAAGAGTCTAGTGCTAATAGTGAATTTCGGCCCCAGTGCATAAACATCACCAACTCGCTTGGTGAGAGTCAGAATAAGCAAGATTATTTGGCAAGCGAGATGCCTAGGTAACTCTTTGTGTACTGCATGTGAGTAGCTTTTTAGGTTTTCTATGCAGTTTCTTGGACTTTGAGTGGCCTATCGGCATCGCACGATCGCCTATTTAGTGTTGGTGGCTAAAGTCCCATAACACTTGGTCCCATCACGATAAGTTGAATCCCTGAACCCCGCTTTTTTGTTATATCGGCAAAGTCTCTTCGCACGACATCATGAATTGCCTCTTAGAAGTGTATGTATATAGCCATTACTCAACTACAAGAGACTTAAAATGAGACCCCCAACATCTTGAAAGCTGCATGGTCACGTCCCTTCCTTAGTTAAGACACACAAAGGAAACAGCCGAAGCTAACTATAATCCTAAGCATATGCAGAAGGGAATCATTAGTATTATTAGTATCTCGATTTTTGAGGAGAGAAAATATGAGAGCGAATAAAAACGACCATTGTATAGTGAGGACTAGTGATCTACGAAACCGACCAAAGCTTCAATCAGGGGGAATAAGTCGTCTAGCACTGAAACTTCGTATATTCAACCTATGATAGAATGGCTTTAGATCCGAAGTTTAGCCGTGATCCGAAGTTCAACCGTTCTCCTAAGGATAGACTCATAAATGGTCACCCTAAAAATGTTATGGGGCCAAATCTTCACGTGCGGGGTCCTTTTGACTTCCCACTGTATATATTTAAGTCTTGTAAGCCTATTGATCATTCTTCACAGAGTATTTCAATATATTCCATTATGATTTCTATCCGTTTCGTCCTGCTTGTTGTCGCCGTACGCCAAGTTGTTAGTGCAACTATCCCACAGCTTGGTCGCAGAGGTAAGCTGTGTACCTCTCATATATTTAAAGATAAGTAATTGATTAGGCAAGATGTGTCGCCGAGTCTTCTCCACCGATTTTATTTAATGACACAGTATTCGTCGGCAGCACATTGCGCGGCTAATCACAACGTCTCATCTGCTGGATTACCAGTCTATTGTGATCCTGGAAACTGCCCTTCAGTCCACGAAGCAGATACGGAAATCATAAACCCTTTCTGGGAGTAAGTTAATATTATAAATCCTAGAGAATAGTCTCTTACAATGTTCATTGCAGCTTACAACCTGGTGATGTGGCTGGATACCTCGCCGTGGATCGAACAAATAATCTCATTGTGCTCTCATTTCGCGGCACTGTGTCTAATGAAAACAAACTCACAGACCTCGAGTTTCAACAAGTTGACGCGTCCAGTCTTTGTTCTGGGTGCTATGCTCATAGAGGATTCTGGGAAGCTTCCTCTAGCGCCTTCAAAATTCTAAACCCAGCGCTCAAGGCCGTGATGACGAAATATCCAAACTTTGACCTAATTGTGACTGGACATAGTCTTGGAGGTGCTTTGGCTACACTCCAAGCCGTTCTTCTGAAGGCAGATGGACATCAACTTGACATGGTAGGTATAACAAAAGTGCAGCTCATTCGAGTGTCTAACGTCTCTCTAGTATACATTCGGAGCGCCGTCAGTTGGAAACAGGATGCTGGCCGAATTTATTACTAGTCAAGGCTTAGGGAAGAATTATCGTCTCACACACACCGACGACGAGGTTCCTAAAGTTCTCTACCAAGCTTCAAGGGCAGTCCTCCTGGATATTATTGTCCCAGAATACAGCCAGTCATCACCAGAATACTGGATAACATCACCGAATGGTATTTCCGTGACAACCTCGGACATTCAGGTTATTCACGGCGTCGACAATACGGCGGGTAATTTAGGTCAGCCAGGATTCGATATGTCAGCCCACGACTGGTATATGATAAACACAACTGTCTGTCAGGATTTCTGACTACTCGGAGTCCCTGCTTGAATGCCATTTGTGAGATTATTGACTGGCCTTTATTTCACCGAAGGTCTTGGTCTGGCATGTTCAACGCACGTTATATGCCCTTAGGCTGTTCACATTGTTTCTTATCCGCAAATTATCTCGCTCTCACACACATGCACTAGGAACGAAAACTCATAAATCTACACAATAGTTAGCGGTAGCTTATTTACTCAGAATGGAGATGCCAGAGCTCCGTGCTCAGGCGAAAATGGACGGGTCGCAATGATAACGAGACTAAGGCGCCTGGCCGACTTGGAAGGTTGGGGGGAAATTTTCAGCCCTTCACACCAAGTGGTGATCCTACTGTTGCTCGTGGGAGAAATGATTACTGGCAGCGATGACTTTAGCTATTTAGTCAAGATGCTGCTATCGCTTTCTAAATCCAATGGCCAGAATTATGCTTCCCGTTCGGAGGTTCATGCTTTTCTTCTTCACCAAATACGAATGTTCGTGTATAGCTTCAATATCCTGGGTGACGGAGAGCTAACTACATGTCGACAGGGTTGAGCTATTTGCTGCTGGGCTATTTCTTGGTGAATTCGAAGGCATTCAGACACTAAGCAGGGGCGCCGAATTTAACTGTGACTGGATCTTCTGTACTCTTGAACAAGACCATGCACACCGGGCCGTGGTAGATCGCTTGACTGCCGCAATGCGACAAGCCGGCGAAGTCTATGTTAATCGCGTGTTCTCACCCTTTCCTCCGACTCCTACATTGCCGACAGAGTCGGAGCCTAATGTTTCCTCGAGTCTCAAATGCCTGAAAGATATTGCTGAAGATATACAAGCCGACGCTCCGGGATCACCAGCACCGGTATGGTAATATTTTATAGGGGCCGCAGAGAGTGAGATATTGGAAGACCGGAGATCCTTCACGGAAAACTCGAGACAATGTACTCGACGATTGGATTCGAGAATATCGTTATTGGGTTGCAGATGTTGCAGAAGCTTTGGGATTATCAGAGCCAACGGAGGAGTGGGAGGATGTTAGCGCTTGGCATGGGGGTGTGTTTGGGCTGTTGCGTGAGGCGCTGGGGAGTATGCTGGGGAGCCAGAATGATCGAACATAAAATACGCTTGGCAATTGTCTTGGAGTAGACTTTGCGCTATCAGGTTCTATAGCTGACCAAAAACTACGAACTTGTACAGTCGTACGGTCAGACCGGTAAGCCCGGATCTTGGCGGTTGGGAAAAATAGGGTCGCCAAGTTGCTTTCCGGCGGATTCCACCTTGTACCCACCCAGGAATGTTTCGGACCGTGGCAAAGCCGATTGAAGACAAAGATGACATTGGCCGAGTGACAGCAGGCGACAGAGGAGAGATCGAGATAATAATCAGCAATTCCTGATACCGTCGTTACTAGCGCATTCTCCGATAGGCGGATAATTGATTAGGGGCCTCCAGGCGAGAGGTGATGGCGGTGGCGCTGTCCTAGTGGATTACGCCGAGCACAAGGGTCTGCTAGCGCTGGACCCTTGAATATTGGGAGATTCTATGGTATTTCAGATGTGCTTGTCGTTATTTGTACCGGAGTAGGCAAACAATGCGCGCCGGATACCCTCAACTATGTAATCCCAGAGTAAACAAACGGCTCCTGGATGATCTCATCGGGAAACCAAGTCCACCGCTCTCGACCAGTATTATTCTCACTTGCTCCACTATCGCGGCCCTGACTGGCCGGACCCTGTCGCTCGCTCAGTCAGCCAGGTCGCGATCAGCCGTCTGATTCGCCCGGTTCGGTGTAGACAATGCGGGGACTCAGCAGGAATGCCAGGGGATGGGAGTGACCTAGAGATACTTGGGTGACACAGCGCATTCCCTTAGTGGAGGAAGTACCCCCAAGTCACTCTGACTGGCCCCTTCTCGCCTGGCTTTTCACTAACTCAACTAACCAACACCAGCTCTTCCACGGGCCTCGCTTCGTGCGAGTAGGATCCTTTTTCCTTCCTTTCTCAGTCTTACTTGACTTCCACTTCTGTCTTCCCTCCCCCATCATAATAATCCCTCCCCTGAACACACCCCAGTCGCCTCAGACATGAGCATGCCTGTCGTTGTCCTGTTCAGCCGCTCACCATCATCTTAGGCGCTCTGGAGGGCCTCCGCGGTCGCTCTTGTGGCCCAGTCTACTACCTTTTCTCTCCTCCTTCCCCGCGTCGATTTTCCCGGTCGCGATCGATGGCTTTCGACAGGAATCGCGGGTCCCTTTTCCGACCCTCCCTCCTCGGGGTCCTGCTGATGCTCTTTCACTGCGGCGCCGCCCAATTCTGCTCGTTCTGGCACACAGGGTGCATCGACCCCGTGGCTCAAACCGCCGTGAGCCTGGATTTCCAGCCCGTGTTTCCCGACCCCATTACCCTCTTCTACGGATTCGACGCCAGTCCCTCGGGCAAAGGCGACGGCCCCATGACCAAAGTGGCCTACTGGCTTCGCTACCAGGACAACCACGTTAGTCGCGAAGCGGTCGATGCGAATCGCACCTCCGAGATTGCCCTCCGCATTGGCAACATCACCGGTGTGCCGTCTGGTGGGAACAATGGCTGTGATGGGATTTGGGGCCCGCCCTGCTCTGAGGATCTGAAGGGAATCCTCCGAAACACCATGTTTCATATGGCTACATCGGGCGAATACAACTACAAACCCCTGGAAGCCGCCTTGGCGCACTTGATCGCCTGGCCGCCCCCGTTGGAGACCTGTCCGCCGCAGATGTTTGAAGTGGCCTCCATCCCGGTCCAAGGTATGCACCCTTCCTCTTCTGCTGGCCCATCCGACGAACTGACAATTGAGTCCAGACTTCGTCCTTGAATCAATGCCTGACCAGAAGGTATCAGTCATGTCCCCGGGAACCAGCGCCCATCCATGGCAGGTCTGGTACCTCGATGACATGACCACGCATTCGCAGGCCCAAGAGGTCGCGGTCGGCATCATCAGCCGCGCTCCCTCGCTCAACGATCCCCCACCTACCAGCCCCGATGACATCCAGATGCAGCTTATTTGCCTTCAGGCTCCATCAGGAAGGTCATCGGGCTCCGATTAGTTCCTCGTGCATAGGACGGTCTCCTCCCGATCGTCCATGATTCTTTTCTTCACCAGTTTCGTCAACAGTTCTGGACTGTGACAGCGCGGTCTCTTGTGCCATTTTCACTCGTTATACCCCGTCACCAACCCGTGCCCCGTGGTCATGGTGCGAACCGTTGGAACTTTCCGAGTTGCACATGAGCAACATCTACGACTGTCGCTTTCGATATGTCTAAATAATGGACCGTCCCAGGGGCAAATCTAACCTGCCAACTACTACATGTTTCCTGGCCCCGTCCTGTCTTCTGTCGTCCTTGAGCAGTCAATCATGGCCTGCTGCTGAAGGATGTTCGGTCGACACATGAAACCTACACATACGTGCAGGCAATGCGAGTAATCGTCTATTCATTGACGGCGAACTCGTTGCTGCATACGTTGGACTCATACCATTGCGAGCCTCTCTCAACCTCCATTATGATCCCTTCAATTTCTTCGAATCCGCCATTGCATATCACCGGAGTTCATTCATCACCCGCAGTTACAAAGTAGGCCAATCCATCTCAATGGGCTTCAGATCCCCCGGTCCCCGGAAATCCCACAAGATATTAGCCTGCTCGCTCAGCAACTTGCGATCCGTCTGAATCCCCAGCCTTGCTAGTCCGCGCCACCTCTCGAAATCGTGCGGGTTACGCTTATCGCCATGCGCCGCCTCCGCCTGCTCCCAATGCCCCTTGGAGAACGCAAGCAAGGTGGTGATGCGACTATGGGTAATATCGTACACAAGCGAGCAAATCGTCCCCGTCTCTTCGAGCCAGTTACACTGCCACAGCTCCCCGGGGCGAATGCACTGGTACGTCGCTGTCTGGAAATTGACTCGTCCCGCCATCGGCCCGCCGTGGATGGCGTAGTTGATGCGGTCCTCGTTGTAGAACCACATCTCATACCGCCATTTCTCTGGGTTGCCGTGTTCATCCTGCGCTGCGTAATCGTAGATCAGGTGCCGGTCGCGGAGGTCGGCATCGAAGGTGGATGATTCCAGGGATGGGAGGACGGGCATCTTTGTGTCTGGGCGGACCTGTCGGCTTTGATTTCGATTTTCTTTTCTGTATAGTTATAGCGAGACACGGCGTGTCATTTGCATCTCCTTTGATCGTGTTGTGAGGTCAGGATTTGTATCCGCGGCTTTTATTTTAATATAATTCCCCATTTGCATTGAGCTTCCTCTCCTGGTGTATCCATCCACGGTACAGTAGCTTGTGTCCGTTTTCAGTCAGCTGGTAGTTGCCACCTATGTAACCCTACTAAACTGACTACAAGCTCAAGCAAGATTTGAGTGAAGACGGTATGCACCAATCACTCAGCGACGTAACGGCTTTTAGTATGTGGCCTCATAGCTATAGAAACATACGGGAGTACATAGTCTCACCTCCGCTCAACAGCACACACACGTACTCTCTCTCTCTCTCTCTCTCTCTCTCTCTCTCCATCCACCATAATTATACAAGCTTCTATTTATATGGAGCCTCTTACACTCCTCGAGATCAAGCTGGCTCTATGACGGCGGACACGTGAGTGTTCTGGGCGTTGGTGCGATATTACGACGGGCACTGACAAACTCCGTGTCTCAAGGAGGGATGTCGGTTCCTGCTTCTCGTCCTCCGTCCGAGCTGTGTCCTGCGCGTTGTTCGCGTGTCCATGGCACTCTAGCTCAGTGCTCCGCGGATTGGGAATGGCGTTGTCAGACAGTCGACTCCGTGGTCCACCTCAACCACGCTCCCACGACCACGTTCTCAGGCGTCCCTCCTGCGCTGTCAACCAGCTCACCAATCATGCCACTTCCGGACGACACGTTTTATTGATTCTTTTGTTTCTTAGAAGAAGAATATGGACACCCCAGATTGGATGATTGACTTGAGCTGAACATCATAAAGCGCACCTTGATAGGTGATTCCGCTTCTTTAATATACACCGCTCTTCCTCTTCCCAAAAAAGAAAACGAAAACTAAAAGGAAATTCAACAGCCTTTCTTGGACATGGTCGCCTAGCACCGCCAAACAAGGCTTGGGCGACTCCCCGCTATGTCGACTGACAGATTGTTGCTTGCCATTCCCCACCGTATTTTTGCATGTTTTTCGATCAAGATGGTGCTGCTATGTATAGAGAGTGACTATTAGCGAGCAGTAAGCTTCTTTGATACGTTAGTCGCCAATTATCGCTTGGGAATTCAATATCATTACCTCAGAGATTCCTACGCGTCAAACTAATGTTTCCTAATAGGCCTAAGAGCCTCAATACGAACCGATGTGTTAGCAATTCGCTTCACCGATCTTAACCCCTGGAAAACTCGTGTTCGTGAATTTGGAAGAATTTCCCGATATTCCTTTGTTTGCCCCTGGAGGCTGGTTGAATGTGCAGGGCTCACAGGTCAGAGCCGGGGCTGAGGTCTCGGAGCTAGGGCCGCGGTCATATCTGCCGAAAGCTTGCTCTCGATCAAGCTTAGCTTATGGCGTGTTTTTCAAATCCGGGGACTGGATCGTTCGAAACCAGAAACCGTTCGTGGCCTCGTCTGTAGCTCTCGTCAGAGAGGTCTCAGAATTGCTAGCTGGGCTTACGCTAGTGGACGACATCAGGGCTAAGCCTAAAGGGACCCAACTAGCGTTCGCCGCCACGCCTTACCCCGGGAACGCCGATCAGAACTTGGATATCCAAAGCGAGGAACCCTCATAGCGAAAATATAAATAATCATCGAAAACTGTAGATAATTTCCGTAAACCCATAATCCATACAGAATTCTAACTCTCATAATAATCATTATGCGCTTCTTCAACGTCCCTATCTTTGTGGCCCTGCTAGGTCTGACCGAGGCGGCCCCTAAGCCGAAGAGCCGCCAGACAGAGCATCATACTTCTACCAAAGTCTCCTATCAGACCGACCTAGCTCTCGAACCCTATCACGGCCATGTCCCGACGGTTACTGTCACACGGACTCAGACCCTAGCCCCGATCATTATCATTTATACCTCCTATCCGACCGTGACGAAGACTCCAGCGGTAGTCACCGATACTAAGACTAAATGTGTGAAATCGACCACCTCAGTCACTGCTACAGCCAACACTGATACGGTTTGCGTTACGTCGACTGAGTTTGACACGACGACGTGGACTTATACTCCGCCGACGGTCACCGATACCGTCTACACGGAGACCACTATCACAACTACGTCGACCTCGAGCATCCCAACTGCATATGGATTTGTCCCAGTTGTCGACACTCTCCCCCCCCTGTCGAAGAAGAGAAAAGGGACCTAGCGTCTCTGGAGCGCCGCTCGCAAGCCTTTGCCCATAAGGACTTCCGATACCCTAAGTCTGTTAGGTGCATACATGAAGTGTTTATAGAAGTCATCATCATCGAAATCATCATCGGCCCCCCTGTGACCAAGTGGCTGCCCGCCCATACAACTTTAGCCACTAAGACCGACACCTTCTCTGTCACCTCAACCATCGTTCCTCCCGATGTCTCGGCCACCGTCACCGATACTATCACCTCGACCATCTGCGTCGGCACCACCTTGCCTGCTGAGACTGACACAGTCACCAGTACCAACACCGCCACCGCTTCGGTCGTGAGCTCTGCCTACGACGCCTGTGCCACGAACAACATTGCCATCTCCCCATTCTCATCTGACTACGGCAGTTTCGCTGGCCAAGGCGTAGTTCAGATCTTCGGCACCGCCTTGACTGCTGTACAGGGCAATAGCCCTTACGACTGTTGTGTTAGTTGTATCCAGGATGGCAACTGTGCTGTAGCTAGTTACGATTACGACACATGCTATCATGTCGGGGTGAACAGCTGCGACCCGTCCGAGAACCAGTTTACGGTCATTATTTCGGCTCTAGGGTCCTATGATTACAGCTTGTCGAACGGCGCCTGTGGGTATGTTGTTGGAGAAGAGATATACTTACGACGGGTGAGCTGATCACCGAGCACTTGGGGTTGCGCAGTGTCCATATAGAAAATGTGGGTCTGTAACTAAGGCTCTGGTGAAAGGGACGCTGAAAATGGCGCCAGAGGTATCCATGTTCGGCGTCTAATTCACCGTCACCTAGCGTTGTGGGCTAGTTAATAAAAGGGCCTAGAAGGCCGGCCATAAACCCACCATTTTTTGTTAAGTCGTTGTGTGTAAAGCCAAGTAACAGATATATATATTCTATCAACTTGTACTCTTAACCTCATTAATCATTCAAACTTCAGCCCTCACAAATTTAGAAATGAATGACAGGTTACAGATTGTATATACTCCGCATCGTTGTTCAAGAAATTCAATTTACCATGACACGTATGCACGGCCTCGCCCCAACATAGTAGATCGGATCGTACGAATAAAGAACTAACCCCGTTTAGGAGAAGATCGACCTGTTCCTTCTTGGCATAGCTTACCAGAAGACGACGTCATCGTCGCGATTGGCGTGTTGAACACGAGAAGTGGACGACGTCGGGAAATAGAAGCCTTTTTCCCCGGCTGCTACAATCCAACTGGAGTCCGATAGAAATACAGTTGATGGAGGGAAATACCCCGCCTGATCAGCCGTCACATTGCGCGAATGTGCCTATATGTATCCTAAAGTGCCTTGGTTTTAAAATAAGTGGGATATCAGTGCTAATGATAGTTTGGACCACGCCTAGAGATTAGTTCACACTGGTACTCTAGCAAAGCAGCGGATATCTGCTTAGACCCAACTTCTACTAAGACCTAGCCTTGGGCTATTGAATATCATCACCGGCTTCCTCATGGAGACCCGGATCTGTAACACTTGCACCGGTCCTAATCCCATCGCTTGTGTCTCTCTTAAGCCTATTCGCATCGACCCCGGCTTCCAGCAAGTCCCTCATCACTTCGTAGGCCTTTTCATGTAGGCCACTACTCTCGGGATGGAAAATTAGCGACATATGGGAATCGTCTGAATTTGAACATAGCCTGTCAGAAGCGACGGCTAGGACCTTTCCTTCCGGATACTTAACATAGTATCCACCGTTTTTGGCGTAAAGAAGAGTGCGTAGACTGGTCTCTTGGAGTTTTTGTGAATGCTGGCTTTGTTTTGGCGATTTTGACGTTCCGGGGGATAGGCGATTGTATCGCGTAGTGGTGATAGCAACGTGTTATTCAGACTTGCCATCATTCACATGGATTTCTGGTGAAGATAAACAATGGGAATATTGATGAAGGACCTGGAGGATTGGAGTGATTAACTAAGAACTCGAGTAAAACGGGCGTGGACTATGGCTGCTTGCAGCATGAGGGATCGAGTTGGTGAGCGGTTAGAGCTAAAAATCCCCTGTTTGAGCCGTTTGTTCGTTTTGACGGAAGATTCCACGAGATTCTACGGAATCGTACTGTATTATAACAATGATTTATTTGCTACTGTCTTGCTGATACCCCTGTAGATGAGCCGGGATTATCGAGAAAGGAACCAAATTTGGATTATTTTTAAGGCTCGGAAAAAAATCCGTGAGAGCATATGGGGCAAACTGTTTTCGAATATTGGCAGTGGGTCCCTATCAATTCCTGGCCAGGAGTTGTGAGTGGAAAAAAATCTCGTGCCGTCTCGTATGGCTAGTGTGTATCCCAAAGCGGCGGAGCAAGGTCTCCTCTTCTTAAGTATGTAGCTGATTGAGAGGTCTAAATCTGGGGAATATTATGAGCGCGCATTTGTTTGTTTGTATTTGTTAATGGGGTGCAGGATGCGTCCACACTGACTATGGGACGGGTTGAGTTAATCGGAGTTTATGCGGGTATTTAATGATGGACCTTTCCAGATTTGCGCACCTACCACGTTGACTTCGGAATATTCATTGCGTTGTGCCGATGTTTAACCACCCCCGCATTCGCTTTAGACTATGTTACGTTTGTTACCCTAAAGCCTCAATTCAGGCTAATTTTTTCCCTGTTACCACTACGATCGGCGGAGGAATTGTCTAATCTATCACATCCCCTGTCGATTCTGTCCCCCGGCAAAGCTGGGCCGTACAATGCGTCATCAATATGTGCGAGTTGTGGCTACTCCGCAGGAGAGTTACCCCACAGGAGATACCCGAGACAGGGAGGGAGTGGCATTTAATTCCGGCTGAATGTCATTGTAGATTCCTAAGCTCCCCCAAGCAATGTGAAGCTCCTGGATCGGAGTTGAACGGAGGGCAATTGAGTATAAAAGCTCCGTCCTGTTCGGCCTTTTGTTTCTAAGCACAGAAGAATCCTCAATTCAAAAGTCCACGATGGTCGGTGTAAAGATCACCTCATGGAACACTTCAGTTGTGTCCGTTCTGGCACTCCTTGCTAGCGAAGCCATTGCCAGTAATCCTTTCCCGGATTGCACGACAGGACCATTGAGCACATTGGCAGTATGCGACCCTTCTAAAGATGTGCTCACTAGGGCCAATTCCCTTGTGGCTGCCATGACGTTGGAGGAGAAAATCAACAACACGATATACCAGTCTCCCGGGGTACCTCGCCTTGGTTTGCCTGCGTATAACTGGTGGAGTGAGGGTCTACATGGTGTCGCCGGTTCCCCTGGCGTTCATTTCGAAGCAAGTGGACCCTTCAGCTACGCAACCTCTTTCCCGTCGCCGATCGTTCTGGGCGCTATGTTTGATGACGACCTCGTGAAGCAGATTGCCGCTGTGATCAGTACGGAGGGTCGTGCATTTGGTAATACTGGTCACTCCGGTTTCGACTTCTGGACGCCCAACATCAACCCGTTCAAAGACCCTCGTTGGGGTCGTGGACAGGAGACTCCCGGAGAAGACGCTTACCATGTTGCTCGATATGTCTATAGCCTTATCGACGGCCTGCAGAATGGAATTGGACCTGCACACCCAAAAGTTGTTGCGACATGCAAGCACTTCGCAGGGTATGATCTTGAGGACTGGGGAAATGTCACACGCCATACGTTCGATGCCATCATCTCCACCCAGGACCTTTCCGAGTATTACCTGCCTTCCTTCCGGTCTTGCACACGTGATGCAAAAGTCGATGCGGTGATGTGCAGTTACAATGCCGTCAACGGAGTTCCCAGCTGCGCCGACTCGTACTTACTCCAGACAATTCTACGGGATCACTGGAACTGGGAAGCAACGGGGCATTGGGTCACGTCAGACTGCGGCGCGATTGACGATATCTATCAAGCTCACAATTATACGGCTACTGGTGCCGAAGCAGCTGCGGTCGCACTAAATGCTGGGACGGATCTCGACTGTGGCTCAGTCTTCCCGGATTATCTGAACTCATCTATTGCACAGAGTTTGACAACGACTAAGGCTCTGGACCAGGCTATGGTCAGATTGTACTCGTCATTGGTCAAGCTGGGTTATTTTGACCCAGTTAAAGACCAACTATATGGGTCCTTGGGGTGGTCGGACGTTGGTACCCCAGCCGCTCAAAAATTGGCTCAAAGGGCCGCGGTAGAGGGAACCGTGCTGCTTAAGAACGCCAACACGCTTCCTTTATCGGCAAACAAGACGCTGGCTTTGATCGGGCCGTATGCAAATGCGACAGGCCAGCTACAGGGTAATTACCAGGGCACCGCCGAATATATTCGGACGATGATTTGGGGCGCGACACATGCTGGATACAAGGTCAACTTCGTTCCAGGCACTGAGATCAATACCACCGACACTTCTGGGTTCGATGCCGCTGTGAGCGCGGCCAAACAAGCCGATATAGTGATTTACGCTGGAGGCATCGATAACACAATTGAGGCGGAGGGCCATGATCGCATGACAATTGATTGGCCTGGAAACCAGTTGGATCTGATCCAGAGTCTGGCGCAGGTTGGTAAGCCCCTGGTCGTCGTGCAATTCGGAGGAGGGCAACTGGATGACTCGACTCTACTGTCCAACGATGGCGTCGGAGCATTACTTTGGGCGGGTTATCCTAGTCAAGCTGGCGGTGCGGCTGTGTTCGATATCTTGACAGGAAAGGAAGCTCCGGCTGGACGACTCCCGGTTACCCAGTATCCTGCGAAATACGTCGACGAGGTGGCTATGACAGACATGGCACTGCGACCTGGAAGTGACAATGTTGGTCGGACCTATCGATGGTACGAGGACGCTGTACTGCCATTCGGCTATGGGCTTCACTATACGACTTTCCAAGTCTCCTGGAAGAAGAGCAACCCCAGACCGTACAACGCGGATAGCCTTGCTATGCACGCGTCCAAAATAGCACCAGTGGATACTGCACTCTTCGACACTTTCACTCTTGCTGTCAGCAATACCGGAAACGTGACGTCTGATTATGTGGCACTTGTGTTCCTGACAACTGACAACGCTGGACCCACGCCATATCCAATTCAGACTTTGGTAGGCTACCAAAGGGTCAAGAAAATTAGGCCTGGGGAGACCCGTAAGGTTGATATCGATGTCACATTGGGTTCAGTTGCCCGAACTGCAGACAATGGTGACTTGGTGGTATACCCTGGTTCCTATAAGCTGCAGGTGGATGTTGGAGGCAAATATCCGACATCGGGCTTTCAAATTGTTGGAAAGGAGAAAGTGTTGGATCAGTTCCCACAGCCCGCAAAATAGATGGGCACCTTCAGCGGACCATTAAATCGGTGGTTAGCTTGTTATACACAAAGCACTCCTCTTGGATAAAAGGCACTGCGCAATTTGTTCACGTTTACTCTCCCGCGGTAGCTGTCAGCCATTTATTAGCATACTTTTCTTCATAAATTTTGGGCCAACTTACTGTCGTACTTGTAGCTAGTGACGCTTCATCCATAATTACCTGCACGCTATGATCACACGGACCAGTGAGTCCGAAGATATGAAAATCAGTGTGTACAAGCGGCGCAGTAAATTTGTGACAGTTTCCTGCGCCTGCTTGGATTAAAACGGCGCGGTGAACAGAACACCCTGACTGAAGAACTGTACAGGGTCTTAATGAGCACATTCCTCCTACGTATAAAGCAATCCTGAGTGATCAGTGAGCACTGTATAAAAGTGCGATCGGACGGATCACGTGCATGATCGATGACTAAGATCCCGTAAAAAGGCGCTCAAAAATGGCGGCAAAGGTCAAAAAGAAGCGACTTTCAGCGCTTGACCCACGGGTTGGGTTATGGCGAGGGCCTAGCTGTTCCACTGGAAATTATAAGCCATGGCCAAGACCTTGAAAGTTTGCCCCCCAGACTCTATGACATCAAGTGCCTTTTTGTTCCCTCTGCGCCTGTTTTTTTCTCAATCATTAGAAGGCGAAATTATGCGTTTCGGCATGCAAACCCCAGATCGTTGGCGTCCGCTAGTCAAGCCACGCCGTTCTTCCGATCGAAGCGCAACTTCAACCTTGGAAGACGACCCTCAAAAGGCCTTTTTCCGCCAATTCGGCATTGTAGTATCTCACGTGGCCCAATCTTGTTTCTGCTCGAAGGTGTGTCGTAACGGTGAATCATCATTCGTGGTTCTTATTGTTATTCGACGGCTGGTTTCTTGTTCGACTTGGAATGCCCCATTCTAGTTCCTAGATCTCGCTACCTTAACCCCGCAATGTGACAGTGCGTCGCCACTAACGTGTAAATGATCAGTTTCTATGGCCAATGCTCATGGACGTGTGCGGGGCCGACACGAAGCCCGTGGTTCAACAGGAGTTAGCCAAGACCAGGGAAGTCAGATGGAATCCGTATTTATTGCTGTCCTGTCAAACTGGCCCCTGGAGGTGTCACTCCTTTATTTGCTACCCTTACCCGTTGTCTGCGATTACGATCACGGCGCTGCGTACAATATCTCCCATAACTCCGATGAACACACGGCAAAATGGCGTACCGGTACCCCGATACAAGCCAACCTTCCGAGGTAAACAGACAAAATTCTAGTCTGGATACCGAAGAGAAGCATCGATCAGGCAATGAAGTGTCTCATCACGAAGACCCGTTTGGAGACGAGGAGTTTGCACAAGTCAGGTATCGAACTTTACGGTGGTGGTGAGTATCAAAAATACTTTCTTGGCCGACTTGCAGCTGAGACTTTCATTTTTAATAACACAGGCAATGCGGCATGAGTATGTCAACTTGGATCGCATAATAGAAAATGCTGCAGTATCTAAAGATGTTTTTACTCCGCAGTCATGATTGCAGAAACCGTTTCCCTCGGAATTTTGTCGCTTCCATCTGCTGTGGCAACGTTAGGCTTGGTCCCGTAAGTCGGACGCTATCCTCTCATTCTGGCATACTTGGAAATAGAATCTAATATTGACTCAGTGCGGTAATTATCATTGTCGGGCTCGGTATCCTAGCCACCTACACCGGATATGTCATTGGTCAATTCAAACTGCGGTACCCGGAGGTGCATAGCATGGGAGACGCTGGAGCAGTGCTTTTCGGTCGCTTTGGTATGGCCCGCTTTGGGAAAGAGCTTTTAGGAACGGCCCAATTGCTCTTCCTAATCTTCATCATGGGTAGCCACCTCTTGACTTTCACTGTCATGATGAACACATTGACAGAACATGCCACCTGCTCCATTGTTTTTGGGGTTGTTGGCCTTGTCGTATCCTTTGTCTGTGCCCTGCCTCGCACTCTCAGAAAAGTTTCATGGTTCTCATTTGCATGTATGCATTGGTCCCTCGTTGGTCAACTAACATTGTTTCTGATATTGGTTTCGGATAGCTTTCGCCAGTATCCTCGCTGCGGTACTTATTACTATGATTGCCATCGCTATTCAGCATCCAGGAAATGGCAAGGTAGACGCGACTACGAAAGTAAGTCTCGCAAAAGGGTTCTTGTCTGTGACAAATATTGTCTTCGCCTACGGTATGTGATAACTCACCAGAAGAGTGTCTGTACTGTGACTGATATCTCTGTAGCTGGTCATGTTGCTTTCTTCGGCTTTATCTCCGAGATGAAGATTCCAACAGATTACCCCAAGACTTTGATTATGCTCCAGACGACTGATACGTCAATGTATGTGGTGGCGGGCGTTGTCATTTACATTTACGGCGGGAAAGATGTGAAATCCCCTGCATTAAGTTCCACCAGTGATGTGACAGCCAAGCTTGCATATGGTATTGCTATTCCTTCGGTGGGTTTATCCCTAGATTAGCTGTGTCTTATGAGGAACCCCTATTTCTGACATACGATCACAGATTGTTGTCGCCGGTGTCATTAACGGCCATGTCGCGGCAAAGTACATATATGTCCGCCTATTTCGGCACACTGATCACATGCACAAACGAAGTTTTCTCGCAATTGGGTCTTGGATTGGGATTACTTTGGGTCTTTGGATCATAGCCTGGATTATTGCCGAGGCTATTCCTGTTTTCAATGACCTACTAAGTTTGATCGTGAGTATTGTGAGAGTTGGGCATTTGGATGGAGCACTGATCTGATTCTACTCGACAGACTGCATTGTTCGCTAGTTGGTTTACTTGTAAGTACTTCAACTAAGAAACTCCAATCGACATTAGTATTAACCTACTATGAAGATGGCCTAAGCGGTATCTTTTGGCTTTTTATGAATTGGGGTCGATATGGATCCTCCTGGAGGAAAATTCTCCTCACTCTCCTCAACCTTGTGATCGTGGGAATTGGTGGTTGCCTGGTTAGTCTAATTTTTTCTTTTTCTTCTTCCAGGCTATATATCACAGATTGCTCATTTTCATTGCAGTGCGGTATGGGCCTATGGGTCTCCGGGAAGGCCATCCACGAGGATGCGAGCAGCGGTGCTAGTTTCTCGTGTGCTTTTACTAACAGCTAGTCCAAAACTCCCAACAGTCGCCTTATGTGCCCCAAAACAAAATGCATTTGTTCCAGGGCGGCCGTTTCTGGCGTCCTTAAGAAACATTTTCGGTGGCCGATTTACCGTCACCTAGCGTTGTTGTGTAGTCTCCGACTTGCGCCTCGTCTCTCCATTGACTTACCCGTCTGACCCCACGTGCCGCGAGCAACAATGCCACCGACCGCGATAAACACATCAATCAACATACCAACACAGGTCACAATAATGTATTCTTCCTCCACACGTTCCTGATTTACTCTCTGCGAGCAGGTCCAATGCTTCCCGTGCAGTGGACCCTTAAAATGCAAGCCTTCCTAGGCGCAACGGCAGGCCTGGCGGCGTCGTCCCTCCCTGGCGCGACATCGTACATTGCGGCGCCGGGATTCCCGACCTCTGTGTTTTCGTATGGTTGGACTCCTATTAAATTTCATTTGCTAATTCTTGATGATAGATCCTACTATGTTTCTCCGGCTGAACCAACCAAAGAACCACAGCCCATCCTCCATGACCCCGTACTCAATGTAACTTTTCCCTATGAACTGACAAACCCCGATCACATTCCCACCAACCATGATCCTGTACTCTTCCCCATCCCATCCACAAATCTATCAGAACACCAGCAACGCGCCCTGGTAACCTCCGTCGAGGCCCACGTCACCGAAATCATCAACTCCAGCTCCTCCACAAGTAGTTGCACCAAATGCAAGAATGCCCTCGCTGCCGCAAAGCCCGCAGCTCTGCATGCCCCAATCCTAGTACCAGATGCTATGGTCCGTCTGTGCAAGCAATTCAGTTTCCAATCTGCCGAGTCCTGCGAGCAGAACTATGAAGTATCGACATACGGCGCCATCTGGACGCAGGTTCTGGCATATGCCGATGTCGAGGGTCTCGATGGCGAGTATATCTGTAACTCGCTGAGCAGTAACTTCTGCAGCAAGCCCACTACTCGTCCACTGGATACTACGGGGCTATTTCCCAAGCCCAAGCCTGCGAATCCCGTTGTCCCAAAAGCAAGCGGGCACCGCGTCAAGGTCTTACATTTGTCCGACTTCCACCTGGACTCGCGGTACGCTGTGAGCTCTGAAGCGAACTGCTCATCGAGTCTATGCTGCCGCAATGATAACTACAATGACCTCTCCGAGAACCATGTTCTGCTTTCTGCCTCCGCTTACGGATCCTTTAAATGCGACACGCCGTATGACTTGGGTCTCGCTGCCTTGCAGGCCGTGGGTCCCTTAACTGGTACGGGCAAGGGCATAGATGAGGACTCCTTTGCATGGTCTCTATACACCGGCGACTTGGTGTCTCACGATCCCTCGCCGCAGATATCGCGTGCCTACGCTGAGTACACCGAGATCAGTGTCTATGACATGTTCAAGCACTATATAACAGGCCCTGTCTTTGCGGCGCTCGGAAACCATGACACTAGTCCAGCGAATATTGACTCGCCGCACAGTTTGCCTGGTCGGCTTGGGGAACAGCAGAGCTGGAACTATCATCATATCGCTGGTCTGTGGCAGCATGAGGGATGGATTGATCGCCAGACTGCTGAGGAGGCAGTCACTCATTATGGTGGCTATTCTATCAAGACGCACTATGGGCTTAGGATTGTCGCATTCAATACAGGTAAGTTGGACACTTGTTTGTTTTTGTTGATATGAGTATGTACAACTAACAAAGCTTTAAAGACCTTTGGTATGCCTCCAACTACGTCAACTTCATCAACACAACCAACCCGGACAACTCGGGGATATTCACCTGGATGATCGATGAACTCCAAAAAGCGGAAGACGCCGGCGAACGAGTCTGGATAATCGGCCACGTCCTCAGCGGCTGGGACGGGACAAATCCGCTCCCCAACCCGACGAACCTGTTCTACCAAATCGTGGACCGCTACTCCCCCCACGTCATTGCAAACATCTTCTTCGGACACACCCACGAAGACCAGTTCATGATCTACTACGCCCAAAACGGTACCCTCCAAAACGCGGACACGGCCCTGTCGACGGCCTGGGTGATGCCCAGCGTGACGCCGTTAACAAATCTTAACAGCGGATTCCGAATGTATGAAGTCGACACGGGCGACTTCAACATCTACGAGGCGTATACCTTCATCGCTAATGTCTCGGACTTCCCGCGCCTGGAACTGGAACACACCGGCCCGACCTTCGGTATCGAGTACTCGACGCGGGAGACGTACGGTCCCGCAGCTGCGTGGAATAAAGATGCGCCGTTGAATGCGACGTTCTGGCACCGCGTTACAGAGGCTATGGAGGCTGATGGGGGATTGGCTACGCTGCATAATGAGTTACAGGGCAAGATGAGTGTTAAGAGCCCTAATTGTACCAGTGACGCTTGCCATAAGGCGAAAGTTTGCTATATGCGCAGTGGGAGTGTTGCGCTGGGGAGTCAGTGTCCGCAGGGGTAAGTTTTGTTCCCTGGCGAGTGAGATGAGTGCTAATTTTGGGGAGTAGGTACGGATCTGTGCAGAGTGCTTTTTCAAGTTAGATAGATAGATTGCAAGCTGGACATGGGGAGAAATACCATCACAGTACATCATGCAATGGTTCCCATAACCCAGTTGGTCAGAGTGGTGCTAATAACGCCAAAGTCGAAGGTACCGAAAATGGCGTCCAAGGTGGCTACCATTTTCGGCGCCTTTTTACTAGGATCTTAGTCATCCAGACATCATGAATCTCGAAGCTTGTCCTCGGACAGCTATGAGCTAAAGATCGCGAACAAGGGTTCTTTCAATATTTAACACATTGAGACTGCTCGCTGCATACCTGAATTTTCATTGTAATATACCCCCTCTGGAACCAGGAATTTTTTTTTTCTTTTTCTTCTTTTTCCGGCACGATTATGTATTTACTTGCATCAATCATAATTAATGTTCTCTATTATTTTTATTTCAAATTTTATTGTGTGAATTTTATGTACGGTTGTCTCCTGGAAAATAAAATGGAATAGAGTGAAGAAAGAGAGAGAGCTATAGTGGGCCTGAGCTTGTCAAATCCGCCTCGAACCAAACTCCGGTCCGCTTGGGAACGAACACCAGGAAAGCATCATGACCTCCAGTAAGTACTACATACTGATAAAATCAGGGAGCACTAGTTCGACTGTACAGCAGTCTATCAGTCATCTGCACCACAGCTGGGCTCCCGTCCGATCCGGGCACAGCGATATGCATGACGTAGAGAGCATAGCAAGTATCGTCATCACCTTCTGCTCCGGCCCATCCGATTTAAAACTACCCTAGGGCCGTCGATCCCCCGTTCTAACAACCCCCGCTCAACAACCTCACTCTTCCGCTAACTCACTTTCTTTTTTCGCCGCTATCATCCTCTCTCTCGTCCACACATTCCAGTCGCAATGGCTCTGCGCGGTGTTCAACTCGGCCTGCGGGCGTGGGAGGTATGTACTAAGTTACCTACCAACTTTTTTTTCTTCTTCTGGAGCGCACTGGACAGCACTGACAACAGCCGCACAGTTCCTATGGACCCTTCTCATCATGGCCCTGGTCGGCAACATGATCGCCGAAGCCTTCGCCGGCAACCCGTCCTCGGTCAACTACGTCATGTTCGTATCGGCCTTCTCGATGTTCTCGCTGTTCTACCTGGTGCCGGCTTCGTTCAACATCGACTGGGCCCTGCACCCGATCATCATGATCACTGTCGACGCGCTCAACTGCATCTTCTTCTTCTGCGCCGCCATCGCCCTGGCCGCGAAGCTAACTGGCAACTCATGCGGCAATTCGGTAAGTTCTTACTTTCTTTTTCTTTCCACTTGCAACATATAGACATGACAGACGCTTATGCTATGGTCCAGTCGTTCACCCTGAACAACGAGATCGCGAATGGCTCCCACAACCCGGAGAAGCGCTGTCGCGAGGCCCAGGCGTCCACGGCTTTCCTCTGGTTCGGCTGGGCGGGCTACATGGCTTCGGTTATCGTGTCCATCTTCATGGCCCGCTCGGAGGCCCCCGTACGCGGTCGCGCTGGTGGTGCCGGCCGCAGACGGCCTAACATGGCTCAGGTTTAAGCGGCCCTCCAACAGACAAGATGAATGGGGGAAGAATGAGAAACCTCTGGAGCTAGCCACTGCTCGCCAATCGGCAATCGGCAATGTTCTATACAGGGCAAGGCTCAGCTCGACTCGACTCGCAAAAAGACCTTTACCTTTATCTTATCTTAATCTATCTACATCGGAGGATGTGCAAACAACCTCTGCTAATTTTGTGTTACTACTCCTGTCATTAATAATGGGTTTGCCGGAGGTTTCTTTCAGGCAAGGGTTGTGGGGATCGGGGTTGGTTGTTTTGGTTAAAGAGGAGTTTGGTGTGTGCACTTTTTCTTGATTTCGATATTCTTGAATACCATCTAGGAACTGGGAATGTCTGAATGAGATTTAAGTTCAAAACCTCTGTCGCTGCGTATGATTTTTGTGGTAGATACAAGAACGTCAATCCTCGCTCGAAGCTTCATTCGAATCTGGCCTGCGACTGCCCGCCTCCGTATCTCCTCTCAACGCGCCCGATGCCGCTGGACCTTAAATCTCTCACATCCTAGTCCGTTGGGCCACCTAGATGAGGATTCAAGTCGCCCACACCTTTCCCTACCTAATCAATACGCCAAATTTAAGCCATCCGGACTACCACTTCTCATATGTGCTACGCCTAAGTGACTTCATCGTGAGTAACACTTGGAATGGGTGATGAATATGATCGATTCTTGACTGAATGAGGTACGTCAAGAACTCTGAGTACCCATTTCAACCAACTTAACTGTTGGCAATCTTCTACACCCAAGAATCAATCTTCATCGTCCCTTTCTCCTGAAGATTCTTATGCATCTTAAACGCCTCGAAAAGCAGATGCGGCTCGTGTCCCATGCCCTTCTTCAGACACTCAAACTCTGCCCGATCAAGGTAGTCACTCAGGATAGGTTGGTAGTCTGGGTGAGCGCACTGCCTGATGATAATACGGGCACGCTCGCGAGGCGAGAGACCACGAACATCCGCAAGACCCTGCTCGGTGACAACAACGTCCAGATCATGCTCGGTCTGGTCAACATGTGTAGCGAAGGGCACTATACAGCTAACACCGTCGGGGTCGGACTTGCTAGCCCGCGTACTGGGAGTGTGCATGATGCTGTATTTGGCGTTGCGAAGAAAATCGGCTGAACCGCCTAGCCCGTTTAGCATGCGTGAACCCATCACACAGGTGCTATTCGCGTGGGCGTAGATGTCTACTTCGATAGGCGTGTTCATGCTAATGCATCCCAAGCGGCGAATTATTTCGGGTGAATTGGAGATCTGCTGGGAGCGAAGGAGGATCTTGTCGGCGTAGCGCTCCCAATTATTGTAGAAGCGATTGAACCCGTCGGGGGAAGAAGCGCACGGAAGTTGCGGTTGCGAAATCAAGACGGCCGCTGTCGAACAGATCGAGGAATGTATCTTGGAGCACTTCGGTCCATACCTTCAAGTGCGTGAAGTCTGCGCCTGTGTCGCCTTTGCTCAAGCCGCCGACTACCGCGTTGGCAATGTTCCCGATGCCAGATTGGATGGGTAGGAGGCTCTGCGGTAGTCGTCCCTGATTGACTTCGTGTTTGAGGAATTCAATCAGATTGCTAGCAATTGCTCGGGAGGTGTCGTCCTCTGGTGAGTTCGAGGTTGTTTGATCCGGGGAATCGGATTCAACTATCGCGATCACTTTCTCCGGATCCACGGGAATATAAGTAGTGCCGATGCGGTCTTCTGGTTTTGTGATCAGGTACGGTTGCCTATTAGGCGGGAGATCATTAAAGTTGGTGATATCGTGTAAGCCTTCAAAAGATGGAATCGAGGTGTTGACCTCAATGATCACCTTTTCGGCCATTTGTACCAGCTCCGGTGAAGCACCGACTGATGCGGTTGGGACGATTCCACCGTCTTCTGTTATAGCGGATGCCTCAACGACAGCCACGTCTAGTTTTGGTTGGGCTTTATTCAGAGTATAATAGCCCTAACAGAAGCGAATTAGCAAGTCACTGGTTCTCGTATGTCACAGCGAGGCAGGCGCACATAGATCAAATCCGAGGGAAACATGCTCAGATGTTTATCAAAGAACTTGATTATTCCTTCGTTGATTCCTTTGGAGATTGCTTTTCCCACTTGGTGTGGGCTGCGCCGTTCAATCATATCCAACTCTGCCCAGCGGGTTTCTGTCTCAGCGCCAGAGGAAGCGCCCACGAAAAGGGAGTACTTGAGCTTTCCTTGCAAGTTATTTTCCTGGACATGGTCTGCGAGGGCAGCAGGGACTTTTCTTCAGGCGGATGCTGTTAGCAAATTTGTCTCATGCTGTCCAACTTGGGCGCAATACTTGGGATAGCCAACACCGGTGAACCCAGACCAGCCAATGTACGAGCCATGTGGGAAATGATGGACCAGGTCCTCTGCTTTCATAAGTTTTTTCAAATAGGATGGTCTTCGCACCCGGCTTTTCAAAAGGGCCGACGCAGCCATGATGTTTGAGCAGCACTGAGGATTCGGGAAATTCGACAGAATAGATTAAGGCGGCAATGTACTTTTCTAGGACTCTTGGGATATCAATTCCGGTCACGACATTAAACATCCAAAGGAAGCAATAAGAAATTGGCTTGCATCAGGGATTTGAATCAGGCACCTGCCTCCTTCTTTTATAAGCCAAAAACTCATTCTTAATCTCTCTCGAAGGCAAATCAAACTCTTCTCCATAACTTAGGTTGAAGCCCTCATCGGCTCGGTCATCTTCGGCGTTTGTCACGATTTGTTCGATTGTCTTGATATCCCGGAAATCTCCGGCTCTTCGCCGTCGAACGGCGATTATGGATAACTCATTAAGGTTATTCTAACCGGGAGGGTGGGGTAGAGTGATACTCCGCGGAAAAGTTCTACGCAGACAACATACAATAGGTAGAGCTCTTCTTCTCCGTCTCTGTTGATTCTGGTGGGCACCAGACCGGAGGTTCTGGGAGGAGCCGCCATTGTCTCCAATCGTTACTTCATTGCAAGGCGCCTTCATATGATCAATGGAAAATAGAATCATGGTACTGTTAGGTATTAGGTATAAATTTGAAGCAGGCTAATTGATTACTCCAGAACTATGTCTTGACGAGCTGGTGATGGGGCTGCTCCGCACAAAATATATAATCGTGCCTACCATTACGCAGGTTTTCTACTCAAGTTCAGTGTAATTCGATATCACGAACACATTCTGAATATTTAGAATTAACTTGTCGCGCACTGCCCCCCAGTGGACGTGGCATCAGCTAAATATAAACCAATCGACCAACAGCCCTACCGTAAGACCGGGCACAGCCACTTACCGCATCCATGGCCCCCATCAATCTCCAAACTTCCCTCCAAACTCGCATTTTTAATCATCTTCAACCATCATGGACGCACCCGAATACTATACTGACAGCCCACCGCCATACTCAAGCCGGGATCCCCACCCCACGGCAGGCTCAACAACCATCACCAGCGCTAACAGCAGCAGACTGGCCGCGAACCGTCCGACCAGCTACCACATCCACCGGGGATCATCTGGCAGCTACAAGGTCTTCAAAGATGACATCACACAGAAATTCAGCGTCGACGTGCACAAGTTCCGGCAGCCGAACCTGATCGTCCGCCGCGAAACCGCGCAGCTGATACGCCCCGAGCTCGCGCATGTAAAGTTCGCGGAGATGGGCGATCACTGCGATATCGGCATGTTTCGCCAGTCCGGAGTCAAGGGTTCCATCGTCTGGATGCGTATGACCGGCGACCTGCGCATGTCCGTTGTGGTGCCGCTCCTGGACGCCCAGGGCGCGGTGATTCCCAATACCAGTGTCCGGAGACCGTTTGTCTGGAAGGGTACTTCTATTCTGACGCTGGAAGATGAAGAGAGTGGCATGGTCGCGGCTGTTGTTCATGAGATGGCTCATCTCCCCTCGAAAATCGCTGCTGTCGAGATACTTGTCCCGTTCGGCGAGCCATTCTTTATCTTGGTGTTGACGGCCTATCTCGCTCTGCATGAGAAGTTGCGGATAAATACTAAAGTCCCTTCTGGATATAGATCCAGGGGCCATGCTGCTCGGGCCCATGCAGGACACTTTGCTGGAACGGCAGGGTTTGCTGGGGGAGGCTTTGCAGGCGGAGGTGCTGGATTGTAGATACCCTGGAGTTTTGTGGATGTTCTTATGTGAAGAGCCATTATAGGATATGTTGTCCAGCAATTGTAATCATGACGGTGTGTATGTGAGTTGTCTATCACATCCAGAGTAAGGGTCAAATGCATCTCTTCTCTCTTGTTATGTTGATCATAGATCGATGCCTGGCCAGTGAGGCAGCTGTGAGTCAGTCATCCATCAGGAAGGGTTTCAACATCATGAATAGTTTCAAATCTGGTCTACAGATGGATTTCCCATCTCCAAGCATGATGGTCCAACGCTGGCTGTTATTCTGTGGTGTTGACAGGTCCCGCTGTCGGTCTCAAAAACCCTAGCTCGGCCGGCCCACCGCGACGCGGAATTCTCCAAGCTGCCACTTGGACCTTCATCCACTGACTTTGCTTTCTTTCTGCCCGCCCACCCACCATGCCTGTTAAGTGAGTACTTATGATGCTCCCTGTCTGGTAGCCCTTGTACCCGTCACTAACACCCCCAGCTACCTCATCCTGCTCTCCCGACAGGGCAAAGTGGTGAGTCTCGTCGCCCACCCAACTCCCCACCCCGTTCTGACCACACAAAAAAAACAGCGTCTCGCCAAGTGGTTCACCACTCTGTCCCCCAAGGAAAAGGCCAAGATCATCAAGGATGTGACCCAGCTGGTGCTATCCCGCCGAACTCGCATGTGCAATTTCCTCGAATACAAGGGTACATCCATCATCCATCCCATTCATACTCCCCTTTGACCCGCCTCGGACTGACTGATGGACGGCTGCAGACTCCAAAGTCGTCTACCGCCGCTATGCCTCCCTCTTCTTCATCGCCGGCTGCGCCTCCACCGATAACGAACTGATCACCCTCGAGATCGTGCACCGCTACGTCGAGCAAATGGACAAATACTACGGCAACGTGTGCGAGCTGGACATCATCTTCAATTTCCAAAAGGCATACTTCATTCTGGACGAGCTGCTACTCGCGGGCGAGATGCAGGAGAGCAGCAAGAAGAATGTGCTTCGCTGCATTAGCCAACAGGACAGCCTGGAGGACATGGAGGTGAGTGATGCTCTCTTGATTTCCTCCTTCTCTCCCGCCACCCCATCCACCCTCACACCCACCACCTTCCAACCCATCCGGCTCAGCCCGAGCTAATGCTCCTTGCCCCAGGTTGAGGAAGATGTGGTCACCAAGATCATGTAGCAAGCGGGATTCTTGCTCCTTTTGTTGCGTTTCTTTCATTGTTGCTGCCAGCCAGGCCGGGTCGTACATAGGCGTTTCAGAGACACACACTGGTTCTTTTATACTAATCCAATTCCTTTGACATGATTTCAGGACTCCGAAACGGCCGAGATGTCGGCCAACCTGGCCCGGGTTGGGCTCTAACTGCTGGATGCCTCAGGCTGCCACACCAGACCGTGATGCCACGCAATGATCTCACTGGCTGTCCATCATGTGACCCTCCGCCCTCCCCTCCTCTCCCTCATCTACTCCCACTCCCGTCGTTCAGTCGTGGCCCATCGCCGCGTATCCTTGATTCCCTCCTCTTCTCCCCCAACACCTGTTCTGTTTCGTGTAATTCGCACATTTCCTCCATTCCCTTCTCCCACTCCAGCTGTTTGCGGCTATCGCCGATCGGCGGCTGCATCTCCGTCTCCGGCTCTCTCCATCGCGTCCTCTCCGGCTAATCATTGTCGCCCGGACCGGTACATCCAGCCCATCCCAACCGGTCAATAACGTCAGTGATCAGGCTCAGCGAAAGTTGATCGCGACTTGAAGATGAAGGTTCGTCTCTCCCCATCCTATCCATGCCCTGGCCTGCGCTGGTCGCGACTGCCAGGGAGGATGATCCCCGACCGAGGCTGATCCAACTGTCTGTCCCATTTAGTTCCTGCCACTCCCAGAGTTTGAGGATATCACTAGCTCCCTCAACTTCCAAACGGCCGACTGTCATATCGTGGGTGGATGCGACCTGTACACAACGAAAGCAGCGCGCTCCGATCGCAAGCTGTACAAGAACATCGAACAGTCGCTCGAAGCCCAATACGAATCGGTCCTACGACTATCCGCCTCCCTATCCCCTCCAAACGCGTCCGATGCTGCGGCGGCATTGAATCTCTCACGGTCTAGTCCATTTGGCCCCCTGAGTGAACATTCAAGTCGTCGCACGTTTGCCTACCTGATTGCCACGCTCAACGCGAGCCATCCGGATTATGACTTCTCACATGTGCTGCGCCCGAGTGATTTCCGTCGCGAGCGACACTTGAAACGGGTGATGAATACGGTCGATTCCACACTGTCCAATCTACGGCCACGCGAGACCATCGATCTCTCCCCTTCGTCGCCGCCAGCGACCCTCAGTGAATCATACAACGGGGGCGCATCTCCGGCCTGGGGTCCACGCATGTGGCGGATCATGGACGACCAGATGTCGCTTGGAGAATGCTCGGTATACTCGTATTCACCCGACGAAGACCCCTCCGTTGCGGACGACGGCGCGATCTGGAGCCTGCACTACTTCTTTTTCAACCCCATGCGCAAGCGTGTCTGCTACATGTATCTGCGCGCGATCCCAATTCTGAGCCATACGCCCCCAGACGAGGTGGCCACGACGCCCACAGGGAAGCGGACGTTTGACGAGGGTTACCTGACCCCTGATCTGGGATCGAGCAAGCGCGCCCGGTTTTGGCTGGGGGATCGCGCGGATTCAACATTCCAAGGCAGCGACAGCGAGGGCGATGAAGAGGAAGAGATGGCCCATTCCTCGCATGCGGCACACCCTGTCGTGGACGATTATGACCACTACATGCTTAGTGATGAAGAGGTTCGCTCCCGGTCTGCTAGTAAGGGTACGGTGCGGGCTATGAGCGAGGAAATTGCCGATTCCATGGAGGTCTGAGACTTTCGGTCTGTTTGTGTTTTTGATTCCTTCCCTTCCTACCGTTGATCGGTTGATTTATCACTTTATATTTGTTTAGCTGGAGGCGTTCGGTTCGTCTTTTAATGGTCTCGTGGCGCATTCAACCTGCATATTTCTCTGCCACGAGGGGGCGTTGGGAACAGGAATGGATGGGCAAGACTGTCTGACGAGAATGATATTCCCACCCCGTTGGTTTTCCTCCTGTTCGGTCCTGTCGATATGTTTTGTTTTTAGTTCATAATAATGTCTGTTAGTTCACAATCGTCTGGACTTGATACAAGAACTAGCTCTTCCTGAAGCCTGTCTGAGATGTTAGCTGTAGTTGCTGCTCCGTGATGCCCGCATGAGCTCGCTCGCCTATCAAAGAAGCTGACCATTGTGACACTGCCCCCAAGTTTTATAGAACGCCAGATGGCATCGGACATCAGATAATAAACATACCTATCAATAATGATAATCACCGTTGTTGTTATATAGATCAGAGCACATGGTCTGTGCGCAACCGGGGAACGGGAGGAAAGCTGTCCACACTCTCGCCCCCCTTCACTAACTTCACCCCATCTCCTCTGCCATTTCCACCTTTGCGCGAATTGATCCCATTATGGCTGACGACGAGGCGCGTGCCAAGGCTGAGAAGCTGGCCGCCGCCAAGAAGAGGGTAAGTCTGTCCTGCGCGTGTAGAGGGCGAGGGAAACAAACACTGACACCACCCCCATTGTGCAGGTTGCAGCCCTCCAGAAACAGAAGAAGAAGGCCAATAAGAAGCCTGCCGGTGCAGATGCACCAAAGGATGCTGAACCGACGGAAGATATCACCACAACAGCAGCAGAAACAGAAATAGAACCCCCCGCGGAAACGGAGGAGAAGCCGCGCGATGAGCAGGCTGCAGACGCGACGATCCCCGAGCAACCAGAAGATGAAGAAGAAGCGATACAGGATACTCCTGAGCCGTCCGCCGAGTCTGCCGCTGAGCCCATGCCCCCAGCTCCGACCTCTCCTGACCCCGACGCTGAGCCGCTGGCCGCACTTGATACACCACGTGCTGGCCACGGCCGACAACCATCGCTATCAATCCAGTCAAAGATGCGTTCGTCGTCATTCCGCAAGACCTCCATCTCACAAGGGACCGCTTCTCCGTCCCCGTCTTCAACGCTCAAGTCTCCCTCCCAAACACTACCGCCGCTGACCGGAGACTCCGCACACGAAGTGTTCCGCAAACAATCTACTCGGATCGAGGAGCTGGAGAAGGATAATAAGCGTCTAGAAAAGGACCTTTCAGATGCTACATCGCGTTGGCGGAAGACGGAGGATCAGCTAGAGGACTTGAGGGAGGCTAGTGTTGATGACGCGGAGCTACGGGAGAAATTGAAGATGGCCGAAGATAAGGCTGCAGAGATTGAGTCTCTGGTAGGGTTTCTTGACACTTTTCAGACGGGACAGTAACTGACACAAGGCTTTATAGAAAGCTGAGATTGCTTCGCTGCAACGGCAGAACTCTCAGCTTCAGACGCGGTCACACCGGAATAATGCCAGCGTTGCTGTTCCCGGGACATCGGAGTCGCCGCCGGCAGATTTGGTCCGTCAGCTGGAATCCAAGTCGGCTACCATTGAAGCTATGGAACTGGAGATCTCGAACCTGCGGGCACAACTCGCGTCGCAGTCGTCCTCCAACAGTGCACACGAGACTCAACTCGCCGCACTTGAGGACAAAGCATCTCAAGGACAAGCAGCGCTCGAACGCGCCCAACGCGAGCTAGCCGACACCAAGGCAGCGCTCACTCGCGCGTCCGAAAAGGCCGTCAAGGAAGGCGTCGACAAGACCTCCACCGAAACGCTGATCAAGACATTGCAGCGCGAAATCGAGGAACTCAAGAACGAAAAAGGCGAGGCAGACAAGAAGATCGACACCCTCGACAAAAAGCTGCAAGCGCTCGGCAATCTACACAAGGAATCTGAGACCCGACACCAATTGCGGCTCCGCGAGAGCGAGAAGTCAGACAAAGAAACCGCGATCATGCGCAAGAAACTCGCCAGCATCGAGAACGAGAACCTCCGCCTGCGCGAAGAGCGAGATCGGATCCGAAAACGTGATGCCACCGGCGCAGATGACGAGGCCCTCGACGAGCTCGAAGACGAGGAACGTCAGCGCCTTGAACGCCGCATCCGCGAGCTGGAAGGCGAGGTCTTTGACCTCCGCCGCGGCGTCTGGCAAGAGAAGCGCCATGAGCTAGCCACTCACGCAGACGAGGGAGTCGACTCAGCCGGCCCCGTCGACGCAGGCGCCAACGCCTTCGACGACGTCGATCTCGTCGGCGGTCGACCGGAACATGCGCGCCGCCGAAGCATGGCCATGCAGCAACAGCAATGGAACCAGCAACAGCACTCCTCTTTCTCGACTGTGCTCTCTAGCGGCTTCGCTGCTTTCACCGGAGGTTCCAATAATAATAACCGTGCCCGTGCTTCTTCGTCCAACCCGCCTTATGCGCAGGGTACGCGCGGGAGCCTCGAGCTTCTCTCCGAGGAGAATTTCGATGATGAATTCGACGAAGCGGCTTTTGCGCGCGCGCAGGCTGAGGAGGAGGCCCGTAAACGGGTTGAGTGGATGCGCGAGCTGAAGAAGAAGCTACGCGATTGGAATGGCTGGCGCTTGGATCTGGTTGATAGCCGCGCTGGCGCGGAGGGTGCTGGCGTGGGGATGGGCGAGATCTTCCAAGTTTGATATGCATCTATATCTAGGCCTGCACTGCACAGGATGGGTGAACGAGGTAGAACACAATTTATGTTTCCATGTATACCACCTCAACTGGATCCTTGCTATATTACACCAATATTCCCTGGTTTTTCAACAATGAATGCAATTTCATTGTTGGGATATCATGGACATGCACTCTGTTGCAGGAGAGTAAGCGCATCCGACAGAATACAAATATACAAAAGGCACAGAATGACAAACAATACATAACTCCAAATACCATAGGTAGAAACTACCCTAATCCGTATAATGCTTCCCCGTCAAAACACCCTCGGACTGCCTCCTCATCCTCCGTCCATAAAACTGCCCAACCCACCCACTCATCTGATAAACCCAGCCCCCAGTAACCAGCACCCCGGAAATGGTGTTAATCAGACGGATCAGCAGCGCCAAAAACCCGCCTCGCTCCTCGCTGATCAGCAGCAAGACCGGCTCGATGTTATACTTGAAAAAGATCCCGGGAACCAGGTAAGGGGTCTCGGGGAGGGGCGTGGACTGGCTGGTGGCTGCGTATTGGTTCGTGAAGATGGCGTTGCGGTTTGAGCGCGCGGCTGCCGAGCCGGGGGCTCGTGTGTACGCGTCTAATGCGTCTTTTCCCTTGGAGTAGATCGTTGGCACGACGGAGAGGAAGTACTGGAACTTGTGGTAATGGGTGTCTGCTTCGGCGATTGTCTTGTCGAGAGGGTTCAGGAGCGTGGGGTAGTGTGGTCCGAAGGAGAGCTCTGTGATCATGTGCGAGAAATTGAATGCTGTCCCGGTATGTTTAGCTGCAGATCAATGGAAAGTAAATTCCCCCCCCCCAAAATAGACATACCGGTATGGTCAAGATGTTCCGCAAACTCTTGATACCCATGGCCCCTGGCGGTGATATGGAAATCCCCCTGCACCTTGTTCCCCTCCAAACTCCCATAAATGCGACACGAGTCGATAGGATCGCCCCGTTGGATACGCGGGCCCTTTGCAAACTTCTTCCTGGGATTACGGCGCACCTCACCCATGACATGATGCACGTGCGCGTCCTCCTCTTGAGCCGCAAGCCGCGAATCCTCCTCATGGCTCAGCGACTGGTACTCATGGCCGCCGGAGTGAGACTGGTAATTGCGCTGCTTCATCCACTGCATCCAGCTTGTATCCTCACGCTGGAGCAGGCTGTCGGCGAAGATGCGGTCACCCGCTGCGTCTTGGATGTTCACGCGCAGCGTGTCGCAGGGCATGTTGACTACGACATCGAGGTTCAATTGCAGGTCGTGCGAGATGCCCTTTTCGACGCTGAAATGGTGGTTTTCTGTGCCGTGCCACCAGGTCCTGAGTTCCGAGAAGCTGAGGATTGTGCATATGGCGAGGATGAGGACGGTCCATTGGCCGCCGCGGTGGGTGGCGGTTGTGTATGAGGGTTTTGTTTTGGCTGGATGGGAGGGGAACAGTTAGCCGGGGGATACATTGAATATTGAATTTTGTCGAGAAGGAGATGGGCAATAATCAATGCCCTGACTGGCACTCACGGAACGCATCGAAGGTCTTCAGTCCGCCAATGCCGCTTCCCTTGTCGCCGAAGGCATCCTCGTTCAGGCCTTTCTCGTTGAAGCCATTCATCGCGAATTAGGTCGCCAGCGTGCAATGGCCTACGACATGAAGGAAGGAATCCCAATGGTAAGAAAAGAGAGAGGTGAGTCGGAGAGAGTGGGTTGATGTTGATGATGTGGAGACCAGATAAGGCGGAGTCGGGGTTGAGGCCAAGCTGGCCGTTCGGGGGCCAGTTAATACGCAGCCCTAATTAGGTGCCCGAACTGCTACTGTTCTGTACAACCGCCATGAAAATGATTAATGTGCTAACTATGTATATTTCATTCATGTTCTACTTCGCTTGTCATGAGACAATACATCGTGAATCCTGATCCAGGCAGAAACTCTGGGCCAATGCAATGAGAGGTAACAATGTACAAAATCGCAGTCCCGATGATTGATCATAACAGAATAACGGGGATAAAAAGGGGACATGCAGGAGCAAAAGTAAATAAAACGAAGAGGTATTCGCGACTCAACTCGACGGTTATAACAAACAGTGCCAGATGCAAATGCTGTCAACGTAAACAAACAAACATGCGGACCCCCAAACGAACAAGGGTATATACGGGGATGGGATGGATGGCTCATCTCGCTGACCTGCGACAAGCAGAGAAGAAGATGACAAAACCACCTGATGCAAGCAAGGCGCGACAGAGAAGTG